CTCTTCGGTTAAGAGGTTGTGTATGTAATGCTCAAAGTGTTATTATGCTATGGTGTTTTATTATTGTTTTATTTACTATTTTTTTAATTGGTTCTGCCTTTGACTCCCTGATAGTGAGGATTACTCTGAGGGCTGCAGGTACCTCTAAGTTAGGTAAAGACAAAATGCAATATCATGAGTTGGACCTAACCTGGTTGTGTTTGTGCAGCCAGACTTCACTGAGCCAAACAGTCTTGATGCTGGATAACTATTATGACAAAGCTTGATACCAACAGGCTCTGGGCTATTTCAGTCAAGCTGTACTTGAGTTCTTATAAAACGGGTTGATTCTTGAATGTAGGTTATAGATTATCTTTTATACTAATCTGTTCTGATGATACTATGGTCAGGGTTTCTATGCAAGTATGGAAAGTATAGAAAAGTATGGAAATCAATTTGATCAATTTCCAGGTCTTAAAAAGTATGGAAACTGGAGACAAAAATGGAGTTTACTTCATCTTCAAGTGATGGTGAATTGGTATTCCTTTTGAAAATAATAAGAGCTACCATATGCCACAGTTACTAAAAACAGAAAACACAACAGCAGACTGAGTGTTTTTCAGTTCTGATTAGGCAATAATGTTGAGATGGCTGCCTGTCATGAAAGCATGTACTGAGTCAGGGCCAGTACCAGATAATGGTACTGTGACAGCAACATGATTGAGTTTGAGACAGTGAAAATACATATGGTATGTTGCTGAACAGGTTAGCTTACAAGCTAACGTTATTAAGCACAGATGATAGTTAAAACAAAGACATTTAGTAAACTGTTAAAGCACACAAACCATCATCATATGAGAAATCCAACGCTATGACTCTCCACAAGTTGTCCTTCGGGACGTTATCGTTGTAATATTTGTGTTGTTTTTTTTACTAAAAAGCACTCTGTTCTCCGACAATCAAGCAGGTCGGCCATGTTGGATATACCGGTGAATCTGACATTGCAACAACACGGAATCTGACTGGTCAGAAGTGGACACGCAGTATGCAAAACTTTAGAAAATTTGAAAATTCGGGTTCGAAAAAAAAAAAAATATTGACGTCCGAAATAGTCGCATGAAAAACACTCTCCCGGTGTGTAAGAACCTTTCTGCAGAAGTCTGCATTTTCAGGAGCATGGCTGACACATCGTGGTTGTTTACCTGGTGGCCTCAGCTCCAACCTCTTTGGCTGTCTTTGAATGTCAGCTTGAGTCAGCATTTTTTAATAATGGTGACTGCCATCAATGGGCTTAATTACGCTTTTTTAGAAAGTCGATGACTAAGAGAGATTACAATAAGTCTTTGTGCTTACGCTTATGATCCCCTTTGAACGACACCCAACATCAGGAGTTAATCAAAGTGAATCCAATAATCAGGCAACTTTGATTTACAGCCCGTTTATTTCTATGTTTACAAAAGAAATGAGTCCGTAAGCAGCCTAATATTTTAGACACAGAGTAAAGAGTAAACCTTTGTAATTCTAACCTGTTATCTTTGCTCTGTGATTTAGGCTCCTGATCTATTAAGTATTAACCTGGTATGCTTACAGCAAGACCTGCATGACATAGAAACTTGAAGAAGACCAGCTGAGCTTTAAAAGAAACTTCATTACCAACAGTAAGAGTGAACAGAGAACAGAGGCTAATGAGTCTCATTATTTCTCTCCTCCTGCATAGGGTGTATTATTGAACCCTCCTTTCCCTCAGTGCATGAGGTACATAACACTAATCAGAATACTAGCTGTTATGGTTTAGAGTTTGAAAGAGGGATTTTTGTGCAGCATAAAAGAGGGTGACTGAAGAAAGCTGTCTGTTATCTCAATCACAGCTTTATAGTGACACAGAGAGGAAGGGAAGCTAAAATACTGCTCCACCTGTGTTTCATCCACTTGGATCATTCCACCGTCAGGACACAACATTCACCAAACAGACTCAGATTTTCACTTCCACTGAATTCAGCTAACTATCTTGGGCACTTAATTGGCTCCTTTGGACATGTCCAACACACTTGGCCTAATAAGAGAGAGGGGCCACATGAGACATGTTAGAAGGTGGATTCTTATACAGGTCAGATGTTTCTTAAGTGAGTCGCTTTTTATGCTTAATGTTTAAATAGTTGTGCAGATGCAAAATCACAACCACCTACAGGGACTTGCATTGTAGGGAATTATCCCTTATTGCCATTGAAGTAGGCACTAGCTTAATTGGGAGACTGACAGCCTTTGTACAGACTGATTTTAAATTTCTCACTGGGGTTAATCTACATATTTTTTAACTTCAGAGAAATCTTTTGATTCCAGACTGTGTGCAAAAGTTTAGCTCCCAGTTTTAATACTTTTTAAAGTCGATATTTTTGGTTGACTCTTTGTGTTGCCACCCTTGGCCAGATCAGCCTCAGAAAATATGTCTCTGTTGTCATTAGAGCAACCCCGATTAAATTAAAGGATTTGAATGGTTAACTCAAAGTTTGACTTAAAGAGTGAGATATGAACCAAGCTGGTAATCATTCTGGTTCACCAAATCATTTTTGAACATAGTCACAATCCTCTATCATGAGGTTTATTTTAATGCAAGAGAAGACGTCAAACAGGTTTTACTCACAAAGACAAATAAAAGATAAAGTTAAGATGGAGAACATTTCTAATGATCCTCAACATGTATTGATGTTTTTAGCTGCAGGCAGCTGGACTCTATTACCTGCTTGAAGTATTGGACATGACAGCATGCTGAAAGCATTTCATTACACGATTAAATGGTCAATTCAATTCACACCAACATTCATCATTGACTTAGTGTGACTGCGCAGGAGTTCATCCAGAGACTGGACTGATCTGACTCTTCATGATCTCATTCAGGTAGTTTCGGTGTGGACTGAGAAATTTCATTCTTTGGCTCAGTGGTGCTCACCTCAGACATAAAAATAAAAAAGTAGACTTTCTGTCTAACACTGACCAGACTCCAAACTCATGGCATGAGGCTTCATGCTGACTGTGACATCCTTCATCTGCACAGTAAAAGAAGAGCTTCATGTTTGTGATCCACTGCCCACTGCAAAAACAACCTCAATAAAGATCATTGACGAGTGAAATATTTGACTGTTTTAAGAAAGCAGGGTGAGATTTTTCTGTTATTATAAAACACCACTCATGCACATACGGGACAAAATCAATAGAGAGGTATGGTACTGCTTTGTCAACACACAATAAAAGACACTGGTACTCAAATATGGAGAGTATTGAGAAAAAGTAATAACCAAACTATAAAGGAACAACTTAATACCACCCAGTATCATGGAGTCAAATATTACCTTATTAAAGCTCATGTGAGGAGTTTTCATCTGGCTATGAAACAGACTAGGGGGTAGTTACCAGTCTTAACTCAACGATTCTGGCAACGATTTCTGCTAAGTCATGAATTTGTTCTATAAAGTTAAGCAAGGATAGAAATTTAACAATAAAACTAATGCATGAACAGGACAAAAGAGATGATAGGTTGGCCTACAACCCTGTAGTCCCTATCTTTGTTTACTTACAGGAGCTTTAAAGCACAACAGTATGGGTGGAAAATCAACCTGAAGTTTAAAGAGCAAAGCAGCTCACTTAACTGACACCTGTTTTTAGTTTGTTCAAAGATATCAAGCAAAATGCATCAAGCATCTACTGTATGTCCCCAAAACGGTCAAATACTTGCAACGAGAAATCAGACAAGAAATGAACTTTTGAATTTGATAGAAATGCTAGAATATAAATTTTTACAGTTACTTTCTGTTGTTGTTGTTGTTGTTTCTGATAACTGAGAAGTTTGTTCGTGGGTGAAATAGCCCACTTTTGGTTTTAACTTTACAATGAAGCCTCATCTTTGCAGCATACCACAAAACTTTATCATCATTTTCCTTTATATAAGACGTTAGAGTGTAAAGGAACCAGCTCTAGCCTATTTCAGATTAAAAACAGTGAAAGTATAATGCTTATGTACAGTACTGAAGTCTTGTTAATTTCCCCTCCATACATTAAACCTCATTATAACTCAGGTACATTCAGGATATCATTTGAGAGGCACACAACAACAGCAAAAGGAGACAAAGACAGTAAATGAAACTGCCCACTACACTTACAAGATAAACTTCACATAATACGGTTTAAAAGATTAATTCTCCTTATCCATTCCTCCTGCTGTCTATCTCTAAATTTGTAGCTTTGTTTGTGTATCAGTAATAAATTGGACAGCGGTCCCTGTAGAGCGATCATTCACATCATCCTGTTGCGCACGACTTGGTGACATCATTGGGAACGAGTGATCCCGAAAAATGACTCCAGCGCTGACGTGACGACAGTGGACAGCGAGTATAAATGCAGACATGCGAAGTTGTCTGCTCATACCTGTAGACTTGGCCTTTACGGGTCAGTAACCAACTGCGAAGCGCTGAGAGCAACATTCAGAGGCGCAGTGCAAAGGCAGAGGCTGACACAGGGGAGGACTTGGATACTTGTCAGGTAAGTGTGGCACACTGCAGTATGAAATGTTGTGAAGATGTGATGTTGTGTTTTGGTCTGCTCCATCATGTATGTATGACTCAAATTTATAATCCAGACTGGTTTCCTAAGTTTTTACGCAGGATATATTTCAGTTTACTTTTCTTTTCTTGTAAAGAAGCTCAACATGCCGCAGTTGCAGTAAAATTTAGCATATTTAAAAAGCAAATTATCTGGTCTACAGGTTTTATAGCAAGCTGGTGATAGTTAAAATGTTTTGCTCTAAGATTTCGAGAAAACACTGACATTAAAGCAAGTAACAATTTCAACTGGATACGTGATCTTTGCTTTTCTTATTGCAGTCTGAGTTTATTTTCAGGTATCGGTTAAAAAAAAAGTAGTGAAGACAGTTTTAAAGAGATATCAAGGACCCTGACAACCCTATTTACTGTATTTTTGCCCTTTTCATTCACGATTTACTTCTTCAACAGACGACACGCAAACTTACCATGAAGTCGACATGTCTGCTCTTCTTGGCTTCTCTCGCGGTTTGCAACTTGGCTGTGTGCGGTGGACAGGGTCCCCCCACTGAGGATGAGACAGCTCGGGTAACCATAGACGACATCATCCTACAGAGAGCAGAGAGTCTTCTGTTAAGGTCCATTCTCAATAAGATACAGGAGGAAGACAGCCGAAACGGTGCGTAAAATGTGTGTCTTGGATGAGCTTCACGAGCAATCCAAAAACGACTGAACTGATGCAAAATAATTCAATAAAGTGATCTGAATAGCGTCATCTGTTAGTTTGCTTATATATCCATAAAACTTGGATCTAAATTTTTACAATCTCGATGTTGTACATTTGGGCGATTTGTCTTATATTCGCTGAAAGTCCTAAATTGCGACAAAAGCGTCAAGGCTCATTCGATCTTTACGCCTAGTTTTGGATACTTTCAAGTGTGTTAGATTTCTTTAACTGTATTTCAAGGAAAAGGATGAAAATAGTGCTTCAATTTGTCACATAAAGAGGACAAAACCATGTTGTTTGTGCGCAATTACGCACGGCGCAGTCAAGCTGTGGAAGCAATACATCAAAATACTCCACTCCACGGAGTTATTTACCATTCTTTCTCTTTCCAGAGGGGTCCTCTTCTCAGACGGCATGGGTATCAAAACGGCAGCATCCCGGCAAGAGGTACATGGAGGAGATGGAGAAGCGGCAGCATCCAGGGAGGAGAGCAGAGGACGAGGAGGATGAACAGTACTTGGATGTTCAAAGGAGACAGCATCCAGGCAAACGCGAAGATGAGATACACTCGTTCATGGAGTTCCAGAAAAGACAGCACCCAGGAAAGCGCTCCACCATGGGACACGTTTCAGAAAACCCCGTGATGCTCCTGAGTGAACTTTCAAAACGACAACACCCGGGCAAGCGCTACCTGGTGCTGCACAGCAAACGCCAGCACCCAGGTAAGCGCAACCAAGAGGATGAGGACGGTGAGGGGGACTGGGATGGAGATGCAGATGGAGACGAAGACCTCGCTGAGTTGGAAAAGCGTCAGCACCCGGGGAAAAGGTTTTGGGATAACTCCAGTCCGGATTTAGGCACAAACAGTCCGTGTGATGTACTAGAACCGAGTTGCAGTAAGACCAGTTTGCTGCTCGACTTTTTAGACAACATTAACAAGAGCCATGCCGAGGAGAAGAGACAACACCCGGGTAAACGGTTTGCACCCGAGGAGGATTTAGTGGGAGGAGAATAGGTCAAATTAAAGTCTGTCGTGCGTTTCTGTATTGTAAACAAATAAATGTGTAAATCATGTGTCCATAACAAATTATTAAAAATTGAAAGAAAACTTACACTACCTAACCTCTCGTGCGGCGGTTTTGCTTTTGACAGTTCCTCTCTTTGCGTCACACATGTATCTGCTGTGTGTTTGTTTGGAGAGCTTGTGCGTAAATGTCATCCAAAGTGACTATATCGATGTAAATAAGGTTCTTAATAGTTCGCTTTCACTGTGTTGACTTTCCTTCACGAATTATCATCACCAACACATCTGATTCATTCAATATTGCTGATATTAAGTCGAAAAAGGAGAAGTTCTGCGTTTGTGGTGTCGCCTCTGTGAGGAAACACGCACCTGTATGAACAGAACATGCTGGAAGAATGAGGAGTCAAAGCGTCCAAGGCAGTTTCGCACAGAAAATCTCTCCATAGTCTGTCTTGTGTTTTAATTTTGTCTTCTTTTATAAAATGTAATGACTCACACAGAAAGTGAAATGTGATTTTTTTTTTACGCATCATTACATCGATTGGATTCATTTCACCTTCATGTTGTAAATCAAAAACTACTTTTGCCTTAAAGTCAACCACCAAGGTTTTTCTTGGACAATAAAACGCACTGGTAAAAAATAAAATGGTCTGCTCTAGTCACTATTAAAGTCTTTCTAACTGTTTATACAAACCCACTAATGAATGCGCATTCTGGCAAAGTAGTGAGTTTGCCCAAGCCTCATCTGTAACGATTAAAACGACCCAATAGACAGAGTGTGTCAGGTTTCTTCCTCTCCGTTTAATTGGGCTCATTCCATCAGAGCTGCTGTCTACAGGGCTGATCAATATGCAAAGTCCGCATCAAGCACGTGACTTGGAGACGGGGGCTTATTGGAGAACCTGCCTAAATTGCACGCACGTACCCACACACATACACACACATCTTCCACCTTCAGTGTTAATGGTCTGATGGTTTAAGGGAAGGAAATCCCCAAAGCAAATACTAATGCTTATCTACCTTACAGGATCAACCATTTCTCATGAATAAATGATCACTAAACCTTTGTGATTTTGCTGTGTTATTGTGTTTAAAGTCGTAGAAAAATTACTTGGACAATTAAATGCTCATATATTAACAGTCAGCATAAACACACACTTCAGTCTGACTTAACTGGGCTTAACTTTTGTCATTTTGGTGCCGGCACGAGGACTGTGGAGTCAGAGATGTTTAACCAACGAGGTTACAACAACATTTGTTTTGAGTTTAAGAATAAGAATAAGAATAACTTTATTAATCCACGAAGGGAAATTCAATTGTCTGTTGTCTCACAAAATATGTCTCTAACAGTCATCTACTATTTACACAAGAGTTATATAGTCTGATGGCTGTGGGTACAAAAGATCTTCTGAATCTTTCTGTCCTGCAGCGAAGAGAGGGGAGCCGTCCACCACCATTGGCCCTTTGGTCCATCAAGGTGTTGTGAAGTGGGTGATCCATGTTCTTTAGAATAGTCTCCACCTTCCTCAGTGTAGATCTCTCCACCACATCCTCCACTGAGTCCAGCTTGAGTCCAACCACAGAGCTGGCCTTTTTCACCAGTTTGTTAAGACGTCTTGCATCTCTGTGTTTGATGCCTACTCTCCAGCAGACTGCAGCGTAGAAGAGAACACTGTAGACACCACAGACTGATAAAACATCTGCAGCATCTTACTACAGATGTCTATTGATTGGAGTCTTCTCAGGCAAAAGAGGCGGCTCTGCCTCTTTCTGTAGATGAAGTCTATGTTCTTAGACCAGTCCAACTTATTATCCAGATCTACATCTAGGTATTTGGATCTACGGAAGTCTATGACCATCGCCTTTGTCTTTGAGATGTTGAGGAGGAGGCAGTTTTATGAAGCCTGGAAATGTAAAAACTTACCATGGACCACAGAGTAAGAGGGCAAAACTGAGGAAGTTTCTAATGTGATCAGAGAAACATCAGATTAAGGTCCCGATCCCTGTGTAAGAACATCTGAAACTGGTTGTCCAGATGTAGATGTGACTTTATTTGCCTTGAGAAGGAGGCTTGGTGCACATTTGGATTTTGAACCCCCCTTTTTTTATTTGCAGTTCTTCTTATTCAGGGGATTTGAAATGAAGACTCAGCACCAGAGCCCTGTATGCTGAAGCTAAACAAGGTTTTTAAAACTATAAAATCAAAATTATTGTAAAAGTATGTTATACTTTTACTCCATTTATAATTTTGCTTCTGTGCACCGATAACAAAATGAACAAAATACATCAAACTTCTTCATTGTGCAGTGTGCAATTATTCTTTGTAAGTAAACTCAACATTCATGAAAATTTAACATGTTTATCTCTATATGACTGTGAGAGCTGTAGGTTGCTTGCCCTACTTCATACTTTGTTGATTCCTTGCTGCTGTTAATACTGTAGGTGTCCCTACTGTGTGATTAATACCTGACTTATCTCATGTTGTGCCACACACAAACACATTGAGCCACAGGGTACAATCAGACTCCATCTCGAGGCTCTTATCAGAAAATTCAAGCATAATTCATAAATGTCCAAACCAAGTAAAATACAAGAAACCAGGAGCCTCCAACTATGCCTCCACAAAAATACTCCCTGTCATGAGAACAGCTTTTATTTTGAAAAACTCTTGTGCAGCATTAACTTGTGAGATTTACCAATACCATACATGTCAAGTTGCGGTTTGGAAAATAAAGGAAATTTTTCGACCCCACGAGCAAAAAGCGAGAAAAAAGTACGAGAACGCAGCCAATCAGGAGCATGCGATGGCACACCTAATTTGCATACAAGAGAGGCGTCACACACTTCTTATAAGCTAGCTAGACACAGCCATGCCAGGAAAACAATACAATATACAATACTAGAATACTACGGCCCCATATTATAATGTCGTTTAACGCGTTGATATATGGAAAACTCCATGTCAGTTAAACGCTACACAAGTACCTGACTACACACCAAGAAAAAAGCTCTCATTTAAGAAATACCAAGACACAAAAAAAACTTAAGCGAGCTAATAGCGAGGAAAAATGACAACGAAGAGGAGCCTCCAATTGGCTGCCGGAACTGCCGAGGCAGCCAATCAGGAGCAGGCGATGACACACCTAATTTGCATACAAGATAGGCGACACACACCTTTTAAATACCAGACATGGCCAGGCTGGAGAAAAACACGGAATACAGTACTGGAATAGTACGACGCCGTTTAATGATGTCCATGTTGTTTAACGCTCAAATCGATGGAAAACTCCATGTCATTTTAACGCTACACAAATACCTGCCCACACACCAAGAAAAAAACTTACATTTATAAAATACCACGACACAGAAAAGTTACGCGAGCTAAAAGTGAGGAAATAGTACTACGAGAACGAGCCCCCAATTAACTGCCGGAGCAGCCAATCAGGAGCATGCGATGGCACACCTAATTTGCATACAAGATAGGCAACACACACCACGCTAGACACAGCGAGGCCAGAGAAAACACGAAATACAATATATAATACTGCAATATTACGACCCCGTTTTATGATGTTCATGTTGTAGGCATGAACATCATAAAACGCAGCAACGATATACAAATTAACTTTCGTTCATTTGTTAAATTTCTCTTAAAAAGGGCTGGTCACAAACTCATCTTTGGAAAAAATCCATGTCAGTTCACTGCTACATAGACAAAAGGAAATATATGTTCAATCATGTGGACACGAGCATAATGATGTGTTTCTGGAAATAAGAGGACTGGCCAGAAAGTTTTGACTTTCAAAAAAAAACTGCTGGACAAGTTTTATGCATACAAACTGGAAATTGTGAATTGTGAAATGTTAACACTCTTACAACACAGAGTGAAAAGTGCTTAATCACACACTTACTTGGCAGCGCTGTCTGTGTATTGTTCGACGCCCAAGGCAGGCGCGTTCGTGTCGTTTGTCCCTCTCCTCGCCCCGTACAGGCTGGATGTGAATCACATGATCAGACAGGGCTGCTGCTGCTGCCTCTGCAGCTGGTGCTGTCGAGCTGTCAAAAAAGAAGCGCAACTGTAAGCTACACAGTGTATTTGTTGGATTAATATGTAAGTGTAAACGGACTAACACGTCAAGAACTCGGCTGGTATACGTGTCTGTGCAGTAGGGAGTTATTATACCCGTGTTTGTGAACATATAAGAGTGAAGAAACGATGGCTGAACAGGCGAAACCTGCTGCTAGTCCTCGCTAGCTAACCTTTAGTTAAACGGTGGCTAACGCTGCCCAAACAATAAACAAGATAACTACAGCTATTACACATACAACCGGAAAATAATACAATTTAAGTCAAGTTGTGCTTGTTTTGAGTTAGAAAAGTTCACATTTGTTGTCTTACTGTTCGTGTTATGCTAACTGGGCGGGTTTAAGAAGAGTGCACAGTTGAATCTTTTAACTCTGTGTTATATATTTTGAAGTTAGTTACCTAATACGATTGTATAAGTCTGTGGGAACCCAAACTAAATATGTGATGTGTCTCAAAGAGTATTTTTGACTATTTTAATCTGTTTATTGCCACTTTTAATCGAAGGTATTTAAGAAATAAGAGCCAAAGCATGTATAAGTTTGTTAATGCACATGTGAATCCTCATAAATCCAAAATATCTGACTTTACATGCATGAATTTTGTGAAATCTGCTAAGTCTCAGTCTGCTTTGTATTGCATTACAGCGTCCAAGGACTCTAGCATGATGGTGCTAAGATTTAGGAGGTCGTACAGCCCATGACATGTGCACCACAGGAGGAATCCCCCACCTTAAATCTCATCTTCATCATCTCAGCTGACTACTGTCATGGCCTCGAGTTATTCGTCCCCCTTTGAGGGGACAGGCGAAGTCAAGGAGGGCTTTCTTTGCCCGCTGTGTCTGAAAGACCTTCAGTCATTCTACCAACTTCAAGACCACTATGAGGAGGAGCACTCTGGGGATGACCGTCATGTGAGGGGACAGCTCAAAAGTGGGTCCTAGTGATTCTTGCTCTCTAACAGGAGATTTCAGGAGTTTATTTACAGATATATTTCTAAGCTGAACAGTGCGAGTAGAAGGCCATAAGACTTTCCCAGGAGGTAGTTTAAAGGGATATTCTGTTGTAGTTTCACAGCTCAAGGAAGAACATTTATGATCATTACTTTATCATTTCCTTGAAGTTATAGATGACCCTATATGTACTGTTGATGAAGTTAGGTGCTGTTGTGAACATTATTTGTGGCTATAGAGTGGCGTTTTGGTTGGGCGCGTGGCTCTCTGTATTGCTATTGTGCGGTCGTTACTAAAGTTGGTATAACTAGAGAAGCAGGCAGTCGGCAACATTCATCTCTCAACGGGATATCTAACTTGGTATTAGGGTGTGTTTGCCCTCACTTAATTTGATTTTACGCCTTAATATCCCTTTAATGAGTTCACTAGCAATTGGGTTTAAGGGCACTGTAGGGGAGAACTTGTGCTAGAATGAATTGACAAGAAGAGACAGAAAATGATGACCTGCAGAGGATGTATCCTAGTTAGAAGTGGGTTAACTTTGACATATTAGTGGGGTTTATTTTTGCCAGAAGAGGGCCCGTTCCAAAAACCATGTCGGCTTCTATTTATGTACAACCTTTCCTGCATTTCCCACATAAATCAAGTAATTATTTTTGGTGCACAGGTTTGGTTCAGAAGGCAAAGAAAGCCAAGGACAAGCTGTTGAAGAGGGATGGAGATGACAGGCCGGATACTGGCAGTTATGAGTCTTTCTACTATGGTGGAGTGGACCCGTACATGTGGGAGCCCCAAGAACTGGGTGAGTTGGTGAGAATATAAATTGGGTGAAAGTAGGTTTCCTATTTTTGTACTTGTTTTGTGTTGTCATTTAGATACGGATATTTAGTTATGGGATCACATGCACTTCCACTCTCAGTCTTACAGTATCTTTTTGCTTTTTTTAGGAGCAACCAGGAGTCATGTGGATCTCTTTAAAAAGCAACGGGCGGCCAGGATAGATCACTACGTTATTGAAGTCAACAAACTTATCATCCGACTGGAAAAGGTTTGCATAAAAATAACTAAATCTAATCGTAGCTGTCATTTCCTCACCCTTAAGATGTGCTTAACTTTGCTCGCTTGAATTTCAGCTCACATCGTTTGACCGGGTCAGCTCAGATGCAGCTAAAATCAGAGGTTTGTATGTAAATTATCTAGTTTAAGCCTAATTTCACATCATGTTATAAATGTGTGTGACTGATATTATGGATTGATTATGCTATTTGATCCTATCTCAGCCATTGAGAAGTCAGTGGTGTCGTGGGTGAATGACTCAGACGTCCCATTTTGTCCTGACTGTGGAAACAAGTTCAATATCCGCAACAGACGACACCACTGTCGACTCTGTGGGTCCATCATGTGTAGGAGGTGCATGGAGTTTGTTCCCTTACCTTTAGCCCGTACGTATGCACTAAAAAACATTCACATTTAGAAGGAACTGATTAACACAAAGCTCACTTTCAGTGTCGTAAAATGATTCCTTTGGTCTTTACAGAAAAGTTGATCAGTGGAACAAGAGAAGCGCTGAGCGTTCCTGGGAGCCCTGGTCAGTCCCAGTCTCCTCCAACAGCTGGTGGTGGCGGCAGCAGCGGGATGGGCTCCAGGAGGGGCAGCATCAGCAGCCTGAGCAGTGTCACCTCCATGCTGGAGGAAAAAGATGATGAGAAGATTCGCTGCTGTCACCACTGCATGGACACGCTTCTGAAGAGGCAGCAGAAGTTAGAAGAGAAAGACCGTGTGCCTGATGTAGTGAAACTGTATGAGGTTGGTACATTAGACTGTCACAACTGAGTTCATAACCCGTCTTTTTTTCTGCTCAAGTTTGCTATAGTGATCACTGATGTATCTATCAAGAAATTCAGTGTTTGACACTTGGGGTTTCTTGTTGTTGACCTTCTTAAAACTCATCTTCCTGTCAGAGGCTGAGGATGTGCATGGAGAAGGTGGATGAAAGGGCTCCAGAGTACATCCGAATGGCCGAGTCTCTGAAGTAAGCTTTAAAAAAAAACATCTGGTTTAGTTTAAGAATCTCTGATATGAGAAATAATTGGATTCTGGATCCTGACTGTCTTGGCTGCATGCTCTTACAGCGCCGGAGAAACCACCTACAACCTCGACACTGCTGGGGGACTGAGACTAGAAGTACAGAAGTACTACGAACTCATCGACGCCCTGAGGTAGATCTTTGTTGTGATCAACACAAGTCCTCTGTCCTGTTTGGAGGATTAAATCAAGTTCCTTGTTTTCTTTTCCAGTAAGAAGATTTTGACATTGAATGTGAAAGATGATCCGCCGCCTCATCCGAAAGCCCTCCAGCTGCAGAAAATGATTCGCTATTCAGCCACACTATTCGTCCAGGTAAAGAAAAACCCCTCTAGCCCAATCAAAGAAATAAATCTAGACTAGATGAGACATTTCTGTTATATGTTCCTTTGTCGATCATATCCTCTCCTGATTTCCTGTTTTAGGAGAAGCTGCTGGGTCTGATGTCTCTACCCTCAAAAGAGAAATACGAGGAGCTGAAAGAAAAGCGGAAACAAGAACAAGAGAAGAGACTCCAACAAGAAAGACTAGTGAGATTTTTCATCCCTGTTTTAAGCCGAGTTTTGATAGCAGGTGAAGCAGGTTCCTAATTGTTAACACTTGTGATATTTAACTGCAAAACAGGCAGCCCAGGAGGCCCTGAAGAGAAGGCAGGAGTCTGAGCGCCACCGTCCATCTCCAAATACAAACGGAGAACTCCCGCAAGCCCCTAGAGCGCCACGCATGACAAAAGCTGGTGGTTGGCTGCCCTCTGCAGACTCGGCACATACACGCGCTGAGCTGGAGGATCCCCTCTTGCAGCAGATCGAGAACATCCAGTCATTCCTTCGTCAGGCAAGGGAGGCCAAGAGGACGGACGAGGTGGCCATGTTGGAGGAGAACCTGCGCCAGCTGCAGGACGAGTACGACCAGCAGCAGACCAGCCTGGCCATCACGCTCTCCCAGAAGCTGGCTGAAGAGGAGAGCTTGCAGCAGGGGGAGTTCCAACGTCTGGAAGCCAGAGAAATGGAGGAGAGGGAACAGTGGGGCCCCTCTGTGGGCTCCACCAAGCTCTCTATCTGGGAGAGGTCTTTGGATTTAAGTCCAGAAAGTAGCTTTCAAGGAGAGGAAGACACTGAAGCAGGGGAGCTGACTCCTAAGGCTGAGAGGAGTCCATCCTCTCTCAGAGCATTCCCTACACTCACTAGTCAGGAGGAGTCACCTCCTAGGTTGAGAAGCTTAGGAGGGCATGTAACCCCTCCAGGGGGTGAGGGACAGAACAGCACTCCCCTTAACCCTTTTGATGATGAAGACTCTACTCCCATTGAGGAGGATCCATCCAACCCTTTCTTTGAGGACATCAAAAAAGAGCATGAAGAGGATACAAATGGAAAGAAAGAGTACAACCCATTTGATGAAGATGAAGACGCAGAAGGGGAGAAACAGGGTGATGCCACACCAAGCAACCCCTTTGAAGAGGAGGACAGCGACGCGGGTAACCCTTTCCTGGATGCTTCTGGGACTTCTCCAGAAGTTTCAACCAACCCCTTTGACGGGGACGATGATGACGAGGTTCTCCCTGATGTGGACATGATCGAAGAGGAGCTGCTGCTGCAGCAGATTGACAACATTAGAGCCTACATTTTTGATGCAAAGCTCAGCGGGCGTTTGGACGAGGTGGAGCTCCTGTCAGAGAACCTCAGAGAGCTGCAGCACACCTTACAAGAACAGAAGAAAAAAAAGCACTGACACCTTTACTACAGAGTCCCCCCACTCAAAACCTGCTACTTACCAAGCCCAGTGAGGCTAGCTCGATTTTCATGACCAATGAGCCCACTGGTTCCAGTTTGGGTGAGGTCTGCTGCACCACGAAGAGATTAGTTTAGCCCCCAAATAAATATATTTTAGAGCTTAGTTGTCTTGACTGACTTTTGGTTAATTTTCAGGGGGGAAAACATCCTGTATAACCACTTATTCTGGACAGGATTGCTGAGGGCTGGTACCTATCCCAGCATGCACAATTTTGAAGCACTGCAGTTGGCACTAGGCAGGCATGTCGCCATTACACTTTTTAATCTTCCGTTACCCGAAACAATGAGATAGAGAGAACAACGCCACGTAGAAGTTTTTTTTATGGGACATCACAAGTGTCTTTGAGTCGAGTCGAGTTTGACTCTGGCCTGTGAGAGTCACGGTGTGTGATTTGGAGCTCTGACAGGAGCTATGATCAAAGTTAAAATGTAACTTTAGCCAAGGTAAAATCAACAGGAGCCATAAAATGATTGCTGCAAATTTCTAAATCCATGTATTGAGGATGAATTGTTTCTAGTTTTTTTCCCCCCTAAATTTACGTCAAAGGTTCACGATCCATAATGCACTTCCTTAGAGTAAAAGTAGGACTCACAAAGGATCAAATCAGTGCAGAAAAATCACAGAGATGGTCCTCTATATTTCAGAAATTGTTCTTCCGTGTCCAAACTTGTCTTCATACTTCCAATGTTAACAGTTACAACAGAGGCTGGTAGTGTTATCCTGCTAGCATCTCATGTAGCATACTAAAAAAGATTTTTCATTATTTTAAATGAAAAGTGATTTCAGAGACATCACTTAAAGCAGTTCATCAGAATGAGCACAACTCCATAGACCGCAGGGCCATAACAGTTCAACATCTCTGTTCACACGTGTTATCATACAACTTGTACCTTGCACCTTGTACGGCTGCTTTGTTGTGTGAAATCAAAGCGGTTTACTCTAACTTTACTGATTTTTTCAGGTTTATTTGTGAGAACAGAAGACATTGCCTTTTATTTAACCAAACTACACATTACTGCTTCATGTATGGACCATTAACAGTTCTCAGACACAGTTAAGAGAAACTTTTTAAAGGAAACTAATCAACGCAAAAATGATCAATTGAAGTTTAAACACAGAAATGAAATTAACTCAGTCGGGTGACTTGCATCACTTGTTTTTAAATGTGAGTTACAGATATAGAAGGGAAATTAAAGACACATTATACTGATTTTTTGCCATTCTTGTTGCTCCTGTTTTGTTACCTTCACTCATGATGGCATAAATTCACTACCACAAAGTCTATCTAACAAAATGCTCATGATAGCAGGGGGATAAGTATCTGATCTTATTTAGATTTACTCTGCTTTGGTAAAAATGTCTCATTCAGTAAAACCATCCATCTGCACAATTAGGATTGAAGTCTTTAAAGCCATTTCAGTTGATGGATTTTTTATGTTTTGCACCTCATCTTTGTCGTGGTTTCACTTCAGAGTTTATTCCAGATATGTGACAGAAAACCAACCAACCAAAATGTTCTCCATGCCTGGCTGTGAAGTCCCCTAAAGGTTGTGATCTTATTGTTTACAGCGTCACTACTGACTCACTAGAGCACTTGTGTTGCATGGTTCTTGTGTCTGTATTTCGGTGCTGTTGGATACTGGTATTTCTGTTGAGCTAGTGGCCCAGTGACTCCTCCTGATCTCTCTTTTTGAATACGTTTGGATGAAATCAGACTGTGATTGTTCCATGCTGTAAGACAAGATCTGTGTGTAGAGCATGTTGCCTGTTCAGTAATATTATGTAAGAAATCATACACCCTTTAGACACACAATACTACAGGCGGTGGCAACTTCAAGTCAACTAACAAAACACCAGAACGTAATCCTGTGTGTACAGAAGTTTTTTCCACATTTGTAAAGATCAACTTACTTCTAAGGTCAAAACAACACTTAAGTCTTTTTTCTTGGTCAGATTGATTAACACTACATGAATGCCAGCAAGTATTATCACTAACAGTGCTGCTAAATCCAGTTAAAACGCTTTACTATCATTTAAAAAGTTCATATTTCTCCTCAGTGATATTAACAGTGTTTTGTGAAGTCTGATGATCTCACAGTGCTGATTTTTGATCTCCACAGAACATGTGACACTTAAATGTTTTGACTTGTTTCAATTACTCAAGGAGCTTCTTAATATGTGTTAGCAGTTGATTTTAGCCAATAACCCTGATGCAGGCAAAATAGTGATTGCAAAACTCAAACATTTGACACACAGTTTTATTAATGTCATCTCTACGTCAATAAAAAATATCTCTGTAAAATGTTTGTATGCTTCGTTTCTGTAATACACTGCTCTACGTAAATGGCTTTCCAGTGTTTGGGCTCTTCAACCGTGGTTCTTTCTGCTCATAGTGGCCTGCAAGGTCTCACAAAGCTTACTAAGTGGAGCAGAGAAGACACATGCACCAAAAACATGCCGTACGGTAGTCCCTTTATGAGCTGTCCCAAGTCAAAAAGTGACACCAAAATGTAATAGTAACGTCCAATTTGAGTACAATATTCACACCTCCTCCTTGGCTTTTCTCAGTCCTGCTCCGCTGCCATCTGAGCCCTGTATTTTCCCGTCATCTCTTTAGGCAGGGGTTTGGTGCGAGGACACGGCACTTGGCCGTCCACTTCACAGATACACTCCCTCAGACAGTACTTTTTTGGCCCAAAGTTGGCAGGGTTTGAGGCCTCCTTCCTTGCTTCAGCCTCAGCTTGTAACACTTCTCTGTGAAAAGAAAGACAGCAAAATAAATGCAGCCTTTTGTTATTGAATCTCTGCAGCCATTATCTTTTCAATAGATCATATTTTGTCACAGGAAAAGCACTGTGGTAAACTGCAAAATTAATAATGCTTGTATCCCTTGCTCGCTGGTTTACAGAGACAATGATTTATGAGTTATCGAGGTATCCCTGTACACTGGCATTATTAATGTGGATGATGTACAAGCACAAAGCTACAGTGGCCGAGAACTGCCACTGCTGCAAATAAAAAAGAATGCAAAAATAAAAAGAACGCCACAACCGAACTTAATGGTACCGCTGCAAATAGAAAAAGAAACGGTGCAGATTTTTTTAAAAAAAGAGGCACAATGGAAGTTAACAATGCAAAGAAAAAGTTACTGCGAAAATAAAAGGATGCAAATAAAAAAAAGGGCACAACGGAAGTGAGCTGCTGGGGACCAATAATGATGATGCACTGGTGTTTTACGATCCAGGCACAGAAGACGATGGTGAGAGGAAGAGCAAAGATGTGTGTGCTTTTAATGTGTGTCATTTGGTCAGGTTGTGTTGCACCTGAGTTGATATGAAGTTGAACTGAAGCTAACACTACACCGGCATTCTCCAGTTCATCTTTATATTTCATTTATTTGTTATTATGTTCATGTTTATGCCACTGGCACATTACTCTGTACTTTATTGTTACTAGTACTAGTGTTGATTACCTCTGGCTCTTTTAAGGCCATTTCTTTAATTGTTTACGCTTATCGTTCCTCTGTTATTTAAGGTTAAGGAAAAGTTCGTTCTGCGTGTTATTTTTAATGGTTTTTCAAAATAAAACTTCGTTAAATGATTTTAAGCTGTGTATGAGTACTTTTAAAACATTTTGAACATATTTCAACAATACCGTGATAATATTGATAACTGTGATAATTTCGGTCACAATAATCGTGATGTGAAATTTTAATATCGTTTCATCCCTATGACTGACAGAGAGACGAGTCACACTTGTAGTAATAGTCACATCTTACTCTGATTTGCCCAAAATCTTCCTCACATGACGTGAAATTTGTTTGTGGTCCTTTCCTTCAACGTCAACCAAAACTTGCTCCCCATCATCTGAAAAAGAGAAGATCAGTCCAGGCATGGCGTCATAATAATCACAATATAAACAGTTAAAAGGAGGAGAAAAGGACAACTACACACCCAGGTAGAACTTCAGGAAGGGTGATGGTGTCATATTTTTGAACATCATGATCTGGACCCAAGGGTTTTTATACTGAATCTGAGGAATGTTAAAGAACACAAATTCCCTGCGGAGAAAAGACAGAAAAAAAAACATTGAATAGGAGGAAGTGGTTTCAATGTAACTGTAACTCCTGATCCTCTCTGTTCCTCTAAGTGTTATTGAAAACAGTGAAAGGAATCTCCAAGACCAAATGCATGACCAATATAACAAGTGACATTTGTATAATCGTGTAAAATCATCCCCGTAAACACCAAAGCTGCTGTCTGCTCTGACCTTGCTCCGTCGCTCAGCTCCCCGTTTGTGTTATAATTCACTGTCATGATCTTCACTCTGTTTTTAAAGACGATGTCGCCCTTCTGGAGATATTCCAGAGTCCTCCTGATCGGAAACCTTCCTTTCATAGGCATTTTCGGTTCTTTTCAGGTTAAAAACAGTCACATTTGAGAAGAATCCGCCGCTACACTGGAACCATGCAAACTCCCAGTGGCGCCTTTTGATGACGTAGCTGTCAAGCGAGCGAGAGGCACTTATCGCGTTAGTTTGAGAAAAAAAAACGGTTATGTCGGTTTACAACATTTCATATCTGTGAATTTGTTCTTCCTTTTATTAAATTGATAGAAATTCGTGGCTTGTCTTTTTAACACATTTGTGACATGGGGCTTAAAAAAAGTCCAAACTTCCGGATCTTTGTTGGATAGGCCCTCACATTGAGGGTAAAAAGTAAAAAGTACCCTCTGGATACCCCTAAAAACGTGAAATCTTGATGCACTTCCAGATAATAAAATGTTCCCCAGGCCTATTGGTTACTTTAAGTTGTTGTGGGCTTTTGTTATAATGCACAGAGTGTGAGTTAAGTTTAATATTCCTGAAGGTTTTTTAAATTGTTTTTTCTGTTATTCGTTTTAATATGATCTTGTGAAAATTACAAATCAAATCTTGCCAGAAGTCAAAGTCCCATGCCAAAGTCCCTTAAACATGAAAAGACACAGCCATATTACGTTTCACTATTAACTGTTTATTCCTTTAATGATGGATGGCTTCAGAGAAGCTAGCCACAGAGACTGGAATGCTGATACAGAAGCTCAGTTGTAATACATTTGTTTAATGTCTTTATCGGTCTGAGGTAGAAATGTAGGGTTATGACAAACGTGGGCAGAGCATGACAGTTGTTTGATGGTGTTCAATGGTGTTAGAGGGAACATCGTTCACGTGAGCAGAAAAACGAAGTACATTAGGTAAATAATTTAAACAGTCTGCTTATTCCACAATGCTGGAAATAATCCTATTTGATCTAATGTCCATTAATTTGGGAGCTGCTCATGTTGGATATTTTAGAGCCACAACATTGATTTAAAAAAACACACTTTTCATACAGCATTTGATAAAATGCACTTAAGCAACTTCTTCATGCACTTCAATGCACAAAAATGATAACAATGCTCCTTATAAGGAAAAAAAGCAACAAGTATATAAAACCTTTAGAAACAACATGCACTCATTTTTATGAAATTACACGTACAAAGGCCTTTTTTTAGACAGTGCCTTTACAAACAGTCTCAGTGGGCTTTAAACCCAAACAAAACAATTAACTTGATTTTACAAGACATAATCCTCGCTCATGTCTTAACATCCCTCAGCCTTTATGTTGCCGTAGATGCTCACTTTAAATCGCTATACACATGGGTAAGTCAATGTACATCTTAATTTGGTCTCCATGACATTCATGACAACCAAGACCAGCTTCCAGGATTGTTTTTCAAATAAGGGAAACCTGCCCAAAAGTACTTTAAGTACACTTAGTATGCAAAAAGCAAATTTGTTCACAACAAACTTATTAGAAAACACACAAACAAAAAAGGTTTAGTCAGCATGAAAATGGTGGAATGCCACATAAGCTGATTTGATGTGCACCGAGCAAATACAAATAATACAAAAAGTAGCATTGCTACACAAAAGTAACATTTTGAAAGTAAAATCTTTTAGATTATCAAAATCCTTACAGGAAATAATTGCAGTTGACAATATCACGTAGAAAACGCAGAGCAAAACATTCTTAACAAAAAAAAAAAAAAATTGGACAAAGGAAATAACATAGAGTTGATTGTCATAAGGGTAAAAGTGATGAGGTGATTGCACTGGTTATCTTAGCAATGTGCTCATGATAACTTAGATAGAAGCGTACCTAAACACCCTAAAAGTTACAAGTCTCTAGGATGTAATTCATTAAAAATATACATATTATTTTAACTGGTTTACTGGCTGATATGACTTTGTAAATATGAATTCAAAGACTAACTTAAAAACAGAATCAAATCAGATGTTTCTGGCTCTTTTGAGTTAAAAACAAGCTGGGTTGCAGCTCAATGATATGCTGATGTTGCTCGGTATGAAGATGAAAAGGGTTTCCTGTTTAAGTCTGTTCTTGTACATAACTGCAAATGTCCCTCAAAGTGAAACTTCAGTTTCTTAAAACTAAAATTGAAGTTTCATGAGCAACGTGGATGAAAAAACACCTTTTATACAAATACACCGTTTTCACAACAGGGAAACAAGCATGTAGCTTTACAGTGCACCTTCAAAGTACTGTTTTTAAATAGGTAAGCTTTTACCTATTTAGTTTGAGCATGATAAGGCATTAATAAGATTAAAATGATCTAAAAGGCTTAGTTCAGAAGGTAAGGTTTGTGTGTGATTAGCCTGGTGTGCTTTAAAGATAATAAAGGAGATGAGTTGCAGCTGCAGAGGATTCCTTTTGCTGAGTTTAGGTCAGAAACTCAAAATAACTGAACTGCCTGAGCTTCAGAAAACATTCGAAGTGTCATCCTGGTTTCCATGACCAGATTTTTTTTATCTACTGAGGATTCCTGAATGACTTTGCACCATGCATCATCAGATAACAAGGGGTCTCTACAAGGTTTTGGACCCAAGTTCAATAGTTAACCCCATGAGAGACAAATGGTGTACCCGAGGTGGAGCCTCACTAACTTTTAATTTGAAAGTTCGGAGTGCTGGAGTGTGAATGTGATTGGCTGTCATTCTGAAGGGTCAGAGTCCTGGCTGTTGTACTCGGCCGTCTCCATCTTGAGAATATAGGGAATGATGCTGTCAATGGAGACGTTACCAATCAAACCAGTGAAGAAGAGCTCCTCTGTAATGCTGGAGTTCATGAGGCGAAGTGCTGGGAGACGAGTCAGGATGCGGGTCAGCCTGGGAAAACAAACACACAATGATTCTCTCTCTAAGCATGCTAAAGTCAATCATTTAACTTTGAGATATATATTTCAAATTGAGCTGTTACATACTCTAACGCTGGAGCTGACTGGTTAAAACACAGGAGTGAGAGTACCTGTAGGTGTCTTCTGGGTAGGCTTTCTGCACGTAGTCCTGCAGCTCCATCAAAGCCTTTTCCTGGAACTTCTCAATCTGCCCGCTGCTGTCTACACCTGGATGATCTGATGAATCACACACAATCCAAAAACCCCAAAACAGGTCAATCGTCGAAACCACATTTTAACATACCCATAGTTCTTCATTGGTTATGTATAGTCCACTCATGTAGGACTTACCAGGGCTGAACAGCACGATAGCTTTCAGGTAGGCGTATTCATAGCTGTCAGTGTCCAACCTTGTCATGCTGTTGCAGAACTCCTGGAACTTCCAAATATGCTCCATCACCTGCTTCACCCTCTCCCCGGAAAGCTTGTCTACAAGAGAGACAACAGAGACCAATTTGATACATCAAGATCTATCATTTTCTTTTTTGTTGTTCACGCTATCTCTAATGAACAACAAACACACATGCTATCTCTGTTTAAAGTCACGCATCACATCATCTGGATTGCTAAGTAACAAACAAGAGTTTGGCACCTTTGCAGCTCATGTGTGTCATACTAGGATGTGGAACAATGCTGCTCACAAAAACAACTTTATATCACGGTTTATTGATATCTAGCTAATAGCTCTCAGGAGCCATCTAGTTTTTGACACATGGATGAAGAAGTAAAGAGAAAAAGTAGCTTCAGCCCTTCCTCTGTTATGTGAACAACCTTATTTGTATGTGTGTTCCCTACTGAGCCATGTTGACGAGGTCTGAGGTCCATACCATCCTGGATGCTGCTCTGTAGGTGATTGACGATGGCAGTGAGGATAGTGGACAGGTTCATCACATGAGCGCACTGAGCTAGACCCAGAGTGAACAGCTCATTCCAGCAGGCACGCACTAGACTAGTGTGTGCCTCCTGACTGGCAAGGCAGAGACAAAAAGCAGTGTGAGCACACAGGCAGACGTGCTGTATTTAAATGTGAGCTTTCAGATATGTAGCCATGTTCCCTGAGTGAATGAAATTAACCTAACAACAACAAAATCTAATCCTGCTCTCTTTTAGATTTAAATGTATTGCACACTGAGATTCTTTCAAGTAATCAGCTAATTCTATTTTCTATTTTTTGTGTATCCGCACATGGTTTCTAACTTCTTGTATCAAGCGTATCCTCACCCAAGAGCTGAGAAGGCAGGGATGGAGCGTGCCCAGTGCATGGAGAGGAAGAGAAGTCTGGATGCTGACTCACAGATGTAATGCACATTGAGATACTCAGGCATTGGGCTGGGCATGGTCAGCTAAAAAAAGAGAGGAAAAGGCAGAGAAGAAGAAAATAGGGGAAAAATAACACAGAAAATTCATAAATGACATCCAAAAGATGAAGGTATAAGAAAAAATAACATTTTTTTTTTTTATGTCAAATTGTATACATAATAAATGTGTCACTCTTTGTGACAAAATGAGACTCAAATGTAGTAAATTTTCATCAATAAAGGCTTTGAATTTTTATTGTGAGTATGTGCCTTTAATATTCATGTGCACGTTGCTATTACTGACGCTACTAGTTCTTTGACAAGAAGCACCTTAAAGCTGACATGGCTGTCAGTGAGCAGCGGTCCCTCCACCTCAATGATGGGGGTCTCCTGGTCTCGACCAATCAGCTGAATGGTTGTTCCACTGACACACTGTGACTTTTCTGCCAGTTTCTGTCCCACATCCTCGGGGCTGAAAACTTTGGCCAGGGTGTCAAAGGCACTATGAAAAACAAACACACACACATGCACACTCAAAAGTGAACTGATTTTACATATGACCATTAGAGAGAGAGAAGTGAATTTGAAACTAAAGTAAGCGTTCAGACTAAGGAAAAATTTAGTTTTTTATTCCATGTTAACTACTTTCTTTTAAAAGACTCTATGTAAGTGTGATATTATTAATATAGTGCACTCCATTTGGGGCGCCGCTGGCCTAGTGGATTGCCTCAAGCAGTTGGCCCAGGTTCACTTCCAGCCCACGGCTTCTTTTGCGCACGTCACTCCCTCCACTCTCACCCTGCTTCCTGCTCTGTCCGCTGTCCTACTGTTGTTGCTTTTCCTCTTCTTGTCCTCTGAATCAGATGCAGATCAGATCCAGCTTCTGTAGGCTTAACTTTTTCTTACCTCTAACTGTGTTTGTCAGGTCTAAGTTGAAACTCTTCTCCAGAGTCCAGCAAAGATGAATCCAGAAAGCTTTACTCTCCTTCACAGAGTCACAAAGCAGTGAGTAGCTCTGCAGAGCGACTGAATAAATGATCATTCAACATTTCTTTATATACTTTTTTAAATGAGGCGTAGTTTTTTCTACGCCCCTCTTTTGCTTATTTTTCCTTCAGTCAGCAAGTTTTTTTTTAAATAGTGTCTCCTTATCACATATTTTGGAATGGCTGATTTCTGTTGGCGTCTATTTACGTCAGACAAAACCTCCCTTCTGTAATTAATGGTGTCCAGGTGCAGGCCTGGCTCCCTTTCAAGGTCGAACATTTCCAGTAAGTCCACGTACTTTCCCATGGGACTTCAATGTTTATGTGTTCTTATTATATTTATGCGGCTATGAGTTTTAAACCACTGGTTCTGTAGTTTTGCTGACATTCCCAGAGTGTAGCAGGGCTTCTGTCATTGGATAACAATGCACAGAGAAAAACAAAAATCTATTTAATTTTAGTGAAGCCAGAAAACTTTCAAAGATTTTAAATATTTGACTAACTGGTCTTATTCCTAAAAGAGAATGATTTAAAAAAAAAAAAAAATAGATGAATAAGTAAAACCACATGGTATTGTGAATTGTCAAACACTGATAAGAATTGAAACAGAAACGATTCACATTAACTCTTATCCTCTCTGAACCCTGCTGACTGACCGTGTTATCTCGCTGGCAGACTGCTCCTCCTGTTGGCTATCAGAGGTATCACCATTGTTCAGATTCTCTTTCAGTGAGTCACTCAGGCTTGCCAAGGATGTCACCACATTGGCTAAAGTCCCCAAGTCCCCCTGTCCAGAGTCCATCTGGGAAAAAAAGAGAAAGACAAATTAAGAATTCCTACAGAATGTGTGGCTTTCAGCGTATGGAATATTTTAATCTTGTATGTTTACATAGATGTTGATGGCTGTTGGGGTGAGAGACCTCCTCAGAGACCAGGGAAATTCTGCCTGTTCAGAAATGTTATTTCAGTCTTAAGCCAAACTATTGCATCATTACCCCTCATTTTACTGTGTGTTCAGTATTTTACAGCCATCTGAAGGGCCATATATCTTTTTTATATCTTTCTTTCTTTATGTCAACATCCAGGATACAAGTGTCTAATTTGAGAAGACTTTTATTGGAAGTGTCAATATACCTTTGAGTCAGCAGCAAGCAACAGAGTTCCATCACTCTGGATGATCGGCTGCTGGATATTAACCAGCATCCCTTGGTCCAACAGGCTTGATCTGCATGACACAGAGCGTAAGAGCATCATAAAAAGAAACGTTAAAGAAAACAAATAAGAGATAGAGTACCACACAGAGCCCAAACATCAGGTTAGTCTATAAATCTAAATCTTACTGACCTGGAGCCATCAGTCTCTGTGTCTGAAATAAAGGTGGGCGTGGCTATGAGTGGACTGTTTAGATCCTTGCGGATGTAAATCTTTTGGGTGGAGGCGGCGCAGTTGGCATGTTTCTCTCTGGGCAACACATCAATGGGCTTTCTCTCACTCTGGACAGCTGAAAATAAAACGTAAGGGAGACGACTCTATAAAACTGTTGCAGGTAAATGGTTTTAAAATGTAGACACTTGAGTCTTTTCCCAAGACTTGCAGACAAACTTACACTCAGTCTTCATTCCCATCTTGAGGCATTTCCTCAGCCGGCAGAATTGGCATCGATTGCGATGGTGTTTGTTGATGACACAGTCTTGTTTACTGCGGCAGCTGTACATCAGGTTCTTCCTCACACTCCGCTTAAAGAATCCCTTACAGCCCTCACAGCTGACTGCTCCATAGTGACGACCTGAGCACGGAGAGAAATAGCCTTACTGTTTTTTATTAATATTACTTAACACCGGTCATAAAAGACAGAAATTCAAATATCATCAGGTTACAAAAACTTAAAAGTTATTCTACGACAGATACCAGTGCCAAAAAGTCTCAAACACAGGTGAAGATTCCTTTATGTACTGAGTCTATCCACACAACAAAGATAGCAGTCATATCACAACACAGCAGGATTATTATACTGCCTTTTTAAACTGCTAATAAATAATATTGTTTTTGGAGTAGCACTGATACCAGATGGGTATCTGGAAGGAAAAATGACAACAGTAAATCCCTGATAAACATAAGCTGGTACCTGAAGCCTTATCCCCACACACCACACAGTACTCCACCGGCTGTGCTCGGCCCACATCCCCTGCCTGTCCTAATAACCGCTCCATCGACACTGGATCTGTGACAATCTGAAACACCAAAGTCAGAATCAAACTTTAGGTTCACATTGATGCGGTGCCAAAAGACATTGCCCTAACTGTCCCTCAGAGAGGGTCACATAATGTGTGAACTGTACCTGTATCCTTCCTGGCATCAGGCTGTCGGCAGCAGTGAAGATGAGCTGCTTAGCATTGTGGCTGTCTGGTGAGGCCAGGATAACCTTGCCTGCTCCTGAGCTGTCGGCTGTGGTCAGAATGAACTGTTGTTTAGGAGCACTAGACGGTTTGATCGCTGTCACTATCTGGATCTTCTGACCTGTCTGCTGGTCGGTTACAATCTGGGGATGTGAGAGATGGAAGGAGGAGGAAAGGACAAGGCGAGAGGTGTAAATGAACACGCACTGACATGGCTAAAGCTTAAAAACAGAATGAAGAGACAAGTTATATGTTGTAAAGTCAATTTATTCAACTACCATTAGCAGACGATAATGTCACAGCCTCTAAAAACAGCAGACACTCAGAGTGGCTACCTGTATTCGCTGTGGTGTTGAAGTAGGCTCAGTGGAGATGACCTGAAAGCGCTGTGGTGACTCACCCATCATTGAGTCTGAAGGAGAGCATGGCCCCTATAATTACGAACACATTTCACAAGCTGAAACATGTTTAGATTATGATTAATGCATCAGTGGGAAGCAAAGAAATGTTTTCCCCACTGACACAAACAGAAACACAACAAGGTAGTATGTGCTTGACCACACAGCCAGAGAAAACTGCAGGGACAGTGTTTGTAATTTTTCATAGGGGTTTAATAGAAGGCATAAGACTGGCAGAAAGCAGAGCACTGTGGGAGTCTTTCTTTGCACACTCACTTCTGCCTCATGCTCAGGGTCCACTTTCTGCTGAGAGGGCAGATTCAGGTTGGTCGTCATGATGATGCAAGGTCATTAGTGAGGTCTGTTAAAACAGATGCCACAGAAATTTATCACACTGGGATACTAGAGGATGCAGCAAAAAAATAAAAATAAATCGAAACTGTGCGATATTTGAGTAACTCTAGATTTCTTGCCCTGTTATTAAAAGGGGGGAGTGGGGTAAGAGGAGCCATTTTTCATATTTCAGATCACTACATCAAGGCAATCATAGTTTTGTCTCTAACTAGTATATCTGCATATATTTCAGGATGTTGTGCATCCCTGCAAACCAACAGAATGAGTGTAAACAGAACTGTCTTGATGATATAGTATGCCAAAAAAAGTGGTCTCCTATGGTCAACTTACCCCGTGTATGGGGTAAGTTGACCATAGGAGTGGGGTAATTTGAGCCGTATCCCTACTACCCCCCACTCTCCACCCCAACCCTCCCTCATCTTCTCTCTCCCTAAATAACAGTCACTTCTTCACATTCATGTGTATTTTTATCTATTATACACTATTCAACTGGTACAATAATTATTTGCATATAACTGTTAAAAAGCTGTTTTTTAAAAAGCAATTTTAACATGAGAATGCCTTAAAGTGATTCAGAACATTCACAGCTGTATTTTTGAAAAGAAAAAGTAAAACATTTCAACAATCTGAACTGAAACTCTGATCCTCTCATCAGACTCCTTTACTTTCTCACTTGAATCACTGGCTTAACTTACCCCAGAACTACTATTATGGCTTTATTAGTCCTCTAAACCAAAATGGTGGACTTCTATGCTATATTTTTGACCTTTTCAATCTTTTTTGACCTGAACACAATTCTAATAAAACTAAATTCACTTTTCAAGAGTGAAAAATGTTTTTTTTTTTTAAATCTAACCCCTTCACCCATATGCTTCTAACCTTCACAGACTCCATGAATTGATGCCCATCTCCTAAATATTTGGTCACATGATCAATTTCTTTTACCATTTCCAAGCAACAGGGGGTGGCTAAACACCCTTTGGCTCAATTTAAGTCATCATAGTAGTTCTGGGGTAAAAAAAATACAGCTGTGAAATGTTCTGAATCACTTAAAGACATTCTCATATTATGACTTTATACAAAGCAGCTTTTTAACAGTTATATGTATTATATATATGTGAAGAAGTGACTGTTATTTAGGGAAAGAGAAGGTGAGGGAGGGCTGGGGTGGAGAGTGGGAGGTAGTAAGGATACTTAACTTACTTTGCTCCTTTGGTCAACTTCAACCGAGACCACTTTTTTTGGCATCCTATATTATCAAGACAGTTATGTTTAAACTCATTCTGTTGGTTTGCAGGGATGCACAACATCTTGATATGCAGATACACTAGTGAGAGACAAAACTATAATTGCCTTGATGTAGTGATCTGAAATATGAAAACTGTCTCATCTTACCCCACTCTCCCCTATGCAAAATCACTGCTGCAACAACTACCATCTTGCACTTTGTTTTTGTTTTTTTACAATTACAATGAGAATACAAGTTGACAGAGCAAGTATGAACTGATGCATGAGCCTGCAGAGACTGCACACTGACCAAAGGGAGGAGTATGCTGCTGCACATTATTTAATGATTGGTCAAACAGCATGTCTGTCATCACATCCAAAGTCTTGAATGCATCACAACACAGAACAAAATGGAGAACCTGGCAGTAGGCCAGTAACACCAGAGACAAATCCTTATGCTAAATGAATATTAAAGCGATCATAACCTACACATTACTGTATGTAGTTATTTGTATTTAGAAAGTAGGTGAAATATAAAAACGCAGCTTTTAACTGTCATAATCAATTCATCCCACTGCTGTCACCGAGATGGCAAAGGTAAAAGGGTCGAGTTCATCTGCAGCCACTTAAATGGGAGCTTTCCCATATCAGCTGTTCAAGCGAGCTGAATACAGGGAAACAGCAACAAGGACTGCTGCAAGCTTTACTCAGTTCGTTTGGTCATAATAACAAACAAGGCTGGGTTCAAACCGAGAGCAGCCGCATGTTGACACTTCATCTAACTGTCTGTCTGCACAGCCTTTCCCCTCCCCGGGTCCCTGAAAGTCGAGTCGGGCTTAGAGGGAAGCTCCGCATCGACAGGCTAACCAGCTAGCTCCGAGATTAGCAGCACTGTTTTATCGTCCGGTGTCATGAGCAGAGCTTTGAACGGTTTTCAACCCGACACTCAGACTTACCTCCGATAAACGCTGGTCACGGATTTAGAGCGCTCGGCTTTTTTATAAAATGTTTGTTTTGATTTTCTCCTGTTAAAGGTCATAGTTCGTGACCCCGCAGCACCAGCGCGTCGATGATGGTTGAGGTTTTTTTTTTTTTTTCTCTTCTTCCTCCTCTCTCTCGCGCTCTCACGTCCCCGCGCGCCTCCAATAACCCCCACCACCCCTGGCGCAAACCAGACAGCGCTGACGTCATCGTGTCTGTCTAGGGATCTGCTGCTGATGTCAAGTTATTTCTGATTTATAATCAATAAAAATCATAGAAAACATGCAATAATAGGAACGCAATCATGTGTTTTGTGTTAGATTCATGACAAATAGTTTGTTTCAGTTGAACTTAAAGGAGCTTTTGTGTTCTCAAGACTTGGTTTGATGGCAATAAATTATCTTTAAAACATTGAAAAAAAACAAAATGTATGGTTTTTGTTAATCTAAATGAAAGTGATTGTAATGTTAAATTAATAATCTGTAATGTTGACACTGAGAGAGTAACCGAGACTTAAATTTCTTGGGGTTGTCACTGATCAAATGTTAACATGGAAACAACACATTGAATATGGTTCTCAAGTCCAGTCCTCAAGGCCCACTGTCCTGCATGTTTTGGATGTTTCCCTGCTCCAACACATCTGATTCAAATGATCAGCTCGTTATCAAGCTCTGTAATGGCTTAATAACAAGCTAATAATTTGAATCAGTTAATCAGTTTTGAATCAGTTCAGTTATTTTTCATAATAGAGATTTTTTTTTTGTTTCCCTGGGAAAAAAAAACGGCAAATAAATAACAACAAATTTTATAAATAAATAACCCAGAATTTCACAATCCGTGAATCCCTAGAATAAAGGATGCTGAGGGCCCATGCCTGCCTTTGCCTAGGGCCCCCAAATTCCTAAGTCTGCCCTTGCATTGAGCTACATTCATACCACAAAACAAAACAATAACAACAAAACAAACAGAACAGTTTCAATTTGACTTATCGGTCACTGAGCTATACTGTAGTCATACCGTGAAGTAAACAAAACAAGCATAATAATAAATATAAATAAAAGACAGCATTTCAAGCTGACTTTTCTACAAGAATCATTGGTAACTTTTGTCATAATTTCTAATTGCATTTTCCTTTGACATTTCATTGGCTTGTAAAAGATTTGTGCAGGTCTTCAATTCATTACTTTGACAGTTCCATAGTTTAAATTCCACTACAGAGATAAACATCTGCTTTAGAGTTGTCCATGCAAATGGGTGTTTAAAATGAAACTTCCTCCTTTGTTCTCCGTCATCTGATCTTACGCCTTAAAACCTATACTTGTACATGGATATGCCATGATTGCTTCAGTCAGGAAAAAATGCAAACACTCAAGCACTTGTAACATCTCTAAAATTAAACAGTTGTGTGTCTTATTTACATTGGCTGTTAAAAATTAAGGAAGGAGTTTCAGCCATGTCATAAACAAAGTGAACAGAACACTGATCATGCTACATTTTGAAAGTCCATCAGTGGCACAATCAACAGATTTGTTTTCAACAGCTTAGTTGAAGGACAGCCATTTTTTGCAGTATTGATGGTAAATATCCACTATAGAATATACTTCGACTGTGAGGACAGGTGCATGTTTTTGTCAGAAAATACCACCTAAGTCAATCAATCAATCAATCAACTTTATTTCTAAAGCACGTTTAAAAGAACCACAAGGGTAGCCAAAGTGCTGTACAATGACACATAAAAACAAATAAAACAATCAAAGAACGAGATAAAGCAAGCAGAAATACATTAATGCAACAGAATAAATAAGTGTATAAATAAGGAGGCTCACAGCAAGTGCTACGATGATAAAAAACAAATTAACACTACAATGTACTAAAAGCCAATGAGTAAAAGTGCGTTTTTAAAAGGGATTTAAAAACAGGAAATGAGGAGGCCTGTCTAATTTTCAAGGGCAACTCATTCCAGAGCTTAGAGGCAGCAGCGGCAAACGTGTCTACTGGCCAAGATCAGCAGGAACTGAGGCTCACCATTTTGTCCACAGATGGCACAGAGATCAGCACAAACCAAAAAGATCAGCTTTGAGACAGCCATTTATGCTTAATTAACCTTATTAATTCATTTGCATTTGCTAGTATCTGCTACATATAAATGAATGAATGGTTACCCTTAACCACAGCTTGCCCTAAGGATCAGGGAAACCACATAATAAAATCAAATTGAAATAACTGTCTTAATAAATTCATGTTTATGTTTTTTATATTCTGTGTTATAGCACAACACACACATTTATATGGTCATCCAACTGCTTTTACAACTGAGCTAATAAGTGGTGGGTTATTTGGTCCTTTGGCTGTGTTACAGTGAGAGAAATAGGTTTGTGGAACAATGTGAACAAAGAAACTAAAGAAGCTCAATCAAATTTTATTAAAATTTATTAAAATTCTGTTAATCTAAGTCTTGTTATGTATTGTGTGTGTGTGTGTGTGTGTGTGTGTGTGTGTGTGTGTGTGTGTGTGTGTGTGTGTGTGTGTGTGTGTGTGTGTGTGTGTGTGTGAGAGAGAGAGAGAAAGAGAGAGAGAGAGAGAGAGAGAATGTAAATTAACATGGTCTTATCTGTTTGTTTTGTAGGTTGTTTTTGAAAAATAAGAAATAATGAGCTGCAAAAAGGCACGTTGACCTGCAGTTCTTGTTTATTTTTATTGTGTTCTGTTGGTTTATATCTTATGAAAGAGGGGCAGACTTTATCAGATATTTCTTCTTCCTGCTCCTTTTCATTCACGTTGAGATTTTTTGTTGTTTGTATTGAATGTTTTAAATATTAACTGAATGAAATAAAGTATGAAAATGAAATTTGGTAGAGGGAGCACTCAGCAGTCTTCATTAGATGAAAATAATGCTCAATACTAAGATGGAAAATTATGAATTAGTGTTAGTGTTTATGCCTAACAAATACCAAATAGTGATAAGGCCTTAGATCACACACAGAATGGACAACACTTAAACCATTGTTCCTCATCTGTTTCTCCCCTGTTCTGCTGCACACGGAAGAAGAAGTTCATATTTGCATGAGTCATTTGAATGAATTTACATGACCTCCTTTCACCAAGTCAAGAAACCAGAAAGGAGTTACTTTTAAACCTCAACAAAAACTCAGTACCTCTGATTGAACACTGGGGGTCGCCATATATCAGTGTGTAGGACACAGGGGCAGGGAACCAGACGCATGACTGGGATTGACACCTATTCAAATGATCATATAACAGAGTATAACCAGACATGTAGGTACTCGATCCCCCTCTCTCTACACTTGGCCTCATGACAGATAATGAGTGGCGGTTGGTTTTTATTTTTCAGTGTCATACCCCTGTTCCTGTGAATACACGCCTCGTTTTTTTTTGAGCCCATAGACTGTTATGTCGACATCTGAGTGTCTAAGATATATCCTCGTCCAAGAATTTAATCTGTTTAAAAAATGTGATGATAAATCTGAGTCTCGTAAAACCAAAAATATGATCAAGTCATGTAGCGTATTGCATGAATGCGGATATAATTTTGGATTATTCCCCTCAGTGAGATTTGTGCGTGGCAGCTGGTACATGTCCACAGGACAGTCTTACGCAGCGTGATGACCGGAAAAGAAAGTGGTTATCAGAAGCAGGGTGTATCATTTCGTCTGGGCATCAGAGCGCACACTGCTGTATGAAAGTGAAAACAAAACTCGGCTCGTTTCCCACGTGTCATAATCGACATCGAGTGGACCGCTCCAGATATCAGAAGCGAAAGAGAGAGAGAGCGAGATGAGCTCCGGGCTGCCGCTATATCGACCGCCTCATTTGCGCAGCTGCATATCCCACTTCTGGAAAAACTGACAAGGGCGCAGGATACCAGCACCGTCACCGCATCCTCACCATCACTGGCACCTTCCTCCTGCTGCAGGAGGAGGTAACTGGACCTTAGAGGGGACCAAGAGCGGAGGAATCGCAATGACGATACAGTGATTTTTTTTATGGGAGACAAGGGGAGGAGAGGATAAGGCCGGTGAGAAACGCTCGAAGAGAAGCAGCTACAGCGGTGTGACGGTGGTTGCGGGGGCTTGGTCATGGTCGGACGGGGACTTTGGCTATGTAAGCCCCGGCTTGGGAAGCGAGGGAGCAGGCTCAGTGCTTTGCCAATTTTGTGCGCCGCGGGAGCGAGCCTTGCCCTGCTGGCTCTTCTCTTCGTGGACTTCATTGAATTATGGGTCACCTCTGTGAGGATGAACAGGGTGGTGGAGCCGCATGCAGGCATCATCCCCCCGCAGAGCGTCCCCCCCACCAGGCCCGAGGAGTTCCTGCTCATGCCCAGCCCGCTCGTGTGCCAACGAGCTAAACCTTACCTCATCACCATGGTTACCTCTGCTCCTGCTAATCAGAGGGCCCGTCAGGCCATTCGTGACACTTGGGGAGGAGAGGTGGAGGTCAGGGGCCTGCGGGTCATGACCCTATTCATGGTAGGGGTGGCGTCTGACCCTGGACTGGCCAAGCTACTGATAGAGGAAGCAAGAGAAAGAGGAGATCTGATTCAAGGGCGTTTTGTAGATGCCTACTCCAACCTCACCCTGAAGACCTTGTCCATGCTGGGCTGGGCCCGTCGGTTCTGCCCACAGGCTCACTTCATGGCCAAAGTAGATGATGATGTTCTCTTCAATCCCAGTGCCCTCCTGCACTTCTTGAACAAGAGCCGCAACCCTTATGAACAGGGAGATTTGTACCTTGGGAGAGTTCATCTTCGTGTGACTCCGGACAGGGATCCGGACAGCAAGCACTACCTCCCTGCTGGGGTCTACCCCGCCTCTGTTTTTCCAGACTATTGCAGTGGCACAGCTTATGTCCTGTCCCGCTCTGCATTGCTCAAAATCTCTTTAGCAGCCTCTGCAACACCTTTATCCAACCCTCTGCCCCCTGAAGATATATTTGTGGGTCTGTGTGCCCGGGCAGCTGGTGTCCTGCCCTCACACTGCCCTCTCTTCTCCGGAGGCCCTGCTGTGCCATACGGACGCTGCTGTTATCAGGCTATGGTCTCCATCCACCACACCACACCAAAGGAGATGCTGCATTACTGGGCTGACATCCATGCATCACAGCCGTGCTCGTGGCTGACTGTGCGAGCTTCTTTGGGGATATGCAAAGTCCGAGCTATGATCGGGACAGCTCTGGGGCTGGAGCAGGGGTCGTGAGGACATGTGTACGAAGGCTAAAGGGACTAGTAGGGGCTGTGCCTCGCTTTCATACTGTGAACAGCGCAAGTGCTCTTCAGGCTGTGACTTTACACTATGTGTACAAGGGAAATGTAACCTTATTTTTATAGCTTTATTTTTCTAAAGTATCATGTATTTAAGTGGCATTTTTGCAGAAAAGGATATGATCAGCCTGTATTTCTGGACAAGTGTTCCTGTAGTTTTGAACTTAGACTGTTGAAGCAGCTTTCATTGCTCAACTCTCATAAGGTATGATAGAACAAACAACAGAGACACGCAAATAGAGGTGATGTTTAGACAGAGTCATTCTAATCCAACAGTAATGACGCCCACATTCAAATATTAATGATACCAAGCAGTTGCAACGGCTGTACACCTGCACTACTAACCCTGTGTGGCAAATCAGGTGTCACCCTTGAAACTATACATACAGTACACTTTGTTCCCCTACCGGGACCTTCTAGATGGGGAAATTCACAGAGGTTTTGCACACTGGCCTATCTCACATTGTGGGCGAGCACCACCATTGTTATTTTAATGTTACATTGTAAATGGATTGAAATTGGTTTAACTTTCCTGCTCCAAACAGACAAAAAAACAGTTGGAGTCATGAGAAGTTTATTGTAAGTTCAGCGTCTTTGCGTCCTTGAAAAGTGCTTTACAAATAAAATGTATTATTATTGTGTCAGGAGAGACCAGTAACTTGCTGAGTTATTGAGTGTTTTTGAGCAGGAAAGGAGACATGAATTCTGACTGAACAATCTGTTTTTTTTAATAAGGGTATCAAATGGTTGCAAAGATTCTGGATGCACCGTTCCTTCCTGTATTTTACAGTGGCATCATGGGCATTTCCGATACTAGCATCTGTATCACGACAACTGTGACTTCTCCTATAGCAACCCTTTTTTGTGATAAATACACATTAGATTATGCATCTCTGTATACACTCTAAATCTTACATCTAAATGCTGCTACCTTTATGTGTACAACTTGTGTAGTCTCTCACTAGGTACTTTTATGTGTAAATGTAAGTCTCATTAATTCCCTACATGCATGGTCTAGACATAATAGATATCAAACCACTGGTCTCTGATACCCTGTAGAAAGGGGGTAATAAGTATTATCTTAAGCTTCATGTTCAGAAATGTATCCTCAGTATAGGATATATCCAAGCACTGATTAAAAGTTTTGTTTTACAGTCAAAAAATGACGTGAGTATTAATGCGATTGACTGTTTGTTGGATCATTGAGACAGGAAGACAAATTCCAGTTTTGGGAACTGGAATTTCCTCCAGTTTGGGGAGGGAGACGTTTCTTCTCTTCGGAGGCTCAGTACTTCTGCAGGGTGATATGAACAAACACCAAAATGTAACTTGAACACAGAAAATAGACGGCACTGATCTCACTGTTGAAGGTTAAACATTAAGTCGAGTATGTGTGTTAAGGTGTGTCTGAATGGTGCTTTCTAAAGGGAATCTGTAAAGTATTGTGATAAGCCTCAGATCATGTTGTTACACCCACTATGTAAATAAGCTATTTACACTCAGGAAACATGTTTTGAACACTAATAAACCACAGCGGATCATTAATTAACTTTCTCTCTGCCCTTTGTTTTTTGAAGTCTGATCTGCTGTTTCAACACTCAACGTCACATTGCATTTGCCTTCTCTTTCCTGTAATAAGGGAAGTGGCACACTTCTTCAAACGTTTCATCACACAAGGAAGCAGAAAGTGTGACAAACGTTAACCCACCACTTCAGTCCTACCTAGTTTTATGTGTCAAGAGGCTGGAGACCCTCTTGTTAAATCATTGACAAATTATGACAAGTCTGTTCCAACAGTCAAGGCCACCTTGTGATAGAGAAGCTCACAGTTAGCCTGAGTTATCCAGTATATTAGATAAGTCAGTGATTAAGCTTGATTTATTCCCTCACTAAAGTGGATTGAACTCAAGCCTTAGTGAAACAGGAGTCAGCTAAAAACTAAACACAAAGGCAGAAGCTTGTGGCATATGCCCAATGCTTATAAAATTTGATAGTGATGAGCTTTAAATGCTCAATAAAAGGAGTTCCTCCAAATCAAACTACCCAGGCCTTTTTTACAAGAACCTGCTTACTAGTTAGAGGAAGAATGGAAAACGTTTAAAGCCATTTGATCAAACATTTTGATAACTCAAGCTGACCTTAAGTGAACTGAGGACACGCCCATGCTGAAACATGCAGGACTCTGCCAATGTTTCCAGACTATTTCCTGCACTCACTCAAAGGTTTAGAAGAACACCATTTAGTCACCTCTTTCATACCTTTACTTGATCGGTCAATGTGTAACAACTAGAGTTGGATCGAGGCTTTTATGATACAAAGAGTTTAAGAGTGACTTACTGTGTTAAGTGTTGACAATGTGTGAAGATGTTTACACCACATACCAAGAGGTTTGGCAACTGATTTTTTATTTCTTTACATAGTGATACAAAAAAACGATCACACACAGTCAGTTTTGCTTTTGCAGAACTATATTTCACAAGGTTAGTGGTGAGTGAAATATAGTTGCACCCACAGCAGCCATGGCACCTCACATTATCCGCTCATGCAGACAGAGAGTGCTTCAGGCTACAGGCATTGAGTAGAACTGTCCTAGCACAGCACTCAACCTCAAACACAGATGAATGCTCCCCCTTCAGAGAGAGTCCCTTTTAACAGACTACTTCCAGTATTCCTGCTGTTGTTTGGTTCGAGCCATGGCGAGCTATGTTCCAAAAAATGTTCCCTCCTAATAAAGTTCAAAGGTCGCACCCACAGAATTCCACTGGGTTTTTGGTCGCACAAAGGGTCCTCCTTTTCTACTTTTTGAATCTGTCCAAAGCAGATTTCTGGCTGGATAACACAGCCGCCTTCTTTTCTCTCGCCTCCCTCTCTTGTTGGATCTTCATTTTGTCCTCCACGGTTCTCCTGATCACAGTCTTAAGAAAGAAGAAGTCAAGACAAGTGAGCCAAACATTAAAGCAGACAAATCACAATAATCTTTATTTTTATTCTTTTACTTACCCTCTGGTCTTCGTGAGCCACTTGTTTCTTCCGTTTTTCAATATTTCCAGCGGAACTGCGACCTTTTTTCTTGTGCCTGGGAATGAATTTCTCTGTGGCAAGTGGATCAAAACCCTGAAACCATAACAAAAAGTGTCGTCAGCGGGTTGTTTGAAATATTTGAAAAAAAAAAAAAAAAATCAATCACTGCAATCAGAGGTCATCCTTTTGAAATGAACTTAAAATACTGATCTAGATCTTATAACGACATTTTGCTGATACCTCCTGGATCAACATAAATGCAAGTCCATGCTCAATGCAGCAAAACTGTCCAATTTTAGCTTGTTTTAATCATCATGCCAAGCTGGTTTGTGACGTGACCGAGGCTTACCGGGATCATATTTTCAACTAAACTGGGATGAAATAATCGGTATTGTTTGGACAGTACTGTCACCATCAAGACTTCACAGTTTTTAGACAAATATCCTGGCATTTGGAGATTCATCAAGTCAATATGAACACATGCTTTGGCTTCTTGTTGAAAATGCTATGCGTGTGTTGAGTGTATCATAGATTGGAGGTGGGGAGGGGAGATCATTGTGTATTGTGGGTTTGTCTTATGTAGTGGATTTGCTGCAGCTACTTTCCAAAATGTTGGTATTAGCCTGAACAGCTGCAGGCTGTGTTCATGACTTCTTTCCTGTTGTGACTTTCTTGTTTCTCAAGAAAGTCCTCCCTGCCCAGTGACTGGAAAAACAAACAGTTGTCAGGCGTTTGCCAGTCAAGTTGGTCATATGCTAGTAAACTTGGACTCAGAGACAGCCCAGTTTGCTCGTGTGGTCCACCTTCTGCTCTGCTGGTTTCTGCCCTTGCTTATCTTGTTGGATTCATATGGTCTTGATGTGTTTCCCCTCTCAGTCATGCAGAGTAAGCATACTTTCGGTCACAACACAACTGTGCCATCTAACTGACAGGACTCTTTCTGACACTAACCAGAGCTTGGACTCTGTCTTGGTGACGTTGCTTGAAGGAGGCTTGGTCGACCTGTCCCAACTCATGAGGGTCGAGGCTGATGAGCTCTGGTTGGATCTTCTCAAGCAGGGCTTTAACCTCCCATTCCTGCCTCTGCTTTGCACTACGGTACGGATTTGCATCCAGACCATCAAAGTTCGGCTCTCCTGCACCTGTGAGTTCAAAATTGAAGACAGGAGAGAGACAGAGAGAGTTCAGAGATAGCCGCTCCTGGAGGACTTTACTCCTCTGACTGCCCTGTACTTGTTCTCCATTATGAAGCTTTAATAATTGGTTTAATTATTATGCCACATATAGATGAGTTTATTTACTGAATAAATTGCTAAAAAAAAAATCCTGCACAATACAGAGTCTTGTTCCTCCACTACAAACGACCTGATCAAACATTGTTGCCCAATGCCTTTGTGAGCAGCTGACTATATTTTATTTGCATCAACCAAATATTTGCACCGAGACCTGTAGCTGAAACTGCTGATATCAGGGTGAATTGTCTGTGTAATCTATGATCCGGTTAAAGTTCGTCTTTATCTGTACTTATCAAAGTGCCTTTATATGTGCTGAGCGCTCACTGCAGTGAGAACAACCCTTTGTGTCCACTAAATCTACAGTAACGTCCATAAACCAGATAACCATGGGCTGTTAGGAGGACAGGTTTTTCATTAACCTGTATGGATCAGATATAAATTCAGGGTATGTCGTTGAACATGTTTAATGATCTACAAACGCACCATAGTACTTGAGTCTGACGTAAATCATGACCTGATAGCTGGAGATGGCTGACGTTTCTGCAGGGACGGTTTAAAGTCTCTGGGCTTTTTACGTTTACTTGTAGTGCTTCAGAGCTTGACAAAGACAGGAAGTGAGGAAAGATAGACTAGGGAGGAAATGAGTCATGGACCGCAAATCAATCCTACGCCCGGTGCTATGGCAACTGTAGCTTCTGTGCATGGAATGCCTGCCCCACCAACTGAGATCAAGTGGCGCCCCCAACCAGGGGTAACATTTGGGTATAAAACACAATGAAGCTTAACCTGGTACAAGCATGCTGGTGAAGCCGTCTCCATGCCCCACACCAAGGACGTCCTCGAAGGGGCAGAACTGCAGCCCCCAAACTGCTCCTTGAGCTCTGTGAGCCATGTAGGGTTTAGTCACTGGAGTGCTCCACACGTCCCTGTACACCTGCAGAGAGACGGTTTTTGAAGAAACTGTTATCAGCATATTTCTTAGTGGTATTAAAGTAATTTACACAACAGCTTATCAAAAGCAATTTCAGCAGTATAATCTCGACCTTAAAGCTTCAATGTCTCATGTGTTCTTGACTTCATACAAACAAAAATTCAAAAAAAGTTCAACAAAAATTGCTCCAAAGTTGTTGAAATAAGTTGAAAGATATTTTAAAAATATATAAAAACCTTCTATTTCCTCTTTGCTCTGACCTGTTTTCTCCTCGATTGAGATAAAGAAATGCAGACACTTTGAAGTTTTAAAGGTGGATATTGTACCTGATGTTTATTGCTCAAGTTGTTGTGGATGGCTGTGGTTCAGTTAAGTCCATCACATTGGAAAGTGCTCTTAAATTATCACTTCTCTTGTGCATGTGGATGGAGGGGAAAAATATTAGGGAGCACCTCAACTGAGAGGTTTTGTCATTCTAAAAGTTTAATGTATGTTTAACATATGACCACATTTCTCAGATACAAGTTCTACAAGTTCTCCTTACCGCTGCATTAATTATCTTTCCCGCGGCTCATGCTTCCTCATAGTTCAAGTGCTCAAGACACTATCAAGATGTTGTATCATGTAAAACATGTGGGTCTGGTTTAAAGTTAAGATACACACGACACCCAAATATGACAGGCTTGAATCAGTATTATGAGGATTTTAAGTATAACATCCTGTGTGTGGTGGATATGTTTCACCGCTTTTTCCTGTGTGATTTTTTCCGACCTTACTCGATGCTGAATATGTGTCACTTCCTGTACTCGAGAAGGACTTTTAAAGTCAAACCACTATTCATGCTGTGTAGAGGTAATAGTGACCTGAACTATGTCTCCTGTGGCGGCAGACAGCAGCCCCCTCTGGCTCAGCGACAAACAGGAAGCCCCGGCAGGAAGGAAGTAAGACTTGAGAGGCTTGAAGGCTCTAATGTCGTACACCTTCAGTTTTTTATCCATTCCAGATGTCACCATGTATCTGCCAGAAGAGGAGAGGGGGAAAAGGTTGCTCTCTGGTGGACACTGAGGGAACTGCAGGTTAATGCTCAACAAACACTTGAAAGCCATCTGTTCTGACTTTATTTTAGGAATTATGTGTAAAGTTGTAGACACATTATGCAGTATATTCTGTTGAATATTGTGTTATAACACTCCTTGAGAATGAAGTGAATTATGTACTCTGACAAACTGTTGGAAATACTGAGAACATATTATATAGATCATTATCAACAGCTTCCCTCGATGCATAAAATCTGACATCCATGTTTCTCCAAGTTTTAAAGGTGACTCACGTGCCCGACTTGTCGACAGCGACTGAGCGCACGTTGCCCTGGTGACAGAGCATCTTGACGAGAGGTTCTTTCTGATTGGGCGACCACAGACTGACCGTGCCGTTGTGGTGGCCAAGGTGGATGATGGCGTTATAGGGATTCTGGCACATCACATCAATACGGCCAGTCTTGGTGCAGATGGCCGCTACCTCCTTCCCCACGGACACATCGAGGTACTGTAGGAAACCTGTCGCACTCTGAAGAGAAGACAGACGAGTTTGAAGTTTGTCAGAGCTCAATGATTAACGGATAATACCTCCACCTAAATGAGGGAAAATAAAATGAGACTTGTGTGATCAAAGCTTCAAACAAGGGTACGAATGAACTCACTGCTGTGGCGAGCAGAAAGTGGTAAGGGAGGAACTGCATGCGGAGGACATCGTTGAATTTTCGGATGCAGTGAAGCTCTATTCCACGGGAGTCATAGATATACAGCCACTTCTTCTGAGCCACTGCATACATGCTTTCACTATGAAGCCACCTGAATGAAGAAGAGATTAGAAACATATTGTTTGAGAAGACTGTTCGCTATTATGGAAGGTACAGCATGATGGTAAAACCAAAGCAGGATGACTTTACTGACTTTACATCATTGACGGACTCCATCACATTTATCTCACACATCAGCTGTTTGGACTGCCAGTCAAGGCAAGCAATATGGCCTCGTCTTCCACCGATCAGCAGGTGACTGAAATGAAGAGGACACACTGTTTACAACTTTCACACGTTATAATGTCAAAACTCTAAAACAACTTTCTATTAAATGTCACCAAAGCCTGCAGTCCTTCTCAGATAAAGGGCTCTTATGCATCTATTTTCAAGTGCGTCACTGTTAAAAACAAAAATGTGCATCAAGTGGACCCACGCAGACTCTAAATTGATAATGTAATGATGATTTATGAGTGTCTGCTGAGTTTGTGTATCATCAGCCTCAGTCTGACCTGTCCCAGAATAAGGAGCATAAGTGTAAGTGAAACGTCCCTAATGGCTCTCCTCTGTTTCAAGTCCCTTTACAAGCGGACATCTGTGTTTGCGGTGTGAGCTATGCTTGATGTGACACAAATATATGGAGCAGTGAAAAATGAAAAAGAGCACGGGACAGGCAACGAGGTGTGCATCAAATAAAGCCTTGGTAGTGAAGACTGTGAGGATAAGAGGCTCTGTCAGGCAGTATAAGTGAAAATGTCCACCCTGGTGGAATCTAATGCAAATTTATTTTCTATTTAGTCAAAAATTTGAGAAAATGCTGGTTCACATACCAACTATCAGTGTCAAAACTATTCTTATTAAACTATCTGGGCTTTTTTAATGCTGGGCAAGCTAACTCATATCACTAGCCACGGTGGTCTTCCTGTAAATTAATAAACTATATCTGTTGTCTTTAATTATATTCAATTAAATTATCTAATATATAAAGATGGATGAGTTACATGTAAGACACTCAAAGATAAACCTATTTCAATATGGAGAGTATGATACTGACCGTCCAGTCTTGCTGTAATCCACACGGTATGGTCCAAACTGGGACAGTTTCAGGTTAAAATGCTAGAGAGGTGGTTGAAAATAAAAATACACAAATAAATAAATCAGAGCAACAACAGCAACAATCCAATTTCAAGATAATCCAAAAAACTGTCTGGCACCTCCTGCTTATGACTGACTCCCACAATTATGACAATCAAGTTTCACACAATTAGCATTTATTTAAATATAACATTTCTTAAGATAGAGAAAACTATTCTACCTGCAAACAACGAGAGAAACACAACATGGGGTGAGGAAGTGAGAACTTTTTATCCCATATTACTCCTTTATAAGTAAACTAGTTGGGAACAACTTGTGCTTTTAATGTTCCCTGGTCAGTTATTGTGAATCACACATTCCCTGAACCTTGCTATTTTTGTCTCAAAGATATACAAACCTGCAGTGTCACGCGTGCCCAGCAAAATTAAAAAAAAAAGATAACTTCATCCATCAGGAGTGGGACTGAAATCATCTTCACCATCTGAGTCAGTGTCTCACCTTTGCCCCAGATGTTATATCCACAGCATTGGCAATGTCTTCCTGTGAGATCATACACGTGTCTTCACCTTCATCACCTTCAAGAAACCTGAGGTAGGAAAGGAAAGATTAACAATCTGGCTCTCAGACTACAATCAAAGTAGGATTTGTACGGTTAGAACATCATCATCATCATCATCGCTGATTCACACAGTAGCACGTAGTTTTTGAAGGACATTACCCAGCATCCTCTGGGAGGAGGAGATCAAAGCGGGCAGCTTGTTCCTGGGACATCTCTGAAGCCTTATCTGATTGTCTGATTATGTCTCTCAGTTTGGGATGAGGTCTTGGCTAAGAGGGAATGATTGAAAGATGAAATGTTAGCTAGCTGCAAAGTGTAGTCTCTTCAAATTTGACGGAAATGATAAAAAGAAGACACTTGGTTGCTTACCATTTTATTTTTGTTTTTCCTCTTGAACTTCTGAATTCGGTCCTCTGGAACAGGAGCAGGCCCAGGAAAAGGGTCTGATTTCTGACAGAGTGAGAATATCAATCATAAATACACTTTTTTTTTTACATTGTTGGGCACTATATCATGGGTAAAATTCAGAAATAGACTAATTAAACGGCTGGATGAGTAATCAGGCTGATTAACTAAATTTTTAATAATTGGCATTTGTGGATGCCTCACAAAACTGATATCATCTTTTTAAATCTATTTCCCTCTCCCTTCATGACAGCATATCAAATCTACGTTAACTGGTTACTTTTTAGATATCAAGTTTGTTTTTATGTGTAGAATATTGCAGATAAATGTTACTTATACCGTAAAAATATCAGTCATGCTCTTAAATCTATTACACAACCCGAGGTATTTCTCTTTTTCCTGAATGAATTACAAATCCATCTAAGATATGTTACTGGAAAATATAACTGTGTTTTGTAACTGCAGCGTGCAAGAAAAACAAACGACTTTGAGGTCTTTTACTTACTCAAATATTCACCCACTTTTTATTCTTTATTAAACGTTACAGGAAGCTGGACAGGAATTCCACATACTTTTCTATTTATTACTGAAATGTGCATTTTAGTTCAGCAACTTTGTTTCCATTTAATTCAGTTATTTAGTCGTTAAATTTGATCAACAGAATAATAGTAACATGCATCAGCCACAAGCCAGCTGGCATCAAAATCATCAGTATTGATCATGACAAAAAACACGTGTTGACCACTTGCTGTGACGCAATCTGTCACACAATTTGATGTTTTGCACAATAGGGTTGTATTTTAGAAGATAACTGTGCACTAATATGAATTAGAATAAATGCATAATTTGGTCTTGAAACACTATCTTATAGGTGGTGATAGCTAATTATTTTCATGTACATCTCACCTTGAATATTCACAGAGACTTAGTAGTGGGAGTTAGGGTAATATCTTTAAATATTTGGTTATTGCAGAATGATACAAATAAGTAAAAGTCTCTGCGATGTCACACTTTGCTGAAAATGAGCACTTGTGGGTCAGTAAAGAGTCTTACCCCTGATATAAATTTCTTCCCAGCCATGTCATTTTCTTCTTGTTTTCTTTTCTTTGCTTCTTGAGTCTTTTTCTGATCCACTTTCTCTGTAGTTTCTGTCTGATCTCCATCTTCTACATCCTTGTTTTCATCTTTGCTTTCTCCCTGCGGGTTTTCCCAATAACGAGCAGCACTCTGAAAGACAGAAACACAAACACAAATGAATATTACATAAATAAATCAACGAAAAGACAGACTCTTATGGATTTTTCTTAATCTCGCCTCGTACAGACGGTACTGTCGTTAGCAGCAAGATGCTAGTCCACCTTTGCTAATACTAAATTGTGTGATTTAACCTCAATAAACAACGCGCAAATATTAATCAAGTAGTGAAACCAAACGTTTTACAAAAGGATGCCCTCTTGCAACTGTTTAACGTGTTTACCTTCTTCTTTTTCCCCACGTGTGAAGCATTCACCGTTGCCTCGCCGGCGGACGCCATCTTGGTTGTGTACGTTTTTCACCTCCTGTGACGTAGTTCTGAAACGGTACTTTTCTTTTCTTAAAAATAAAATCTTTACTTTTGTTTTTTGTTTTCTACCAGTTTTATAATAATAATAATAATAATAATAATAATAATAATAATAATAATAATAATAAAAGGTTTTTGTCAATTATGCACCTCTACAACATTGAAAGCGTGGGACTAGGCTGACGTATTTCTTTCTTTTAAAGTTGGAGTGAGTTGCAAACCTTAAGTATCCGAATCATACAGAAGAAAAATAAACTCAGTGTGACTTGTTGAGAGCTTCACATGATTTTCCTAATCTTTTTAGTCCTATGTATATGTTGTGAACAAGCACAGGGTTCAGCCAAAGACTGCTTTGTCATCTTCCAAGCTCAGTTTGAGCTGCTCAGTCTACAATCACATCCCACAGACACACAAGTGTGCTCAGTGCGCTACAATGAGAAGGAAAGAAAGAAAGAAAGAAAGAAAGACAGAAAGATTTTCTATACCTCATGTGAATTCATGTGAGTTTGTGAAATTACTTAAAACTCATTGATTTCTAATCCCTGTCACAAAAAGTCATATGGGAAACTTGCTCTCTTTTTGCAAGGGTTTTTTTCATTTAATCACTTAAGCTGAAAGAATGTTTAAGATGAATGTTATGGCAGAGATTAAAGGAAAAGTGCTTTCTATAGAGGTTTGGAGCTGCATGAAATTCACGTGCCCCTTTTTAATTATTGTCTTGTGAACAAAATATGCACAAGGAGCTTGTGTATGTTCCTTTTTTTTTTTTTATTGTCATTTAAGCTGCCAGTAAAAATCTTTAGATGTTTACACTCTTCTCCATGTTTAGTCCAGAACTGACTTGGGACCATACTCTCTCAAAATTTTCCTTTTACTGGTTACTAACTTGCGATCCAGTTTTTGACTCCGATTTGAGTCTTAGACTTTATGGTGGATTTTGTAACTGGGAAGAAAGTTTGACCAGAACTCGACAGCTTCACAAATGCTTTGCCACTTAGTCATGGGTGGCTCGACAGTGAACTCTTTGTCGTACTTCTTCAAGTGTCCTGAAAATGAACTGGAGGGATCACTGGAGTTTTTGTGCTCGGCGCTGGCTGTGTAATATTGCTGCTAACCGTGGCAAGTAGGCCAGTCATCTGTCATTCCTGACACTCTCTGGCCTCTGCCAGGTGCTTTCCCCTCTCCACATTGAAGCATACTAAGAAGGAACTACACCACCACAGCTAAAAAAGGAATCCAACAAAAACTTGGACAACGTACAGGTTCCACCATGGTGTTCATCTAGGTGACATGTTTGTAGATTCCCTGTTGATGGGTGGCAGCTAGGGTTTCTGAAGGATCTCTTGCAGAAGAGTTATGTTTGTCAAACTTCTGAACTTTCTTCAGAATATCACACTCCAAGATTTTTAAATCAAATTGTCATTACAAGGAGGATACCAAAATGGATAATGACTTGAGGGCATGTTTAATTCTCTTTCACTTTCTTCTCCTGTTGCTGGAAATAAATTGGATATGTCATACCTGCAACACGAAGAAATTTGAAAGCACTAAGTCTGCAGTAAGCCACAGTAGTCTCATTTTTCTTACATTTCCAAACTGCTGCAGCTTGCATTGCAAAAAAAAAAAAAAATTATCGCACATGCCTGCCCAGTTAAGATAAAAGATGTGTCTTATGTAGCTTGGATCTTCATGTCCATAATGTAAACACACTTACTGAGAGGACTGATCTGAATTGAAACCCTTCTCTGACTCATAAGAAGCACACACCTCGATGTCTTTGACAGTCAGTAGTAAGTCTGCATACTCATCTATGAAACTCTCTAGCAGAACATTCCTCACAAGCCGTCCTAACTTCGTGTTTCCTGTTGTGCTTTCAACACTACATATGTTCCCTAACTTTTTTGGCATGTACACACGCATTCTTCTCTTAAAACGAAACAAGCTTGCAACACACTCACTGCTGGTTTCTTTTTCTTTTGGTAAGTGCTTGCATGATTCCTCCCAAAACCCACTCCACACACACACACTTCCCTCCCTGAATCTGTGTGAAAATCCTTTTTTTTGAAAATGGGCCAAGAATTTTAATCTCCATTTTTTTTAAAGAGAAGTTCACTCTGGGACTTTATACCCATTGTCCTTTAGTTTTCCAAGAATAAAGGCAAAGATCTAAAAAGATTTTAATCTCTGTTGACAGATCTGTTGCACATCTAAGAAGAAAGAGTGAACAGCAGACAGTTTTGGTGAAAAAACAAGCAAACATACAGTTCCTGGGTTGCGTTATGTTAACAAAAGACAGACCATTTTCCCTCTGAAGTAGTTTATACTAACGGATTCGGGTGTCTAAGTTGATATAGACTTGGTGATCTTTTCTTGTTCATGTTAAAGTTTTTGGAAACAAGCCCCAGCCTGTCAGCGGGAACTTACCCACCAGTGAGGGAAGTAGACATTGGATAAAACCCAAGAGGGGAGGGGAGGAGCTTTCATACCACATGTGTTTTTGGCCGACAGCAATATGGGGAAGAGGAAGGACAAGAGAGAGGATCGTAACTTCACAGGGAAAACTGCAAAGAAAGAAGACAAGAGTTTCTGTGGAAATACAGCAAGAGAAGAATAAGGAGTGAGAAGTCTGTGGATCTACATAAGGTTAGTCTACAAATCAATCTCCTATTTTTCATTTGAAAGCTGCAGTGTGGAGGGAAATATAGAGACTATTTACACACAGAGAAATGAGCAACAGGTGATACAAGCAAGATACAGGTGAAACCGATGACTTATCAAAAAAGGAAGGAAAACCAAGGAATGTAAGTGTAAAAGTTCTTTATTTATACAGCCCTTTACAAGAACCCTTTCAGTGAACCAAAGTGCTTTACAATACAAAAATGAATGAACAAAAACAATAAAAAGCAGTAAAAACTATAAAAGCAATAAATGCAAATAAAACAAGAACAAGGTACGATGCAGTAAAATAAAGTAAAAGTGTCACCATGCTACTGGGTATCAGAAGCCAGCATAAATAAATACGTTTTCAGTTGAGATTTGATAAGATCCAGGTCAGAAATAAGTTGCTTTTCAGTAGGGAGCTTATTCCAGAGCCTGGGACCAAAAATAGATGGGGCCGAGGTCATTGAGAGCTTTAAAAACAAACATTAAAAGTTTAAAATCAATCCTGTGAGAGACAGAAAGCCAATGAAGGGAGCTAAGGACAGGAACTGATGTGTTCACATCTGTTAGTGTTGGTTAAAAGACGGGCAGCAGCATTTTGCAGAAGTATAAGGCAACAAAGCGATGATTGGGAGATGCCAACATAAAGTGCATTACAATAGTCTAATCTTGAACTGATTAGAGCATGGATCATCAAAGTCACTGCTTAACATCAACAATAACACATTTTGCATACTCCCATTGTTTGGCTTCACTGGCAGATATATTTGCAAATCATCTGCATAACTATGAAAAGAAAGATTGTTCCAAGCTATAATTGACCCAAGATACACAAGATTGACTCCGTATACAATGAAAAGAGAATAGGGCCAAGAATAGAGTCAGGTAGTAAGACTAGACTGCACACCGGGACAAACTAATACAAAATAAAACAGGAAACATTGAGAACTGAATGGGAATACAAAAACCAATCACGACTATGATATTTTCTTTGACAGATGGAGACAGAACGACCAACAATGTTTGACTTCCAAGGAGTCCAAATGACCCACTTTTTCACAGACAACTGGGAGAATGTCCAAAACTTTCAAGCCAGGCCAGATGATGTACTTATTGCAACTTACCCCAAGGCTGGTAAGTGCGCCAAAAATAAAATGCAAATGATTATTATTATTTTTTATGAACAACAATGAAGGCATAGAGCTCCAAGAGGAACTTTCGTATTTTTCAACCTGTGCTCTGTTTTCACTTGTGTTTGTGTTTGCTTGACCTGTGCCAGTCTCTGATTCCCCTGGTGTCACTCACTCATGTGTCCCATGTTGACCTCCTGCAACAAGTGAGATCTTTGCGGGGCAGCAGAACGACAATTCTCTACCACTAGCGCTAACAATCTGAGCCTGTCACTGGTGACATAGAAAACTTGAAGTGGATGCAGTTTGAGGATACACAATTGTCTGGTCAGGCTAACTTTTAGCTTATTTTTGTAACTACCGGCTGCTCAACTCTCCCTCAATACTGGAGGAGAGAAATGAATCTCCCCATTGGTCAGGCACACACAAACACACGGGAAAATAGGGTCAAGGTTGAAAAATGCCAAACTTCTCCTTTAGTGTTGAGATTCCTTTTCTTCGTGTTTCCTCCAGGAACCACTTGGGTCTCCTACCTCCTTGACCTGCTGTATTTTCGTCAGACAGCTCAAGAGCGCCAGGCATCTGTCCCTATCTACGACAGAGTGCCTTTTTTGGAGATAATCCACCCATGTTTGGAGTCAGGTATATTCATAACTAAACATGCTATTTTCTCTAACTTCATGCAGTCAACTTTATCACCTCATAAGCTAGTTTACATCCTTTTTTTTATCACACTGCAGGAGTCAAGAGACTTTTTAAGCCTCTTAAAAGATTAAGGGAGGATTTTAATTGTCCATTTTTTTCTTTTGATACAGGAAAAGATCTAGCAGACAAGCTCCCAACCTCTCCTAGGCTCATTAAAACTCATTTTCCAGTCCAGTTTGTGCCAAAGTCCTTCTGGGAGCAGAACAGTCGGGTCAGTAAAAGCATTTTCAGTCACAATAATAAAACTGTGATTCAAAAAAGAATTATTGGTGTCAGATTTTAGTTGTATCCAACTTGAAATATGCAGATACTGCATGTCTCTGGCTAGTTTGTCCTCCAAGCACCCTGCTTTGTATTTCCTGTTCTTGTTTCACTTCCTGCCCTCTCCCGTTATCTTACCTCACAGTGGCCACCCCACTGTGTCTCACTGTCTCTGCTTTATCTCAGTGTTAGCTCCTTCTTTGCTACTTTATCTCATGCCCATCTGTCAGCGGTTTAACATTCATTCCTTGTGTTTTACTCTTGAGTGTGAGCGCTGTTGTGGTCATTGTCTCTGCCTTAATTGTAGGATCTCTTGTGATCAAAATTACTTTGAATCATGTTTGAGTTTTGCTTTTGGTGGGGTCCATCCAGGCAGCATGTCTCTGGGTGGGTTATGAACAAACACAAAAACACTTAAGCGTATAATCTAAACTTTTTCTCCTCCTGCAGCTGGTCTATGTGGCTCGCAATGCGAAAGACAACATGGTGTCTTATTTTCACTTTGACCGCATGAACAAAGTTCAGCCATGGCCTGGAGACTGGAACAACTATTTCCAGAGATTCTTGGATGGGAAAAGTGAGAATGATTGAAATAAGAATTTTAAGAAAACGGGTGTTAAATATGTTGCACAGACCGTCACTTTGTTTTGTCTTAAAGTTTGCTTCTGTTGTCTCAGTGGTGTTTGGATCCTGGTATGACCATGTGAGCGGCTGGTGGGAGAAGAAGAAGACTTGTCCAAATATTCATTACATGTTTTATGAAGACCTTATCGAGGTACCTCAGTTTCATTTTGCCCATTTTTTTATTCTCCAAACAAAACAATGATGAGTTATGATTTTTTAATTTACAGGATACTGGACGGGAAATAGACAAACTCTGCAGCTTTCTTGGATTGTCTCCTTCAGCTGAGGAGAAGGAAAAACTTGCAAGTGGAGTTCAGTTTGATAACATGAAAAAGGACAGCATGGCCAACTACTCTACCAACCCTGTTATGGATTTCAAAATCTCTCCTTTCATGAGAAAAGGTAACTTGATAAATAAATAAATAAATAAATACCTGAATGTGAAAGACTCAGCAAAAAATCCCCAACATCTCACCAATTCTCTCTGTTTCTGCAGGAAAGGTTGGTGACTGGAAAGACCATTTCACTGTGGCTCAGAATGAACAGTTCGATGAAGACTACAAGAAAAAGATGAAGGACCCCACACTTAAGTTTCGCACTGAAATCTGAACAAGACTAAACTGAGTGTGTACATGTAAAGAAATACCTGTGGTGAGATGAGTATGTTGCAATTCCGTTAAAGGTCATGGCTGCCTCTTTTTTTAATTTTTTGTGATTTTTTTTTTTAAATTCTTATTAATCGATTGACTCAAATTAAACAATATTCAATAACTATTTTACATAACATGGACATAAAAAGTAAAAAAAAAAACATATTAAAAAGAAAAATGTTAGGGTCAGCAGCATCTGGTAAAAACAAGCACATATTTGCAGAGCATAAAGGAATGCAAGGCCCAGCCTCAGCAATTCCCTCAACTCCCCTCAGGATGTAAACCACACCCTCAATTTTATGGTTGTGTCCATCTTAAGCGTACTTTACACAAAATCTCTGACCTGCAATATTGCTTAGAGCTGCCAAAACATCAACTGAAACACAAACAGGAAAGAAAGAAAACAAGCACTGCCCCCACCCACCCAAGCACCCATCCAAAACCCAGATATTGTACACCGTAGTAAAGAGAAGATCTGCATCAACCACACAATCATATGCACAGGGAACAAAAAGTGATGAGTAAAAAGTGCTTTTCGTCGATTATGTTAGTCAAATTTTTAACTTCTTTTAGCCCTTCTACATACTATAGAGCTCTTACTAAGTTTTCATTTTGTCTTCATGCCTTAATACGTCAGGTTTTATTCTTTTATCATTTTTAGCTCCAGTGTTTACCTAAGGTAGCTCTGTGTACAATTGTGTGTGTGGGAGTGAGGTTGAGTGTGTGTCTTTGTGTATGTGTGGGTTTATGGGTGAAAGTGTGGGTGGGAGGGTTGGGTGTTAGTGTTGTTTTTAGCCTCTGTGAGGCACTTTGAATTACAAGCATGTACGAAAAGTGCCATATAAATAAAGTTGAATTGAAATCTTTGTGTGTTTATGCTTACATTTTTTACACTGATACTCAAAAAGGTTCAAATAGAGGAAAAATGAGGCATTCATCCCTGGTACTGTAAGATAAGATAAGATGTTCCTTTAATAGTCTCACAGGGGGAAATTCCAAACCTTTCCAAACAAATCCTATACCTTTTAAAATGATCAGAAGAGAGTTTAAAACATTGACTGTATGTAATCAGTGTCTTTGGAGAGAAGGAGAAAGTCATCGAGGGACCTCTGGTGCAACGTCAACAAAGGAATCTGCAGGATATGAGTTCCAAATCACCACAAGCTGTTTGTTAATGTGCCTTAAAAAGTCAGACAGCATTCAGAGAAACAAGCTTTGTCATAAATTTGACTACAAAATATGTGTGCAGTGATCTGATTTTCAGTGGTCTGCTCTGTGACCGCAGTCCCAGTTAAAGAAACAATAACCCTATGGTCATTTGCATGCGCTTATATACATGTGCATCTAACCAGGAGATTTGAGAGATAAAACTCTGCAGACCAACACCAGCAGATGACACAGCAACCCAAAACCATCACAGACTGTGGAAACTTCATGCAGAACTTCAAGCACCTTAATTCTGTGTCTCTCTGATCTTCCTCCACACTCTAGATCCTAACCCTAACCCCAAACCCAAACCCTAACCTAACCTTAACTCTAAACCCTCTAACCTCTAACCTCTAACCCTAACCCTAAATCATCCCAGATTTGTATATATTACAGTTCAAACTGAAGCTCCAGCTCAGGCTCCTGCAAGCTGTCGGCTCATTGATATTTTTTCTGACTTACAAAAAAATAAATAAATAAATAAATAAATAAACAACTAAAAGAATTCATCAAGAAAAAGAAACCAATTTAATAATTACTAGGACAAACCAGGACAGTACGTAATCGACGAATTAAACCCGTGGTGTCCTGTATTCATGCTCTCTATCTGTTCCTACATTACAGCTGAAAAACTCTTGAATTTTTCTTAATGTCACATCCAGTCCAAGGTAAAGATCAAACTGGGTTAAAGAACAATTTGAGGATTAATTTTTGTGTAGCTCTGACATCCTTGGGAGTAGTGGTTTGAATGTTTGACCAGTCAAACTCCAACTTGATCAAACCTTAAAGACCATCAGCATTTAAATGCTCACAGTCATTTCAGGAGGTTGTCCTGGGTGCTACAGTGAGAGCAGCACATTCCACTGAGTTATTTCTTGAGGAGACTCCGCTGCTGTGTCAGGAAATATCTTTGCATCAGGGTGCGTGAACTTACTTGTTAAAAATTTGGTTTAAAACTAAAAATATGTTTGTGACAAACAATAAATCAGGTGTGTTTAAATTAAAATAAAGTCAGGTGTTTTCACAGCAGCACTTTTGAAAAAATATGATAGATTTAGACATTTTTTTCCTTTTTCTTTTTCACTTTTTAAACATAATGTCTTAAATTTTAACCAGACTCAATTATAACCAGGCATTCAAGATGAATACGTTGCAAAATATGCCACAAAATTTAAAAAAATATATGTATTGAACAGGTAAATGCAGCAGCACTGTTAAAGGCAAATTTAATAAAATGGCATTGGATGCTTTACACAACCGTGTCTTAAAAAATGGCAAATGTTTTTTAAAAATTTTATTTTATTATTTTTTTTTTATGTTTTTGAAATCTTTCATAATTTTAATCTTGTAATATTTTAAATTTCTATGATATTCCTGCTGTTTAATAACAATTTATAATTATGTTTACTTAAGTCTTGTGCTTTGGTATCTTACTTTAAATACAGCGTTTCTCGAGTATTGAGATTTATCAATTTTTTTAACATCAGAGATTTTCATTTCCCTAAAAATATTTGACTAAAACTCCACATTCATGTGATTTCCATTTTTTCTGTAGATGGATTCAGTTGGTCGTCCAGAGTTATTTGATTTCCATAAAGTTCCAATGACCCACCAATACACTGAAAACTGGGAGAACTTGCAAAACTTCCGGGCCAGGCCTGATGATATATTGATTGCAACGTACCCCAAAGCAGGTCTGTAGTACACCCTTGAAAAGAAAATGCTGTGTGTCTTTAATAGGATCATATTTACAAAAGTTTCCCTCCTTCTTCTCTCTGTTAGGAAACACCTGGCTCTCTTACACCCTTGACCTGCTGTATTTTGGTCAGACATCTCACTCTCATGAGCGTGAAGACAAAATCTTCCTGAGAGTGCCCATGTTGGAGTCCACGTTTCATTATTTGGAGCCAGGTTGAACAACCTCAAAATTAGCATTTTTCAGGATTTTCTAGTTTTTAGAGAAAAGTGAGGTTTTGATGCTGTGTTGTAATCGGCTTTGATAATGTACAGGACCAGACCCATCATCGGATCCAATTCCTATCTGCCTTAAAGGAACAGACCTGGTGAACAACCTCTCCACCTCTCCTCGACTGATCAAGACTCATCTTCCAGTCCAGTTTATACCAAAGTCCTTTTGGGAGCAGAACTGCAGGGTATGTCAAATATTATATTACATTTTTGTTTAAAAATGTTCCAAGATTGATATGTTCATGCCCAGACCCCTCATAAGCTCAGGGAATTTAAATTTAGATAAGTTGATGTAGGGCTGAGCTAGAACAGGCAGGACACTATGTCAAAATCGCACTCCCATGACTGCGCTCTTTGAAGAAAACTCAGAGTTTTTAGCTGGATCAAGACCATCATCTCAAGAAAAATCTGAACGTAACTCGTACAGATATGTACGCCAGGCTTGGAATTACAGGGTTTGGGTCAATTTGGGACATTTATGACTGAGAAAAAAATGATTCCATGTTTCATAGTGAGACATCTGCCACACCACAGGGGCTGTCACCAGAACCACAGTCAACTGGATTAGTTTGTTCCAGTATGAACTCTGGAAATCAAATAGAGGGGTTAATTTTCATGCTTAACTCTAAATTGCAAACATCTCGTTGAGTTGAGGGTTTGGGTATAGGAGGATTTTTTAATTTGCTAAATTTACATGAAGCTCATAAATATAGGGGAAGCTAGTTTTTGGCTAAGTTTTGGGGCACGTTTAGGCCTCCAAAAAGCTTTTATTTGTTGTAAAAAAAACATAAAAAACAAACAAAAAAAAACTTTTTAAAACCTAGTTTAATTTTAACAAAGACATTCATATCATCTCACTGGATTAATGTTATATCAAACTGTGCAGAAATGATTGACAGAAATGAACAGGACATTAAAGTATTTTCAGTTTTACTAAGACTGGCTTAACTATTGACTGAGTTTATCCATTCAATTAAGCTCACAGCACTCCTCCCAGCATTCAACAGTTATTGAAATTTTTAATCTCTATACCCTGGAGACTCAGTCTGACAATCCATGGATTAATAAGACTGTCATCTGATGTAGATATACACTCCTGATGCCACAGCGTGACTCTGCAGGTCTGTGTCTGCTGTTGTGAGAGGAGAGGAGGTAGAAAGAGGGACAGTAAAGGAGTGTTCCAGATCCAGTTGTGGAGAGATGCTCTCTTGTTAGCGTCTGATGTGTCTTTCTTATTTAACCAATCTATCTACAATAAATATTTAATGATATTGTTTTCAGCTTACTCCTTTTTTTTCTCTTAAATAGATCTTTTACGTCGGCCGCAATGCAAAAGACATAGTGACATCTTACTTCAACTTTGAACGCATGTCCGTACTGAACCCAGATCCTGGAGACTGGAGCAGCTACTTCCAGAGGTTCATGGATGGAAAGGGTATGTGCTCTTGGTGTATGAAAATGATTTCAGTGGGACAGAGATAAACTGAGTTAGACTGAACATCACTCAGGCTGTGTTTTGCTCTGTTATCTAAGTGTTGTTTGGATCCTGGTACGATCATGTGAACGGCTGGTGGAAGAAGAAGCAGACGTATTCCTGCATCCACTACATGTTCTATGAAGACCTGATTGAGGTGCATTAAATGTTCTAGTCAATTTTATTTATACATAGAATTCATTCAATATTTTATATTTTTCATGCTTTTTACATGATTACATGTCACCAGGATACTGCACGGGAACTGGACAAGATCTGCAGCTTTCTGGGTTTGTCTCCTACAGTTGAAGAAAAGGAAAGCATCGTAAGCGAAGTGCAGTTCGATGCCATGAAAAAAAACAAAGTGGTCAACCATGATGAATTACGCACAATGAAAGTAAACATTTCACCCTTCATGAGAAAAGGTGCAGTAAGTCATGAAATTAAAAAACACGCAACATGAAGCAAATCAGTTCTTTTGTTAATATCTTGCTCTGGTTATGCAGGAAAGGTTGGTGACTGGAAAAACCATTTCACCGTGGCCCAGAATGAAGAGTTTGATAAACACTACGAGAAAAAGATGAAGGACCCCATTCTCAAGTTTCGCAATGAAATCTGAACTGGACTGGCCAGAGTGTGTCTATGAGAGACTGGTTCAAGATTAACCACACATTAAATTTTTTTTGTGTGACAAATGAAGAAGAAACATCCACAGATTCAGGATCAGTTTTTAATTTTGGTTTTGTTACAGCTTTACTCCACCAGGGTTTTTCTCTGCAGCTAGACAGATCTTTGACCAACTAATAAACAGGTTACAGCGTCTGTTAAACAACATCCACATTTTCATTGGGAACTTTTAGTAATCATTGACAACTTTGAACCAGAAATTCATCCAGCCTGTCAAGGGGTTGAGTTAAACTTTATAACTTCCAATTTATTTGAAGTTACAGACACTGCTAAAACATTTTATATCCACTAAAATGAATGTTTGAAAAGTTGTTCACAGGTTAACCATGATGCAATGAAATGAATCTTTATCTTATTTAATACAAACATTATGAAACATACACAAAAATGCACTTCAGATACTTTACAATTGTAGAAAATATCACTTTGAATTGTGATGATTGCTGTAAAAAATACATGCAAACTCATTTTTCCTGTCACTAAGGTTGCATATTTATTAACTGGACATTGACAACGGATGAGTAATCTAAATGGTGATTTTAGACATACTTTTAATATTGCACATAAGGTATTTACAGTTGCTTCTCAGTAAGCTTGATTGCAGTGTTTTGTAAAAAGAAAGAATTGTGGTTCCTTAGGATTCACAAAATTCAACAATCTTTTGCAGGTATGTAATACACGATCATTTGTCAAACATGCTTCATTGTTCATATTAAAGACATTGGAATAAACTTTGATTTAGTTTCAAGACAATTTAACATGTTGGAGTTGATACTTATATTATAAATGTAATAAGTGACACCATATCCGTCCAGCCATTATTGGCACAGTTTATGTTGTTAAAGGTTTTATAGAGGGACAAGAGTCAATCCCCGCTGAAATTTGATAGAAGATGGGTTCAAAGGTTCAAAGGTTTCATTATTTATACCTTGCGGTAAATTTTGTTTGCAGGCAGGAACCCAGACGTCCAGATAAGACACACATAAAAACAACAATACAACAATCAAGTACAAAAAAATGCCAGTCGTTAAGAGCCATGAAATCACATAAAATCTCTCCAGATCCGAAGGTTCGATAAGACTCCCTCATCTCTTAGCCCTGCCATTGAGCTTTGCAATAGCTGCTGGAACAAAGGTGGTTCTGTAACGCTTGGTCCTGGCCTTGGGGACCAAGAAGCGATGGCCGGAGGGAAGGAGCTGGAACTCGCTATGCAAAGGGTGCGAGCTGTCCAAAGCAATAGCGCTGGCTTTACGCTGCAGCTGGGCCTCATAGAGAGCTGTCATGGGGAGTTGAGGCTCCCCAATTAGCCTTCCAGCCCATTTAACAATCTGGCCCAGAGCGTTTCTGTCCTGGAGAGTCAAGTTGGCAAACCAGGACACCAGTGCAAAAGATAAAACAGACTCTATAAAAGCATGGTCTTATCAACATTAAAACGGGCCAGTCGCCGGAGATAAAACAAACGCTGATGTCCCTTCTTACACACAGCTTCACTGTTTTGTTAACTCATGTTCACTGACTGGTCATTTTGAAGTCACCAGTCAACCCATTAGGCATGTCTGTGAACTGTGCCAGACAGAGCCAAGGTACTATGACAGGAGAACTTAATCCACAGAGTAGTGTTGTGTCGTTCGTGAACAATTCATTCAAAAGAAACAAATCTTTTACGTGGATGTACTGAACCGAATCACTTCCTCAAGTGATCTGTTCGTTTCTCACTTCAGTTGAGCTGTCAGCAGGGCAGATGCTATAACACGCAGCATTGCCAGGCGAGCAGCTGGCGAACGAGGGATCGCATGCAGCGACGCCTGAATCACAGTAAACAAGTCACGCATTGAACTACACTCTCTGGAATAATTTTTGTAGGACAAAACTAACTTTTTTTTATTTTTTACTGCTAAATTTCCACCACAACAACTTGCATACAATAGGTTTGGGAGGGAACGGTGCATGTTCAGTGTGAATTCTTCTAAACATTCAGTGAACCAATCACTCACTGAGCCCAATAAACTGAGCAGACCTGATAAATAGCATACCGTACACTTAAAACATCATCACTTATAAACAAGTTCATTTTTACAAACCTGTTTGTCAAAGCAACACAGCCAAACACTCTTGTCTCCCGGTCCGAGAAGCTATGAATTGAACTGAATCCTGAACCATTCAGCTGTGTATCAGTTCAGGAGGTCAGAGTCACAGGCTCCTCCCGCCAAGCACTGAATTATTCGATGAACGACTCTTTTGAACGAACCTTTTTAGTGAACTGATACTAGTGACCTAGTACATCTAAAACAGTGGTTCTCAAGTCCAGTCCTCGAGCCCCCCCGTCCTGCATGTTTTGGATGTTTCCCTGCTCCAACACACCTGATTCAAATGATCAGCTCGTTACTAAGCCATTTCAGAGCTTGATAACGAGCTGATCATTTGAATCAGGTGTGCTGATCTAAAAGAACTGCCGTGCCCATCACTACCACAGAGAAAAGCCCCTGTATGACACCATGAAGCTAATTTACATAGAGCATATTAATGTCTAGGTTTCGTATTGCAGAGACTGTGTTAACTTCTGTAGGGGCTCACAGACTGCTTTTTCAACTTAATCTATGATATACATCATCCATTTGAGTTTTCCATTGACAAAGAATTGGCCAGTTTCAGTCAACAACATGCCATGTGTCTACAGTTCAAACAGGGATTCAAACAGGGAGTGAGTCTCTGAGCTTTGAGTCATACTGTTTAGTAAGGTCACAGAGGTGGATGGGTCCACGCAGACTTGAAGCCAAAATCATTGAACAAAATTAAACAAAGGAAAGGCCCACTCTGACAAAGTCTAGAGTAACCACCCAATGAAAACAAAAAGTCTAAAGGTAAACAGGAAGAGCCATGAGGAAACCGTACAAGGAAAGCTGACACATCAAACTCATGCAGAAAGGGGGGGGGGGGGGGGAGCAGGGAGAGTGAGGACACATGGGGAGAATAACAAAACAAAGGTGAAAAAAATAAAAGTGGAACACAAAGTAAGGACAAATACACAAAGACATGGAAGACTTGGGCAGAAACACAAAAGAAGCTGTTTGATAAACTATAATGAGAAACTAACAAAAGACATAAATGAAAAACATAACAAAAAAGACGGGAGACATTTTAATAAGAGGGCAGGGTTTGAGGGATAGCGTGACAACATTTTGGCATAAAAGTCATTTCAAACTCAAAGACTGGGCTTTTCAAAAAAAACAGAAAAATAACCTCCTGTTGTTTTTGAGTGCTGAGTGTAGTTATATAAGTATTCTCCACGAAGGAAGGAAACATTTTTGTCACAGTTAGACGTAAAATTGTAAAAAAAATCATTAGATTTGATGTAATTAATGTCTGCAGACGAATACATTATATGTGTGATATGCGTGATTATTTATTTGACCAATTAAAATCAAGTATTTGACACAATGCCCCCAAAAGAATCTAAAAAGAAGCAATCAATTTGTGTAAAACTTTATTTCTTTAACCTGAGGCTAAATTTAATTTGACAATAAAATGTGACTCTAAAATTGATTCCAAATTATTTTGCACTGATTTTCATGGACTGTCACTGTCACTTCTCCCACAGTGGAAATGACAGTATAACATTAAAAATGGTTTAAGGCGCAAACTTAGTTATTATACAGTTCGAAACTGCAGCGTGGAATTCTTCATTTTCTGCTTGTAGTATTCATTGAACTCTTCATCTTGGGCCACAGTGAAATGATTCCTCCAGTCACCAACTTTTCCTTGAGAAACAAACAGGATCACTCAGGTGATAAAAAATAACATGATAAACTGAACTACAAGTCCCAGTGAACAGTTGTAGCCTACCTTTTCGCATGAAAGGAGACACCTTCTGGTCCATGAGTGGCACAGTGGAGTAGTTAGTCATTTTGTTATGTTTCATGTTATCAAACTTCACTCTGTTGACGACATGTTGTTTCTCCTCCACTGACAGAGACAAATCTAGGAAGGAGCAGAGTCGATCTATTTCCCGTCTGGTGTCCTGCGAAAAATGTTAAAAACTCTGCATCAGTTTTAAGAGACAATATGAAATATAGGGGAGAGTGGGGTAAGTTGAGCCGAAGGGTAAGTTTAGCCACCCCCAGTTTCTTCTTCACTTTTATGTCATGCTATATTATCAAGACAGTTATGTTTACACTCATTTTGTTGGTTTGCAGGGATGCACAACATCTTGAAATATATGCAGATTCACTAGTTAGAGACAAAACTATGATTGCCTCGATGTAGTGATCCAAAATATGAGAAATGGCTCATCTTACCCCACTCTCCCCTATAAAGTGGTCAATGAAATTAGTATGATAAAGGTCGTAATACTTGTATTAGAACAGCTCTTTAGCGCACTGATTTGGTTACATGACAAAATGACATTCAGTTCTTTTAGAGAATAAAGTAAGAAATATGATAGAGATCTGAAATTTGTACAGGAAAAGTTTACAATCAAACCCAACTGTAGAAAAACAACTTCAGAACTTTTTTTATCTGCAATTCTGAAATAGTCCACTAGATGTCCTCCCTTACCCAGTTTCCTAAAACCTACTTTTCAAGCTTAACTTTCTTGAGTTTCAGTTTTTGCAACTCCCAGGAGGATTTAGACTCAATATTTCTTTATGGTTCCCACCTTTATGCCACCCTAAGCTTACCACCATACTGAACATACAAAGAAGCATCCAACAGAAATGTTTCCATAAATGACAAAAAGTAAAGGCTTTATTTTCTAAGTCAGTTAAAGTAAAAGTATGAAGTAATTACTTTTTAAAGAGCCATTGAAGGTAGCTGAGCTCACCTCGATCAGATCTTCATAGAACAGGTAGAGAACCTGTGGGTGAGTCTGTTTCTTCTCCCACCAGCCAGTCACATGGTCAAACCAGGACCCGAACACCACTGAGATCAAATAATAGGTGTTAGAGGACCTTGAGGGTGAATATTTTCTCATTATTATCTTTTTTAATCTGTTTTTTTTTTTTTGTTTGTTTTCAGGGATTTTTTTTCCTTCATCAGGACAACAGGAAGGCAAGAGATGTTGGGATTAGAGAGTGGAGGATAACAAACAGCAGAAGGTGGTGGCTGGAAGTCAAACCAGCAACCACAGTGACAAAGACTACAGCCATAGTATCAGTGCAACCTGAACAACTTTATCTGCACAAACTCACCTTTTCCCTCCATGAAATCACGCAGGAATGTGTTCCAGTCCCCAGGCTCTGGCTGGATACTGTTCATCCGACCAAAATGGAAATATGACACAGCGCAGTCCTTTGCGTTACGAGCGACATACACTATCTACACAAAGAGAAAACACTGAATAGAATGCATTGTGTAGACTTCAAAATTCATAGATATCACATGTTGACTAACTGTATGTATTTAGGTATTACCCTGCAGTTCTGCTCCCAGAAGGACTTGGGTATAAACTGAACTGGTAGATGAGTTTTAATGAGACGAGGAGAGGTGGGCAGTTGATCCACCAAGTCCTTACCTTTAAAATCAGAAGCATTGATCATTAGCTCCAAATTATACCTGTTTGAATACCATCAAACAATACAAGCTTAATCAGTTTAACATTACTGCACAAACACCGGCTTTATCATTCAAAACAGTGTCACCAAGTACACCTGTCAAAACTATTCATCACTTCACTTCTCAAGGTGCTCTTTTTTTGGACTGGTCCTGTGCTATAAGTGCATGATCACATTAAAAACACAAAGTAGAGTTTCCTGCTGCTAAAGAAAGATGAATCTGAGCTTCCTTTATGTCCTAGGTATGCAAACAAAACTGATCTGTGGCTGAAAGGTACAGAGTCCTGTTTCAGGACTTTGTACATTGTGTGTAGATTAAACCTTAAAATAGTAAAACATGCACAGAAATCTCAAGAAAAGGATAGTGGTGAAGTACAGGAGTTGTGTCAAGTTTTCACTTGTTTTTTGAAAAGCAGAAAGCAAACACCTGCAAGATTTTTTATGCATAGAAGTGTCATTTCTCTCTAATGCTGTTTGACTCTGCCACAATCATCCCTTCAGCTGACAGGTTGATGAAACAGCATGACTATCACACATGTGCCTTTGGCCTCAACTCCAAAGTGTACAGTTTTAAAACATAGTTGTGTCACAGATCTTGCACCAGCTGCCTAATGCAAACAAGGTTTTTTCAATCATTTTTAAGACATGATTTAACCTGTGATTTGAGACTTTATGCCGTACTCCAGGAATGGCACTCTCGCGTGAATAGGAATGGACTCCTGACGCTCTGGACATATCCGCCCAAAATGAAGAAGATCCAGAATGTAAGACACCCATGTGGTTCCTGAGAGTAAATACAAGCATATGGTTCAGCAGACTGATGTTTGAACAAAAAGGTATAACAATCCAGTACAATCAACATTAAATGATTTAGAATAAACCAAGATGAAGTTTCTCAAAGAATCTCACCTGCTTTAGGGTAGGTGGCTACGAGGATATCATCTGGCCTGGCTTCGACATTTTGTGTGTTTTCCCAGTTTTCTGTGAAATATTTAGTCATTGAGACCCCATGGAAGTCAAACAGTGTTGGCCGAGGTGCTTTCTCCATCTGTTAAAATAATAATTGAAGATAATATTAGAGACCCATAATGATATTTTGAACATTCACTTTTTTCCAGGTAAGACAGTCAAACAAATAAGAAACAGATCATTCAATTTAGCCTTGAATAATTTAACATGTTAATTTCTTTTTTTTTCTTTGTCAAGGTGAACTTGTTATTATGATTATTATTATTATCTTTATTATTTTGTTAGACTCGTTTTCTTTTTTTCTTCTTTTAATGGGTTGATTTATCTTGTTTCTTGAGATTTTTTTGTGCTTTTGCATTTTGGAGGATATGAGTTGTTGGGTGGAGATTTTGAGAAAACAGTTAAAATGAACTCAATATCTACTGGGTAAATAAAGAAAACAAATGTATTTCTGCTTTAAGTTTCCATAGTTTTTATGGTTGACTTGGACTTGAGGTCCACTTTTACAGCAGGGGATAGAAACACCTATATTGCAACATTTTTCTTTTTTTTTTTTTACAGCCAAGCATTCCCAAGTTGTGCAAGAGTACATCAAGTACATTTTGTACATTAGGCTGCAATGGCATCTCTAGTATGACAAAACTGTTACAGATGATTGACGAAGTCTTTGCATTGGCCTGTATCTTTAAGTATAAAAAATGGAAAATACTATATTTCTGTTGCTCTATTTCTGAAAATAACTGTCCAGCTTGTAATATTTTTAATATTTAAGTTTTTTTTTGTTATTGCCTTTTTCCATATTTAACTCACCCCTCGGCGTGTGTTCCTCTGAAGTGATTGTCTGAATCGTCCACAAGTCAAAAAGCAGTTTGTTGAGAAATCCTCACAGTGACATCCTCCACAACTTCCTAAAATTAATGAAGACTTTAAATTACTTATTTGATTTGAAGTTTTCTCAGCTTTTAAACTTGCAGTGACGGAATGATGGAAAAGCAGGAAACAAGTTCAACATACCTACACTGACTTATGTGACATGCCCCGATCACAGCTGTAGCAGCAGTCAGAGATGACAGGTGTCATGACGGTAATTACCAACATGCAGTGGGCGTTCACATGAAGGGGGACGTCGTTTCACACTTCTTCCGCACTAAGTGACCCTTCAGGATTAACTTTATGACATTTTTTAAAATCATTTTTATTATTATTATTGTTTACGAATCTTTGTTGCTTCCTGTTTACCTCACTGCAGTCAAACCATCTGCTCCTCTTTTTTTGCTCATAGCAAACTCAGCTGCGCTTGAATTTAGAGTGCGCATAAATTGGGATAATTACGGTAGACGCTTAGACTATGGTGCGAGCAGCAGAGAAAGTTGTTTTGCCCTGTCACAATTTCCCTTTACAGAAGGCGTTGATCATCAATGGGTTTTCCTAATCTGGCTGTGAAATACACTGAGTTCAACAATATGAAGATTATTGACAACAGTTAAAGTATCTTGTTTAAGGTTGAATAACAGGCAAAATCTTACGGATTTATGGAAGGCTCTTTAGGTTCATAGACAGCTGTGTGTTTTCAGCTAATCAAAATGTTTATAAAATTGTAAAGCCGTTGAGTTGACTACGAAAAAGAAGGAGTGGCTGGCTTAACCAACTACTTCTTGTGAAACTCCTCAATGAAATAAAATTCCTCTGCTCTTGAAACCCTGTTGTGAGACTGTAAGTACTTCATTTAGATTAAGTTTCCCTCATATTTTACTTTTAATAACTCAATTAGAAACACAAACCATTCATTAGAATAATAAAGAGGACTTTCAAATAATGTTGCTTTTATTCTTTTTATTGGAATCCAGATGAAACTTTGCAGGAAATACAAGAGCAAAATTCAATGAGCATAACCAACACATTAATATCACACTGTATTGTTGCACTGTGACTATAGGGGCCACAATATTGAATTTTCAATGGCACATATTGTGTTGCAAGAGAACATGAACATAGGGAAACCACCCTAGTCAAAAGGGGAGAGGAGGTAACTGCAAAGTTTGGGGTGTCATTGGAATGTAGACAATAATATAAGGCCGTTGTACCTCAGATACTGGACAAGTCAAGCAACTCTCATCACTAGGAGGTACTTCAAGTCACCCTGAGGCAACTGGAGAATAAATCACTGACCCACTCTAATCAGAGACAGAGGCTTAAATGAAGTTTTAGTCCACTTGAGAAAAACATCTCTAAGTGTAATCTTGAGTATTTGCAACAGATACTCAAGATAACCTTTCAGTGATCATTTTGTGAAAGCCTGTTCTAGAAAATAAATTCAAACATTTTGAAACAAAGATTTGAAAATATGAGATAGGGATTTAAATCATGAAGTTTATCAATAAGCTCAATAAGTGGTGAAGCTTCTTTCTAACGTCCATAACTTTGTGATCCTTAAACAAAGAGGGATGAAAAATCCAGCAGAACTTCACCATCATTTTTCCTGCATCATAAAAATACTTTGAATTGTCAAAAAAGTCCTGGACTAAACCTCTAGAGTCAAGTAACTGTCACACTTCTGCTTGTCCTTATAACAGGCCACAATCTGACATAAAAAGTGTCACTTACTGCACAGCTCAGACACACAAGCAACACGTCTTCAGATTGTCTTTCACAGTAAGAACTACTACTTGGTTTCAAATACACTTTTATTCAGAGACATCAAAATAACATTATTTACATTGTTGCTTATACATTGTATATTTGAAATATATTTCCCTCTTAGATAGTAAAATACTTCAGTCTAGTGCTCAAGCCTAACTGTTAAGTGCTCTGTCATTGAGTAAGGTCTAGAGTATTTGAGGTTCATGCCAAGCCAGTCCTGTGAGGTGCAGCCCTGCAAAGCTGTGGAGCATTTCAATAGATTACAAAGTCCAAATTGATTTCAATGCAAATGAAAGGCTCATGATTATGTTGAACATTCTTAGTCGAATTCCATAGAAATGCAGTCAGAGGCTTTTATGGTGCATAATTATTGTTTGCAAAAGCACTGTCTTACATCAAAATAATGACATGAGATGCATTAATCTCATCGATGAATGCTTAAAGCTTATTTTGAAGTCAATTCTAGCTACAGCTTAAAGCCTCAGCAACACTTTGAATATGTTACCATGTTTCTGCGTGTCTGTCTCTCATTTACTACCTCTGTATTTATGTAACCAGAGCAACATTATCACACAATGCAGACTGGACACACACAACAGAACAGCATCTGAGGAGCTTGGAAGGAGTCACTATGCCACTGGTAAGACGCTATAAAGGGTTCATCCCAACAAATGGAAAAGAATCATAAAAACAGCACAGAACCAACCAAGTTTATGTATGGCACATGTTTACATCACAAACAAAATTGAAATGTGGAAGACGGCAAATGAACACCACGAAAGCTATGAAAATCACTTAACTGATGCAATGCAAACCTTTTTTTTTTCCCACAGCAACGATAAAAAGGGGACACCTGGAGCCATGCTTGGCTTTTAGCATGTAGATCTAAAACTGAGATGTAAGAATAAAACTAGTTTTCTTGAAGTCCAATGACAGGATGCGTTTGAATTTGAGGGGAAAACAGGACAAAGTAATTGATGTGTGTGAGACAGAAAGAGTTTCGGGCATTAAGTTTTGTTTATCTGTGCTTGAGCGCCCATTTTTACTCCTAGAGTAAAAGAATAACATATCTGTTCCACAAATACAACCTTTTAACAAGGTAAAAGGCAACTCAGTGTCATCCATGAAGGTTATCACACAGAGACACTTGAAAGGACTTCCCTCTTCCAAAAATAATTTTCAGATAGTTCAATGGAAAAAAAATCCCAGTATTTGTTGAGGAAATCTTTGTCAGGAACAATATTTCTTAAATGAATGTGTTTGATGTGCAGTCATTGGTCCTCTCATTGGTCCCAGGTTTGGTTTAAAGATCAATAATTTCACTACTGACGCTGGCAGAGTCGTCGTGTCTGCTGACTTCCAAGTAACTCCGTGACCCTACCGGCCTCCCAGCCCTCACTTGTGCTCTCTCTGAGTCTGGGGTAATGAAAGGCCGAGTGTCATCCACTCCATCCTCCAGATTACCTGTCGATGTTCTGGAGGGGTGAAGAGACACAGGACAGGAAACTGATGAAGGGACACTTCCTACAGCATTTGCAGCCCACCTGTGACCCTGGTGGGAGGGTGTTGGAGGAGCAGTCACTTGTCTGCTGGGAACACTGCTGAGAACACTGCCCCCCAGTGGCATGGAAGACTCTGTTGGGGCATCGCTGCTCTCAGATAGCAGCTGAGGATCACTGTTCCTGCGGAGCCAGGGCCCCTGGCTGATCCCTGAGCCTGGGGAGGGTGACTGTGAGATATGGTTTATAGGATGAAACAAGCTCCCTCCTTCAAGCAGGTGCTCCCGGTGCAGTGCTTCATCGATGCTGCGGGTCAGGTCTATTGGAGATGGGGGCCTTAGATCGAACTCATAAAAGGACAGAGAAGTATCCCTATCCTGATCCAGACTTCCACTTACTGAGCGCTGAGGAGGCCGTCCGAACGCCTGCAGTCTCAGCAGGGAGCCTGTGGAGCCATCAGATACGCCTCGCTCTGCGGAGTGGCCTCGATGGTTGCGTCCCCTGTTGCTGTCTTTGATGCAGCGTGGCTGCACGGGGGCCAGCTCGTGGTTCTGATTCCTGATCAGACTCTTGCTGATGTCAGCTCCAGGACGCTCCTGGCCAGCCCAGTTGTTAGGAACCTCACCAGCTCCTCCTCCTCCTCCACCTCCCGCTCCTACCCCATTACTGTCAGACTTTCTACAGGGCTTCCCCCTCAGGCTTTGGACTATCTTGGACCAGCAAGTATGTCTCTGATTGGAGCCAGTAGATTGACCAGGGGATGGAAGGTCTCCTGCTGCCCTTCCATCTTGACCAACCTCCTCTCCTCCCCGACATCCTTGAGGCCTCCAGAACACCCAGGAACCCAACACAAGGAGGGATAACCCCCAGGCAAGCTCAAGAAGACGAGCCCAGAAGTGCACAAGCCACCAACCCCAGTTAAAGCTTGTCCAGTTCCCTAGCAGTCCATAGAGCCACAGAGTGGCATGTACGTGCAGCCCACAGCAAATTGCACCCAGAACTGCACACACTGCAAGCACTCTCCCCAGACTCACCCCCATCCACCGTCTACCTGTCCAAGCTTTCCTCCGACCATCTTCAGGGGCTCCAGGGTAGGGATTTAGTGGGCAGCGTAAACGTGGAAAGACATAGCAAAGGAAGCCTAGACAGAGAATCAGACCCCAGCACAGTGACAGGACCTGGAGGGTGACAGGCACCAAGGGGGACAGGGCAGGGGAAAGCAGATCTGCTGCAAGAAGCAGGGTACACTGTAACACAGCTAACACAGCCACAAGAGGAGGACGCTCCAAGGTTGAGGGTAACACACTGACTCCTTTCACCCTCATTGCAAGCAGTGCCAAGGCAGCTTGTGTCCACACAAGCAAGTGTAGAGGCAAGTTGTAGATGGCTGTAACTGCAGGGCGAGGGAGGAATTTCCTAGATCCATAGGGATCAATTAGAAACAAAGCTGCCCTAAGACCCCCGGCCAGGAACAATAGAGCATTGGCGAGGGCAAGAGCCCCTCGATGAGGACAGTTTGCACCAGGGGACAGAGTGAGACCGAGAGCAGCTCCAGCAAACAGGAGAAGGAAGAGGCTTGCAGAGCCATAGACATGCAGCTCCCAGGCAAAAGCCAGAGTTCGACTGAGGTCCCCCCAGTAGAGCAGTGTGGCATTGGGTGAGAGGCTGTCACCAGGTGTGGGGGCCGGGTTCAAGGTGGAGTGTGGAGCTTGGTGAGGATGTCCAAGGAGAATGGAGCGGTTCCTCTGGACAATGGCGGTCTGATGTGTGGGGCTTAACCTTGTCTGAGCAACAGGGACAATACCAGTGGCAGGAGAGGAAGAGTTCCCTAGAAAAAAAAGAGAGAGAAAATAAGCCATTGATGAACTTCACTTCAAGTGGTAAAGAAATGATAAAACAGTAAATGAAGTACAACTCTATTGCCACTAGAGGGGTGTAGCTCAACATCAGAGTCAAACGCTCTAAGCATACTTTCCTTTCAGTTCATTAATGTACTTTAATCAGTTCACTACAATCCCTTTGTTTCAGGTCTATTCATTAATAACAAATACGAGGACAAGGTCTGATTAAGATTCTCATTAAATTGCAATATCAAACGCAGAATAATTTTGCATTTACAGTAATACTTTATCAGCTTGTGCTTTATTGCTTCAGGTCGGATACAGTGCTGTGATTTGAACCATGAGCCGCAAATAATGTTAAAAAAATATAGTTTATTGTTAATAACCACAAAAGCGCTGCAGGGATGACACATTATCTATTATTACTAATAAAAGCACATCGTGGGCATGTGTAACAAAACAAGGTCCAAATTGTCAGCTAATTACAGCGTACACAGTGTGTCCTCATTGTATTCATGAACATCACAGATAATAAGCTGGACAAAACTGATTGGAACACATGTGTGGCGATTATGCGGCTTTGTTACTGCATTATGTAGTTAAAAGAGCACCTACAACAATTGCATAACACCAAACAAAGTTACAGCGCATCTATGAAGCAGTAATCTGCTCAGAGTTTTATTTTACAGACCGTGACAACCTCATAAAAGAAAAACATTTTTCCTTTATGAGAAGCTTTCATGGCACTAAAGGTCACATTTTATCATATAAGACAAGAGATCAAACACATTTTAAAACAAATGAGTCATGGGACGAGACAACACCTTGTCAGTGAGGTACTTCTTCTTCTTCCTCCTCTCTCTCTCTCTCTCTGTCTGTCTTCGTCTCTCTCTCATTCCTTCTCTTTTACGTTCTCATGCTCACACATACTTCTGTTTGTTTAAGCCACTCCACCTTATCCTCTTGCAATACCCTGGAAACACCCAGCACTATTATAATCATGGGGCCATTCATCACCAGGCTTTGTGAACTAGCAGTATGGATAGCACACAGCTTAAACAACAAACGCACAAGAACGAACTGAACACAATGAAACGGTGCGACTAATGCTGCTTAGGTACTTAAGAAAGTGAAACACTAAAACTATGGAGTACTTCTAAAAAAGTGGTTGCCACAGGGCATTAATCTGGAGTTGTTTGACTCAAACTAGCGTTGACTTGACGGATGGTGGAACAACGTGATTAGCGGTTAAACACTCAAACTATCAGCCTTTAAAAGCCCATCCTCAACCCGCAGACAACATCCATAAAGCTGACACACTGACTGATTACTTACTCCAACATGTGTTTCACCTTCTGGCACTGCTGCGCTCTATCGCTCTGACCCCTCTATCACACACACACATACACACACACACACACACACACTCACAGTTTCACTGGCAGACTCGCTTACATGAGTACTGCATGCAGATCACAGACACACGTCTTTATTTATACAAAGGTATGTTTTGCTTCCTTCCTTCGAACTTTTTTTCCCTTACAGGAGCAAGATCCAGACACATACCAGATGTTCTGATCAAGTTTCACAGCTGGATACACTTAAACCTACCAGTACCCTTGAGTTTTTTTTTTTTCTTTTTTTTTGCTGAACACACACACACACACACACACACACACACACACATGCAGGCACTCACACACACACCCCTTCCATTCACTGCCTTATAAGTCCACATGTTGCAAAAAACTACAAAAGTAAATATCCTGTTTTATCTCAAAGGACATACATCCATTTATGGCCGAGCTCCAAATGTGGACACAAGCATGACCACAGTACAAACCAGCGCTGACATGGGTGAAGTTTGTTGAGGCTTTCACGACTACCTCGAGACTCTAAATGTGTTCATGGAACAGGAGCGCCTGAATGGCATTAAGATGTTTTTCTCATGGTATCTTAGTGACTGCCTCATATACTCCATGTGTCATGCTTTTCCTTTTTCCTCTACTTTTTCCTCAAGACTCCTCCCTTCATCCTTTTCTTCGTGCATCTGGATTTCATTACCCCTCCCGCTCCTTGCGTTTCTACGCTTGTACCTTGCTTCTACCACACTTAAACCCAACCCATCTACTCTCATCTGTATTCCCAGCAGCCTCTTTAGCAGACCCTACCCTCCTCTTGTCTATCTCTCTTTGCTTGGATTCCGCCCGCCCCCCTCTTCAACCCTCCCTTTCACCTCTTGCTCATACTTTCTTCCCTCGCGGAGAGTCTACCCCACACAGCTACCACCCCACTTTCCATGGAAAAAGTTCCTCTGTTTCTTCCCCCCCTCTTTGAAGCCATTTCCAAATTCTTCCAGTAAAAAAGTCGCAGCTGCACAAATATTTCCACTTACAATCAAAGGACACTCTGCAACTGGTCAAATAAAACCACAGGATTGTCTCTTTTTACCTGTCTTTGATGTCTGTATAGTTGCGTTGGTTGTATTTCTTCCATGTTGTGCTGTTTTGTTTGTTCGACTCGTTGGTTTTCGGGTCGGTATCACTATCTCCTGTGTTGTGGGCGACTTCCTAGTTGTAGATGTGGTTGTTGATTGCTGCGTTGTGGCGGGACCGGGGGTGGTAGTCGTTGTTTGGGGTGATGTCTGAGCATCAGAGTCCTGCTTCGGTGTCACCCTGGCAGTGGGAGGAGTGTTTGCTGTCAGCTCACCTAGAAGAAAGGAAAGACAGACTCATTTGTGACAGACGGTTTTTAGATTGTCATGGAGCTTTCGTCCTACAGAGAGGGTTTCTCACCTGCTGAGACTGATGTCTGAGATGTCCCCTGCGTTACCAAAGAGGACGGTGTGGCTCTGGTCTCAGTCTGTGGCATGGTAGGGGTCTGACTGACTGTTGTAAGCTTAAACATAGAGGGCTTCACAGTCTGATCATCCTGCGCTGGTGTTTTTACATCCAAAACTTTAGATACTGCAGTCTGTGCCTTCAGACGATACTGTGCCATCTCATCATCAGCTGTCGGTGGGGGGACAGGTGACTCCTCCGTCACTGTGACATTACTACCTGATCCCACCTCCTGCGATTCATCATCCTCTGTTTCTTTGACAGATTCATCCTGTGTATTTCCTGCTGTCACAGATTTGACACCTGCAGACTCAATCACAGCAGAGGAAGGAGAAGTGGGCAAAGGTGGAGTCGAGCCTTTTGTGGCATCATCTCTTTTCGCTAAAGCGGTGCTCGTCGCTAAAGCGGCTGTATCAGTCCTGGGCCTGGAGGCAGATGTTTGAGTAAAAAGCGGCCCGCTGCTGAGGTTGTGTGAGGAAAGAGCAGATATCAAAGACGTAGTGGACTGTGCAGATGGACGGGATGTTCTTTGCCCCTGTGTCACTTCAGTCGTCGTTGTCACTCTATCCCGGGCTGGAGCTCTGATAGGCACATCGCTGCGCCCTCTGGGAGGAAGCGAAGGCCAGAATCTAGGACTCTGCCTTGTCGACTGAGGTGTAGAATTAACAAGGACGTTTGACAGAGAGAGGGAAGGAGAGGAGCCGATGATGGTTTGGGTATTTAAAGGATGAAGGAAGGAGAGGAGGACGCCGTAGAGAAGGAGAGACGTGGCCATGGTCTGCCTCTGAGCGGTCAGCAGTGGCTGGTCCCTCGAGCTGTCCGTCTATGTCACACCATCCTCTCACTGTGCTCCTGTTGACACAAAAAATATACAACTCATCAATCATGAGCAGAAAAAACAAACTGACAAGCACTGAGGGCTGGTGGTTGACTGATTATTTTTCTTCTAAATGGCTTTAACCGCCATTAAAACTGCTGCAAACTGTTATGAATGTTTATAATCATGCATAACGGTTGTTATAAAGCCTCGTAGATGCATTTAAAGTACTTTATAAATGTGAGTATGATGCATTTATAAGAGGTGGGTTCGTTAAAATGTGTTAGTGTATGTACTACAGGCATTGTTCAAAAGCAGGCCAGTGAAACCCCCTCATGGTATTAGCAGCACAGCCCCAGAGGACACATAGGGTGTGGTGAAGTGTATGATTGTAGGAAACATAGCACATATGATGACGCACACTGACTCACACGAAAAGCCCAAAATGTTAACTTATGTAACAAGCAGTGCCATCCAAATGATCAAGACTTTAAAAAAAAAAAGGTTTGCAGATGGTTTCTCTCAGTGGCAGACAGACACTTAAACCTTTTTCGTGCTATTTTTGTCAGGAGAAAAAAAATCTTTCGACTCAATTTACAAATTCAAACTTCTTCATTTCACAACTCACGTTTTGTTCCAGTTGTGGATGCCAGCTGTGACAAAGAGTGTGGTGATGCCCCCAAAGCCCAGCGCCACACAGAAACCCCAGACTCTTGAGGATTACACAATCCTACGAGTCATAGAGCTAAACAGCTGCCAGTCACATCCCCCCCTCCTCAATGTGCACCTCTTGACTAAAACCACCTCTTTTCTTCTACTACTTAAACCTCGCCTTTTCACATCAGTATCTACACATGACTCAGAGTGGGAGATAACCTTGAGGGCGGGCAGTCAGTATCACACTGAAACTCTGACTGAAACAGGAGGAGGGAATGCACGGAAAATAGAAATCAGAGCTTATGGGAGAATCCATTCTGCAGCGTGTGACTCACCTAGGGTCCATTCACAGCTGCAGTGATTTGCTCCCTGAGAGGTGACTGCAGCTGCACACCACGGCTGGCATGTGCATTTCGTGCTCACGGCCACATTTAAGATGTGAGCGAGTATGCGGAGAAAACATGTGCGAGTGTGTGGGTGTGAACAAGGGGTCAGTCATCAAGCAGGAAGTCACAGGTCAAACTGGAGGTATTTGAAGAGCTACATGCACGAAAATACTGTCTTCGCTCGCTTTTTGGATTCAACAATGTTTTGTTTTCCGTTTTTGTTGTGTTGATATTGTTATACAAGAGCAGCTGCAGAGAAAAAATCCTCCTTTGGTACAGCAATAGAAGCGCTACTCCATCTCAGTCTCCACCTACCCACAGAAGCTTCAGTGTTTATTTTCCTTTCCTGTCTAATTCACCTCTTCTTCTCCTTGTCTAGTAGGCTGTTGGCCAATCTAACATATGATTAATCACCGTTTTTCTCCTTTTTCTTTCTGTTTCCCTTGTTCCCCTTCAACTGGAGTTATTTCAACACAGCCCAAAAGCATGCTCCTCGGCGTAGGTTCAACGAGAGCCCTGGAGAAACAGCGGTGAGGTAGATAATATGAGAGTGTAAAGATGAGAGAGATAAGCAGGCAAAAGGGGAAAGACAAAGATGGAACGATAGAGAAGGTGGAGGAGGGCTGATGATGGTAATGAAGCTGACAACAGAGGGTACAGTGTAGGGAGTGAGTGGGGACTGAGGCAATCTGTGACAGAATTAAGACTGAGAGGAGCATTTGAGGCGGTGAATTCAGAGGATGTGAGGATAGCTTGTGGATATAAACTGACAGAAAGCAAGAGGCAGAGTATCTGAGAGGAGAAAACGAGTCACGAGGAAGCTGTATTTCAGGGTAAGCAGGTTTGTTGTGGTCAAAGCGAAGACATGGTGGTCTGTCCAAGAAGGCATGCAGAGAAACCGAGCCTGCTTCACCTTTCTTCTGAGGTTAAGGGGGCAGGTGCAAAGTCTCCGGCAGTCATGGGTAAACAACCCGACTATAGAGCGTCTGCTTTCAGTAAACATACCTCTATCTTGATTCAGCGCCTCAGCCTATGTATTTATATTAAGGAAGAGATTAATGAGCCCAATGAGATTAAGTGTGCGGATAGAGACACGCTGCTGCTGTTTTGGAAATGCTGTCATCAGTAATCTCATCTCTGCAAATGAGCGATGCACACATACTGCCAAACACACTGGCAGTTCATCAAAATTTTGACTGGATTTATACAATCTGACCTCCATTTTTCCATCATGCTAATCCAAATAAGTCAACTTAAGCTGGTTTGTGGTTCCTTTACGCAGTCTAAAGACAATTCCAGGAACATGAAACCATGTACTACAAATGCTACTGTGGTTTATTAGGCCATTTAGGTTCTTCCCCCGATTATAAACCAGCATGCTTCTAGTGCATCAAAGTGCATCGTTTTACGCTCCCTTGCAACAGTGAGTAAAATACAGACCCATATGCTCACGAGTCCCTTTATGATTGTGCCAGAGGGGGAAGGCAGATGGGTGCAGGGTCAGTGAGAGTATTTTTAACATGGTTAGCAATGGGGGCGGGAAGGGACATCACTCTGTATTATGCTTGCAGTCGGGTTTGCATGATGTGTAGATGTCGTCACTGTCTCTCTCATACAATACGTTCTTTATCCAGAACAGGAAATGCCAACGGATAATAAGCAATATTGCAGCTGCAAGCAGCAGTTTGAAGATTACTTTAAACTCCTTGCCCACAATATAGACCTGCTGGTTATACAACAACATGACTCAGTACAACAAAGCTGCTGCTAATCTGTTCATCATTACAGCAGGAACGTCATGTCTACATTAATGCATTAACATGACTGGAATTGTCAGTATTCTACTCATTAAACAAGACTCAAGGGTTTAAATGGGCAGTGAAGAGTTTGGAGAATATCTTTTCTCTCCAAATGTTGTCCCTCTTTTTTTACAGTGCTCTGAAAAAGTCTGGCAGGGAAATATTTCCACCAATTTGTGACTGTGAAGGTTTCCAATGCCAGAGTGTGTCTGTGGACAGAGGGACTTGTGTCTTCTCAGGAGATTGGTGTTGCGTCTCCAGGACTGCAGGACTGTATGGTAACCTAAGTGATTTAAATGTACCTTAAACACATAGTGTAAAAATTTGAAATACTTAAAGATGACAGATACAGCTTTAAGAAATTTGGCCTCATTTCTAAAAAGACAGAAAAACATTAATTTTCCTTGATGTGAAATACAACCATACAGTAAATACTGTTCTGGTTTCCTTGTTACATGTAAATTCAGCACAAAAGGATCAGACTACAGTCACGGCTCTCTAAGGTTGTACACAGGTGCAGCAATGCTTTGAGCTAAATGCTAACGACAGCATGCAAACATATTCAAAACGACAATATTTACCAATGTGATGTTTAGCAGGTTTAAACTTAACTGTGTTAACAAAATTAGTCTTGAATGTAGACATGCTTACTTTTACTAGTGAGCACTTTACTCATGTGCTGCTCAGTTTGAAAAACTTTTGTTTTGGACAAAATGATGCCCCCCTATATGGCTTCCCAATAAAAAGTTGCTGAGCAGTTATAAAGACAAATGTCAGCCTGAAGGAAACTGAAGGAAATCACCACAGTCAGTGAGATTTATCCTTTTGGGACCATAAATGTCTGCACATCATTTGAAGTCAATCCATCCAACAGTTGTTTTATCACTTAAGCTCAAACCAAAGTGGTGCCCAGTTCAGCTCAAACTTATGCAACCTTTGTGTGAAGATGTGCAGACATGCTTGACCTCTCTGTCAGTGCATGAAACTATGAGGTAATGTCTTTGACAGACTAACTAAGACTTAAGATGACAAGTAGTATCCAATGTCAAGGTGTCTCTCTACTGAGCAGAATATAAAGTCACTCATGACCAGAGGGGCTCTCAGCTAAGAGGAGAAGTCTGTTAATGACTGAGGAAGAACGTGGATAAGTCAGGAGAATGACAACAAATCTCCAGAAAGAATGAAGACTGTGGGACAGTAAAGACTGACAGAGAAAAGGAGTGAAAGAGAGAGAGAGACTGGAATAAACCAGCTGTGTGTCACTGTGGTCTGCAGCACTGCAACGATTCCCCAGTCAAAGAGAGCAAATAAGTATAACTCGCCATGCAGATGTGTAACTTGTTTGTGCTGCACTGTGCAGGGGGAGAGGTGGGGCTGTGAAACTGTGTATGTATGTGAATTTGTGAGTATGTGAGACACAGAGAGAAACAGAGAGAGGGGGAAATGGGAGTTATGTGTGGTTAACTTGGTATGTGGGTAGTGGGGGGAGGTCGTCAGTTTGACCGTTACAAATTCCACACCTTGGAATAACATATGGATTGCAAACAGCTCTTGCAATATTCTCTTACTTATTCAAACAAAGGCGGCAAAATTAAAATCCTCCAAAAAGAATGGCTCTAAATTTTTAGGTCAATATATATACTAGGCGATATATGAGCTCTCAGCTGAATTAAACGCTTGCAGACGCTTTAGGAAGTTTCCGAGCAAGATTTCCCAACATCTACACCTCTGCCTTGGACTGATTTTGTCCATTCAGCTCCTGAGCCAAACCAGAGTCAGTCAAAGATGGCTCTCTTGTGGCGCTTCACTGCCTGGGGGGATGCCAAAACTCCAGCGGAGCAACCGACCACACAGCGAGGTCATGCCGTATGAAGAGAAGAGGCTCCAGAACCAATCAGGATGCTTTTGATCTCCATTTGAAGAGGATGTCCAGCTTAAAAGTGCTGAGCAGCAAAACATCTTTGACTGATGTTCCGCCTTCATTTGAGAGACAGATCAAAGGCTGAAGGTCGGCCTTTAAGGGTGAGGTGCTTTAACTGCCCTGTGGCTGTACCACACACACTTTACAGAGACAGCTCTCTGCATTTAGAGGTAAAACAGAGGCTGGGTTTATTGGCATAAGATAGGTGACCACAGGAAGAAGACTCAGTGGATAGCTTGCATAGTCTACACTGATTCATCGCTCAATCTCCCATTCCCAGAAACAGAGAGGTGTGTGAGTTAGATGACTGACAAAGACAGCTGCTAAACCACGTCAAGCCACAAAAACACTTTCACTTTAACAGATTACAGGCATCCCAAGTTATAACTGTTGCATGGTTCAGGGAGTAAACCACAGCTCAGCTTTAACCCCGAACTCACACTGTTCCAGCTGGATGCAATAAAACCCCCTGCTGTGTTAAATGGGGTGTTGTGTGGCAATCGTTGAACTTGCAAACAGATTGTATGTATATAAAAACTACCATCATTTGCAGGTCTTAGTGTTTTTCCACATTTTATTACCACGGCCAAATAGATCCACTGCCATAAAAAAGCTTAAGGACAGATCATGTCTAGAGCTTAGTGGGTTGTTTCATGTGATTTATGTTTTATTTTTCATTCTGCAGAAGTCATTCTGTTCTGGACGAGCTGTTCTGGGAAGTGTGTTATGTCTGTGTCAACTGGAAAAGCTCCTTTTATTTAACTGTGCTGTCAAGGTATCTGGCCAATTGTACGGATGATTAATGAGACTTTTTCTCCACTGGATTTAAACAAATTTATAATGTGTTGATGTAACAGCTGTCCTTTTACCTTTAAAACCCACTTATCAGTGCAGCCTTTAAGTAGTCAATAAATCTCTATAGAGCCACTTCACACACAGGCATGGCCTTCCTTCATTGTTAGTGTATCTGGATCTGCTTTTCTTCCCCTTTTTAACCAGACTCTGCAGGCGGGACTCTAACAGCGCTTTAGAGAGGCCGTGCCTGTGCACCCCTAACACGACTGAAAGCGTTCACATCCTGATGAGGAACAGGTGAATCCAGATCATCTTTGTGCCTCATGCCGTATGCAGTTAAGGCTATTCTACCCTCACTATTATACTGTAAACACGCCCATCCACCTGCGGAAACAAAGAAACACGTTGCGCACGTGCCAGCAGTTGCCAAATGGACAGCAAAGAACTTTTACGCACGGGGCTCTCAATTATTAATACATTTTTATACTAACACATATGATGTTCAATGAGATATTTAGACATTAGAGGTTGCTGTGTTTGAAACGGATACACAAGAACTGCTCCATGGTGGACATGTTGTAGCAAAAGCTAACACAAAAGGATGATTCGGGAGCTGTGGGGATCTATTTTTAGACCACAAAGTGACTCAAAAAGGTCCCCTCTCTGTGAAAATCCGCTCAGAAATGAGTGGGCCTATTAATAATAATCGAGCACATTTGTAGGCTACAGTAAAGGTGGGTGCATCCTTATATTAGCAGTTAGGCAAATATAGCTCATTAACCTAATTGTTTAGTAAAGAGGCTGAGTAAGTTGGTGAGCAAATAGTTACATTTGCATCAGCTGTGATGTGGCCTTTCAAACATTTTCCCACTGAGGTGTAGGGATACACATTTAGTAGAACTACTTCGACAATTTAACGCAATTATTCACGCAGTTTTAATCACAAGACATAATAAACCATTGGTCACGAGGCGTTGCTGTGTAATATTAGACCACGGTACCATCCAAACAGCAGGAGGGTTGTCGTGGCTCGAACTGACTGTGCTCTGCACTTTTAAGCCCCAAGTTTACTTTCCGTGGAGAGCTTTAATTCCCGATAATTAGCCTAAGAGTCATTTGTTCCTGTCAAGAGGTAAAGTTGAAAACTGGCTGCCTGTTAAAACTTGACTGGTATCGTTACCGCGACACAGGTATAGGCGACGTCACTGCGCAAAGTATCGCCGCATAGCAGCCACTCCACTCCTGATATCTGAAGTCCATCTGTTCCTCTTAAACATAGCCTACCTGCAGGTCTGTGCAGCTCCTCTCCGATGGCGTCTTCTGCGGCAGAGAGGATGAGGATGAGAGATTACTAAAATAGCCCAGTCAAAAAAAAGTGTATCCTCAGTGTATATTTCAGTTTATATCATCTGCGCTTCAAATTTTAAGAATCCCCAGTTGATGCGAGAACGGTCTACTGTCGAAATACAGAGAGGTTGCATTCAGCAGCCTTGTGCCTCTGCCAGCCTGAGCCTTCCAGCCATGAGCGACTACAGAGACGTACGCCCCCTCCGACCGCTTCATCTCCCTCCACATCGCTCCCTCCCTCTCATTTTTTTCTCTCTCCTCTCTCACAGGCAGATAAACACGATTGCCTTCCTACCAACCTACTACCAACCTACAACCTGGCACGTCCGTTACGCAACAGCACGGCAGTCCGACACGCACTCTCATGCGGTGCGCTCTCTCACCTTAGATACCTTTGACAAAGCAGCTTGAGACAGAGTGGTGGAAATATGACGACACTGGGATTGACATCATCAAATAGCGTGAAGAGCCACTATCCAGGTTTTTCATTCAGATTGTAAACTGACAATTGGTTAGGATGTTAGAGGTGTGAGGAGGCACCTGACATTTCTGGAACAATTGTTGCAGCAGCAGAAGAAGAAGCAAGGACAATGAGCAGCAGAGGGAGCATGAAACTCTAGCTCCCTGTCCCCTGACCACACTGTAAAAAAAGAATAATTGAGAAAAATAAAAAATTTTTAGGCAACCTTTTGCAATAAGATTTTTTAATTGTGTCAACGGTTTGCTAGGTCATTGTCATAAGTGACATTTCATCGTCGCATCAATTACGTTTACGCTGTTCGGTGAATGGTCACTACTATTTATTCTTCGTTTTGCCAATATAAACACTTTTATTTGCTCAATTATTTTTTATTTGTCACGACTATTTATTCTTCGTTTGGCCATTTTAAACATTTAGCAGCCCTAGCCGTCGGCTAGCAGCCGCTTGCTAATGGCTAAAGTTATCGGCTTTCTCCGCAGTGAGTGAGCGTGGAGGCGGCGTGCATCGTGAATGTGCCCCAGAGATAAAATCGCCTGTTCAGTTACATGTGCGATTAAACATGCGGCTGAGAAACACGTCATGAGGCAACAAGAATAATTTTCCGGCAGACAAGCAATGTAGATAGACAAGCATTGTTAGCTAAACTGAAAAAGTAACCAATTTACTTAAGTAAATTTTGTAAAGCAGAATAACACCATATTCTCTATTAGTTAATACACTTAATACAGTTCAGGGAAGTTTATTTTCACACAAAATACTTAAACAACTTGGACTGAAGCTGGTCCACTCAAAAAAGTCTTCTTCTCACTCTGCCCTGCTGGCTGTGATACACAATGAGGGAGAACTTCCCCTTGCGACGGAACGTGGCAAACCCCGTGGGTCTTCTTCGGCAAACCTCATGGGTCAATGACAGAACTGCATTATGGGAATTTAGAATTACATATTTGGTCTCTATTGAGGTGCACATTGTTGGTCTGACATGTACTTTCTTGTTTAATAATAACTATTTTAATTTTCATGTTTACCCAATTAAGAATACAAACTCTTGTGAATAGATTGTCATTGGTTTTTTTAACAGTGCATGAGTTTGTAGGTTTTGTAAAGGAGCAAGTCAGCCTGAGCCAAAATGAAACAGTTTCCTCATGCTGCACCTTGGCTCAGTGCCCCCTCTTCATCCCCCTCGTCTGATCGTCTCCCAGTCTTACACAAGAACAACAACTCCAGTTTGGACATGCTGAGGGGACTGCAGTCTTGCGTAGGATGACAAGACAGATACAGAGGTCCTTCAAGTTAGTTGAAAGCAGCAGTCCCGTTTTCTCTCACTGTACAAGTTACATTCATGGTGTCATTTGCACTGTGTACCGGGGTCCTAAAATAACCTGTGTAGCTCAGAGGATTGTCCTAATGCCATTACTTTACTACTGAGCCAGCAGAGACGCTGAAGGGTTAGGATGGGTGGAGAGGGAACGCTTGAAGATGGTAATCACATTGTTGCACATGGATTATGACTAATGTGCTATAAGAAGAGGATCTACTGTAAGCCTGCATATTTTAAGACATTAGGGACAAGTAGGGAAATTTATACTGCTAAGATTTTGGAAGAGGTAGCCTTAAGATAACCAAAATCAACAGTGTAACCATGTACTGCTGATCATATGAATTAATTGTTATCTAGTTGTGTCACTGCTGTAATAGGATTGTCGAAACAGTGGAATTGCTGTAAGGGGTTTAATTCCATGGGTATCCAAAAATAATGTCGAAAAAGGCTTTTTTTAGTCTTTCCTATGACATATTTGCAGATTATATTTCTAGGGGAATTAAAAAGACAGGGGAAAGCTATTGGAAGGTTAAAGTGAGAGATAGTAAGTGATATATTTGAAGATGTGTGTTGCCGCGATGAATAAATTAGAGCTTTCTTTCAAGTTTAATGCTCTGACATGCGGTAACTTTGTCTCGCTGTCTCAGTTTTAAAATATTCCACATTCATTTGTTGGCAAATGCTTCACAGGTTTAGTGTTTTTCTCAAAAATCTAATTTATTGTCTCCTTCCTGAAATATTTCCTGCCACTCCATAATAATGAATAATATTAATTTTCCTCTCTACCATGCCAATAAAAGCTTTACTAGTATGCTGTCCTGTCTATGTCAAGAAGATCAACCAGTATTTTACACCTGCACGGCCCCTGATTGATAGTTCTTGGTTCATATGGAGAATTTTTAGCAGGCTTTAAATAATTGAAGGGAGTCGCAGTATTTATAGCCTGCCAAATGAACAATTTCTTAAAAAGGAGTTAGTTAGCTGTGCCGACACCGACATCCACCGCATCATGCTCTCCCACAGCCGTGTGTCTCATGGATAAGGTTTCTATACCATCTTTGTCCAGGAATGTGGTTTATACATTCCACTTCGTCATTTGAATTGATCCTAGAAAGGGGCTGTGAAATCCAACTCTGCACAGACGGAAGAGTTTCTTTCTCCCAATCTATGAGGCATTGAACCTTAATCCCAGCCTGCCAAGTGGGGATCCTATCAGATGGTAGAAAGTATTAATTTTCACCACAAAATAAGCCTCTTTTATTAAGAACAGCCAAGACCTTCATATGCTAACGTCCATCCTCTACATAGATATGAGCCGGAATAGCTTATGATCTAGAGTCTCCCTGTCAACTCTGTTGGTCTCAGTCTTTCTCTCTAAAGCTTCCCCCCCTCACCCTGGAGTCTAGACACCACAGAATAATCTCCCCGACTCTGGGCCCCAAAGTCAGACTTCCATGTGGGGACCGCCTGCTCTCCCCCTGTCCTTCAGGCTCCCCAACAGCCGACTCCAGCAGCACTGGGTTTCACCACATCTAAGGTGTATCAACACAAATTTGACCCATCTTAGGAGCTGTATCAAATACGGTTATATAATACATCTGTTACGATTCAAGAATAATATCATCCATCATTTTAAGTGGTAGACAGAGTGTGGATGTGCGTATGGAGACCATTTCAGGGGGTTTACGTTGGAAAGACAGACACACAGAACTTATAATGAACTGAATCTCTTTGAACTATATGGTTGAATTTTAGTCGGAATGATATCAGTATCTAAAATTATTGCCCACAGACCTCTTTACACACTAGTCTTTTTAATGTGCATTTCTAACATCTAATGGAACTTCACATAACTCTCTTAGATGTTGGATTGCAGTAGCTTGTGCAGGTGGGTATATAAGTTATATCAATATTTAATCAACTACAGGACAGAATCTGCAGCACTAACCAAGTGCAGTCTATCCAAGTATCTGTCTGATTCATCAAGACTGATTAATGGTTATTAATCCTCGCACATCCAAGATGCATCCAACTGTCAGTTTATCCACAAACACTTTGTTCTGATTCCTAGAGGACGTATATAGTAAAACAATAGAGTGGTATATTTTCATCTCTTCATGTGGAGTGACCTGGGTTTTAATGCACATCATCCACTTGATTTTAAAGAGCGCACACTCTCACTCTAAAAATAGCTCCCCCACATCTCTCCCTCTCTGGAGAAAACCTCCTCCAAAATCCTGTCACTCAGAGACAAACTAATTCAATCTTCCTGCCGCACATCTGGAAATAAAAAGCAGCCTTTCATTTTTACAGGAGCTCCTATAGGTACTGCCCCCTGCTGCCTGCATAAAATAATCTGGCTTTCTTAGGAGAGAGCATCCACAATGAGAAATGTCCTTTTAAATGAACAATTCCCCAGGCTAACACACAAGCTGAGACCCATCTCTTATGTAATCCACAGGCCACTGTTGGGCTGCTCTAGCTTTTGTGTGTCAGTATGCGTGCACAGAATGTTTTTTACTTCATATTTTACACCCCCACCTTAAGCACACTTTTACTTCTCCCTGTATACTTACATTTTATTTTTCTTCTCTCAGATCTATTTTTTCTCTTACTTTTTAACCATGACTCTGCCCTGAAGCCAGGCCTTAGCTTCTGTCCAGCTCAACTTGAGTGGGGATGAAAGCTGACTCACATATTCATTAAGGCGCATGGCTGCACACACATCCACAAATAAACAAGCTCTATGGATGTAAGACATGCACATATAAACCTGCAGAGACGAAACAAATACATGCATGCATATTCACCTGCTCTCTCATGGCAACATGTAAGACCATATGTTATTAAACTTGTGGTGTGAGAAGCATGAACAATGTTGCTTCATATTAGAAGAATTTATTTCATATACTGTATCTTGAACGAAGTGAAAAATATTGCTCGGTCACTGCTTGGAGACAGTTCAAATCCCAAAGAGACATGTTCAAGCTGTCACTAGAGACAGTCATGCTTGCCCCAAGAAGTGACAGCAGATAACTGCAATCCCTGCTATAAAAAGAACAGCTGACACAGTCAACTAATGCCTATAGATAAACATGCAGACACTGTGACACTTCATAGCCACACAGCCAAACATACACACAAATACTATTAAAAACCAGACTGAGCTGTGAAAACACACAACATTATGGCTTTCTATGACCTTTTCAGCCATGTGTGCAGATGACGTGCTAGGACATGGTGTAACAGTAGCTGGGGGGCGTGACAGAGAGTACTCACCCACTGAAATGTGGATTTTTTTTTTTTCTGAAATCTTACAAAAGGCCAGCTAAAGAAAAAGGCCATGTATTTTATTTCATCCTGCAGAGCATTAACTTCTGATTCATACTGCCACCTAGAGGCCTTTTATTGCATCATTTTTTATGTGGGTGCTGCTGTGACAGTAACGGTGATTTTAAAGAAAAGTCCAAATGAGAACAGAAAAAAAAGGTGAAAAGGTTTTTTTGGTTTTATTGTTTTGAAAACACCAGTGGGCAGCATCGATATAACCAAGAAAAGCAGATGTGGAGAATCTCATGTCTAATTTCCTGATTTTTTTCTGAATGTTCTGGATGATTTGTGTTTACCTTGTATCACCTTCACGTCCTAGATGGACATCTTTGCTTTCTTGCATGCTGACTTGGTTTTTGTCTTCTTCACAGTTTCATTTGTCTCTGTCTTGATTTTTGTTTTCTTGCCTGCTAATCTCATTTCTCCTTCACAGCTGTCTTCTTTCTTTGGCTGTGGCATTTCTTTCAGCTTTTGGAACTTCTTGAGATCAGCACAAAACAACACCTAAGACAGGTAAAAATACTTTGTGGTTACAGCAGACAGATTGTTATATACAGTACATGACAGGTAGTAAAAAAAAAAAAAATAACTCTCACCGAATGAGCCCAACCAGCATAAGGACCCCACAGTTTTCTGAAAAAATCTCCTGTTTGGGCATATGATATTAGGAAAGAGAGCGATTAATTAAAAGAAAAACAGTATTTTAATTACTAAAACCGTATGACACCACAACAAACCACACCTCAAGTCAAAAAACACTAACCTATATCCCTGTGAAGTTTCTCTGTGATGCTCTTTTGTCCATTTACAGTTGTAAAGTTATAGTCCCGTTTAGCAATCTGCCACACGTGTGTGTCTATGGGGACAGCCTCTGCCTTATCCAGGGACATCAAACACACACAGTCTGCAACCTACAGGAAGATACACAACCTCTTCACATCTACTGAAACAAGTTGACTTTATAAAAAAATTTAACAGTCTTCTTTTTCTTCATCACCTTAGTGCCCACACCGGGGAGAGTTCGCAGTTCATCACGGGCCTGTGAGTAAGGGACATTGCGCAAACCATCAAGCCAGTGGAGACCGTGGGTTTCTAAAATCTGTTTCGCGCTCTGCTGAAGGAACCGAGCCCTGTATCCGAATCCAAGATCCCTGAGGCATGCTTCTACATTGTTATCTGACAGACGGAATGCAAAGACAAAAAAACATAATCATTATAACAATATGTGGGCCTATAGGGCTAGAAGACAAATCATATCAATAACTGAGCTCTGGAATCGTAAGTACACAACTTTCACTCTGTGTTTTTGTCATTTCGAAATGGTTTCTGCCACATTTTACCTTGTAGTACTTTGAATAAAGATACAGCACGTATTAAGCTTGGAAAAGATACAAACACAAGCAACAGAGTCCTAATGTTTGTCAAATAAGCTTGAGAAAACACACTTATCCCACAATGCAGGCTAGGGAGTACTCATACCCATGTGAAATATGGGTTTGTTCAGATTAACTATCATCATTAAACTGCTTTCCAAATGAACTATCAGTAACTAAAATTTATATTAAAAAATAATCAGACACAAAAATGAATGGATATATCATAGATATAATCGTATCAGGTTCCAGGGGATATGAAACAGATGTAAACACCTAAAACCTCCGGCTACTGTATTTAAAAGGTTAGAATGACCTGAGGTTTCACCTGCAAGTGAGGCCAAGGTAGGAAAGCTGTAGTAAGAGGTCTGATCAAGTTTGCACAACGGGGCACCCAGAGTCTGGCAAAGCCTCTCCACCATGCCCTGGATACGGGAAATGTGATTGTTGGAGGTGCAGATGAAGGAAAACAGGCACTCTGTAGGATCTTGGCGTAGCATCCGCACACCTGGGCAAAAAACAGACAAAATATTTCATTAATGAGATGTTGGCTATAAGTTACATCATCCAGGCATGAACATGCACATACTCACCTGTAAAGATGTCTGCAATACCCTTGAAGTGGGGGTCTGCTGCCCCCCATTCTTTGTACAAGTCCCCCAGCTGCACATTCAGCTGAAAGTAATCTCTCAGCAGTTCTTCTTCCTCCTCAGTATTTTTCAGTGCAGTCACAGGCAGCGGCTCTTCCTCAATCTTCCTCACAGCTCCTTTGAAACTTTTGCAGGGTTTGTTTTCCAGCTGCGAAGGGTCACCACCAGCTCCTCTAACCCTGTCCCTCTTCTCTCTCTGCTCCTCGTGGGTATTGTAAACATAGTACCAAACAGTGTCATCTGTTTGAGTCAGAGTCCAAACTCGCCCTCCCATCACGCCAGTCCAGTGACATTCTGCAGTTTCCTTCCAGCTGTGGGTTCACATGTGTTACACAAAGATATAGATAGCCATGAGTAGGGGAGAAACCTCATGTTGTAGTTCATAGATACCACAATTGATGTATAAAACAAATTTAAAATGATCTTTTTTGGTCTGAACACAAATCTAATAAAACTTATGAAAGACTAAATTCATTTTCAAGAGTGAAAATGTTTTTTGTTTTTTTTTAGAAATAAATATCTAACCCCTTCATATTTGTGCTTCTAACCTTCTCAGACTCCATGAATTGATGCCCATCGCCTAAATATTTGGTCACATGATCAATTTCTTTTACCATTTCCAAGCAACAGGAGGTGGCTCAACTTACCCCACTCTCCCCTATTATAGGTTTATTTAGCAGTTGTCATGTTGATCGTGATGCACACCTTTTTATGGCCAACCTACCGGAAAGTTTGTCCACAGGCAAGAGTAAGATCCAGACGCAGTTCTGATTTCTTACAGGCCAGAGATTTCCACATTTTGGCCCCACATGATAAAACCGCATGTTTTGCCATGACTATCTTAACGCTAACGGCTACGTAGCAATCAAAAGGTTAAAAAACAGCAAACTAACCTACAAATGTCCCTGTTTCACGAAAATCATCGTATTTTGACCAAACTAAACGAAGATAACCTATTTAAACGGACAGACATAACCGTAACATTAGTTTCTGTGCACAATTCATGAGCTGCACCGCAGCCACCAACAGTATGTAGTTTTCAAGTCAGTATTTGATGGACAACAAAAATCTTACCCTGCGTTACTAAACTGAGCGTAACTGATAATTAAACCTTTAAACACAGCACAGCTTAATCGTTTATAATCAGAATTGAATCCAGTATTAATAGTAGGTGAATGTTTTGATAACTTCCTGTTAATTTCTCTAACGTCAATCTGACGCAACATTACATAGAGTCGGTCATCTCCACTATGATGTCAACACAGCAGATAATTGGCCCTCTTGCTCGTTGTAGGCGGTCCCTCCAATCAAACTTGCCCACGATTGGTTGATTCTATCCATGTCTGGGGTATTCCATTGGTTAGAACATTTTTCTTTTGAGATGTACAGGAAGTCGGCTGTCTCTCTTTCTCCGAGTACAGAAGCCGTGCGAGGTGGTGGCGTGTCCGGGTGGCTCTGGGTTAGCCGGTGAATAAAGTGGAAAAATGGCGGATACATTGGCACTTTTCACTTCAATTGGACTAAGCGAGCAGAAAGCGAAAGAAACTCTGAAGAATGAGGCGTTGAGTTCTGCTCTAAAGGACGCAATAGTCCAGGTGAGAACGGGTCTATGTGGAAACTACAGCGAGGAGGGACAGCTGGGCACTCTGCTTGACAGACACTTTTGTATTCACTTTCAGTTTTATTCAGCTTTTATCAAAAGTCCCATCAAGGAGGGGTCATTTTGGGTGTTTATTGAAGTTTAAATGGATGTTTTGGGCGGGGGTTCATTTCCCTTTCCTTTTTAACATTCCTAAGCTTGTAATTTTTCAGCCCTCCCTGGATTAAAACCATCCATTTAGACAAATTCACCCTGTGATCAAGGCGAAAAATGTCTCAAGTTTCTCTTCACTTGATCCAAAGGCTCTTGTCCTACACTTCCTAAATCTGAAAACAACTAACTCTTGTTTCATCTCACCTGTTTCTATAGGCCCAAAATGTTCGTGGTGCATCAGGACTGGACAAAGCCATGGGCACCTTGCTGTATACTATGACATCTCGTCTAAAAGACACCAAACGCCTGTCATTCCTGTCAGACAGCATAGCCCAGTCCAAAATCTGTACCGAGCTGCAACTTGCAGGTAATTCTACATGTTTATTATTCAAATTTATTTTTATGGCATTTTCAGACAAAAAATGCAGTTCAAAGTGCCTCACGGGGCTAAAAACAACAATTAACAACAATAAAACCTGACCCTCCCACACACCCATCCATGGACACACACACCCAACGTCACTCACCCACACAAGCACACACAGAGTGAGAATTTAAGATATATAGTTAAAGAGACATGGCCTGACACCGAGACATTATGTGAGGAAAGAGCTACCTATGGAAACACTGGAGATAAAAGAATAAAAAATGGTAAAAAGAAAGACTAAAACCTGACTGAACTGCACTGAAACAAAAAAAATAATATTAAATGAACAGATAAGTAATAGCTCTTTACTGTGTAAAAGAAGTGAAAATCTGTATGACGAGAATTAAGAAAAAGACTAAGAACAGAGATAATTAATAAAATGACATAAAATAAACATGAAGAACTTCAATTGAAATGGAAATCTGCAAAAGGAGAAATATAAAAAGGCAATCAGTGAAAAGCCTGGTTCAAAAGGTGAGTCTTGAGCCTCTTCTTAAAAACATCAACAGTCTCTGCAGCCCTGAGGCTCTCCGGCAGGCTGTTCCACAACAGCGGACCATAGAAACTGAAAGCCACCTCCCTGTGTGTTTTTGTTTAAACCCAAATGTTTCAACCCAAGCTTAATTTCTTTGAATACTAACCCAGCAGAAATGACTATCAGCTAACTTTTTATTTGAGTATTGTAATACATGTGATTTGAATTGCTTATTATCTACAAAATTTTATGAATGATTCATAAAAGGCTGGGTACATATGTTAATGGACCGTCTGTTTTGCAGCTGCATTGGAGTTTGTGAAGAGCCACCCTCAGGACCCCATCAACCAAAAGGAGTTTGAAGAAGCATGTGGAGTGGGTGTGGTTATCACTCCAGAGCAGATTGAGGATGCAGTAAGTGCATGACCTGACATCTCCATGAAGTACGACACTTACAAGTAGGGCTGGGCGATCAAAAATTCGAAAATTAATTTCCCTCGATATCAATATGCTTTTCAATAGTCAGCATTCTGCCATGTTGTGGTGAACTATATGAATAGCCTATGAAAGGCGAGTTTCTCCGGGTCGCGCTGCGCTGAGCCAAACATGTGCTGAATTAGAACCAAGTAGCAAACAACGTGTGTGTGGGTGTTGTGACAGTGATGAATTTTATTTTTACAGGTGGAGAAGGTGATCAACAAGCACAAGGAACAGCTGTTAAAGGAGAGGTACCACTTCAACACGGGACCGCTAATGGGTATAGTCTTGTTCTTTATGGAGCATTGTTGTGACTGTTAAAGCCTATCAGAGACAGTGTCTCAATGAGCTTTTATATGTGTTGCAGGGGAGGCACGTGCGGCTCTGAAATGGGCTGATGGAAAGGTGATAAAAAATGAGGTCGACATGCAGGTGTGTTTTTCAAGTAGTACAAATTGAATAACTTTCATTTGATTTTATGTTCACATCTGAGGTTCTTCTTAAGCCTTTCCTACTGTGTAACATAACATGATTTGTCTTTGTCTTTTTAAAGGTTCTACATCTCTTAGGCCCCAAGACAGAGGCAGACTTGGAGAAGAAAGCTAAGGTAGACATCCTCCTTTGTTTAAAAGAAAATTTTCCAAGATTAGACTACACCCATGATTAATCTCCAACTACTTTACAGCCCCAGAAAGTTAAAACTGCAGAGAATGAGCCAAAGGTGAAAAAAGAGGAAGTGGCAATGAACGGTAAGCTGCAAACAGCATACACGGCAGAGTGAAAGTGTTGATAGTCTCTGTGTACCAAGTGGCGTGTTTGTTTGTTAACTTCGCTTGTTCTTTGATGGCTGAGTAGGCGAGGCGATGACAGGGGAAGGAAAGTCACTCATGGAGCAGCTTCGAGGCGAGGCACTGAAGTTCCATAAACCAGGTGAGAAGGAAATGCCTGGACAAGAGTGCAGATGCAGCTCTGATTGTTGTTTACCTTATAAAAGCTAATTACAGTTTTCTGCATCCTCTGTCTTCAGGAGAGAACTATAAAACCGAGGGCTATGTAGTCACACCAAACACGATGAACTTGCTCAAAAAGCACCTGGAGATCACTGGTGGGCAGGTACAAATCTTAACGTGTTACTTTAATTTTGAGAGGAGATATATTAGGTTTGAGGTAATATGGTATTTTAATGTTTCTCCTTACATTTCTTTTAGGTACGCACTCGTTTTCCTCCTGAGCCTAACGGTATCCTTCACATCGGACACGCCAAAGCAATCAACTTCAATTTTGGATTTGCAAAGGTACAAGTCTTTCTGTCCTTTATTATCCCTCTGTTAGTCTGGCTGTTTATTTTTCTAACTCTGTCCCTTTCCACAGGCAAACAATGGGATTTGTTTCTTAAGGTATGATGACACAAATCCAGAGAAAGAAGAGGAAAAATACTTCACTGCTATCAAAGACATGGTTGAGTGGCTTGGTGAGTTTTTAACTTAAAGATACTGTGAGTGACTTTCAGTTTGGGTTGATTTTGGTGCCCCCCTGTGGACAAAGTTGCTGTCTTTACTGATCATGTCCTATTTAATTGTAATAAGTTATTTTTTCCATCTCATCCTGCTGCTTGACTTTACCCTCTAATGTAGTACGGCAAAAGACAACAGTCATGAAGATAACTTAGTAACTTTTTCTTCTTCTTCATCTAGGCTACCAACCTTGTGCTGTCACGCATGCATCCGATAACTTTCAGCAGCTCTACGATCTTGCAGTGGATCTTATTCGGAGGTATGAATATGAACTTTGTGTGTTAGTCAGTGTTTAAAAAGCATACTCAAGTTTAACACCATTTTTTGATGTCCCAACAGGGGTCATGCCTTTGTGTGCCACCAGAAGGGCGAGGAGCTGAAGGGCCACAATGTTCCTCCATCACCATGGAGAGACAGACCCATCGAGGAGTCCCTGGTGTTGTTTGAGAGGATGAAGAAGGGGATGTTTGCGGAGGGTGAGGCGACGCTCAGGATGAAGATGATCATGGAGGATGGGAAGATGGACCCTGTGGCCTACAGGATCAAATATACAGCTCATCATCGGACAGGAGATGAATGGTACACAAACAGGAACTTATTTTGCCCAGGGAGTGTCATTAAAAGCAAAAAGTTTATCATAACTGATTTTGCTTTTCTTTACAGGTGCATCTACCCAACATATGACTACACCCACTGTCTGTGTGACTCCATTGAACATATCACACACTCGCTTTGTACCAAAGAGTTCCAGGCCAGGTATTCATAAATTCTTCTAAAACTACTCGATAGCATACAGAGTCTTGCAAATATTGACCTTCTTATTCATGTTTATTGCAGGAGGTCATCATATTTCTGGCTGTGCAATGCTCTGGATGTGTACTGCCCTGTCCAGTGGGAATATGGGCGCTTGAACCTCACCTACACTGTTGTGTCGAAGAGGAAAATCATCAAACTGGTAGAGACAGGAGTTGTCAGGTAAACTAGCATTTCTCAAGCATTTTCCCCCCAGTTTGTTCGTTATTTATGAACTCAACAGTCTGCATTGTCATAAATGTAATAAAAGGGCCATAAAAGGCGAAGCAGTTGCTCATCACTGTATTGAAATTTCAAGGCTGAAACAGCTGTTGAAGTCAGAGCTCTATCATGTCCCACATAAAAACTGACACTGAAGCATATTTTCTGTCAGCCAGACGTATTTGATCCACATTTATGTTTATGAACTCATGGTTAGCTTTTTGTTATTTTTAGTCTTTCCAAACCCACTAAAGCTTTTACTTTCTTTTACTGCTAATTGTTTTAAAATACACAACCTGTCAGGCGACACACACGATAACACAATAATTCTGTTGTCTTTAAAGTGATTGGGACGACCCTCGGCTCTTCACCTTAACAGCGCTGAGAAGAAGGGGTTTCCCATCAGAGGCCATTAACAACTTCTGTGCCCGGGTATGCAGATGGTGTAGACAGAGGTAATTTCACATGCAAAGATGCGTCTGCTTTTGTTCTAATATATTACATTTGGTGATAGGTTGGAGTCACGGTTTCCCAGACAACAACAGAGCCTCATCTTTTGGAGTCGTGTGTGAGGGACGTGCTGAACGAAACAGCACCCAGAGCCATGGCTGTGCTGGAACCTCTAAAAGTCACCATAATTAACCTTCCTGAAAACTCAAAGGTTTGTTTCACATTCATCTTCTCTATTCGGCCTTGTCATACAGCATTCATTCTGCTCTCTACATCATATTGAATGTCATGGGTTGAATTTTTCCTGTTCTTCTGTACCACAGTCGGATGTACGGGTACCAGATTTTCCTGCGAACGAGGCAAAGGGCAGCCACACTGTACCGTTCACAAAAACGATATTCATCGAACATAGTGACTTCAGAGAGGTAAGAAAGAGAAACAGGAATACTTCCATGATACAGAAACTTTTGGATTGAGGATGGATGATGCTGATGGACTCATTTTACAGGTGATGGAAAAGGGCTACAAGCGTCTGACCCCAGATCAGCCTGTCGGTCTGAGACATGCTGGATATGTCATCTCTGTCCAGAAGGTCATTAAGGTAAGAGTCTGGATTTTCAGACCAGATTTGGCGTGGATTTGTAATGGCATAGGCAAAGAATGCATGCGATATGAAGAGCTAGAATGTCTTTAAACAACTCCATCATTTAGGCAGTAGAAGTAAGTAGTATAAGTATTCTTTGCTAGCTACCTCAGAGCTTCTGAAACGGCTTACTTCACATTCCAGCTGGTTCATATTCTTATTGCATGTCTTGCTGATGTCCACTGTCCCTCAGGATGCTCAGGGTAAAGTGGTAGAACTGGAGGTGACTTGCTGCAGCTCTGAGACTGCGGAGAAACCAAAGGCCTTCATTCACTGGGTCAGCCAGCCGCTGGTGTGCGAAGTGCGTCTCTATGAAAGACTGTAAGTCACACAATTTCTCAGCTCCTTCCCCTCTATCACTTGTGTAAAAACTCTTTTCAAAGCATTCTTGCTGTTTTTCTAGATTCCTCCACAAACACCCAGAAGATCCATCTGAAGTGCCTAATGGTTTCTTGAGTGACATAAATCCTGTGAGTAACTCTGCAGCACAGTTTTAAAAAATGGCCTGTTTGGATTCACTGAGATGTTTGAGTGGTTAAAGTGGGCATTTTTTTTGTCACTCAGAATTCCCTGCAAACCATCAGCAGTGCCTTAGTGGATATCTCAGTCAAAGGAGCAAAAGTTTTGGACAAATTCCAGTTTGAGAGAGTCGGCTACTTCTCCCTGGACCCTGACAGCACTTCAGAGAAGGTACAGCTCAAAGAAAATGCTCTTACCTCTATAATAAATCAAGTATCTGCTCGAAGCTCTAATTTGAGCTGGTTTAGCCACTCTGTCAAAACACTGTAATCTGTTCCTGTAACGTGAATATTAAGTGTCTTCTAAATCATTCTGTCTCTTCAGCTCATCTTCAACAGGACAGTCACCCTCAAAGAGGACCCCGGGAAGATCTGATGGACTGAGATCATGCCACACTTCTGCTTCCTATGAGCCCGCAGATACATCCAAATCACGAGCAGCACTTAATGTGTAATATCAGCAAGCACACGGACTACTAAAATTGAGATTGAGTTGAATTAAATAACAGCTACATATTGTAAGAACCAGTCATAATGAAATTGGAAAGTAAAGATTGTAGATATTTTTTTTAAGTATCACATTCTCAATCTCAGGGTTGGTCAGTCAGTGTTGGTTTGTCTTTATTATTTTTCTATAAACGCTCCAATTACAGAAACATACGGTTTTTCTTCTTTGCTGAATGTATGCAATTTTGGATTTCCTTGTCCAATAAGGAATATTCTCTTATATTTCGATTTAATATTGGCTTCTGGATGATGTTACACAGGTGCTTCAAATGCCATACACAACTTTTTACTGAGGTGGTAAGTCACTGCCAAATTGCCAGAGTGGTTACTATCTGTCCTTTTTACAGGAAATGAGAATAAATAAAATAGGACGAAAATCTATGTGTCTAATCTGTTTATTTTCACGCATTTTAGTGCATCTTGCATGAGCATTTAACCAGAAGAGACAAAAACTGGGTGAGGAATTTCAGGGGAGAGCTGTTCTTTATTGTAGAGTAACTAATGGAATGAGAAAAACATCTAGTTTGTCTCAAAATAAATCACATTTTATTGCATTAGATGTTGCTGAGCAGGTAGGATTGTTTCATCACTTTTTGGGGGGTTGTCTGAATCCTTTTACTGACGTTTAAATTGATAAAAGACACCAAAAACTCTCTCATCCAGCTTTTGTACAAGTAATACAGTAAATTAAGACTAAATGTAGAATATTAAGAATTTATAATATAGTAGGTATGATATTGTAGACCTTAAACCTTAAAGAAAATGATATTCCAGCTGATAGAAGGTCTAAACAGACAACAATATGAGAAATGCAGACCACGCTGAAGTATTGTCCGTGGGAATTAACCCTCAACTGCCCAGAGCCTCCAGGGCACCAACTAAATGCTCAGAGGATTTCCTTGGGACCACCTTAAAAGATTCAGAACCCAGTGAACCACTAGGAGCCTCTGCCTGGCAAAACTGGCTTTTAAGGTGGACTGACATCTACCCTGAATTCTCCTTTATTTAGCTGGCATGTGACGCCTTTAAAGAACTAGCCTACAAGCGTCAGGTATCGCGATGTCACGGTGCGGAAACATCGCGACAACACGGATGAGCTACAAGCCGCTTGCTTATTGGTCTGGAGGTAGTGTTGTAAGATGGCGCCGAGCGAAATATGAGTGGTTGAGAAAAAGAAAAACTACTAGCTTGGCATCTAGAGAAAACAACGCGAATTACGCAATTTACCAGCCTTGTCGAAAGGTCAGTAGCACCTCGCGTAGCAACTTGTTGAAAGATTAACGCCGTCAAGAGGGCGAGAATATATTCGTGAGTCGCTCGAGCGTTCGGCCCGGTTGAGGAAGAGAGGTTAGCTCACGCGCCTGTGAGAGTTAGCCTGTTAGCCTCTAAAATAACAGAACATGTAATAGGTGTATCCTGAACGACAGTGGGGGGAAACACCAGCGTGTGTTGCATGCAAATTGCATATAATCTTCTTATTCGGTGCTAAACAACCTTAGAGTGATGGCATCGCTGCACTGTCCAGAAAGCTGTCCGGGTTTTATTTGCAAACAACACGCGGCTAGTTAGCAGTGCACCTGGCTAACCTAGCTCGTTGTGTAATCAGCTGCTAGATTAGCCTTCATAGAGACATTGCACCACGCACTTGAACGTAACTCGGCTGTTGTGTAAATCTTGCATGATTTCATTCTGCAGCAGTTTTCACGGCAGCTTTGAATACTGCATCGGATTTGGAAAGTGGCCGCGCTTTTGTCCCTGCTCGCACTCAGATAGATTTAACCCTTTCCTATTACCACTTCTCTGTGCTGCCACTGGACAGCCATCGGCGGATCAGTCTATTACAAGTTTCAACGTAGTGTTTTGTTTCATTTTGCCATTAATTTCAAACATCTCTAAATGAAACTTTCCCAAATTGTAGATCTCCTGCATAGAAGACAACACCGTCTGCAGTAATGAACAACTCTCTGGATGGCACAGGCTCTTATGAGGAGCTTGTGAGGCAGAAAGCTCGGAGCATCCCTCAGCATCGCATGAAGGAGTTCCTTGAATCCTTGGCCAACAAGGGTCCAGATGCCCTGCAGGAGTTCAGCCAGCAAAGTGGAGATACTACAACTACCACCACCACCATGGTCTATCAGCAAGAGGCGAATTGCATCTATACAGACAGCACAGAAGTGGCAGGCTCGTTGTTGGAGCTGGCTTGTCCTGTGAGTTTGTGCACTAAAAAGTCCAGGTTAATAAGTTGAACAGGACTTTTGTTTACGCAGCTCTCTAAAGGATACTGTTTTCTGATGCAGGTTCAAGTGCAGGTCCAACCACAGCAGCAACAGATACAGGAGTCAACGTCCCAGCAGCAAGTTGTACAACAAGCAGAGCAACAGATAGTACAGGTTATAAACTCTTTCATCATACCTGTGCATTATGTGTATATTAGACCCACGCTTAAAGGGATATTCTGGCGTAAAATTAAGTTGGGGTCAAACACACTGTAACACTGTGGCTGGCACCCTATATGTACTGTTAATGAAGTTAGGTGCTGTTCTGAGTATTATTTGTGGTTATAGAGTGGCGTTTTGGTTGAGGTTTGTTTTGTTATTACTGAAGTTGGTATAACTAGAGAAGCAAGTGGTCGGCAACATTCATCTTTTGAGGGGTGTCTAACTCGGTGTTGCAGTGTGTTTGATCCTGAATTAATTTTACGCCGGAATATCCCTTTAATGAGGACTATTTAGTTCCAGGATTTTAACTCTTAAGGAATTAAATTGTTTGCTGTCAACAAAATATATAACATGAGGATTTTTACCACCCCACAAGGGTTCAGTTAACTATGTCAAGCTGAGAGCCTAAAGCTTCTAAATTTGAGGTGCTGTTACTAATATAAACTTCTTAATGCCATCTCCATATTTAGGTGCAGATCCAGGGCCAGCAGCAGGGTCAGATGCTGGGTCAGGTCCTCCAAGTGCCCTCTGGCTCCCATCAACAGCTTCAAGGTGTGACCACTGCACAACTGATTCAGCCTGGGGAACTAACTGAGGAACAGCAGCAGCAGGTACACACATGCACAAAAATACACCACCCATTTTAATGTCAGAGTTAAAATTGATCTCTAATTATCATCTTCTCTGTGTTGTAGCTGCAAGCACAGTTGGTGGCAGCCGTTGCAGGAGGACAACAAATCCAGATCCAGACAGTGGGGGCCCTCTCTCCTACCCAGCAGCAGGACAACACAGAGAGGAGAGTACTGGGGACTGTTGCAACATCACAGGGGGCAGGTGTCCTCCAGCCGGCCAAAAAGCGCAAGGTTGACATGCCCATCACTGTGTCTTATGCCCTGCCGGGCCAGCAGGTTGCTACAGTCCTTGCCATTCCCCAGGGACAGGGTCAACAGCAAAGTTATGTGTCCCTACGGCCAGACCTCCTTACTGTGGACAGCTCCCACCTTTACAGTGCCACCGGCACCATCACCAGTCCCACGGGGGAGACTTGGACAATCCCTGTCTACTCTGCTCCTGCTGGTTCTGGAGGCCGTGAGCAGGTCACGCACATTGCCATCCCCCAGGAGGCCTACGGCACCGTGCAGGTCGCAGGGGCAAACACTACAACAATGACCACAATGCCAACACAAGTTACTGTAGAAAATGACAAGCTGAAAATCCCTGCCAGCCAGAGTCAAACAGCGCAGGCTGTTTCCAGCATTACAAGCTCTGGAGGAATGGGAGGCCAGGAGGAAGTGGTGCACACATTGGCTGCAAACACGCTTTTCCCTGCCCAGCTGATGAACGGGAACATCCACATCCCAGTGGCAGTGCAGGGCTACTCTAATGCCACGCAGTCTCTTATCTGGGATCCACAGCAGCAGGTTCTGCACACACAGGGGCTGACAGGGCAGGATGGACAACAGCTGCAGGTAATTACCCGGGGGTTACCTTTTATTGTGGTTTGGTTTAGGGCACATACAGAGTGTCAATCTCTTGTTTGCAGAAGATAACTGTGTATTTATTCTGCAGGGTCAGACAGTTGTAGCAGAGGTAGATGGTCAAGGACAGCAGCAGGTTCAGGTTCAGGAGCTGCTGCTGCCTGCTACTTTGAAGCCAGAGGAGGGGCTTGACGTGTGGAGGCTTTGGGCTCAGCGGAAAAATGCTGAGATGGATAAATCCGACAAAAATAAATTGGCACCAATTGGCAGTAAGTGCGTTTAAAAATATATATACTTAATTTTTTTTTCTAAAGTTGAACAGTGTTGTGTCTTAGATTGATTGTGTCTGTGCCTGTGTCTTAGGACGCCAGGCATTGCGTTTCCAGGAGGACTTGGTATCCTGTGCTGTAGCTGAGCTGTGTATGGGCCTCTCGTTGATGACAACAGAGGCTCGAGGGCTGGAAGAGGAGTCATACGAGGCTGATGTCCTCTACTATGTTTTTCTGTGCATACAAAAAGTAAGTTCACATAAGCACGCTGTGGTCAACATCTATTCCAGCTGTGTTGGTACCTGGTTATGATGTGGAAACATAGCTTGAATATTTGTTGTCCTCCTAATTTTTTTCCTGCAGTATTTGTTCGATAACGGTCGCGTGGATGATGTTTTCTCGGATCAGTACTACACCCGCTTTGCTCACAGCCTGCATCAGATCCTGGATCCTTGGAGACCTTCTGTACATCCATTAGGTGATGATTGAAGTTGTTTCATCAAATGTCGAATGCGTTTTGTGTCTTCAGTGATGCTTCTACTTTGTGTGTCGCTGGTCCTACTTAATGAACTGTCCAGAATTTACAATATTCTACTAACATCGTCTCCCAGGTTACGTTATCCCCAGCCATGTGACAGAAGAGATGCTGTGGGAATGTAAACAGCTGGGTGCCCACTCTCCCTCCACACTGCTCACAACTTTAATGTTTTTTAACACCAAGTAAGTTTCAGCAATTTACCCACATCAGTCATCATACATAAATCATTTCCCTGCCCTGCTTGATCGACATCTCTGCCCTCCAAACTCACATGATAACTGCTATAACTCCCCTCTATCATTTTGGCTGCCATGTTTATCATTCGTATCTTTTCAACAGGTATTTTCAGCTGAAGACGGTGGACCAGCATCTAAAAGTGGCCTTTTCTAAGGTGCTGAGACACACCAGGAAGAGTCCTAACAACCCCAAAGACAAGAGCACCAGCATCCGATACCTAAAGTCTACGGAGAGATTCATAGGACAAAAAGGTGAGAGTGCAGATAAATGTGATCAGTGCTTTAGAAAGGTCATTTGAAAGATAAGTGACGATTCTTTGCTGTTTTTTTTTTTCAGTCACTGATGACATGTACTTAGAGCAGCTGGAGGACCCAGAGAACCCACTGCGATGCCCAATCAAACTCTACGATTTCTACCTCTTCAAATGGTAAATATGAAGCTGTCATGAGAGTAACATGGATGAAAACAAAACATTATATCAGATAACCTCATTTATGTGTTGGTGCTCTTAGCAATAAGGTAACAGTAGTTTATTGTTTGAATGTGACTAAATGTTCTTGTTCTAAAACGAGTCATTTGTTTCTTCTTATGATTGCCAACATTAAAAGGATTGTGTGAAGTATTTTAGTTGCTGCTGTCTCTGCGGCTTCATGTGTAAATAAAACTCTTGTGTTAATGTTATTCAGATGGACTATGGCAGTGGTTCTCAAGTCCAGTCTTCGAGCCCCCCCTGTCCTGCATATTTTGGATGTTTCCCTGCTCCAACACACCTGATTCAAATGATCAGCTCGTTATCAAGCTCTGTAATGGCTTAATAACGAGCTAATCATTTGAATCAGGTGTGTTGGAGCAGGGACACATCCAAAACATGCAGGACAGTTGGCCTTGAGAACTGGACTTGAGAACGACTGGACTATGGAATACAGGCTGCATTCAGTGTTCAAGTGGTTAAACTTGTCAGAACATTGTTGCTAGGCAACTGACAGAAACACGGGTTCTGTATAATAAATAACTCCCCTCTTCTCCTCTAAAAAGAAGTGAGCACTTTTTTTGTTTCTCACAACATCGCAATTTGCCCAAGAATAAAAGGCAAGAGACTCATTTGGCCGTTACTGTCAGCGTCCTTCACAACCTGTGAGAACAGAGAAAAGGACTCTTCAAAGATAGAACAGCACAGTACATGTTCACTGTTTAATCTGTAGACCTATTTATTAGGTACTCGCAAAAATTCCCTCTTCTACTCTAAGGTCTGTGCTTCTCCTTGTTTGACATGGTTGTGAACTAAAGCTCCCAGACTTTTGAACTATCGGTTTGACCTGAAAAATGCTTTAAACACCCGGTCAATAAATCCAGCTTGTAAATGTGCTCACACTCTTGTGTTCCTCTGTCAGTCCGCAGAGCGCTAAAGGTCGCAACGACACCTTCTACCTGACCCCTGAGCCTGTGGTGGCTCCAAACAGCCCCATCTGGTACTCCACTCAACCCATCCCAAAAGAACAGCTGGAACAGATGCTCGCCCGCATCCTCGTCGTCCGCGAAATCCAGGAAGCCATTAACATGTCGGAGAGCATACACTAGTTGGACGAGAGGAGAACAATGAAAGGACTAGACTCTTCCTCTTTTTCTTCACCCAGCCTTTGATTGCTCATTATCAGTAGATTTCAGTTCTCTCTCACCCTCCTGTGGTCTTAAAGGGTGGCATGTATATGTTTATATTCATTAAATGTCTGCATATCTTACACATGGACTGTACATACACATACAACCAATACAGATATTGGTTTGTCTTCATGAGGCAATCTGTCAACTGTAACCACGTGTTTATTTTTCCTCCTTTTTTTTCTTCGGCCAAAGGATGTAGTGTCTAATCTTTTTTATTGGACCTGAACTCTAATTTAAATGTAATTTTAACTGCTGGTCTCCCTCACCAATAGTCTGGAACAAGTGTTAATTTTCTTTCCTCTTTTTGTTTTAATCTGTAATATATTTCTTATATATTTTCACGGGTTGGCCTGCGCTATGCTGCTTTTCCTATACACTGACTTTCTTTCCCTCATCTGCCTTTTCTCACCGTTGAGTCTCAGTAAATACCTCTGCGGTATTAAGACTGCATTATGTAGCCAAAAGTAGGCTAAAGGCTCATTTCAACTTTGTGTGAATTGCCCCTTTTTTCTTTGTACAGAAATCACACACAGTGAACTCTGGGGATGACCTTTCTCTGATAGAGATGCTACTCGGTCTGTAGCCCCCCTCCCTCCTCTCCTGCTGGACTAGCTTAGCAGCATCAGACCACATCAGGACACAGACCTGCAATACAGTGTTGTCATTGGACGTGCAGTCGCTAGCACTTGCCACACGGTGGAGACGTGGCAGAGGGAAAACGCAGGAAGCTTACCGCTGCTGGATCCACCTCTCTTTCTTCTGACCATCATGGACCCCAGCCAACCCTCCTTACCCCCCCTAACAGGGGTCTATTGTATCATACATGTTTATTACAAAGCAGATGAAAGACTCTTACAAAGTGGGTTAGCCCTCTTATGTTCTATAATGTATAATACTCATAGCTCCTTCATGTACTGTAATAGGTTTCAGTCATCTAAGGAGAATGGCAGTGCCTGTGTGTTTTTGAAACATGACCTTTTTTGTACAGCCACTATAACATGTGTCTGCCTTTCTAGCATCTCTGCACACGTGTCATTGTGTACCGATAGCCTGCATTGTGTGATTATAAAATGATGCACAATGAGTTTTTCAGAAAATCTGAATAAAAGTCATCTCACAACATCACTTTACCAGTGGTGGAGGCCAACAGAGTATCAAAAAAACAATAACAATGATCTAAACAAACATGGGTTTATCTGTACAGAGTAGATATTTGTAGAAAGGGACCGCTCTGACATGCCTCAGTCTCTCAGGAATCAATTTGCTGTGGTGGCAGCTATGCACAGGTGGCAGCTTCATTAGTTCTCCAATGAATCTGATGGTAAGAGATTCACCGTAGAGGAACAGATCAAACCTGACTGACCGGTTCCTTCCTTAATCTTTCCCTCTGGTAACAATAGGAAGTGCTGCGTCTGTTTTTTCCCCCAGCAGGTATTTGCATGTTGTCAGGCCAGTTTTGTGCCTGCAGGGGCCTGTTGTCATAGCACACTGCATTATTTCTGCAGCTTCTGTCCTTCCTGCCCCAGGTGTAAGTAGAGGACGTACGTTATTTTCGTCCTGCTTGTATTTTTACTTCTCCAGTTCTGAGTTCAGTAGTTGTGTGAGCTGGGATTAAACATTGATGATGAGGGCAGGATTCTCCTTAACATCTGCTGTATTGAATTCTGGGGCTGGTCAGAGGGGAGCATCTGTCGATGATGGTGATGTCTCCTCCGTCCTGATCGGTCCCCTCGTCCCGAAGAGCTGTGGGGACGTTCCTGACCGTGATGGGTTGCATTTGAACTGGCTCCCTGATTTAGCAGACTAACAGGAAAGACAAAACCAATCAAAATCAGGACTCATCAGACAGGCTGCATCTGCTGGAATTGAATTTGCTGTGAGTTGCTGCTCACTGGGAGCATATTTCACCTTGCTGAGGTTCCTCCACTGAGCCAGTATAACAGACAGTGATGAACAAATATATACTGCTCCTGTGTACACACAAAAAGACCTAATGAGGACACGACACCTTGAATATGAATGTTGGCACTCTTTGTGTTTATGTGTGAGGAGGTGGCATTAATAGACAGGCGGAAATAAAATACAGGTATGCATTTAGATGTATAAGATACAACAAACCTAGCCATTATTGGCATTTTCATAACAGCAGGCAGGATGGTAAATAATCATTCTTGTGATCCATTAGTTGTTCAGATTTAATGCGTCTCTACTCTGCAGCCACAGACTCATCTGACAAGTTTGATGCTGCAAACACAGTCCAAAAATGAGCAATAGCTGATCATTTTGGACACATCTTAATTTATTTGATTGCCAACACAATATATTTGTCAATCACACAAGAAGTGATGATGAGCAGCCCAGTTTAGCATCAAGAGAATTGGGAGCAGTTGTTTCTCGCTGTTTTCAATCTCACCAGCTTTATATTTTGACAAAATGAGGCTGTCCAATTTTTTCAGCCAAAGTTAAAATGCCCAAATGCCAAACTTTTCTGCAAAGTGACTTCTTCCTTTTTCATACTCAGAGAACATTAAGCTGGTCTAAAATGTTTCTGTAGTTTCTTCTTTTCTGTTTTTTTTTTGGTTTTTCTTTTTCATGTCCACTGAAGCTGCAAAGAAATCAGTTTAACCTGCATGAAAAGGAGGAATTGTATCAAGCTGCTTTCAATGTTTTTGATGTCTGTTTCAAAATACTGTATATATTGCAGCCTTAAACTTACTATAAATTATCTGCAAGAGTGTCAATAAGCCATTTTTTAACTGCATGTTCTGCTTTTTCTTTCTTTAAACCAGGACCTTTGCATACACTTTATTACTATTTCTACCCAAAGCAGCCACAGAAACATCTATTTTGTCCATTGTAAGGTCATCTGTGGTCTGTTCAGAAGGCCCACTGTCTTTTGTTTTTTCTGATCCGTTCTTCTTATTCTGAAGGTCAAAATCTCCCTTTATGCTAACATCCAACTATTTCTTCACTGTTTAAAGACTGTGTGGACTCACCAGATTCTGGACCATCCACATTCGATGTAGCCGCAAGTCCTCCACAGCAGCTCTGATGTCAGGCTGGATGCCCCTCGCACAGAGTTGCATCAGCCACAACAGTGTCACAAACGTCCCCGAACGCCCGACACCTGCACTGAAACATGAGAGATGCAACATCCGATTGATGGACCTCTGGTAACTTTGCAAGGTCAGACTTTTTTTTAACATAAACACAAAAGGCTTCCTGATGAGAAGGTGAGATTCAGGGGTCACACCTGCAGTGCACCACAGCAGGGCCCAAGCGAGGTAGGGCTTGCAAATGCTGCCGCACATGCTCAGTGAAGGCACAGAGAGAAGATGAGTCTTTGGGGACGCCCCGATCTGGCCAGGTGGGGTAGTAGTAGTGTGTGATTATCCTGTCTGTTGGACAGTCTCTCTGAAACACAAATCCTTTTCTTTATTCTAATGTCGAACACCTCTGCTTCTCTGATTTATGACTGGTACACTTAGAAGTCAGCAGCAGGAATGAAGGTGAAGATACCAAGAGAGAGGTGGCTCACCTGTCTGAGGTTGATGGTGGTGATAAAATAATCTGGACCTTGTTTTCGGGCCACTGTTGTCACCTGGATTAGGCCATAATAAACTGTTCGTCGATCTGGAGGCCAATACTTGTCACATAGCACCTGCGCACAGAAACAAGGGACGAGGTCAGAGAGGTTTTAGCATATTATGTTCTAGATGTTCAATGAATACAATTTTCTGCTTTTTTTCTCTGAGTTTGTTATGAAGCTTAATACCTATCTCACTAATGTAAAACAAAGGAGGTAAAGGTAGCAGCTAGGCTCACCTTGTTCAAAGAAAACAAAGAGAACCTCTCTGCACATGAAGTATGGAATCCCTAACCAGATATGTATATATTTGATTTAATTTTTCCATCTGTGGTGCATTAATCCCTTATTTTTCTTGAGATCTTGACTTAATCTCAAATGACCACGCCTGGTATTCACAGACAGGATAGTCTTAGCTCATTAGTGTTAGCAATGAGAGCATGGCATGTTGTGGTTTGTCTAAGCACAGGTACTTAACCACAGCTTTGTTTGTTTTGTTCACCAGAAAACTCCTCTGTTATTTTTCATACATATTATGGAAAAAAAATAGAGAATGGCAAAATAAATCCTTGAAAGATAAGAAAAAAATATGCCATCAGAAGAGCATGCATAAGCCTCTAAATGTGTCTGTCTCACCGCGTCCTTGTGTTTCAGAGCAGTCACCATGACGATTATCCTGACGTTCTGCTCCCACACCATCCTCCAGAAGTCGGCTATAGTGCTGTTCAAAGGACCCTGGGTGCAGATGAAGTCTCTCTCTGATCCTCCACCCTGAGTGCAGATACATATGATTAAGAGCTGCAGACAGAAGGAGGGTGCAGCAGGGAGGCAGATTTCACAAATGTGCTGGAGGATGTGAATGAGCTCTTACAGGCACATAACTGGCGTTGATGTAGTCGGTGTGGGGAGAGGAGTTTTGTACTGACAGCCTCACCCTGCAGTGGTCATCTAAAGCAATAAAAATCAGATGAACTAAATCATCACAGAATGCTGCTCAAACATGCTGCCATCTTTTCTACCAGAAGTTTTGGACTCACATGGTAAGATGTAAGGATATCTGTTCTTCTCTTTGTTGGCTTCCAGTTCTCCCACTCTTGCCGGAAGGTCTTTACCAACATTATCCAGCTCCTTTTTAAAATCAGACTGCACTTTTAGCGTCTCAGTTATTAATACAAACAAATCTAATTTAACATGAGTTATAGTCACCTCAAAGTCTTGCTTGAAGCCTCGGTTGTCATTGGCTGCGAGGGTCTGGCATCTTAACTGAAACTCCTGCAGGATTTGTGCTCTTGGGAACGTTTGCACCCTGTGAAACATAAACAGCTCATGCACTCAGTTCAGCTTTTTTGTGCCATAGACCTCCAGAAATGTAAATGATTAAAAAGTGACAGTAACACTACTCTAAAACAGTTTCAGCTGAAGCTAAGCATTTTAAGAGAAATGCGGTACTGCAGGACTATTGTGTTCTTAAAAAACAAATCAGTTTTGTTACACAACAGAGATAAACATGCTTTAATCACCTTGCCATGATGCCACAAGCCATTTTTTTTACTTACCTCATGTCTATTTTTGCCGCCCACTTTATCCTTCAAATAAAAGTTTCATTAGATGAGTAGTTATTAAATCATGCTGCGATGGTATCAGTGTTGAAGCTGTGAAAAAAAAAAAAATTTAACTATTATTCATATCCATCCATGTGTCAACTGACAAGTTTCCACTTGAAAAGAGACGCGATACCAGCAAAAGAGTCAAACACTTTTTTTTTCGGAGGAAAACAAGTTGCATCACGCATGTTATGAACATTCCCTCCAATTTCTTCATGCCCTTTAAACTGCTGATACACTCAACCCAATTAAAGCAAATGATATATTCCAACTCAAACTTTTTAACTCTCCTCTCATGTTGTCTTAATACCAGGAAGGCCTACAAAACAAGAACAGGCCAACTCTCACACAGCATAGTTACAAACACTGACATAACAAGGGACAAAAACCTGCTCCAACAGGTTTTTAAGAACAACAGGGTCAGCCTAGAGTCCCAGCACCTTTAGCGGCAAATGATTTTTTCTGGATTACCTGTACAAACTGTGGTCTGCTGTTTGAAGTCGGCAAAAAGCTGAGGAGAAAAAAGTCCAAGGCTTGACTGCTTCTAGTCAACTTAAGTTGTCTGGTTATAATTATGTCCTCTCCCCCTCTCTCTCTCTCTCTTTCTCTCTCTCCCTAGAGGAGGATGTTAAATGGGTGGAGACAGTGGGTGGAGACTGAACACTAAGACCTAGAGGGGAAGTCAGAATTTGATGGCCTCACCTTTTCTTTGTACAGATTGTGTCTGTCAGTCTAATCCCCTCCCTTTTTAAAAAAAATTCACATTGAAGTTGTAGGCTTATCCCACGATTTACACCAGTGTCTAACTAAACAGATATTTGTGGTATTTATTCAGAACAAATCAGACAGAGTTTCAACATTGTCTTCTTAATGAAAGTACAGAGAATGAGTCTATTCTGATTCACCTTTTAAATTGTCTTTTAGCAGCAACATTTACAGCAAGTATGACCAAGTGCGTGCATGTTAGAACAACTATCCTGAGGGTTCAGTTTATTATGTCTTATGTATGGGAGTTGTGTTGCCAGTTAGCTAACAATTCGTAGGCATGCTTTTGTAAGAAGTAATAGAGGGGGAAAGTGGGACTGACGAGCCAGAGCCCCAAAGAAATACATTTTTGTTTTGCAATTTGTTCCCTTAAAGTAAAATAAGCAGGATAAATGGAAACGGTTCTTCGATGTTCAGTTCCTGATTCCTCAAAGTCTCTCTCTGAGGCCTCTCTCACCCCTGTATGTGCAAAATGTGTCAGTCTACCTAGTGCAGGTTAAGAGGATTGATCTGACAGCTGTCAATCAACTGAGCCCAGTAAGTGGTGCTGCACCATCATAAACTCGCCCACAGAGAGCAAAATCAGGGTCTAAAAACTGGCAAAGGGAGAAAGAGAGAAAGCAAGCTGAGAGATTTTTTTACTCATGTGTCCTACACTAAAGCTGAGCATAACTCGCACACATTGCAGTAAAAACAGTCCACTTTGCAGTAATATTTAACTTCTTTTGCACTGAGGTAACCCAACATATTTGATATGGACGGATTGAGTACAATCCTTGAATTTCCATGTGTCATAGTTTTGAATGTGAACCAGAAAATGCAGTCCTTTAATCCATATTCATAGAGTTACTCATTAATACCAGTGAATTTTTATTCGAAACTCTAAGAAATGAAAACAACACTCAAAAAGATGGCTTTAGGACATTTTTCTTCAAGAAGATGATAGTGTTTCTTTACACAGTGTGATCAAATGTTTGCTTAAATGACTATAAGTTGCAAATGTTAAATTCAACCCACTATAATATTTGTAAGAGTAAAATAAGATCATGGGTGCAATACCTACAGATGTTTCATATATGATAAAATGATTGAAATGTTACACTGTGTAGTAAATTCATTGTTGTTTATCTCAAACTGTTTAATGCTTCCAGATTTTCAATGCATTGTCTTGGCTTGGAATAATTTGCTTGTATGTCAAGGTGAGTGAAGTTAAGCAGAGTATAAAAACTCAGTTTATCTTATTTTTACTGTAAAGACGCTCTTTACTGACAATGATGGCAAAATAGGTGTAAAACGAACAAAGCAGAAGTTAAGATGATCATGATTCCTCCAATTTTCTGTGCAGCACAAAGTTAGAAAAGCTTCAAGAGGTGTGGTTTAGTGTGGAGTTGGCCTGTGCTGTGTTGGACAGGCCTGATAACCTATCTCCTCATGGGGTCCAACAGGCATCCAAGCAGTAGGGGAGAGTGGGGTAAGAAGAGACATTTTTCATATTTGTCATAGTTTTGTCTCTAACTACTGTATCTGCATATATTTCAAGATGTTATGCATCCCTGCAAACCAGCATGAATGAGTGTGAACATAACTGTCCTCATAATATAGCATGCCAAAAAAAAGTGGTCTCTTATGGTCAACTTACCCTGTGTATGGGGTAAGTTGACCATAGGAGCAGGGTAATTTGATAGCCATTAAGCAATATACAGTGTAGACCTATGTTAGCCGGCTTGTCTAAACTTGGTCTAAATTTAGATGTCTAAAAACTTTTACTTTTAGACCTGTGGTAGCCTGATTTTAGACCAGTTGTCGAGGCCAGTGGTTCTCAAGTCCAGTACTCGAGGCCCACTGTCCTGCATGTTTTGGATGTTTCCCTGCTCCAACACACCTGATTCAAATGATCAGCTCGTTATTAAGCCATTACAGAGCTTGATAACGAGCTGATCATTTGAATCAGGTGTGCTGGAGCTGGGGAACATCCAAAACATGCAGGACAGTGGGCCTCAAGGACTGGACTTGAGAACCACTGGACTAAGTTGACTTTCAAGAGTGAAAAATGTTTTTTTTTTTTTTGGAAGTAAATGTCTAACCCCTTCACCCATGTGCTTCTAACCTTCAGACTCCATGAATTGATGCCCATCTCCTAAATATTTGGTCACATGATCAATTTCTTTGACCATTTCCGAGCAACAGGGGGTGGCTCAACTTACCCTTTGGCTCAACTTACCCCACTCTCCCCTACCCCTAGTCTTTAGTAGGAATGTTACACATGTGCAGTTTCAATAATACGTGCAAAAAAAAAAAACCTCAGTAATGTCCTCTCAGTTTCAGCTCTTGTCGCTGTCATAAATCAGAGTCATAATTTGATTTAAAGTGGGAATCATGACCCGTTGGACTCAAGATGGAAACAGGTGGTAGGACACAGAGTAAATCGCGCCTGCGCGTCTTTAACAGGACAGTTGTTCCGTTTTCGATTTTGATAAGTTTTTATGACCGCAGTTTCGTCTGACTCGGGGACTGGAGAAAGAGGAAGTAAAAAGACTTTGCTGCGTGATTCAGCGAGATAGAAGATTTTACTCGACAACTTATGCCGTTTAACAACAAGGGAATCTTTACAAACTCCTCTCTGTGGCGTCTATGGAGAAGAAAAGTGTGCGTGTGTGAGAGAAATGCAAATATTTCTCTTTCCGAGGGTGAAGTGAGTGGTTGCACACGCTTCCTGGTCTACTGGACTTGAAGACTGATACGAAGTCCGCGTGTCATTCAAGCAGAGCCAACGAGCCAGCGAACAAAGCCGACCAAAATGGATCATGCATCTCACCTTGACACACACCAAAGCAAGGTAAAAAGAAACATTTGTCGAGTTTCACAGGCTGACACAGCTCTGCCAGTCTTGTCAGCGATTTAAGGGTGCTGCTCACTGATTGACAGTCCGATGACCCGCCCCTTCTTATGACCGAGGACATCAAGTTTCATTTCGGCTGAATCATTAACAAAGAGCCAGGGCAGGAGCAATGAGAGGACTTATCTCATCATAAAAATGTTACACAGATCACAGGTCAAAATAAAGAAACGTACAAGTAGATGAAAAATGAACATTTAACACACATACACTCACTGTAGAGAAGATACAACCACAAAAAGTTCCTCTTTCTTTGAGCTGCCACCAGCTGACAAGTTGAAATGTCTTTGCATCCTTGTAAAATCCCTTCTAAATGATCTTTTGAGCAACATTAATCTCATTTTAATGTACAAGCCTATAATTTGTTGAATCATAGACACACTATAGCCTAAACAAAAACTGTTGCCTGTTTTGTGTAACACTGGAACACTATCACTAAAATGAGTAACACCATCACAGTGATTTTTACCTGAAATAATATACCCAAGAAAAAGTACTTGTCATCAGAATATATCAAAATAGGACAATATATGACAAATTAAAGTAGCTTTCTTTTATTCTTAGCTGCGCAGTATCCAAAGGGAGGGGACAAAGTGCCACGAGGGGACCATATAAAAGTGCACAAAATTACTGAAATTAGGCATTTATGAACAAAAATGTCCTAATCAAAAATCAAAATTTCCTCTCAGATATTTTCAGTGAGATTAAAACTGTGTCTTCTCCCCTTCAGGGCTCCGTGTCGCGGCATAGGGAACACAGCGAGGAGGCTGGTGACATGAGACCCGTCGACAGCTCTGTCTCTTCCTCTCAGGTACCTTTCTTTTTTGAAACTCAGAATCTTTGTAAAGTTGAACAGTTTGACGTAGCGGTTTGCCTTTAATGATTTAGGATGAAAAGAGGGTCATCAGGAGAGTAAGAAGTCCATCCAGACCGAGAGCATGGCTGTCCAGTTCTTACAAACCAAAGATTGCAGGGCAGCCCTACAAACCTCGGTAAGCACGCACTTTGTTAGCTGTTTTCCCTTCAGCAAAATAATAACTTAACTCGCTTGCAAAGTAAGCTACTCAGGATTAGATTTCAAGTGATTTTGGCTTTTCTACAAAGTTTTTTCCCTCTTGAATCAAATGATGCAGGGATTACCACTTCTACAAACCTGGCTTTGGTAACCAAAGATACCATCACTCCACCCACCGAGGTTACTTCCCCCGGAAAGGTTATTTCAAGCCTAAACTCCACCACTCTGCACCGAGGGAACGAGAGCGAGAAAAAGAGAAGGAGTGGTATGAGCCAAGAGAGGGCACTGATGAGAGTTCACCTCCAAAACAAGGAAGCAGTAAGTAAAGGTTTTCAGACACAGCCGGTAAAAACATTGATAATACACTTTTAAAAAAAAAGAGGTAAAATAAAAAATCAGGTGCCTCAAGACTGACAAAATGTCTGTGATGGCAGAAATTTTGTCATGACAGTCATATTTGCAACAAAACTGTGTATGAGGCTCTTTTCTGTCTGACATAGACAAAAATGTAAATTCCCTGAGCTCTCAGTGAGGAAGAGTAAAGAAATGTTTTTAGGGAACATGTGAAAGAACTGCATGAAGCCTCGACCTTTAACCTCCTCCGACAACATTTGCAATAGATACGACGGCCTCAGCTATTTTTTTTGTGCTCGCTGTGTTCAAGCAGCCGCACTCATGCTCTTGTTTAGTGGCATTGGTTGAAACGGAGGCCCCAGGTGCAGGTTTTTTTTTTTTAGACACATTATTCAACTTGAGTCAGCTCGAAGCGGAGACACACAGACCCACACATACACACTTGTGAGCGCATGAACTGAAACAGAAACCGCAAATTTACATGGCAGGCTTTCGCAACATCACATCCAATGTGAGAAGACATAACATTGGGTAACTTTGTAAGATGAGTAGAAATGCTACAGAGTTGAAAGCGATATAACAGTTTTGTTGTCTTTGTTTTTCTTCTTAGATATAAAGTCTGAGTCTCTAATCAAAGTTAATGTGGTCCTGAATTAGGAACTTTTGAGATTGCAGAGAAAATAACACTGAACTATTTAAATGTTATAAACTTTAAAAGCTTAAAAAATAAATCAGCATGTTTGTTGTTGCACATAACCCTATTTATAGTTGTTTTTCTAGACAGGTTTTAGCCTTGATAAGAAAAACAAATCAAGAAATTAATATATGGATGTCAGCCAAGCATCAACCTTCAATGTTGATAAATGAAGTAAATGCAGCAGTGCAAAGAAACTGCAGTTCCTCAAGTTTCTTCTTCTTGATTCTGGCTGCAAATGGGAAGAAATTCCCATCATATCCCGTCTTAAAATGCCCTTTTTTACAGTAAAGTTAAACATGTTTACAGCCCAGTTAAATATTTTTTTAAAAAGTTTTTCGGTTCATTGCATATTGCTCTCATTTATTCATACACAGGGTACAGAGGGTGAACTTATAATGACTTCTCGATTTTGATTTTATCAGACTGAGAGCAACACATGAGTCTGCAAAATTAGGGGTACTGCTGAGTTGCCAGGAGGCATGAATAAATACATAAATAACTCTTCTATACCACGCCAACCAAATATAAATTCAATAAAAATAATCAATTCTTGCCATCTCATGTGTATAAATGAGCATCATTATAGTGGATGTACTCCATACGCCATCCAGCATGATGGTGCACTTCTTCAAACGACCATCGGGTGGCAGTAAAGGCAAATAGAGGCGTGCACATGCACATTTCCATGCACACTTTGCATTACAAATATATTTTGAGAGCATTTGCTCATGGTAGTATCTGCTGGTTGATAGGTAGTCACTCTCTGGTAGCAACCAAACTGCTGTTACGTAATGTTCATCACAAAGAAGCTTTTCCTGAGCTCAATAGATGGATTATGTCAGAGCTGACAGCAGCTCAGGCATTTCACACAATACATCTCATGTAGGCTGTTTAACGTAGTAATATGAAGATAAATGATTTACTTGGAGCGACCTCATTATTTGCGAGTGAAGGGAGAATGAGAGTAAACAAGAGGGATTTAGTATTTGTTACGATTAGGTTGCCTTGGTTTTCAACTAGCTGTGAAGTCGCTGTTTTTGTTGTTCTTTTCCTGGTAATAAAGTGTTGTGTTGTGTTGTGTTGTTTTTAAGGACTGAGCTGTTGGTACTGTATGTTTTTATCTTCTCTTGCACTCAGGCACTGTATGTGTGCGCACACTGCAGCACTGTGGAGGTGTGTGTTTGTGTATGTGTGAGTGTGGAACAGGTTTTTTGTGTGTGTGCCTGAGTGATGGTGCGATGATGGTGACTCATCGCTGATTTGTGTGTATAAGAGAGTGAGAGAAAGAGAGAGAGAGAGAGAGAGAGAGGGAAAAAAAACAGGGAGAGACTACCCTGCAATATATGATGATCCATAACGGAGATGTTGCTTCTCATAGGATCCTGTAGACCAGCTTAGTAACACCAAAATTAAAAATACCAGCAAGTTCAGCTTGAAAATGTACTGATTTACATATTTTCACTGGAGGTGAGTTTGAATAGAAGGTTCTGACTCCAAGATACACCTATAGATCCTGTAGGTACTCGTAGGCATGCTGAAAGAACAGGGAGGCCCTTGAACATGTATTAATAGCTGCAGAGTGCACACAGAATCCGGGTTTCTGCGTTGTTAACCGTGGGGTTTGTCTGTTTTCCAGCGAGCAGACCTTTCTTACCAAGGACCACTTCCAGCAGAGACAAGGACACACAGTTCAGTGTAAGTTCACAAGCAGAAAAAAAAACTCTCAGCTTGGCCAAAAAAAAAAAAAGGAGAAAACCACTTTTCCTTTTTTAACATTGAATGAGAAAAATGTCCAGGATTTGCTTAACCAGCTCTTTTAGAAAATGATTGACATATTTCCTTACAAAATACTGCAAATGTTGTTTATCAGATATATATTTTTAGATATTATTTAACAATTTGGCATTTTTATCCTGATAATGAAATAAAATAAAACACATGAATATCACTGTGATTTTATTAGAATGCCGTTTCCATTATTTGCAAATATACAGCCAGATCAGACATGTCACATGACAGCTGTAACTATCAGTTATTGATTTTTTGATTTGCTGTTCTTATTTGTTCATTAGCTTACAGTACACACATAACAGCTTCGATGCAAACAGCCCAGGTGTTGCAGGAAAGCTGAAATCAGATGATTGCACACATTTCTTGGCTGACCTGAACACAACAAGGAGCATAGCAGCTCATGATGAATCACAGCTGCTCAGTGCTGCAGTGTGGTGAAAGTGAAACGAGGGAAGACAAATAAAAGAACCATTTCCTCCCATCAGGTTTATTAAATGTTGTTATCTGTGTGCTGTTGAGCTGAAGCTGTAGATAATGGGTCAACAAGATTTTTAAAAAGAACATTTTTGATGTATTTTTTAAAATGAGAGTTTTTAGCAGACATCAACTTAATGATCTCTGTGTTTCAGTGATTATGTTTCTTAATGCTATCTTTTAGTTGTGGCTGTTAAAGCAACAAAAACCTTGACCAAAATAACTTTTATGATTATTTATCGCTTTAAAAACGGCTGTTTAATAGTGGTAATAATGTTTTTATAATTACCATGCCTGAATAAATTACTTTCACAATCATGATTATGCAAATCACCTAAAATATAATCAGCATAAGAAATAGTGCAAGTACAGCAGTTAAGCTTTCTGGTGATTAGTGATTTTTTTTTTAAGAACAAGTACAACCTTCTGAGCTCGCAATTATTTTTATTTTAATTGCAAAGTAAAAAGAAAATACTCCCTGTTTATAACTTTTAGTAACATGTTACTGCAGGTTAAAGGCTTAAAATGGGGGACACCGTATGATTTGTTTACAGTAACCTCCAAATCTCACTGCCTCTTGAGCAGCTAGCCATTCAGCAAAAACATCACTTTATATATCTAGTGTCCATTAAAAGCAAACATTAGCGTTTATTTCAAAACAAACCAAAACACTAAAGTTGTGAGTCTCAAAATGTAAAAAAATGAACTGTTTGACTCTAAAACATTTTTAAAGCCAGTGAAGAAGTTTATTGTGGTCAATTAACCAATCAATTAAATTTTATTTATATAGCACCAATTCGCAACATTCGAGCAGGTCTAGACCATGCTCATTGATGAATTATAAAGACCCAACCTTAAGATGGGACACACTTGACCCACCTTGTCTAACATGAGTGACAGTGGCAAGAAAAAACTTCCTTTTAACAGGAAGAAACCTTGGGAGGGACCAGACTCATGTTACACAGCATTTTGGTGATTTATTCTTTGTAAGTCGTTCACAACAAGTGATTGCATGGACACATTTGATCCAGTTTACATATAAAGTTACTGATTAAAAAAGCCTCAATGGGGAGTCACGTCACATACAGCAACTTTACCAATCCCATTACCTAAACTGGAGAAATCAGCTCAGGCTCTGTGTGTGTGCTTTTTTGTACATTACATAAAACTCTACATAACAAAATTTTTTAAGGAAGTGATGCTGTCAAACTTTCAGTGCTTAACACCTCTGTCACTCCTTTCACTTGCATACAGATACATATGCAGCCAGGACAGATTCTGAATTCATTATTCCCTTGCTTCAGTGTACAAGAAGACATGTGGAGCTTCACTTTAGTCATTAGCAGCTCAGTCATCATCAGTGTTTGCGCCCGTGTTCATTGCCAACTGTCTGATTAATGCCTTCCAACTCTCATCCCCGTCTCTTTTTTGCAGGTTTACCACAGCGACCGGAACCAAAGCAGGGAGAGAGATCACAGGGGGAGCAACAGCAGAGAAAGAGAACGGAGCCGAGACAGGGATCCCCCTTCAGCCAGCCAGACTATGGCACGAGACAGAGCCATCCAGAAGAAGAGGAGAGAAATAGACGAGGTAGAGGAATGTCATTACACAGACACGCTCACATCTTGGGAGAAGGGGTTAGTAATAAACAGATAAAGGAAGAGGAGAGATAAGGGAGCATAGGATTAGAGGGAGAGTGACAGAGGAAAGATCTTGGAAAGTGCTGGGAGACAAGAGACAAGAAAAAGATGTGTTTTCTGAAGACTAAACATTAATTTTGAAATGCTAAGCCTGCAGCGACATGAGTGTCATTATTGTCTCCACTTTGTAGTCCCTGACAAAGAAGGTCTTAGTCTGCAATAACAAAATTGATGGTGTTATATTTCTTCATATAACTGCGCTAAAATGCAAAGTGAGTCTGTTTATCCTGGCTCACCTGTATCACAAGAGGCTCCAACACGTGCTTTAATGCTGCTTTCAATGTGACAGACATCACATGAGGCTCTGCTCATCGCCTGCGTGTTTGTGAGAGTGTGTACTGTATGTTTGTGTGTGTGTGTGTGTGTGTGTGTGTGTGCTTCCACCCACCAGACAGAAAAGATGGCCTCTTACTTTTCATATCTCCATGGTTTCAGGATTAGAGAGGCATTCTGAGAAAGGCAGTCTGGCAACAGGTAGCTGATGCAAAAAAAAAAAAAAATGTCCACGAAACTCCGCTTGCGCTCCACGCTCAAAATACTCAGGAATATTTTGCATTAGCATCTTTTGTGGATTGTTAATCCATTCAGTGGTAATTTGAAACACATGACAAGACTTCTCACTCAGCTCATTTGTTATGCCTTTGTCACCAGCACTCCCACTTTCCCTCCTGATTGTCTGTTTTTCTGCTCCATTTTAATGATTTACTCTCAAAGCATTTGTTTGAAAACCATGGATTTGGGTGTCTTGCAGGTGTACTATCAGGAATGTGAAATGTTTGGCCTGGTGGCAAAGATGCTAATAGCAAAGGATCAATCCCTGGAGGGTCCCATTCAAGCATCACTGCAGGAGAACCTTAGGGACATCGGCAAACGCTGTGTGGACGCCATGGAAAAATTTATAGAGGACTATGACGCCAGGGAGCCTTCTCACTAATCTTCCATACGCATTTCTGCCTTCGATCTTCCTATAATTACTGCGACCGGTAAACATATTACTTCTAAGTGATGGATGCTGCTTTTGTGTTTTCTATTGGGAAAAAATGAAGCTTTCAGTTTCTTGGCTGCTGCCTGGATGTAGTCCCCCTTTCGTTGAGCCCTGATTAACATGTTTGACAGATGGAAAGGAAACTCTGATTTTGAATTTGTCATTTTATTGGGACTGTGATGAAAGATAAATACACTGGTTATATTGTTTAAATATTGGTTCAAAGGAGACATCCATCCATCTGTCATGCTTGAACTGTTATCACACGCTGTTAAATTTTATTGAACAACATAGCAAATATGTTTTGGTTTGATATTTGCAGTGATTTAAGGCTTGAGGGACGAGACAAGCATCAGTGGTGAGTTAAATGCTTGTGTTCAAAGTTAATTCTCAGCTCTGATTTGATGCTTGTTCCTAATTCTGACTCATATGCCAGCATGTGCCAAGATTGCCAAACCAAAGAATGATCAAAATCAGCTTATGTCCGTTCAAAAGGGAACAAGAAACTGTAACACAAAAATAGCAAAGACATAATATGGTAAATGTGGAAAACATTGATTATATTGTTTTAAACCACAAAAATTCTTGTTCAAATTCAAATCTTGGTCCCAGTTCTTGAAGTGCACTGAACTTGTTTAAGTTTGAAAGTTTGGTTTTCTCATTTTTAGGGTTGTAAACAAAAACACTAATCAAAATATTATGGGGACGCCATCAGGGTTATTTTACTGTTCGCTAAGAGAGTAAGACCCTCTTCATCTTAATCAAATGATTATGATCAAAGCAACAGAATATTCTAACATCAATAACACATTGGGTGCTGGTGGGTTGGTTTGACTGATAACCAATCATTGGTAAATAACTTAAGTCCAAGGTTAGATGATGACATGCAACTAGGCCACACATAAATCCAACATAGGTTCTTATCTTTCAATATTGGTTTTGCCAAATCAATATCAGTTTTTGATGTCTACCTGAATATTGGTTATGATGCCAGCCAATCACATTAGCATTCAACCAATGTTAGGTTTCACCATCAGCCAAGTGTTTGGTATTGACTTTAATCCAATGGAAAGAAAAGAACCATAACCCACCGCTGGTCTGGTAGAAAATTCAAACTGGTTTAGAGGTTGACCTTGTAAAATTAGCTTTGGGTTTGGATGTGAAACCAACAATATGGACCAATCAGTGAGTCCTGACATTGAACCACTCAAGTTATCAACATAAAACAAATGTGACATTAACCCAACATTGAATTTTTATTTCAGTGCAATTTTAAGTTAAGCTGATTTAACCCTAGTTTGATGACTCTCTTATAAAAGTATGTTTTTTTTCTGCTGAATGTGAAATTTTTGTAAGTTAGAGATGTGTTTTATATTAAAGTCAGTTTGTATTGACTATGAAAAAATCTGTTCTCAAGAGCAAGTGCTTTTGCCCACAGTAACTGCAGACGGCTAAATGTTGCTTCCTGTAAGTACCACTGAGTGTTGTTATAAGTTGTTATGTAAAAATGTTGCAGCCCTGAAGCACCCGCGGTTAATGACTGTATACTTCTATCCTATGTAGGGAAGAAAAGAGTAAAGTTTTAAGTACACTTTAATTTGTGAGACTGTGGTCTTTGAAGACTCTGGGACTAAAGCAGATGCACACATAAAGAAAAGTGTTTATTGAAGTTAAAATAAGAAGCACAACTTCTATGGCAAACCCTGAACACGGAGAGCTCCCATCAAACCACTGGGCCAAATGTTTGGTTATTCTACTCCCATTTTGAAGCCCCATTACTTCAATAAATCATTTTTGACCAGTAAACAAAGTAAACGAACTCCTTTGTGGTCCTCGATTTAGTCTGTGGTTAGCAGTTCCTGCTCCAGTCAGCCAGTTTGCCTTGTGCATTGAGTTAAAGGAACCACAGGCGACCTTCACGAATGACAACTTTGATATGTCATGGCGGGAAAATCACAGATGTGATTGAAAAAAACTCAAAATAGCTGCAGTCCATTTACAAAGAGCCAGTTCCACAGTCCTGTTATTGTGCAGGCTCACTGGCATGGCTTCATGGAGCCATTAACCCAAACAAAGACATTCTTCATTCACCTGTGCTTTCGTGCTGTGGCATGTCAAAATGTCGACCTGAAAAGGGGATTTTAATAATAGGAAAATAATGGAAACTTTGTAAAAGTACCTTTTAATTTTTTTTTTCATATGCAAACACACTACATACTTAAAACCGGCTCAGAAGTTGTGTGCAGTCTGGGGCTCACGTGTCACTCAAGCTGATTCAACACGTATGTTACCTTTAGTGTAACCTCATATAGCCTTAAGGGACAACTTCCTGGTTGTTCAATGAAGTACACTTTATTTTCAGTATGAGACAACGACAACAAATTAACATGCAAGTCTCCCTATCTCTACATTATGTTATACAAATAATGATTCTTTAGTTACAAAATATATATAAATATTTAAGACAATATGTACAGAACATTTACATTACTACAACCATTATTTTATTAAGTTTATTATTATATATACATTAAACAGGTATTGTTTTTTAATACTATAATAATCACTATTTGCAATTGTATTATCATTATTGTTTGCACTATTATTTTATTATTCTTAATCATCTATAAGTAACTCTTAAAATACAAAGCATGTTGCAGAAGAGAAAACGGGACCATACCTGACGTTACTGTGCCTGAATGGTCAAGGAGCAGAGGCTGTCTGGCTCTCTGTCCTTGGTTAAGCATGGAGAGAGCTGGCTATGTAGAGCACAAAGTTCAACAGACTATTTGTACAAGGTGATAACAGGGCTAGCGAGCCAACACTATATTCCAGCAGCATTTGGATTCCACTGAGGTAAACAATGACATAGCTTGGAATCTAGCACGTAACTTTCACTATCCCAACACAATTTCTGGTTTGTCCACATAAAGTAAGTTTCACCGCCCAGAGCTTGGATCACCGAGCCGCGGCACGACCAGTCCAATCACTTCAGTTTGATCAGTTTTGATTTCCCTTTTCCATCTGAAAAGGAATTTTTCAATCTCTCCGTGACATGAAAACACGCAAAGACAAGCACGTAAATCTTGTTATTTTCCTTGACCACGGCGTGTTTAGCGGTCGGTTTCGTCAGTACTTCCTGGTACCATCAGAAGAGTTGTTTTTTTGTCATTGTAAACATTTCTGTTGTGTAAGCCAGCTGAGCTTCCTCTTATGATTAGATCATTCTGTGTAGGTGTACACAAACACTACCCGATGTAGAGTTGTGTAAGCTCACAAGCACAGAAATAGGCCTTTTCTCTTCAACCCCAACACACACTGACACACAATGACACACAAACACACACACAAACACTCTTTATTCACTCTCACTGTCAGCTGTCTCACTCTCACCTTCCCACCCCCTCTGTTCCACCTCTCTGTTGCCTTAACTGTCTCCTTCTCTCTCTTCCTCTCTCTCTCATCTCTGTCACTTTCCTGCTCATCCCTAACCATCTCTTTGCTCTCAATCTAGGAAATAATGCAGTTTTTGCTCTTTCTCCTCTGGCGGTTGTGCATCTGGCCGTGAATCGGTCCGTGCAGAGGTCCATGATGAGTACCTATCCCAGAGGGGCTGTAGCGGTGGCGCAGCTCCTCGTTGTTGATGTAGCAAAGCTGCACTGGCCGGGGGATAGGTTCACCCAGGAAATAACCCTCATCTCCCTCTGACTCAGAGGAAGAGGAGCAGCTGGAGCACCAGGGGTCAGCAGCCTCCTTGTAGCCATCACCCCAGCAAGGCCCACCAAGCCCCACAGGCTGCCAGCCAGCATTCTGCAGGGTGAGATCAGAAGTGGTGCGGGGGCAAGGCCGGTGAGGCGGCTGCCTGTACCCTCCCAGCTCAAGACCAAGAAACTCACGAGCAGCATTACCAGAGGGGAAGCGATCATAATCCTCTTGGACACGGCGGTAGGGTAGCTCTACCATTTGAGCAGGTCGGTCTGCCACAAGGTGCAAGGCATTGTCAGATCGGGAGCGGCGAGAGCGTTTGTGGTGGCGGCCACTGCGGTGCTGCCCGTTACCGTGGTTTCCACGGTGGTGTTTGCGACGTCTTGGTTGTGGTTGCTGTTGCTGTGAGAAGGACTCTTGTGTGTTAATGCGTCTGCGGGGCATTCTGTCGCTCATGGGAGCCATCCGCAGGTTTCCGCTGCTGCCCATCACCCCAACACGACCTTTATCATCAAAGCCCAGAGGCTGCTGGCCATCCCAGTACTGCAGCGGGTAGCCAACCCTCAAAGGAGTGTACATATTGTTGTTGAAGGGGCGAGAGGAGGACAGCGACTCTGTGCTGTGGCACTGGACCGAGGAGCTGAGGGTGCCCATGTTGCTCTTTTCTGATACATTCACACCTGAGTCTTTGCTCAGGTCGGGCATGGAGAACCGAGACAAATGCTCCTGCCTCTTGCTGCCACCATCTAAGGAGTTACCTGCTAAAAAAATGAATCAAACGTCACATTTTTGTATAATTTGGTATCATCTCATTGTCAATTCTACTTTATCATATAGGTGACTTTACCTGTGGCATTGGACATAGTAAGGGAGTCCATGGATCCTCGAGGAGTCTGCTCTAGAGGTGTGAGGGGCTCATTGAAGCTCATGGCATTGATGGGGTTCCTCCTGGTCAGCGGAGGTCTGCCGTCCCTCTGGAATCCATGCAGGCTGATGCTCCTCTTGTCAGAGAAGCCCTGGCTCTGGCTAGGCTCATTGAAGCTCATCTGGGTTCGTAACTTATTAGGCCTGAACTCATCTTGGCTGAGGTGGGTCCAGTTTTCATTGAAGGAGTGGCCCCTCAGGGCAGCCATAGGGGTCCTCTTGGTGTTGCCTTGCTCCTTCCCCCAGGAATCTGGCCTCTTCACTTGGTTGGCAGGATTCTGAGCAGGAAGATGAGCGTTTGCGTTGGGATTATAGCCCTGTCTGAGGTTACACTGACCCAGCAGATGAATAGGTGCTGGAGTTGGGGAGGGTGCCTGCTGGGGGCCCTCATAGGCACCAGGGACATATGGGTCATCCCGGCTCATCCACACCTGGTTAAGGCTTGGGGCGCGGCTTGGAGTGCGACTTGGTGTGCGGTTAGGTGTCCTGCTTGGGGTCTGGCTAGAGGATAGGCTTAAACGGTCCATCTGTCCAGACAGGGGGTCACTTTCGGCAGATAGACGGTCAGGCAAAGGTGGTGGGGCTGACTGGCGAACCTCCCCACTCCTCCGATCCTGCTCAGCATTTCTGCGCTCCTTTTTCCCGATCTTGGTGCTGTGGCGGGACTCACGGGAGCGAGCGCTTTGGAAGGCAGAGTCTGAGGAGTCAGACTCATCTGGATCCTGATAAATCAAAATTAAACAGATTATTATGATAGTTTAACTCTTGTTTCACTGCTCACTTTTTAACTGAAGAGTTTAGATAATATTGGTGTTTTTTGTTACCCACCTGCCCGGCACTGCAGGATCGTGAGCAGAAGATCTGCCCCTGCTTTGGCAGGAAGGGGCGACCCAACAGGGAGCGCTTGCAGTGGGCACAGCAAAAACATTCCTCAGTTGCATGCCAGTGCTGACCGTCATACGTCATCTGGCCTTGGTCAATACCTTTGGGAGAAGGGAAAAAAATGAAAATGAGAGAGAAAGAAGGGATGGAGCCTCTGCTGCCTGCCTTAATACTCCAACCTCTGCTCGTGGGGTGTGCAACTCAACTACTAAGCCAAACTGGTGCCCCAGAAAATTAATTTTTTAAGGCACCAGAAACATGATAATCATTAAAATACACAAGGGGTCCAGCTTAAACAGCCTAATTATGGTAATGTGATGGCAGCTATCTCCAACACTACTGTAAAAGTGGTATTTAATTAAGTCTTGTCAAGTAAAAACCACAACCTGCAGTTTGATTTTAGCCATTAGGGAGAAGGTTAAGCTCATTTTGGTGAAATATACCCTTAATGTTGAAGTGATAAATGCATAAACAGAGCCTTTTTTCCCTCCTAAAGGAGAGAAACCCTTGCTTGATCATTCAGTTTGTAAGACAGTGTGAATATATTTCACCAACCCTGCTCCCCAGCTAGGGAAAGTAATCATCTTTCACAGCCCCCATCTGGAAACAACAAGGGAGCATCTTCTGAAACGCTCTCTTTGACTGTTACTGGAGCTCTTAATGATAATAACCATCCACATCTCACTGCACTGACTCCGCCTCCCCACAGCTGTGACACACACATACACACAGCACTGATAACACCCACACTAATAATAAATGGCTTTTAAACATGTCAGTGTGTTTCGGTATTGGTTAATGTATGTTCAGGGATCTTCTGCAGAAATAATAAACCTAGAAGAGAGATGCGCCGTACCTATGTGCTCTCCACATGCGTCACAGTACTCCGCATAAAGAGACTCGAAGCAGTTGCAGCAGTGTGGCCGTCCATCCTTCATGATGTAGCGTTGGCCGCCTAGGGTGGTCTCACACTCGTAGCAACAGAAGTGCTTCATGTGCCAGTGTCTGCCCTCTGCCTCGGTGCATTCATCAGCAAAGATTATCTGTGTGACCCAAGCGTTACATTAATCAACAAGGATACTCAGAGACTTCGTGAAGTTGAATTGAGGTCGTCAGTTAATGTTAAATGACAGATGACGTTTGAGGTTCATTACGTTTTCATGTTTCTCTAGGACACTGGTGATTGTTCATGTAACCATAAGACATTTAGCGTGGTCGTCCATTAACCAGAAGGTTGGCGGTTTGATTCCCCCTCTATCCCAAGTCTGAATGTTGTGTCCTTGGGCAAGACACTTAACCCACCTTGCTCCAAGTGTGTGTCCTCCACTGGTGTATGATTGTGAGTGTTGTGTGGTGGTGGTCAGAGAGGCAGTTTACCACCACCAAGGTGTGACTGTGTGAGTGAATGAATGATGTATCCAATGTAAACCGCTTTATGAAATCTGATGCATCATTATCATTATTATTATTACTTATAATAAACTAATAGCTTTCTAAATACATGTCAATACATGTTTGTGAGGTTTTGGCAGTGAAACCTCATTGGTCTTTTCTCTCAATTTTTAATTTGGTTCATCTTAAGAGATGAAGCAGGCATCACAAAATTAAGTTTTACTGTGTCCTTGAAATAATTAAACCTTAGCAGACCTCATGTGAAACACGACACGGTGGCTGTAGTAATAATTGGTATCTCAACATGCTCGCCTCGTAAAATAATTAGATAACAAGCAGACTTTCTGAAACATGGCATGGAAAAAAAGAAACATATTTTCTCTCCACACCAGTCTAAACCAAGTCCAACCCTCTGTGCTCTGAACCATTCAGCCGCTTCCAACCCAGAAGGGCTCCAGGCCCAGACAAGCGCACCTCATCACAGGCACAGCAGCGGGGCTTCAGCCTCTCAGCGTGGTGCCGGCCACAGAAGATCTTTCCATCCTGGTAGAAGTAGATCAGATCCACCAACAGCTCTTCACACATGCCGCAAACAAAGCAGTTTGGGTGCCAGCATTGACCGTGACCTGCCCGGGCAGCAAAAACCACTATGTCTCCTCCATTGATTTGACCACCACACTGTTGGAGAGAAAGAGGAAAGGGGAGAGGGAAGGAAATATAAAAGAAAGAAAGAGAAGGGGAAGAAAGGGCACCGAGAGGAAAGATTGACTCAGAAAAGCAAAGGTTACTCAAGGAAAAAAGAAAAGGTCAGAAGAGGACAGCAAAGAAACATAGAAGGACAGGAAAAAATGAAAAGAATTGAGAAAGGGAACAACAAAAATATGGAAAAAGGACAAAATAAGAGAGAGCAATAAATAGGAAAGGAAGACAGAAAAGAAAAGGAACAACAGATGGGGATAAAGAGAAGGAAATGGAAAGGGAAGGATAGGAAAGGAAAGGGTAAAAACAAAGAGAAAGAAAGGCAAAATGGGTGTGAAAGAAAAAGCAAAAAAGGAAGAAAGCAAGTGAAATGAAAGGATAAAAATAGATGAAAAGGAGAAAATAAAAGAGGAAAAACAAATGGTAAGGGAGAGGTAAAGGCAAAGAAAGAAATTAGATGTCAGGAAGTGAAAGGGATAATGTCAGTGAGAAGAAAAATCAGAGAAAAAGATGAAAACAAACCACTTGATAGAAAAAAGGAGAGAAGAAGATGGTCCCTGAAAAAACTATTTGTTCCCAGAGTTTTAATGTTTTCTTATTTATCTCTAATTTATCTAACTGATGAAACATCAAAGATCTCATGCAGCGAAGCAGAGTTTTTAAAATGAGCTGATTTATACCAATAGGACAGAGAATTTAGAGCCTTCAAACTTCTAAAAAGGTTCACTGATATCTGCTATGATTGAAATGGAGGATAAGAGCACATGAGAGGATGGAGGCATGGTTGCTGATTTTACCTTGTCACAAATTGCCCCATTGATGGTGAGAGGGAAAGGACGGACGTTGCCTCTTCCCAAATTGTCCTTCTTGCGTTGGTTACTGAAAAGTATAAGCTCTCGTTTCTCCTCTTCATCCAGCGCATTACAATAACGTACCTGAAGGACACATTATCAGGCAGCGTCATGAGTGAGTGAGTGCTAAGCAAAGTTTATTTATGCAGCACATTTGAAGAAAAGACGTCACAAAGTGCTTTATGATTTATAAAAAAAGTCTTTAAAGATGTTTCCTGATTGGAGGATTTTATATAGGCACAGAGAGGTTGTGTGTGTATAAATGAGAATGTACCTCATTGTCATGTGGTGGCAACTGGTGCAGTAGTTGTTTGATGCGATATTTCTCTCCAGGGCTGTTTATGTAGGGGACCTTCTCTTCAGGTAGGGAGTTATAATACTGATGCACCTGCAACAAACAACATCAAGATAGGAAGTTTTGATACTGCCTTCAGGTATTTACAAATCAAAACATTGACGTGAATGGACATATGAAGTTGACGTGTTTTCTAACTCTTGATTTATTCAGCAGATGTTAGGCAACATCAGCTTTCATTCGTGTTGTTTATGTGCGCACCTCACAAGGGCAAGATTTGCATTTGTGTGGGTCAGAGAAGTTTTTGGCTACTTCAGGCGACGGTGATTTATTAATTCATGGTGACAGGCACACCTAATTTGATTGAAATTACTTTTGAATTAAATGATCATGGTCCTTATGCAAATACAATTTGTTATTGCTCTACCCGACGATATCCCTGCCCTTGGAAATTAGTGTCTAGGATTTACAAAGAGATCTGTGTTGCTGCTGGCACATCCCTGCACAGTAGCAGGTTCTTTAAACTTTCAGTAGCTAATATTCACAGTGCTTTGAGGAAATCTCAGTGCCTCATACTCATATAGATATTAGAATTCATGAAGCTGTAGCACTCTGTAGCCATGGCCTGAACTTACTTGTGTATTTGCATGCTAGTGGGGGGAAAGAAGAAAACCTTGATTGGTAAACACTCAAATCACAGAAAGCAATCTTGTCACTTGTGCGTGATTTTCGGCAAAACAGCCTTTGACTCAAAGTGGTCTTGTTTTCAGTGCGGTGTAAAGATCTATTCTGTTCAAGTTGTTGAGACCCAATTTCCATAATCAGTGGGGTGGAGAGTGGAAGGAAGAGGAAATGTGTCTCTCTAAGTGCTCTATGACCCACCCACATGTTTAATTCTGTAGTACAGAGAAACCAAACCTAATGCCAGTTTTCAAGGTCAGGGCCATTACAGGAGATGAACTTTTCATGAGTATCTTAGGAGAGCATGGGAAGACAGAAGTGAGCTGGAAATGTGAGCGGATATTACCTTACAACTGGGTTTTTCTTTGTCTATCATCCTGCAAAAACAGCTAAACTGTACTATCTTCCTTAATAGCTTTTTAAGTATATTGGGCTGAATTGCTGGAAATAAATATTGATCTGCAACAAACACTTATTTTTGTTAATGGGTATTTTATGGACTTTTCAGTTATTAGTTTCTTGCTTATTGAAAAAAATCCTGCAACCCATTTTTTAACGATAAAATTGGATATAGTACAATGTGACACAATACAGTACAGTACAATATGATACAATATAACATAATACAATGAGATGGGAAATAGTGGATAACAACACCATACGATATGATACAGTAAAGCAGAAAAACAACACAATATGATGTAAAATGTGGCGATACATTTTTTTGCCCCCTATGGGAAAATGTGTCTTTGAGATGATACAATATGGCACAATAGAAGTAAAATAGTAAACAAGATCTGTACTTTTAGATTAAACAATAAAAACCAACATATGTTCAAATAAAGCTGGTTTACTTTGAGGCAAACTGACTTTTGATTTCAACTCGATTTAAAGAGTATTTCAAAATGCTTATAAAACAGACCACAATTAATGTTGAACTCAGTTTACCCAAAGCAAATGAGACCCTTTTTGACAAGAGCTATGATTTCTTTAGAGTGTATAATTATGTGTGAATCCAATCCACTGCTGCTGGGTCAGGGCGGTCATTACTGGCATACGGCAGAAACAGCTTTTTATACGTTTTCATCACAAACAATTCTCAGAGTTAGAAGAAAGTTGGATGGGGTTTTTGTTGACAAAAAAACAACCAACCAACCAACCAAAAAAAACACAAAAAAAATTGTTATACTACTAACAAAAGTAAGGAATAAAATCAGCAAAGACACAAAACACTGTGTGCTTTTGGGTGTACCACAAACTGAAAATTCCTCACAGCAGCTTTTAAAGTTATGTAAAGTTATGAAAAGTTATGTATCAGAATCAGGAGAACTTTCTTAATCTGAGGTTGGTTTGATTTGGTAAAACACATCCCTTCTTGCTCTGAATAAATTTGGATGGACACCACATCGTATTTTTTCATAGTTGAGTAGGATAAAGAAGTTTTAACTATCAGTCAGAGTCTCATTTTTGATCACATGTAGATAGAAGAACGTCAGATGTGGTCAGTGTGTCACAGTTCAGTCAGTCAACCACAACCAAGAACATTTTTCTTCTACATTTGGGGGGAAAAATGGCTTGACAAGCCAATTCCAACAAACATTAACCCTATGTCACAAAATGTAGTTTTTGAAATCTGACAACTCGATGAAGTGTGCTTCTTGAAATGTTGTCAGTGTTTGTCACATTAATGACATTGTGCAGAAAGAAACCCCAAAATGGCAGGCCTGAAGATCATCACATTCAAGTATATTAAAAAAAAAAAAAAAAAAAAAGCTAGAATTGCCCGCACCCCCTGTAAGATTAGAGGCACTGCAGCCTCTTTCAGCATCCTGTCAAGATGGTTGAATGGAGAAAATGACTGTTATCAGCCCAGCCTGTCATCTGTTAACAGAACCCTGGGAGGCCTGTTGTATTAGAGTGCTGCCCTTACTAAATAAAGACAGTCCTTTTGTTAATCTACCGTGTAGTTGAAGGGAGCTGTGTTTATCTTATGGTAAAAGAGCAAAACAAAGGAAAGGGAAAACTAAAAACGACGAGGACGTATCTGTCTCTGGATGTGCACAATTAATTACATTAGCTTGGTCATGCATGCGATTAAAAAGGCACTTTAACTGCAAATGAGTCCAGACAGGCAATAGGGAAACCTGGGAGTAAAAGCACATTTCCAATTAGATTCACTGACTCAAATTACTTTCGTTCCTTTGGATTTAGATTTACAAGTGTTCGACAACATGCAGAAGAAACTAAGGCCTGTCAAACAAACTGCCTCATTACATGGACTCACTCAAACACCCAGATCGGCTCTTTCTCTCAGTTTTTTCTTAAGGAAAGTGTTAGTTATCAACTTGAGATGAGGTTTAAATTCTTGTTTCTTTACGTGAGATAGGACTTGTCTGCATTTAAGTGATAAAAGAGGGATTTAAAGGACATTTACTTATTTCCACACAACCAGTAAATCAATTTGTGGCTCCTCTTTGTTCTTCCTCTGTGTCAGACAGGTATGTCTAAATGATCTGTGTCACCCCTGTCTCCCCCTCCACCTCAGAATGACAAACCTACCATGAAGGGCATCTAATAACAATAACCTCCCCTTGTTTTGTTTGAAAATCAGCTCATTTTCCACCTCAGGCTCATTAGGAAAACATCACAGACACTTTATCAACCAAATAATTCAATTCTTCTGACCAATCCAACTCAATTTGAAATGGTCTAGCTATGCTTAACGAAAAATAGAGCATTGTAAATGAATCGATAAAGAGGAGGTGTAAAGTGTGTTAGTGACTGTGTAAGGTGAACGCCAGCAGCTTTAGAAGAGTGATTGTGTTGTTAGTTTACCTGCTCAGGGCTGAGGCCTGGAGGTACCCAAGCGTACTCCTCCAGGGCACATCCGGAGTCATCATCAGAGGTAGAGTTCCTCTGGAAGTCATACATCAGCTTGGTGATGGTCTTCTCCATCTCCAGAGACATGGCTGTCACAACATGCTCCTCTACACACAACTGCTTCGGTGGACACAGGTACTCCTGGTGAGGAGACAGGAAAGACAGTGTGAAAGGCAAACCTTGACTCTCACACTCTAAAAACACTTGGGTTATTTATTAAACCCAATTCCTGGGTTTTACGTGTTAAGTTAAATTTCTGGGTTATTTTTCAGATCCATCCCCATCATATGGATTCTATTGTAACCCAATTTGAGGGTTATTTGAATGGGTTAATAATTATGGGTTATTTCTCTAAGAGTAACCCAATAATTGGGTCAGAACTTTGGGTTCGATTGACTCTGCATGGTTTCTAGGCCTAATGGCAATTAAAGTGACCTGGTAACCTTGTGAACTTTGACCTTGATTTTATATATTGGGGTAGCTACCCCAGTATGTATTGGGCGGCTGGGGTAGCTCAGCAGATAGAGCATCCAGTTCCCAACCGGGGGGTTAGGGTCCGAATCCCGCATGAGACACATCTGTAAGGAGTGGGTCCTTAGGCAAGACCCTTAGCGCTATGGTCTACCTCATAAACATGAGTGTGTACCATTGAAAGCCATACTGGCTCAGATGGTACAGGTTGTAAAAGCAATGCTCCCAAATGCATTTATCAATTCAACCCAAGATCACGAGTCAAATTAACTCGAAGATTGGGTTACCCTTAAAATAAGTTATCGAGTCAACCCAAAATTTGGGTTAATTTGAATAAACCAACGTTCTGGGTCAAAATAACTCAATAAGTAGTCGGTCCCTTTTCAACCTTTGTTGACCCTGGTTACTGCACTTTTTACAGTGCAGTATTTTTGTTAGAATTAAAGACCTGAAGTTATTTTTAGAGGAGGTGGACCACAGCTGTAGGAAATAAATGCCACAAATTCACAGTAAAAACAATCAGTGATTTGGGTTTGTAAAAGACAAGAAATCTGATTTGATAAAAGCTGTGATACAGAAAGAATGAAGAAGCGATTCAAACTTTTAATTGGTTCTCAATTTCTGAGATTTGTCGAACATATGGGGTGCTTCCAGTTGTAAGGTAAATATTTCAGCAAAGCAGTGAAAAAGTTAATGACATCGAGCAACACATGTGGCAAAGACATTTCACACAGGGATGGAGACACCTGGGATATGATGACGCATTAATATGCTGTAACGCCCTTGTCACAGCTAGAGGTAGCAACTGCAGACACAACCTGAGCTCATGTCTGCGTTGACTTACTGCCGACCTCATAGTTATTTTTACTTGTATTTATATAAAAATCAGGGTTTAGGGTTAGGTGAGGGGGACAATGAATGTCTGTACAAAACAAAAGCAATCCATTCACTCCAAAACAAATTGTTGGATATCCTCTAAGCCGTGGAAAAACAGGGATAGTATACAACCACAATATCATCCCACTAATGCAACACATAGACATCATTATCAGCAGACAGACAGCACTCTATCTGCATTCATGGCTTTACCCGAATGTCTGAGTCGAGATCAATTCAGTCTTCTCCTCCCTCTTGCTGTTTGAGAGGGGACCAGCTGTGCACATTACTGACACATGAATAATTAACAGCACAAGGTATCGCCTCCACCACTTAAGTATGAAAATGAAATGCAACTCATTTTACAAGCAACTATGTTATCTAGTGAGCCAGCAACAGGAGCAAGAATGAGCTTACTTGTCATAGCTTGTTATTTTGAAAGCTGATGAGTCGAGAGATTTGAGAGTTAATTGACGCAAAGCAGAAGGAAATAAATGTGGATTATTACATTGTTGGAAGCTTGTATGTATGTAAAAAATCATTAGTAGTTATTGAGTTGTATTGTGTTGTTGTGGTATTATCAGAGAGTACAGTCTGTTCAATATTAAGTCGTCATTCCAGCAGAAAAAAACAGAGGCATCAGATGGGATGTTTTTTTTCTCTATCAGCAGGTCATGTATCAAGGTTACTGCAGTCGACTGACAAAAACAACACCGCATGATGTTCGGTGAGAAAGTGTGAACAGACTTTGACATTTCTGACTCCAAATGATTTCTCCTCAAACTACGAGACAGGTCTTTCTGGGCATTTTGCAGACAGCAACACCATCTCCACAGCAGATTAGGAACCAGAAAAACAGAGCTTAAGCTGTGGCCAAGGAACAGCAGACATTTCCACAGACTGAGCCAGTGAGTCAGCTTCCATCCAGCAGAGCTGAGTACTGTTTATCTCTCTAAGATGGGTGCTGCTGATTTCTTTTTGTGGATGGATCACAGGTATGTAACCTTGAGCCTCCAGCCTGGCCTGAGGCTATTCTTCATTAGTTTTTGGAGGCTGAGTGAAAGGAGACCTGCTGGGAAGACTGCAGCTTGTTGCTCCAGTTAGCCACCAGTTAAAATGCGACATTCATTGGCAATAAGAATGCAGATCAGGTGCAAAAGACGCTTTGGCTCATAGGGAGGTTTGTATTTGTTTTAATTACCAGGGTTGTTTTGGTGCTAACACTCTGTTGATGTTTTCTTCGACAAATATTTCTGGCAAATCTGTTTCCTTTCTCTAGGTTACATAAGAATGTCTTCTTCTTTCTATCGGTCCATCCATCAAGTAGTTGTGATGGTTTGGCATGGCATGTTGGTGCTTATTTGCAAATAGAAGTTGGTTTAGTCAAACTTGAAGTACCACAGGGATTCAGAAGAACTACAGGGATAATATGTCTCAAGTTCAGTTATCTAGGGTGACCATACGTCCTCTTTTACCATGTCCTCTTTTTTGGGGGCTGTCTGACTCTGTCCTTCAAACGTTTACGGTTTTGTATGTAAGTTTCAAATTTGTGTCATGTGGTCTTACTGAGTTAGAAGCGCATAAAAGACACTCGATCCGACCTGAAAAACTCTCAAATTAACTTTGCGCGACTCCACGCCCCTGCATAGTCCTGTCCTCTTTTTGTGAAGTCAGAAAATGGTCACCCTAAGTAATCATAATTTTACATCACACCCGTAAATCAGACACCTTTCTAAAACAGAATTTTTTAACTGCTCAGTTAATGTATTTTGTACCGGCTACTAGATAACTGGCTGAATAACTTGCCATGATGCTAAAATGCTTTATTACCACCAAAATGACAAGATAGCATCTTGTGGCATTAAGGTTAAGCACGACTTAGATCAAAGTTTGGTGGAGACTGTGTCAGATCATAACCACTCAATCAGAGCAACACCATCACAGGAGGTTAACTTACGCAGAGGACTGATGGCTGGTGGTGCAAGCACGACTAATGTTGGCCACACACAGCCCAACCTCTAGACCTGAATCTTTATTTAGGATTAATTGGTTAGTCTGAACTTTAATTTCAAATTGTAAATAAGTTGCTTCAAAACATCCTTATCTAAATGTGAAGAAAGTGGCAGGTTTAAAACGGGGGGATTTTAGCTTCAGAGATATTGGAAGGCACCTTTGTAGTCGCTTTAAAGCTACCACTGCTTATGCAAAGCCAGGCTAAATAATTCACTAAGCTTCTTCTGACCTCAGATATCTCATCTTCTGTCTCCAGGTATGAAAATTGCTTTTTCAATTCATTTTTCACATTTCATTTTGTGTCCTAATATCCCCTTGAATAAATCAAATATAAAGACGCCCTATGAAATTACGGGTACACTTTTTTTTTTTTTTAGGTAAGACTGGAGCTGTTGTGTTGTGAATGCTAACTTCATGCTAGCTTACAATAGTTTGTGTGATATTACAAGGAGGAAAGAAGTAAACTAGAAATAATAATGATTAAGCAGCCAGTTTGTTGTTTAGTTCAAAAATAAGTGAGACTAATTTTATTTTTGTCAGCATTGGAAAGACTGTGAAGCATGTGACATTCATTTTTCACACACGCTGTTAGGAGGAGGGAATGACAGCCCCGCTTTGTGCACCAGCGCTTCGATTAATGGTCCCTTCACACCCTGCTTGTTAAGATGTACTGTAAGTCTCTACTGTGCATTGTTAAACAAAGACGCAGCTTTGGTGTCAAACTGTTCCAACGTAATAAGTAGTCTTTACAGCCAAACTTCTGACTGAATGCACATTCAGCTGGTACAGAGGGCTGCTGATGAGTGTGTGACTTTTTGACGTAATACACACTTGCTAGGCCGATATGGTTAGTCATAACACACTCCTCTGTTCTTCCCCGGCAACATGAGGAGAGAGGAAAGCCGAGTTGTGAACTTCTGTTCCTTGGAGGAGGCATACTTTAGGCAACTCATAATCAAGAGAGATAATGTTTGGGAAGAGAAGGATAGTGTTGTCTTGTATGATCCAGCCACATTAAAGATGTTTGGAAAGTGGTAAATGTAATTTTATGTAAAGTGACATACATCTAGAAGTAAGTACAGCACAAGCAAGGATCTAGTCAGGAGGAAACACCATGAATTAGAGTCTTGAGTCTTAAAGGACCAGGAGATTGATTAAAGGCTGTCAGACATATTGATTCATGATCAGAGAAACTAATCTGTGAAATCACCTTAGAGGAGTGAACAGATGAAATAAAAAGTGACTCTCTCGCCTCTGCTGAACATCTGTCCTTGCTCTTTTGCATTTTAATTCAATATTTAACCTTTAAACTCCAGTGAAATCTTAATTACTGTTGTTACTATAATGGCTGGTTTTGGGTGCAATTTCTTTAAGCAAGCTATTTTGACAGTCTAAGGCAAAAAGTTTTTTATCTTTGCAGAAAAGGGCACAAACAAGTTCAAGTTTAAAAGATATCAAAAGTTTCATAGCTTTCTGCCTAGCTTCCATTTTTTAAACCAGAGGCTTTGCCTTCCTTTTTATAAAGCTCATGGACCTTCAAGATACAGATTAATTTTCAATCAATTTAAACTCCTTCATTATACAGCGGTTATCTCCATATAATACAAGAGCTGAATTCTAAATCTCAGTGTCTGATTACTTCAGTGAGTCCTATAAGGATGCAGTAATTTACCAGCATCACTATTTCAGGTGACCAAAAGACGCACACACATGCTGCAAACTTGATGCAGTATACCTGCAGAGTCACCACCCAGCACTAAGTAAGCCTAAGTAAAGGTTATACATAATAACTAAGTGATGTAACAGTGATGGCAAGTGACCTCAAGCTCCTAAAGGGAACTATTTGCTGTGTTGACTTTGGTAACCCCTGTGGACAAAGTGGTAGCCCTTATATTATTGATGATTCTGTCTCATCCATGTGAAAGTGGTGTTAATGGCCAATAATATCCTCATGCCGTCATAAGTAATCGCTACAGGCCAAATAACTAAGACTGTTTCTTTAGCATACATAACCCCTAAGAGCACTTAAGGCATTAAAATTACAATATAGAGATGTAAGTCTGTCAGTGATGATCTCATGGGCTTTTTCACATCATAGAGATGCTTCACTGTTCATTGTAGTGCGTTTCACAGCCTATCAAAATCGCCTCAATGAAACACTGAGCTACATAAAAGTTGTAAAAGATATTATTTGTGCTTTAAAGGGTTGCATAGTTCGAGTCAAAAAACCAACTAAGGTAGCAACACATACCAGCAATTCTTAAGAATAGTCATGTGGTTATATTCATGAGTTATGTGAAATGGAAAGGTGCATAATAATAGAGATACTCAGACTATAATCGTACTTTCAAGATCTCTAGTCCTATATAAGTGGGAAAAACAAGCATTTGTGTCCATCATTATGTTTCATTTTTGTCTCTGAGCAGAGATGGTTTTTCAAATCTTTCAAAAGAAGCTACTTTGTATTCTAGTTTCTGTATTCAACTGCTGTTTTCGGGTGATATGTGTAGTTTGATATATCCTCACTTTAAATGTAATTATTCGACATAACAGCTTCTGATCTATCCACTTGTAAGGGCTCGCATATAGAGAGAAAAAGACAACTCATCCACACTGTACCTCAGTGAGGCAGCAGTCAGCCAACTCTAGGTCACTTGGAAAAACTCTGCAAGTTGCCGTGGCAACCAATTGGTGTGCAAAGTCTTGAACAACACTACACTTGTGTCTGAAGAAATGTATGATTTTCTATGATACAACAGAGACCAAACAGAGAGAGATGTGTTTGTGTGTTTCTCTTTTTAAGCACGTTTTTTTTTCTCTCTCTCTCTTTTTCAAAAATCTCCCTTAAAATGTGTTTCTTGTCACACACCACACACCACAGCGCAGTTATATAATGGATATGCTTTGGGCATATCATGTTTACAGATCATAAATCATCAGTGAATCTGAATTGAGTTTTTCTATAATGTGCTTCTTCCGTTAGATCCAATTAGCAGTGTCTTAATTTACACATAAATTAGCCGAGATTAATCAACATTTCTGTGCCTGAGGAGAGAAGTTCTTGTGTAATTGGGTAATTTTGAGAACAAAGAGATGGTGGTGTGCGTATAAAATCACAGTAGCACTGCTTTCAGTGAGTGAAAATACCCCTTTATGCGTAGAGTACCTAGAAACAGACCGAGAAAGAGGAGAAAAAATATCCAGAAACAAAAGATGGAGAGCTGTAGATGCAGTGTTAAGAGCAACGCTTTTTCCTTTTTCACGTGTCATGCTTCACCCACCTCCCTCCTTCCTCCTCCCATCCTCATGTGCCTCTGACAGGCTCTGTGTGGGTGTGCATGAGAGAAAGAGAAGGAGAGGGAGTGATGGAGTGAAAAAGCTCTTATTTATGTAAAAGCTGACATGAGAGGAGGTGCTTGGCTGGAGCTTAGAGGCTGACCAAGGCTCCACAGCGAGGGTAATACCCATAAAAATCAACTGTAAACCCCCTATAACCACAAATACGCTCTTGTTTATTACCATTGTACAACAGATACGGTTGAAGGATCTCTTTAATGTTAGAGGCTTTAACTGGAAAACAGAATCTTAAACTCGATTTAATCACTCCTGTTTCCTCTCTAATACACAAAAGCCAAACAAAAGAGATTACTAATTGTCTCAACAGGTTCGTGGTTGTCAGCTAATCCCGCTGCTGTATGTAGGCAATTATTTCATCGTAAACAAACACCGTGTGAAACTATTTATTCCAACATGCAGCCATTAATCATCCTTTGCCTGTTGTGGACTTGACTGCAGCACCGTAGCAAACATTTGTTCAGGATTTCGGAGTGCTGTTAAACTATTTACTCACTGTGAGCAAACTAAAATCAGAGGTAACTCAGGATAACGTCAGCCTCTTTTCTCTGTGAGTACTGGCTCCACTTTACAACTCTCCACAGTGGCACATGCTCGAGGAATTGGCACATCTGTTGAAATATTAAAACCAAAGTACTGTGGAAAATGTGAAAGATTTGTTAGCTTGTCTTTGTCTCTTCGTGTGTGTGTGTAGTAGAAGTTCAATATGTGTCCTAATGGTTGATTACTGATTACTGTATAAATTCTACGTCAAGACTCCGTTTACAAAACTGTAAAAAGACAAATAGTCCAATAAGTCGCCCCCCATGAGGACAGGAGAATCTTCTGAGACAAATACACGATGTGACAAAGTCCATAAAGGTCAATCATTGGAAATTTGAAATGCTAATTTTCTGAGCTGGCTGCAGGTTTTAGTATCCCTCAGATAGAGACAAAGGAGATGCTTTTTGATGTCTATGTCTGATATTATCCATTGTGTCCTGCCTTTTATAGATAGACCACTGCCAAAGCAGTACTGATGATCAAAACATACTCGCTGATAATTAAAAAACACAAAACAAAGGAATTAAAGACATGATCAGTGAAAAAAGGTCAGCTTTATTTATCTTTACTGACTGAGTTAAAACAGCTTATTGCTCTGTGTGTTCCTCCTCAACAACATGATGAAGAAAACAATCAAATATGACGACTAATTGTGTCAGTAATATTCCAATATTCTCAAAGCACTTCAGATGCTAATGATCTGCTGAGTGCTTTTTGTGTCTACATAAAACCCTCGTGCTGTTGTGAAGTGGAACAAGAGGATTTGGAAATGTATCTGATTAGAAATGTTTTAGGCTGGCAGGCTCAGATATCCACTTCTATACTCTGGTGTTATCAAATGATGTAGGGATTCAACTTGCCGCTTAGTGTCACATGACTGAACTAATTCATTAGCTTATCTTGGCACTCATTTACAGTATCAATGAATTAGATCAATTTACAGGAAAGCAGATGGATTAAATCCAGCATCATCCTCTTCACTTCAAATGGTTTCCTGATGGGAAATTAGTTAGACCCTAGTGACTGAGCATGTCATGATTCAAGCATCACATCGCAGAAGTGAACATTTCATTTTTTCCATTCTTCATATAGTTGCTTTGCGAGATTTTATCTTGATCTTATTGGACAGATTTGGTTTGTATGTTTTGAGTTTTATATTGTAATAACTGACCATTTGATTAAGTCATTTTCTCCTGCCTCGACACTGTGGACTGTGTAAACTATGGACACAGTCTCAGACATGTGACCCATCGATCTCTAGTGTAGCCCGAAGAAGCCTTCAGATTGGCCATCACCACAGCTGTGAAGGTTGCCGCTTGCTTGACATTGACTAGAATTTCCACTTTAGTACCTGCTTCCTTGAATCTCCCTTTTTGTTATGATGGATCTTCCTATTGTCCAATTAGATACGAGAGTTGATATCATCAGCAGCCAACATGTGTGACTATTGGTTGCAGCCCCGCCCCCTTTTGAGTGAAAAGAGTAAATCTGAATTGACTTGTGGTAAATGAAAATGGAAAGTCTGAGGTTTTTAGCGACATAAAAGCTTAAATTTTAATAACCATATTATTAAAGTCATATTGAGAGCTCGAAACTAATTCACCACCAAGTCAAAAAATGTTAATCATGGCTATTTTGATTGGAGATCAACGACATAAAATTAAGAAATTGAAAGTAATGACAGGACATGACAGCTCCTACACACGGATGAGAAGCAGTGTGTTCGCTCTCTTGAAACAAGCAAACATTTCATGAGAAATATCTGAGATTTGAGTAGAAAAATGCTGTGATTGCCCCTTTGTGACTTTGATGACAGAGGCAGCCTGAGGATCCTACTGCTTGAGAGCGCTGTGAACAGCACTTGAAGCGATACGTTTCACCTTTGTATTACAACTGTGTGTGATGGATGCCAGATATTATATTTGGATGGAATGCGTTCACCCAAAAGGGGGCGTGGCTAGTTTTGCAAATGGGAAGTGTTTGCCAGTTGGTCTCAACTCTGCTCTTTTACTGGTTTTTGGATCGGCAGTAAAGTCCAGTAGATGGGTCTTCATCTTTTGAAGACAGTCATGTTTTTTTTGTAAAGGACCTCATGCATTTGTTCTCCAATAGCTGCGTGGTTCACCATCCACTCCATCACATAAACAGAAACCCGGTGTTACAAATCTGGATTATCAAAAATAAATAATATTCCTGTTAAAAATCAGTCACACTGTCATGTCCTCTCACTAGTATTTTCATACATTTGCAGAATAAAAACAAAGCGCTGTGGGCAGGAATGAAACACTAACCTACATCTTCACTAAAACCACTGTGTGAGTCTCCCTACTGGACTCACAACAGCCCCAAATGTCAACCCTTGGCCTCTTTCCCCTCCCCTGCTGACCTTATCTCGATTAATAATAGAGGGTTACACACACTCACACATAAAACCACTCACAACCACACACCTTCAGATCTCTAGACTTCCTGCCTCTATAACCTCTTCCCCGGCGTCAGGAGAATTATTTCACACCGCGGGGAATGGGTGTGCCGGAGCTCACACAACCTTCAATACAGGATAATGGCTCAGGCGCTGGTCACCATGGGTTCAAACTGCATGGTACATAAAGTAACATTTGCTCTATAGCTGTAAAAACGAGAGGAAAAAGCTCAATAACAGCATAGCAACAGAGAAGGATGCTTGAAAATGAGGGATTTGTGATTTGGTGTGTGGTTCAGAATCCTGGATGATGGACTTTCTAATTTTGGTAATGTATGTTTAAAGCCAAAACAGGCGTCCATCTATTTTCTTTAATGCACACAATTAGGGGTGTGTGTGTTCAAGTTTTTGTGCTTTCTAATTCTGCTTGGAAATTCATGATCAAGGATGCTCGTACAAAAACAGCAAATACACGTTCAGATCTTATCTTCTGCTTGAAGCTGGGAATCATCCGTAGTTTTGCATTTAAAAGAAGAGACGGAGAAAAAAACAGAGGAGCAAACTTTCTGGTCCAAATTGGCTGTCAACACACAATCAAATCCAGAATTATGTAAGCCTTAATTCCAGCAACAAACAGCTCTCTTGCAGCGCCAATCAGCTCATAATCCATTTATGGGGATTAAATTCTTACCGCAGCTTATTTGGATCAGGACTAACAAGAAATTAATTGAAAGGGGGGCTGACCCTATAGGAATAAAGCTCGGCGGTTCAGCTGGCAGAACACGTCGGGAAAATCTCAGAGTAGGTGACAATGTCGGTGATATAATTGGGAACATAACAAACACTCAAACTGGTCGTCTGCATTACTCATGCGGAGTTGTCGTCAAAAGCTGGAAGGACATAATTTTTATGTGCCGGAGCTGCGGATCCTAAAAAGTGCAAGCACATACGCTAAAATGCTGAAATCAAACCCCGCACATACACACACACTTAAACACTACTTTTTCATGCCCCTGTGATGTGCTAATTGCTGGAGGTGTGTTCCTGAAATTCAAAGTAGGCCTCTCTTACCTACAGATGCACAAAATTTTTACAAGGACCTGAAAAGCTGTAATTAAAGGGTGACACATTTCTGCTCCTCTCTCTCCCACTGTGTGTGGGATGGCCTGAAATAGAATTGCAGGGTTTCAACAGGCGAATCGCACTCCACACACCACTGCACAGGCTTCATCCTGCTTCTCCGAGAGGGAAATGGATACTGCCTTTGTGTGTGTGTGTGCGTGAGTGTGTGTGAGTGTTCCCGTGTTCATAAGTCTTCTCCGTGTTTCTGTGAAAATGATCTGACGGACAGGCATGATTGGATGTGATGACATGTAGGTCAGAGGTGCAATAAGCTGTCTTCAGGGTGGCTAGGTCGGAAATGGAGACAGACGCACACACATGCACACACCTAAACACGGCGGTTTCAGTTTACAGACCGAGCCTATGACCCTGTGTGATTCACAAACTCTGCCTGATTCCTGTTTTGCGATGCCTTTTACATCATTCGCCTGAGGGTGTGATCTTTAATATGGGGCCATTATGATTCCACAGAGCCCTGTGTGCTTCATTTGAGCTATATTCATGCAGGCGTGTATTTATTTGTCTGCGCGTTTGTGTTAATGTGCCTGTGTGAGTACGTGTGAGAGGCAGAGAGAGAGAGAGAGAGAGAGGGAAGAGGAGAAAAAGAGTCTGTTGCTATGCATTTTTACACGTCCTCCCACTGCTCTCTTCACATCATGGCTGAGAGAAGCTGAACACATCTACCTGAGCCATTTTTCACTCTGATGCAACATGGACTAAAAAGCTCTAAAAGTGGAGCCTTAACTGGTCAGATGTATCTCTGAGCCGTCTTGATGCTGTGAGGGGAAAGGGCTCGAACCCCCTCAGATTGCTTGTTGTTTCACCTGAATGCTCCATTACTCGGATGGATCTCGGGGTTAAAGTGATGTGGGATCTGTGCAGTGTTTTATGGTCTAGTTTATTTCGCAGTTTAACCTGTGGTGAGGAGTCCTGCTATACGGGTTATTATGTAACTTTTTAGTTATGCAACGGCTCAAGGTGCATGTTAGACTGAAACTACTTCCTACTTTCACCCACTTTCTGTAAATAAAGAAACGTGTGGGGTTTCCACAAGAGAATAAAAAGAAAACACCCCACAGTGTCACCTCAAATCTGTCTTTTGCAACAACTTGTTGCAACAGTCAACACACTGACAATAAGCAGGAGCCATTGAATTGGCAGGAGCCATTGTTTTCAGTAACTCTGAAAAACAGCAGATTCAGATTCAGCCTTGTTGAGCAACAAAATGAATTGGTTTACATTTTTTTGGAGATCATTTGTTCATTGAATTTAACACTGATTACCAAGTGTGTGAGACTTTAAAAAACTGTATTTTTTAACATTGAGGGATTATGAAATTAGTATTTTTAAATCATACAACCATCTTTTGCAGATTAATTCTAACTCGATGAAGGCTGAGGTTATATCCATGGTCAAGGTAGTTTTATTACATTCCTAAATTCTCAACATTATCCAGCTGTACTGATATAAATCACATTAAACCTGAAATTTTCATTCGCTGTTAAGTTTTAATGTTAGCTAGTCCTCCCCTTAACTTCTCTATTAGCATTTCCCCCTTACTGAAAGCACTGTTTTACGTTAACAAAAGCCCATACAGTGTTGTTGTTGTTTGTGGTTGCTTTGGATCAGTTTGGACTGTTTTCTTCAATTTTGGCTGATGTCTCTTTTACTCATCTATTTCTGGGCTGTAACATCCCTCGCCATCCATGCTGTTTTCCAACTTCTTGTCTTACTTTTCTTTGATTTAGATTACTCAACTATCACCCGTCAATAGTAAGTATTGCGCTATACAAATAAATTCATAATCAAATCATTAACCTAGCCGGTTGGTTGGACAGAAATCTTGGAAATGATTGTTTTTAATCATGTCAAACAAAAAGTACCTCACTGCCCTGGATAAAGTCACAGTATAAATCCTGGTTTAAGAGTAAAAAGCATATTTGGGAAAATATAAGACCACTAACACTAATGCATATATGTTAATTCAGAAATGTTACAAACAACACTGCTGCATTCAGGACTTTCATATTCAAGCAGTGAAGAAATCAACATTGAATGTCAATAGAAACAGGTAATTAACCTCAGTTTATGGCATTTAAATCTGACACCTGTTTGACCTTACTGATTCATTCTGCCCTCTTTATTATGCAACATTTCACTCTTGATCCGATCTCCTTTTTTTTCCCCTATATTTACCTCCGCTCTCTTCCTAGAAAGATGGTGACCTTTCTTGATAAACACCCAAACAACTTAAAAAAACATTTAGTTATGTTTCTTTGGCTTGATGAGGATACAGCTCTGGGAATCACACATATAAATCAGTATTATTAACACTATTAAAGAGTAAAGAATCATATAGAATAATTAATCTCTACCTAAGTTTGATTTTTTTTCCCTTCTTTTCACTGACTATTATGACTGGTACCAACTGGGCTGCAATGCAGACGACACTGTGAATTTCACAGTTTTAGCACTCCCTTCAGAAATAATGCAATAAATCTTGATATATTTCCATAATCTCTTTTACTGGTGGGGTAGCGGCCACAAACTAAAGAGGGGACTGCTCCAGAGGAATGACAAATGTGCATATGAGAAGTATCAAACACTCTCCATGTGTACAGTGTTCATGCATAAGAAATGTTGGGTTTTTGCGGTTTTTGACCACTGCAGCCATGGACTGTATGAATAAGTTTGAGTGGTATAATAGAGGCTATTCTAAAAAGTATCCCAATTCATTTTCTAACAAACACCAGATGGAGCCATGAGGTTTGAAGTGGACAGAGTGTTGTTTTAAATATTGCTTTAACACCACAAGGTCATGCGTCACCGTGCTGTAAACAAAAGGCACAACAGATAGCTCAATGTGCTCTGAAAACACGGTGTCCTCTAAGGGAAATAGCTAAATAAAGAGTTCTCTGGTGGACATAACAACCCCAACAACAACATCTTTTTACCAATAAAGCTTTGGGTTTAAAGAAGAGGGATCTGATTCTGACTGTGCGGAGCTGGGTACCATCTGAGACTTAAAAAGAGTGGGGAGAGTAGCCAAAGAAGGCATGAATCATTTGACACCCTCTGTCATTGTTGGAGCCTTTTTTTGAAAACCAGTGCTTTTGTGCAGCCACAAAATCAACAATGCACAAGCAATGACTCACACCAGAGTCGTTCTGAAGAGAACAAAGAAATATAAATTTGCTTTGACAATACAAAAGGAGAAGACAACGCAATGGCACAAATTGATCAGATCTCAGCAGATCAAGAGGAAGAAGGATGTTCATGTATGTGACAGTGTGACGTTACTGCAGGTGTTCCCTCTGGACTGGTGAATCACTCACACATCCAGAACTGGAAATTACGTGACACGCTGAGAAATAAACTACATTCAGCAGCTTATGGTGAGAGTATGATTACATATAAACCAGTGGGTGCTAACCTTATCTTGAAATCTCTCCGGCCTCTAGTGTTATACAACGGGATGCTGCACAAAATCTGAATGGAGGTTCAAACGCCAGCTCATCTGTAAGGTCCTTACACACAAGATGCGTCAATATTTTTTTCGAACCCTTTTCCTGTCAAAACAAGCATTCACATCAGCAATGTTTTCCCATCCTGCAATATTGCGGCATTTATTTTTTTGTATCATAGTCGAATTTTCTAAAGTTTCGCATACTGTGTGTCCACTTCTGACCGATCAGCTTTTGTGTTGTTGCGACGTCAGATTCACCGGCATATCCAACATGGCCGACCGGCTGATTGTTTACATGTCGAAGAACAGAGTATTTTTCGATAAAAAACACAAAAATTAAAAAGATAACAACCTGAAGAACAACTTGTGGAGAGTCATAGCGTCAGATTTCTCATATGACGATGGTTTGTGTGCTTTAACAGTTTGCTTAACGTCTTTGTTTTAACTTTCATCTGAGCTAAGTAACTTTAGCTCGTAAGCTAACCTGTTCAGATACAACATACCATATGTATTTTCACTGTCTCTAACTCAATCGTGTTGCTGTCACAGCACCATTAGGTCTCAGTACCTTATGTTTATGGATTATAGTTTAATGTGTTTATGTGGTAGCCTACTGGCCTTGACTCAGTACATGCTATCATGATAGACAGAGATCTCAACACTAGTGTCTAATCAGAACTGAAAAACAGTCAGTCTGCTGTTGTGTCAGTCTTCTCGCTTACACCCGGGACGCGTCTATTTTTCCCCCTGAAAGTCGCAAAATCGCATCGCGCTTGATATGTATAGTCATATATAGGCGCGTCAAAATTCGCCTCTGAATATTTCATAATTTCACATTTGAGTCGTTCTCAGTGTGTAAGGACCTGTGAATGAAGACTGCAGGCAGACATATGACAAAGCAACAAGTTCAAAAGAGACAGGGCAATTTTGTGCGAACAGAGGTGATCAGTTACCATTAGCCTAAAAGCAGGTCAGCTAAGAGAAAGCAGCAGACTTTATCACAAAAACATAATTAACTAATGAGAAAACCTGGTGGCCATTAGCCGCGAGTCTGTGCAGCTGAAGGGCAACGACAAGATGTTGCATCTAAATGGGTTACAGCACAGCAACGGGGATTACAAATGTCTGCATGTGTGTGAGTCCGTGTGTGTGAGTGTGAGTGTGTGTGTGTGGGCTGAGGCGAGGTGGGATAAAAGGAGCAATTATGATACCCACTCATTTTGTGATAAGAGCTACTTCCAAGCTGAAGAAAGAGAAATAAATATATTAAGTGTCTTAATAGAGGGTAGATGCCGGAGTAAGATTCACTGAGAGAAAAGACGGAAAGTGAGATGGAGATAATGTGGAGCAACATAAAAAAGGGATAAAAGGATAACAAAGGAGGTGAAGAGACAAGGGGTCCAAGGGGAGAAGTCTCTGTTCCTGACTGAACTACAAATGGAAACCAATCAGCCTTGAAGATGCCAGGTTTCAAATTTAACTGCAGCTTCAAAGTTGTCAATCTGTCTGGAGCAAACGAGAGCAGGAGGCCTCACAGAGTTTAAAATACTCATCTTTACAGAAATACATATTTTTTAATCATACTTTTTCTCAGATCTTAAAGCTCATTACAAAATGTTACTGTATAACCTCGGGCTGAGACGTCAACATCTGACATCTGAGGGGAAAGATTAATGAAAACAGAGGAGATCAAACATACAATTCATTACTCCAGTCACAGAGACCTTCACATTTCTATCATTAGGTTTTTATGGAAATGACTGAGTTTGTACCTAAAAAGTTAAAAGAGCCTCTAAAGGACGACTATGATGAACTCATAAGTGTGGAACAAGACAGTAAATGGTCTCGTTTAGATTTATTAGTCTTAATTGTTTTCACAGTGAAGCTCTTGTAGAAAATCTGTGAAACATCTGTTCAGGGAAACCTTTAAGACAACACAAACAATGGAGCAGCTCTGTGTATGTATGGATTAACAAGTGCTATTAAATCACACCTGTTGAAAAGTAAGAGGTACTTAGCTCCTCCACGGCCATTATTGGGTGATTTAAAGCCTGCCTTTGCCGCACAACGCACGGGGCAATGCATGACACTCAAGCCTGGGAGGAGATGGAGGGAGACATCGCTCTGTTGGAAAAATCCTCAAATTCAATTACCTCTTCGGTGCTGCATCTCCCCTGATGGTCCTCTGGCAGACTTTGCGGACAAAATAATTCCCATAACTCCCCCATTTGTGTGGAGGCGCATGAGAGGGCAGGCATCAGGGGTCGACATCAGCAGGACAACCCGTCGGAAAAGAGATACTCGGAGGAAAAACATTTCGGTGTACAAGCAGGGAGCGGAGCAAGTAAACAAATACAAATCAAGCCTAAAATGAAGGGGGGCACGATTTGTTGTGCCTGAGACTGAGTGAGCACAGCAGGAGAGGGCACACACAGAAACATGGTACAAGTTTACACTCAAGTGTTTTCCCAAATCAAATCAAGACGTCTCAGGTGAAGCAAGAAGATCCTTTTCAACAACATATCATATCCTAAACTGATGCTGAAATCTAATAAAAACCTTATAACTGTAATATCATCATTAGAAAAAGACTAAATATGAGGTTTTCTCATGAGATACTTGTAAACTCTGATGCAACAGTGTGTAAGCAGCATTTTAATGTTCTGGTGAAGGTTGTTAAAACAATCTGGCAAAGTTCAATGGTTTCCAACTGGGAGGTTGAGGTCCCTTCAAATGTGAAAAACAAATAAGTATATTGAATATGAATTATATTCTGATACCAAAATATGTTGAAATTTTCTCCCTTTCTGTATTCTTCCTTTTGTTATAAAACATAAGAAATTTTTGCTTCTTTGGGTCTTGGACTAAAATTAGAAATATTTCATATGAGATGTTTAGCAGTGAAAATTGGTGTAAACCTAACTTGTGGAGGTGTAAAATGTGACAAGATGTTGCCTTTGTGCGTGGGGTAAGAGCCAAAATACTGTAAATTATTTGTTCCCGAACAACACTGAGCTCTATTTTGTAGTTTGGGTTTTTGTGTTGTCTGGATGCCTGTTAAAGGTCATTGAAAGGGCTTGATGTTTAGAAAGAGTGCAAAAAAAAAAAAAACATGCCCAAACTGAAAAATATCATTGTTTTATGAAGAGTATACGCTCATTTTAAATGTGATAGAAACATGTTTCTAAAAAGTTGGGACAGGCATTTCTTCTTGAGACCGGGCTTTAGACCTCTGAAAATGAAGTGTCCTGTCCTTGCCCTGTAAAGGATTTCAGCTGCTCAACCTTTCATTGCCTCTTTTCTCACACTTTTCTTTTCATGATGTGCCAAATGTTTTGAGTGAGTGACAAGTCAGGACTGCAGTCAGGTCAGTTTATTACCCAGACTTCTCTACTGCAAAGCAAATATGTTTTTATAGGTGCAGAACGTGTTTTGGTATCATCTTGCTGAAATATATGAGGTCTCCCCTGAAAAAGCATTATCTGTCTGGTAGTAAAGGCAGCCCAAACACCTGCATTAACAGGATTAATGGTACTTATGCATCCTTATGTGATCACAGTTACTGGCTTTTAAGCTGTGAGCTAAAAATAAGAGGTTTGGTCCTTCTCCCTTTTGGTCCATGATTTCCAAGAAGAATGGCAAGCTTTGATTTGTCAGTCCACAGTAGAAGTGAAGGACTGGATCATTAGGATTGCCTTTTTTACACTTAGTCATGTTACTAACCTGCTGCAAATGGACCATTGGTTGGGATTTTCACCATTTTTTTCCATATTTTATAGTTCCTGTTCCAACTTTTTTGGATCTAGAAAACATTTTTCAGGTTTTACGGTTGTTTCAGCACTATTTCCAATTAAAATAGAGTCCCAGCATTTTTGGGATAGGGGTCATAAAAGGTTACATACTCCAGCTGTCTAGATGTCGTAGGGGACAAATACTCCAGTAGAAGTATTTGATTTCTTTCCTGGACTGGGCATCTTCTGTAAGTGCCTGGCAATAAAACAAGTGAGGAGCACATATGCCGGTGTTTATAAAAAAAAAAAGTCAGAGAGGTGAGTTACAAAGGCAGTGTGTAGGCAGTGAGCACCTTTTTATACTCTCTGCTTCCAGGAGGTCCCTGAGGGATCAGCTGAGCCCTGCAGAGGGAGCTCTGCTGGCATGCAGCGAGCTGAGACAAGTGGATTAACAGGGATCTTGTTCTGTATGATGAAGGGGTTGATGAGCGGCAGGTGGTGCAGCAGTGGAGGGGAACGGTTAATATGAGGTATCTGAGTATACAGTAATGCACCAGTGTGAGTGTGGCTTTCATAAGGGAGGAGGAATAGCTAGCAGCTTTGCCTTTATCATCTCATTACACAAGCCTGTCAGAGGGACGTGGAGCTCAGGCTGCCATCCTTAACCAACAGAAAAAACAAATTTAATTTAGTTAGAGTAAAAGGATGATGACAGTTTCTTTGTTTTATACTATACTTCTGAACTTTGCATATGTACCAAAATTCAAAACTAAGATACTAAACATGTTAAGTACCATCATATCAGCATTTTCTGTTAGCATGACTGCGTACTGACTTTGGTTTGACTACTCAAAAAGTGTCATGGCTATTTCCAGAACCACTATAGACTTAATCTTTCCTTTAAAAGGAGGCAAACTAACAACTTTTAGAGTACTTAACACAGGTAGCTTGAGATAAATATCATGGTATTGTGGCAGTAAGAGACCGTCAAATGTGTACAACATTTTAGTCAAGTCAAATAAACGTGGTAAACCAAATCATAAAATTCTACGGTTTTTATTATTCCAAGATCTTTGTCTGAAATCAATATTTGGTTTTGAGAGCTGCTCAGAAACAGAGAGATTTAGAAATATACAAAAACCACATAGCAGAGGCCACAGCCAGATTTGGATCCAGGTATCAGGATGATTTGGGATTCCTTCCAACTGCTTATTTATAAATCTTGGCACTTTAATTTCTTTTTTCTGACCTGAAAAATCGATTAAGTTCAGCCATTTTTAAAAATGCTCCTCATGGTAAAATGCCTTTTGGATTTGGCAAACAACAAGAATTCTTTCAGGGGAGCTTAAAGGGAGAAGCAAAGGGTTACGTCTGCACTTTAAACTTTATTTTGTCTTTATTCTGGTTTCTTTGTATTTTGCACAACCACAGGCACTCACTATGTTACAATGTAGGAGAATAAACTTGGTCTTAAGCCTTTTTGATTTGCACTGATAGTCGTTTTCAAACCATTTTGCTGACAAATGGCTTTGTCAATATTTCTAAGTTCTGTTGCTGCTCCATGTGTATCTACAGACCCAAATATTTAACAGCTTGTTACCATAGGTGTCAGTTTAGGAGGACACACACACACACACACACTTTTTGTCAAGGGTCGTTTTGTATCCACCACACACAAATCCTTCCCTCTCTAGATCGTAAAACACTGGTGCATCATCATTGTTGGTCCCGGGCAGCTCACTTCCGTTGTGGCTTTTATTTTCACAGTAAGAAACTTTTTTATTTTTTATTTTATTATTATTATTATTTATTTATTTAATTTTTTTTTTTGCATTGCCACTTTTTTTTGCGTCATTAACTTCCGTTGTGGCTTTTTTTAAAAATTATCTGCACGGTTTCTTTTTTTATTATTATTAATTTTTATTTTCAATTTTTTAATGTTAATTTTTAATTTTTTTTTATTTGCAGCAGTGGCAGTTCTTGGCCACCGTAATTTTCAGTCGTCTCGAAAATCCCAACGCTCCTAAACGCACCATCCGTATCCGTCCGAGAGTTGCCGAGAGACGCAGCAGACCTTCGCGAGGATAACAAAAAACGTGCAGCTGTCGTAAATTTGCGTCTGTGCCAAGTTGAAGCTGCGACCCAGAGTGTGCTTTTTCTTCTAATAATACCTGTGGTGAGTTAGAAAACTAACCCTATGATTATCCCGTGTAATAAAGATATGCAAGGGGGCTGGTTACATGAAATAAGTCTACGAATCGAGAGAGCGAGTCTACGCTTTTTGTGACGCTGTTGCTTGTTACACATTTCTTTCAAAACACTTTGATCAGAGGAAGAAGAGGGAAAGTATGAATTTCCTCCGTGGCTTTTCCCATGAAGACTACATCAAATCTTTCAAAGATCTGCAGACTTTTGTGTTCGTATTGATTGGTGATGTCTGAGAATACATGATCCTCATTGTTTATGTCCTGTTTGACTGTGCATGCTTGGTAATCAGTTTAAAGATATCAGCTGGTCGATAAGCAAGAATTCTTATTTAGCAGTTGGAAGCTGCAGCTAATCCCACTGGACTGTTTGAGGAGAAGAACGCGCCAAGGAAAGATGGTGGTTTAAAATATGCCTGGAATTGTTTTGTTTCCTGTCACAGTAATTGAAAGAGTCTCTTGTCACATCAGCCATATCGTGAAGTTGATCAAAATTCATGAAAGATTCAAGTATTCAACCTTGAGTTTAATTTATACAAGAAGACGAGGCTGCGAAGACTCTTTAAAATGTGTGAAATAATAACATCGCTTCGAAATGACCCTGTTTGGAAGGGTGTCCTATTTGGCAGGTACATGTTGTGCTAGTTCCTCCATCCTTTCATATCATCCCAGTTATCTCGATATATGTAGGGTGAAGATCTTTTAGAGGGAAAGTGTGGGATTTATTGTGTAGATATTCAGCACTCAGGCAGAAAATTATACTCTTTTCTGCATACTGTGTTTACTGAATACGAATGTAAAAGAGAGGAGGCAGCATCGTACTTTCCTTTGTTTGGATACTGGTCAGTTATTTTGGGTTGTTGTCCGATAAGTATGTTTTTGGGGTTATTTTCGGAGCATCTGAGCATTTTTACGAGTGCATGTGAGTGGTTAATGGTTTTTTTCTGTGTGTGTATGTTCACATTTGATGTGTAGGAAAGTGCTATTTCAGAAGCCCGGTAATGATGCCATTAGTATGAGGATGGAGTGAGTGCTAAACCTCAGGGCACAGCAGCACCATGGATGATTCCCCCTGAGTTAACGTCCCTCGCATCAGTCAGCGAGGCCAAACTAGGGCCGCAATCGACAACCAACAACACCGGCAGCAGCGGCATTAACATTACGCTGTCACTTTCACTGGGACATAATCCATACACCTGCATCATGATGGCAGCGCTGTGTATGTCCCTGTTTCTCTCTCTCCCTCTCTGGGTTTAACTTTTAATTTAAATGGAAACAGTCTTCTGACTAAGCACAAACTGCATATTGTTCTGTTAGTGATCCCCATCGTCAGGCAGTCAGCACTTTCCAGGATACACAGAGATTGGGTGGAAACTGCTGAGACACACGGCGCTAAAAAGAAAGGCGCTGTGGTGAATCAGGTTCAAACCCTCCATAAATCTCGATGTCTCTCAGCCTCCTCCTCTATTTATCCACTTTACCTCCTCGCTTCTTCGGCTTTGTGGATGCCGTTTTGAACTCGAAGCCTCACATCTGTTTCAAGGGACAGATCAACAAGAGAGCAAGGAAGCAGATGGCGGGCAGAGCAGGTCCAGATGGGACTTTTTGGCCAGGAGAGTGAGGTTAGCGCAGAAATACCCGCACTCTAAGTGTAGAGGAATCTTTAAAGATCCAAAGTGAGCCGGAATGCTGTCACAGATGAGACACGAACCACATTTCAGCTTTGGGAAGGTTAACAGGAGTTTGCTACGATGGCGTCACAGCGGTCTCAGCACCACAATAAGCTTTAATGAGCAAGATAATGATTGGTTTATTCTCGCCAATTAAGAGGCTCTAATACGACACTTGGGAGAACATTAGTCATCAGACAGCAGCCAGCCGCGGGGATTCATCCTGGATCCACTTTAAGAGGAGCCTGATTGTGTTAAGACTGGTTGGAGGCTAAATATTCACTTTTCACTCTGCGAGGAGGTCAAATAATTTGTCTTCACCTCAAATATTTCATCCAAAAAACGTTACTGGAGCATCATTTTTTAGTGTTTTTGGACTGTTTGTATTGCTTCGACATTATCTACATTAATTACTTGTGGTTACGTCTCTGTTATCATTAGCTAATCCTTCACCAGAATAGTTCAGTTAAAAGACAGCACCAACTTATTAGAGAGATCAATCTTGGTGGCTGCTGAGTGCAGGAAGAGGAGAGTCAATAAAGGAAGACACACTCGATAGTCATTAATCCTTTGTCCAAAGGAAAAGAGATCAATCTCACTGCATGGGTTCCTCTACTCATATTTAAAAATCATTTTCATTTGTGCATAAAAGTCCGATATTTTATTCATTTTATGCACATATCAGTAAAAAACTTATCTACTGCACACGTGAGGTACACTTATTTCTTTATAAAGGTGCATATTTATTCAGTACATATAAAACTCACCAAAAATGGTCTTGTAAAGATTCATTCAAAATCAAATTTAACCGTCTTTGTTTCTGCAGCATACTGCTCAGCCCAAGGTTGTCTTACAAATTGTGAATTTTGGAAGACAAAAGTGATGATATTCTACGTTTTTAATCAAAGTCCAAACTAAAAAAGAGCAAACATTAAAGCTGTGTTCACATATGTAGAGAAATGATAAAAACTTTTGGTTTGGGCTTCATTAACATTTACATCCCAAATTTACACCTGATTTTCTTGCCAGCTCCCAAGTCAAACTTTAGTGTCAAGTCGATTGATTTGACACAAGAACACAGCAGGAAATATTGAAGAAAACCAAGCTAGCGAGCAAGTGAGCAGGCAGGGATATAATGTTTATTTCATAAAAGTAGTGTGTGCACATTAAATAATAAAAACATCCGTGGTTAAAGAAGAGGAATCGTTTTCAAGAAACTACAGCAAAGATGTCATAGATATTAAGACAAAACCTGTCATCACGTTGTGAATATATCTCTGTGTCTTGTGCAGCATACGTCTGTCTGCCCACCCACCATCCTCCTCATCTGAAAGCAAAGACTGTGAAGGACATGTGTGATCAAGCAACTTGAAACCCCTCTAGGGGCAGAGCTCCTGAAGATTTCCTGAAAATTTCAGTAGTTTGTATGCAAAAGAGGATGATTAGTCTGTTTCTCTGTCCGAAGAACAAAAGGAGGTCACCGATATGTCTGTTTCAAAAATAGAAAAGGTTACTCCATTCCTGAAACAGCTGGCCATGCTTTTAATGAACCCTGGAGGAATACATGAGGAGTAAATTCCGAGTTAGTTTGGCGGCTATTTTAAGCCTCAGATTTGATGCTCGAGTGAGCTCTTCCTGTAGCACGTCTGTGCATGTGGGATTGACCAAAAAAAAAAAAAAAAAGAACGAAAAAAGCCCACACTTCCTGTGATCAGGGTAATGCAGGAAACATCAATGGTGTGCAGTGATGTGGCTCATTGATGTGCTTTTTTGGGACAATGGAGGTCTGGCACCGGGGACGAATCTGCAACAGGCTTCGGCTCAATAGGAAGTACATGTGAGAGGATCAGTTTATTGTTGGTTTGATGGTGTTATGGTGTTTGTTTATGGTGGGCCACAGATGTTGGAGAATCATCTACATAGTTGAGAGTATAGTAGAAAGTTGTGTTGTTATTTACTTTTATTATTACTGTAATTCAGCGTGTTTTTCTGGCAGACAGTGTTACAGCCGATATCTGCAGCTGTTCTGCCCTCTCACAGTATGTCTTTCTGAGACACTTTTAATTCGCCTGTTGTGATTCACAAACGTGTTTGAGTGCTCTCTGCTGCAGCTCGTGTGGTTTATGATGGCGTGTCACACACTCTGCTGACAAATCAGCTTTTCAAAGCTGTTTTTTAAATTTTATGTGACAGGTGGGCAGGGAGTCAGGAGCTTCTCCCATCTGAGACGTGTTATAATGAGGTGAGAAAGGGTCCTAAAAAACCCTGTGTTGTATTGATTTCATCTGTAATTCATGAGTAAAATGTAGTCGTAGTTTTTGGCTCTAAAATTTGACAGCTTTCACTTTGGAGAAGGTGTTTTTGGAGCTTGTTAAAGAAGCTTAAAGCATTACAAATGTTAGTTTTTGAACCATGACCAGTTTACAGCTTGGTGTTTTGATCTGCTTTTCTAAAATGCTCAAAAATTTACCATTTGAAAGTCTTACTCTGTACAAATGCATGAAAATGAACTTTAAAAGAAAACAGGCGCTTTTTACCTTCATTTCCAAGCTTGGGTGGAGTCATACTCTAAATTCTTGCTCATGTTTTACTCGAGTAAGTGGTGTTAGCCTGGTTTTAAATCTAGCATGTATTCCACTTAATTACTGACTTGGCTTAATAGTTTTATAAAGGCTGAAACAGAATTAATCTACATTTGCTGCTCCAAAATTTCCTTTTGCTTCATTTAAAATTCGAAGTTAAACCAAATTTCTTTGATTTTGAATGTGAAACTAGGTGTTTTCTTCTTTTATAAACTTACCTTTTGGGTTTAAGTTTTCATGTCATCAACTAAGATCTCCTCCCCTCACATTTATAACCTCATGGAAGAGTCTGTACAATTACACAGTCGTAAATCAAAGTAGTCTAAGTGTGTTCCGGCTGTAGTGCTCAGTACCACTCTAGTACCTGAGACAATTTCTTTAATCGAAGTCGGATAAGTCACCCGGGGTCTCCTGAGCTACACTCCTGTGATGTTTTGTAAAAAAAAGCTTCATCTTTGTGATCATCCATGTTGAGATTTGTCTCTTAGATGACAGTGTGGGCTCTTTGTTCTGGCTCGGTCTTGTGACTGGTCTGCAGTGTGCTGTGTGAGTCTCAGGCTGCGTCACCGCTGACTGTAATGGCTGAACACTGCAGGGAGAAAAAAACCCTGCAGCATGTTTACATTTAGAGCTTTTGAGTGCTCAAAAATCAAGCAAGGAAAAAATCATATTTGAAGATATTTACTGTAAACAAGATGAGATGGCGAAACAGACAAAACTGAAAACTGACAGCACTCACTAAACCCTGTTTTCTGCTGAACAAAGTGACTAACTTGAACAAAAGTTTTTGCAGTTTTTACCACGGTAGGAAGGAATTGACTTTGTGGTCGATGGTGTGCTTGTACAACAACAACAAAATTACTGAAAGCACAACATTTTCAACAGCGCAGGTCTTCATCTTTACCTCCTTGGTGAATACAAATTCCCATTTTAATTTAATCAGGCACAGCAGCACGAGCTCATGGGGTCCTTGCTCGGAATTGACTGTGGTGCGACACAGATTTCATTTCCTGTTCAGAGCATCTCTTTAAGATGGTGTTTTTAGCTACTGTACAAACTATCACCATGGCAACCACAGATTTTTTTTTCTTAAAAATGCCACCGAATGGATAAAACAACCTCAAAAAAAAAAAAAAAAAAAGAAATAAAGGAGGAAAGAAGCCATTTCATCCGCAATTACAGGATCAAATCTGGCACTCGCTGTTTTTTTGAGTGGGAGGTGTCCTAAAATAAACAGTTGAGAGGAGGTTTTTTATTTACCGATCTATTCAGTTAATTTCAATCCTGTGCTAAATCCCTTTTTCTCTGCTCTATAAACCTTATGTAAGAGAAAGGTCATGGCATATCTATTATTAAATGTCTTGGTCATGGTGTGTTTTATTATTAATCGACACAGCGTAGTATTTTGACACACAGCAGAAAAAAAAAAAAAAAAAAGGCCTGCAGTCGCCAAACTATTAATGAGCAGGACAGCCATTTGCGTCAGACACATAATATTCACTGCACAACAACACCACAAAAATGAAATAAATAAATATTAAAAAAACACAGCCACACAGCGATGAAGAGTTTCCCTGTGTTTTGCTCTGAAATAAAAGTGAACATGAATAGTAATGTAACTCTAAATAGCAAACACGTCCTTTGAGGGAAGTGAACAGAAACAGCCTTTTGTGGAGTTGATGCGATTGTGTAACATCTGACTGGGCCACCTGAACTGTCAGCATATCAGGGCCGTAAAAGCAGCACAGAAGCAGAAATGTACTGTGAAAGCACCGCATGGGGCAGAGCAGCGAGAGCTCTGAGACACCCGCCCACCCTTCCTGAATCAGCCGTTTCTGTGGCGACCAGCGCGGAGGGGGGGTGGAGGCAGGGAGGGAGGCGCTCTGTGAAAGTGGAGAGACAAACATTTGAAGCCCAGTGGGAGAAACATGAAGGGATGGATGGATAGATGGATGGAGGGATGGAGGGATGGAGAGATAGAGGGCGCAGGGAGAACATCTATTGAGCGATGGGTGATAAAGGGATGTGGCAGGGTCAATGGGGAGCTGCGGCTGATTCCTCTACATCACACTCGGTGACAGATTGACAGTCACAGGGAAACAAACAGCAGCATCCACAGCAAGGAAGACTAACACAGAGGGGCTTTTCTCCTGCTCAATGGCAGCTAAGATCCCTGCCATGGCTCAGGGGTCTGAACCATCTCGACAGTGACAACGACTCCCTGTGAAATCTCATTCAGCCATACGGTCAAATTCCAAGCGTTGTATTTCTCTGTCCTCTCTGTACCCAAAATGGTACAGGCTTGAAGTAAGCCGTGGCAGATTTACAGCCACTTCACAGACAAAACTTCAAAAGAAGCAAAGTGGATTCAACAAGTGGCGCACTGAATCAAATTTTTCTAGACCAACCTGCTGCTTATTCCCCGCAGTAAACACTAATGGGCTGCCATTACGCACAAATTACATGTGTACAGTACAGGCGACAAGTGGTATAACTGACATGGAGGAGCGGGCGCTGCGTTTTATAAAACCATTTTATACGAGAAAAAGCTATGATGTGATTTTTTTAGATTTTAAAGAGCAAAAAAAAACTAAATCTGCTCAGAAAACAAAATAAAATCACAGGAAAAAAAAGATCCACATTCAATCTCGCTCATTACCTACATCAATGATCTGACGCCAGGTCTATTTTTGACCTGCTCCTGTATGTTGGAAACCCCTTTATGTAACACATTTGACATCAAACTGCCATTTCTGTTACAATCTTATACAACAGGAATCGCCTCCTGTCAGTGCCACAGTAACTCGGGGATGGATGCAGTAGTTCTCATGCGCAGTCGAGACAAAAGGCTCACACTAAGCTCAAGAAAAGCAGTTTAAATCTCAAATGTAAACACCTGCAGATTTCCCCGACAAATTCCTCCCCAAACAAAATCTGCATTCCTACAAACACACTGTAGTCCGCCTAAAACTGCAGCATATGAGGTGGCTTTTTTCCCCCTCTGTTTCTGTTTCTAAACAAGACTGAGATAACAGAAACAGAGCTGTTCCCACTCCACCCACTTTCTCCTTCACTGACACATGGGTCCACACATGGGAGGGGGAACAGGGTGAAATCAGACGGATTAACTCCTATTAGAGGCGCAGTTTTCCCCAAGTCCCTGTGGTCTTTTTCACCTGTCATTCTCAGGATAAACAAGCCTTCACACTAAGTAACTGACATGTAAAAACACACCTTCTAATTCATCACACCCACACCCACAAACAACTAATGACAGATGCAGAAACATTTAGGATATTCATGATGGATTCTTATCGTAAAGGCATATAATCGTATCAAAGCGACAGGTTGAAGCACAGCTCTGTGGGGAGTTGATTATGAGGTTATAAAGACTCACCTGTTTGTGCGGCTGGTGTCAGAGGCTGGGTGGTGCGGGGATGCTCAGACAGCGGTAGTGGCACGCAGGGGTTCTGGACCAATTCACTCACTCACACTGGACACATGACAGAGGAAGCGGCTGGCTCTGCTCTTCACCGTACGGCTCGCAGCGTTCTCCTCTTCTCCCCCTCTGAGTGTCAGAGACAAACACCAGCTCTGCCTCTGCCACCTCTCTCTCCCTCACTCCGCCTTCCACACGTACTGTAGCAGCAACAGAGGGAAGGCTGGGGGCTGCAGATCAACACTCTCTCTCTCTCTCTCTATTCCTCTCTCTCTCTCTCTTTTCCCTCCTCCAGGCTCTGTGTCTTTCCTTGAGTCTGGCTACAGGCAACCATAGCAAGAAAATCAGGAGGAAAAAGTGCGTATAGATTAACTTGACTCCCTTTGTAAGTATATATATTGTGTGTGTGTGTGTGTGTGTGTGTGTTTATATGTATATATGTGTGACAAATAACACTGCACACACAAGCCAAGCTGTGGGAGAGAAGCCTTACGAACGCCTTCCTGCTCCCCGCTTTTCAATACCACCTACCCACCTGCCCACATCACCCACCCACCCCCTTCTTGCCAAACCTCACACCAGCCTGTTCAAATGAGTCATGAGCCATCAGCCAATCACACGGCAGCACAAGCCTCTGATTAGAATAACAGGAGTATTTATGCACGGCTGTTTGGAGGAGAGATGGAGCGAAAATGGAGAAATGCCTGGGAGGACTTGACATACATATCCTTCGATGGGTAACATCAGGTTATGTGAGGGAGAAGAAGAAGTAGGATGAAGTCAAACAAACACAGGAATTCTTCTTTTCTTATCAGCAGTAGTATTTAAGTGTTATTAGTCAGACTTACAGTCTTTGGCTACTTAGAAAGCATAAAGATATCTTACTGTTTAAAATGTACAGTGTACACTGTACCTTTGTAAGCCGTGACTCACTCAAAATTATGATTCATTCTATCAAGGCTGGAACCATACGGAGTACAATAAAGTCTGACCCCACTAACCAAGCTAGGAAAATAAAGGTACATCACTAAAATAGAGCACAACTACTACCGCACTGCGCTCTTTAACTACGCACTGATCCGCGCTGTGTACCACTTGCCATGACAAGTGCTCTTCTGTGTAGTGCTGTGGGAGGAGTTATTCTGGGTAATTTTGCTCCATGAGTTAAAGTCTTGTTCATTTTCTGCAGAGACAGTGTTTGGTGGCTGCTGGTTTGGAGCAGGGATTGGATGGACTCGTTGAATCATCACTACAAACAATGAGCAACTCTGCTGACGAGAACAAAATGAGGTTAACTCGTGAAACATCTAAAAGTACAATGTGGAAGTCCAGATTATAAAGAAAAGAACCACAGAAGAAGAAGGGTTTCCATGGATGGATCATTTATTGTCCATGTGGATTCAATGGTCTTTACACTGGTAGTTCATTCACACCAGTGGTGGCTGCTGGTCTTTCAAGGAGGGGAAGCTCATTTTTCTGGCCTACATCATAATTGTATTTGTTTATTAGTATGTAACAGAACAGAGTCGCCAAACACAACGGCAGTCGTTTTTAACAAAGACAAAAGTCGCTGAGGATCGGTAAAGTCTCTGGAGCAGTTAAGAACAACGGAATGAATGACTTGGAAAATGCTCTGGTAGATGTTTTATTCTTCAAGATCGCTGATTCGCTTGTTTAGCTGTCAATCAAAAAAGGATTTCGCCTCAGACAGCTCATCCAATCATGGATGCAGAAGCTTGGAGTCCGGGAGAAAGTCGGGACCGCCCTCTCGCCATAGAACTCCAGTGAAGCTTAGCTTCCATTGGGCGGGACAAAGCCCAGCATTTATCCAATGAGCGTCTAGTTTCGCTGCTGGAACAACCCACTTTAAGCTTCCACATTGAAGTCAGCAGAAGCCCAGCGTCCGACTGTTTGAAGCGCTGAGGCGCTGCGAGGATGAATGAGAACGAAGTTATGCCGGTTACCTGTGATTATCAGCTTCTTATCACAGTGTCTGAACAAAAGTTGAAGGCTTTCTAGTGCGTATTTAGTTAATGAAATGTACACACAGCCGTACGTATTTCACCACTTTTTCTTTTTTGGGGGGGGTGACATTTTAAGGGAAGCCGAGCTTCCTTTGCAGTCTTAGAGCAATCGCCACTGATTCACACATCTGGTAACTTCCTGATGAGCATGTAAACCTTAACATGTAGTGGGTGAACTAAGACTAAGGTATTTGCACCATGGAGTAGAGTTCATGTACATAGTCTTCTGTTCCAGATCAAGGATCAAATGAATCATGAGACTGATAGGTGGTTTTTAGTTTTTCCTTGGTTTTGTGTTTCCATTGAGTGTATTTCCTTTGTGATTTCCCCTAGTGTTTCTGTTCCCTATTGTCCTATCTTGTGAGTTTTTAGTTTGTGTCTGACCCCGGTTCCCTCATGTTCTCAGTGTTTTATTCTTTATATCAGTTTTCGGTGTTTCCTGTTTTATTTTGTAGTAGTTTATTCCCTGTGTTTCTAGTCTTGTTTTAGCTTCTCAGTTTTCCCTCCTCTGTGATTGTCTGCACCTGTGTCTCAGAGTCTCACCTGCCTCTCGTTGCTCGTATCCCTGTGTGTATATAGCCCTTGGCTGTGTCCAAAATGGATCCCCAACCCCTAGATAGGCGACTATATGGGGGTTAGCACCATTTTGAGGGGTGTCCGAAACCTGAGTGATCAATTCCAATGCCCCATATAGGCGACTCAAAATTTCCCATAGAGCTTTGCAAAATGTAGTGACCATCCGATGGTCACTCACCGGTGGTGGGCATCCCATCATGCATTGGGTCTTGCCATGTGGTGTCCGAAACCTCCGGTACACAGCCCTTGTCTTCCCCTGTTTCTTTGTTGGTTCATTGTGTGGTGTGTTGTATGTCTGTGCGTCTGTATGCCAGTGTTCCCAGTGTCTCCTTGTGAGTTTTTAGTGAGTTTTTTTGTGAGTCTTTAGTTGGATTTTGGATTTTTTGGTTGTTTTGGATTTTGCCTCTTGGGTTTTTTTTGCCTTTGGGAATATTTCTGTTGGACATTCAAAGTTAGTTTTTTGTTGCTTTTTATTGAGTTCATTATTAATAAATCTATTTGTTTCTGCATTGGGGCCCTTTCCTTTTTGCTTAACTCAAAACCGTGACATTGAGTGGGCATAGTATTGAACTGTCATGAAGCTAAAGCTTTCCATTTACCAGTCCATCTACTGTATGTTCCAACTCTCACCTATGGTCAGGAGTGATAGGTAGTGACTGGAAAATGACATCACTGACCTTTTGAAAAAATTGTCACCAATATGGCGTCAGTCAAAGCGCCAAACTCAAAACTTTAGAAAAAATGGCAAACCACAGGGTGTTGTCAGGATCTCTACATATAATTTTTTCCCCTCCTGCGTCTATGGACACAGAGTTAGCCTTTCAAAAGACATATCCCAAGCTGATGCTCTTTTATACAAAGGACTCAGTTGAGGTAGTTTGTGCATTTTATCAGGATGTATCCTGGATGCCTCTCTTTAGAGGTGTTGAGGATGCATCTAATTGGAAGAAGGCCCCAGGGTAGATCTAGAGCTTGGTGGGATGATACGCCCCACCTGGCTTGGTAATGCCTTTGGGTCCCCTAAGAGGAGCTGGGAAACGTTGCTAGGGAGAGTAATGTTTGGGTTGACTTGCTTGGATCACTGCTTCTGACCTAAGGTAAGCACAAGAAAATCAATGGATGGATGGATGGATGGATGGATGGATGGATGGACCACCTCTTCTAAGTGAGATGTCTCTCTGGATAGGCTGGATCAGGCTAATCTGTTCTGAACAGTGTGTTCCCATAAGACATTTTATTTTATCAGGGTATTATCCAACTATAAAGGGGGAAGTGATGAGGACTTGCAATTAAATTCAAGCATAGAATGAGGAAAAAAAAGGGGAAACTGAATGAGCGGATGCTTACAAATGCAGGAAGAGTATTATGGCATGTTTCAAGATGATGAAGGCTGTTTTGCGGCTTTGTATCCTCTTTCATATGACTGGAATGATTATTAAGCGCATTAAAAGAGTACCTCTGTGGAGACAGATTTCTCGTGCATTTGTTCTGTCCTCCAGCTAATGAGATAGGGTCACAGGAGGTACTTCAGCATTATGCCAGAGGTACTGGCAACGCTTGAGCTGTCAGTCCACATCTAACTAGTCTTTCGGCATCACACTTAATGCCAGTAGGGATATGTCAACGCTCAAATACTTTTAGAGCTAAAATCAGCATTTCACCTTCTTTGGGAGTAGAAAGCTTTAACGGCTATTAATATATTCTCACACTGTAACCATGCTTTATATTTAAGGTAAATAGAATATGTGCAAAATATGCCATTTTTACTGCAAAGGTACTCCATTAATGTAAGACCTCAAAGCTAAACCCACTGACTTTAAAATTGCACTCATGATGATGAAATATTCAAAGCAAGTCATTACAATTCAGAAAATGTCTCCTCTTTGTCAAAACCTGAGGTCGACATTTCCTGCAATGCAACTTGATCATGTAGAGTTCTGTGGGGGTTTCAGATGTGTTATGCCAGCAGTGACTAATGCAGCCTCGAGCTGCCAGCCTCGAGCAGAAACAAGGAGCGGGCTACAGAGGTCTGGTAACCGTACTTCTTTTCAAACTTCACACTTGCAGGTTTTTGCAATTTTCAAACTTGTAGTCCTCAGCTCTAGCTGACATTGATCACACTTGGTGAAGCTCTCTCTGTTGTCACAAAGGTGTAAAATCTATTGAGGTAAAAGAACCCTGAAGTCCTGATTTTGTGTGAACTTTTTTTTTTTCAATTTTTTAAGGGTAAATGTCACATTTTCAAAACCAGAATATTAAGACCAATTAAACTCAGCCCCGTGACGTAAAAACTATAACTACCCTTTCAGTTGGACTTTATTACTTTCTGAAATACTTTACTTTCAAGAAACCCTCGAGCCTCTGTAGAGGAGTGAAAAACATTGATTAGTATTCCATTTCCAATCTCCAAACTTGGGGAGTAATCTTGATCGACATCCCACTTGTTGAATTAATGGTCTCCTTTCAAGGATTTCAGAAGAAATCAATCGTGAACAGCGCTCATGTCCAGGACCGGATTTAATTTCCACACTTAAAAGAAAACCAGATAAGATGTGAGACATCTATGAAGTGTCAGGGGCATTATCCAATAATCAGAACTCAACAAGCGTCACAAAAAATATGCTTCAACAACTGTAGCTCCAAAACTGTGGTGGTCTCCTGCCACGCTCACACATGAGAATGGATTTCTATCACCTCTGGTTCAGGAGAAGAAATGATTGAGCCCAAGGGCACGAAGGTGAAGAGATACAGACAAGGTAAGAAGAGGGACTGTGAGCTTCAGGAGATCAATAGCTGATTACCTAAAAGAGGAACAGCAGGAGAGGGAGAAACATGTGAGGAGAAATGGAGCTGTCTCAACATGACTCAAAGGAACACTGCAGCGTATCTGTTAGAGTCATTTCCTCTCCTCTAAATGTGTGTTACAGGCTGAGAATAAACTCTATAAATAGACCCTTCTAATGATTATTATATGGCTGATACACTCATTATTATCCTGTTATTTTCTCCTCTCAAATTTAATTATTTCCACCTAAACTGCTATGGTGGGTTTAAAATTTTTAGAAAAGAGGGTGATTCAAATACTCATAGTTATGAGAAAAAAATATAAAATATATACAGAACTGTAATGTAAAAGGAGGGACTGTCACTGAGTCATATGTTGTCATCCCAAGTTTAAAATACAACAAGGAAGTTGTATTGTTGTATAATAAAATCACTTATTTCTCAAGGATTTTACAATATATCAGATGGAAGTCTTTTTTTTTTTTTTTACATTTTACTGGTCTTTTTACATTTATTTGATAATATTCACTGATGATTGAAAACACTGTGTTATTTAAAAAAAGATAAAACTTATGTATGTGTTGTACTTGGTTTTACTTTTTGGCACATTTTTCTTGGAGAAGAGGAGACATGTAAATCAAGCTTTGAATATTTCAGCTCAAAAACCTTAAAAAAAGCATCAATAATAATAATTATAATAGTGACAATAAAAACTCAGAGCAATGGCAGCTGTTTTTGCAAACCATCAAGACTTCCTTCCAAAGTTCTACCAAAAAAAGGAACATTTCAAAATAAAATGGCTTTTTCCTGAATCTCCTGAGAGTAACTTTTTGTGTGTGTCAATTTTACATTCAACAGTGTTTGCTTATCTTGTCTTTTACATGCTTAAATGCTAACTTTTGACAAAAAAATCTCATCTTGTTGACTTTTGATTGTGAAATGTTTTATTTACTTTAAAAAATCCATGTAGCATTTTATAAACAAGGCTGTTTCTTTAGATGCTCGGCTGACAACTACACTGGTTTAGAGTATTAAAAATTACGATACAAAAATGGCCACTCTCATCACTGATGGTCTTGTTTGCTTTGAATAACATGATAGGGCATCAATGTCAGTTTCAGCCTGTTTCATGAACGTAACAAAAAAAAACTCCTCAGTGTAGCTTTAAATTTGCATTTTAAAATTTTCAAAGAGCACGTGTGAGATCTTTAAACTGTGTCTTTATAGCAGAAATATATTGTCAAAGCACATGGACTTAAAGTGAGGATGAAAATGTTACACTCCACAGTCCGATACAAAGCAGAGAGCAGTTGTCTGCTCTTCCTTTCACAGTACCAGACCTTGTAAAAGCAGTTGTATCCAACCGAGAGTGATAGATGGCATGACAGCCACAAAAGACTGTTTGACATTTACATCAGACTTGAAAATAAAAGGCTTGATGTGAGGACTTCACTCATCGAACTGGATTTCCCAATACGAAGGCAGTTATTCTCCATAAATAATTTACTTTTAAAATATTTCACAAAGATTGAATTTTTCCAAATATTTCTACATCACCTGAGAAATGGAACAAAAATGGATGGTTATTTTTATATTTTTCGAAAGATCAGAGTGTCACACTGATCAGGCAGCCTCAGCCTCTTCTCTTTAACACCCTTTATCACAATCACGTATTCATTAGGCGCTATTGTACAACTACAATAGCACAATCATATCATTTGGCCTGGCTACTATTTTCACTTCTCTGTGACCTGAACCTGATCAAATGCTCTTTTACATGCATGAAATCCAGCACTCTCTCCTGGGCATTTTTGTCACATTCCTGTGTGAGTAAGATGACATTAAAGGGACTTCAGTGATTGCTGTGTGTGTGTGTGTCAAAGGGAGATGATTCACTGGGCAGGAGTAGCAGGGCAGAAATTCTTTGTGCTAGCATGACTGGCTGCAAAATGAGAAGAAATGGGAGATCTGGTCTAAAAGGGTTAACTGTAACTACTATTTCTTCTTTAAGTTACACTCTGTGTTTCTGTCCTGACCAAGGAAAACTGTGTTTAATACAAAATCCAGAACACTGCAAAAAGCCAGCCTTCAAAAACAAGAAAAAGAAAAGAAAAAAAACACAAAAATTGGGAGTATAGTACTTAAACTAAGCAAAATTATCTGCCAGTGGAACAAAAAAATTGGCTTGTCAAGACTTTCCAAAACAAGAAAAAAACATCTTAACCTCGATAAATCTAGAAATACCTTAAAATTAGTGTATTCTCACTAATAACAAGTGCATTTTTCTTCATACAAATAAGAAATATGAAACTTCTTTTCTTAATATGTTTAAAAATATTCTTAAATTAAGTAAATGCTTGTGCCACTATCTTGACATAATGCTATTCGCTAGGCATTACATTTCTTGAAACCAGCAAAGTTATACTAAAAACTGATTTACTTTTCTTGTTAGACAGACAGCAGTTAAGAGTATGTTTTCTTGACTTTTTCTTGCTCCGGTTCCAGTTCAGGGACTGCTATTAAGAAAATAAATCTGTTTTTTTACTGAATTACATAAAATAAACACTTGAAAAAAAATCCAAATCAAATCAAGGCTAATGATTCCCCTCACTGCTTTAACCTCTCAAAAGTGGTCACCAACATGGGGTTGACCAAGACACCAAAGTCAAGGCTCCCAAAAACAAAAGACAAAGCAGTCATCAGCCTGTAGAAACAAAATATGCCTGTCTTTGTCTGTGCTTGTACGTAACACATATCTGCTGTTTCCAGTTCACAGTTAGGTGTATCTGAGGGTGTAAATCTGCTTCACTGTGAGAAAATTATTTACACATTAATAAACCATTGACCTACTGTGCTAGATGCACAGTGTTATGGAGGCGATAAGGTTTAATGGAGAAGGGAGATAATGAGGATGACAGTGATGTGTTCCTTCTATCATACTCTATCCCGCTTGTCCTTGATTTGATCATACAGCCAGTTTAGCAGTCGTAGCTTCATACAAGCTGCAAACTAGTTGTGTGAGATTCAGTAGTTAGCCTCGCCTCTCCAGAATCATATATTTACAGGAAAGGCTAAGGAGGCACTAGATTTCAGTTTGTGTTTGACCCTGTTTCCCTCATGTTCTCAGTGTTTCCTGTTTTATTTTGTCGTAGTGGATTCCTTGTGTTTCTAGTCTGGTTTTACTCCCCTAGTTTTCCCTCCCTCGTTAATCACAGATGAGTTTCACCTGTGTCTCCTCTGCCACACCTGTTGCTCGTTAACCAGTGTGTGTGTGTATATAGTCCCTGTCTTCCCTTCTGTCCTTGTTGGTTCATTGTGTGTATGTATGTCAAGGTGTGTGCTTGTGTCCCCTGTTGCGCCTTGTAATTTTTCCCCAGTAATTTTTTGTGGATTTTGCTTCTTATTTAGTTTTTTTGCCTTTGGGAATTTTTCAGTTGGACATTCAAAGTAAGTTTTTGTTGCCTTTCATTTAGTTCATTTTAAATGAATCCTTTTTGTTGTGCATTTTGGGTCCTTTCCCTTTTTGTTCAACTCCAGTCTGTGACAACCTGTCTTGAATTGTGTTTTTTTTAACAAACCAGCACTCTCAAGTAGCAACCTCTAGTCTAGAGACACAAAGCCAATGTGGAAGTGCTAAAAATGTCAGACTCTCCAGTGTATTCATTGCTGGCTGTAAAAAAAAAATAACAACCCAGGAGCCACTTTTATGGCAAAAATAAACATGTACAATATACAGTCTGGTTCAAAAAACAGTTTTGGTCTGAATTGAGTCATATAGCTGTTTGCAAGGAGGCTAAGTGTCTGCTTCAACTCAGCTTCCTGTTGGGTAGACCAAAAGTTAGGATGAGTCTGCATTTCTATATGGCAACCAGAATTAATGAGCTTTAAAACCCAATGAGTGAAATCATTGAGACTTTATCAATATTAAACAAAATCTATGGGCATTAAATCTATTTTTTTTTTTTTTTTTTTTTTTTACCAAGTACTTTCCCACTTATTTCTTTGAATGCATGTTTTTGACCTTTTAAAGGAGCTAAAGTATTAAAAAGTGGTGCTACTGGAGTGGTTTGCCTCACTATCAAGTATTCTCTGCACATTGCAGGAGCCTCTTGCATTAATGAGCAGCATGCTCTGGATAAAATACTGCGACACAGTAAAATGCCTCGATCTGCGGGTTACACAGGTATATTGGTTGCATCAGTGTGTAAGACACTGTAAGATGTCTTAATTTTGTTCATTCTGCTTTCTCATGCAGGGCAACCTGTAAATTAGCAGCTCTGTATCTGCTGAATGAGGAAAGAAGCAACTTTTTGTGAAAATGAACATCATGCTCATAAAGTAAGTTTTAAGGTTGCTTGCAGCCAACACAAGCTTAAATACAAATACACAATTGTGACAACATTTCATCCTCACATAGATTGCTCAGAAATGGAGCTGTGAAGGGTGCTTATCTTGGAGAAATAGCAGCTCTGAAACAGTTCAGACGTAAGCACCAGAAAGCCCCCTGACATTACTTTGTTTTTCATCAGAATTTGATCAATGAAACGTCAGTTCACAAAAGTACATTCACAGTTATAACCCAACTGAGATTTCGCCTTCACACCTTCAAATAAATAGAAAGACAACAGTAGAAGTCTTGTACCCTAGTCTCTGTCCTGACAGCCAAAGAACACTGAAAAACATCTCTTGGTGAAAGTGCAGCTATTCACATGAGACCACATACAATTCACACATGTTCAAGGGTTCAAAAAACCGGTAACACTCTTCTGAAGCACTGAAAACACAACATACACAGACATGAAAAATATGCTTTTCCTCAGGGTGAAAACACATTCAGCTGTAGACGTATGACCTGAGACACGTGCTGTGTTCAGTTGTGTTAGGCACTCCTTTTCATTGATGACCTTTTCCACATAAACAAAACATCATCACTTCCAGGTGGGCCTATTTTGTGCACCCACAGTGTGAATATTTACAAGTCATTTCAGGATTCTGATGGAGTGATTATCTCCCAGTGTCCCTTTTCCAATTACCAGGTCTGCTTTTAGATGACAAAGGTCTTTGTATGTGTTTTTCATCCTGGAAATATCAACCTCTTCTCTGACACCTAATAAAAACACAGCACAACTCTTTTATTATAAATTATGCTATTAGAAACCAGTTGAAGACAGCACTTTTCCCTTTAACTGAGTGCACTTAAAAGAAGAGGACTGAACCAACACGTGGACTATTACTCACTTAGTTGAGGCTTCGTGTAATTAAGCATCGGGCTCTAGGGGTGCGACTTGTAAATGTTGCAAAGAAACTACCTCACAAGGAAGTTCTGTTTTGTATGCAGTTTGCGCCTATTGAGGATCTCGTCTATATGGAGGTGCCTAAGTAGTTAACGCTCGGTGATAACTGCTCTCTCATATAGACCCACTCGGAGCTTTCAGCAGATTAGCCATTGATTCCCTGGTGGCTCAATGCACAAGTGCACAGCCACAATACAGCAGGAGAGTCACACAGTAAAGATAATCCCCTTTCATGAGCCATAGAAAATATTTGGAACACAACATACAATTCAGGGTAGAAAAAGACGGTTGTTCGTGCTTAAAGCAGGGTTACACTGTGCATTTATTAATACAGGTACATGGGCAAAAAAGCCAAATAAAAAGACTTTTCCCCTGACTCTATAGGCATTGCTTCCTCCCTCTCTCTCTCTCTCTCTCTCTCCCTGCACATGTCCAACCATATTCAACCCATTCACACCATCTCCTCCATACACCTGTTCTTTCAGAAGCCCCCGACTGATAAACAGCCATCCTCCAGAGGGACTCAGTGTTATAATGTTGCAGGGAAGATGTCAACCAGCAGACATCTTTATATGTTATCTTTCTCTATCACAACTCCCCGGGTACTGAGCTGTCATTTTTTCCACTGTGAAAGAAGACGACTCAACTGAAGGATAGTCACACAACACAGACACAGGGATGCGCATCCACACAGGAATGCACACACTACTCTGCAAGGGCGCACCTTGAGGGTGAAAATACGGTTTCACATCAGGATGGGATAGAGCCTGCAGATGCAGAGCGTGCGGTTTACACTACCTGTGATGTCTTCATTATGCCAAGTTTTAAAATGGAGACACTCTGGCTTTTTCTTCAAAGAAAATATGAATATCTCACATTCAAGGGAGATACAATTAAAATAAATAGTGCAGGAATGATAGGCAAGGTCCCTGAATGCTTTCTCTAAGGAGACAAAGCTGTTTCATCCTTTACCCTCCTTCTTTAAAAAAATCTGCCAAAAGAAATGATCAAGTGGGAATAAGAATTTACATACTTTTTGACACCAGACTTCATATTGTCAACTTAAAGATTATTATTAGGTACCTCCTAATAGAAAACATGGCTATCATACACGCGCCCTTTTGCATTTTGCACCGATAGACGATGAAGAATGAGGTTTTTAAATCTGTCTCATCCAATTTTAATGAAAGCAATTAGATAAAACACATCATGACAACATATCTGATAGATGAGATAGCAACCACATGGAAGCTCTGAGCATTGCACCTCTTAATTCAGCCAATAAATGACTGTTTTCTTAATATGCCACTGTCACCAAAAAACACATGAGGGACCTTAAAATGTTCTCATCTCTAACCACAACTGCAGAGGCAAATAAAAGCTTGAAAGGCTCAGAATTTATCTACAAGTTAGCTCAACAAACTACAAACATACTGTTTTCAATCTCTGGCTAATGCTGAGTAAATCTATTGTGCTGCAAAGCACAGAAGAAGAGAGGAAGTCACATCTGGGGATCAGATTTCTTGTTTTATAACATAGCAATTTGCCTGCTCTGAGAGGGCAGTAAATCACCTCTAATTGGGTCTCATATGCAGCATGTATTTAGACACTGCAACACCAACCCCTCCAAACCTCTTGCTGCGGCATAATATTAAGTAAAAAGAGGAGCACAAAACCTCCATACATCAGAGAGCTTAATGACTAAAAAGGGTTTTTTTTATACAAAAGAAGCTGACTGTATATGTTCTGCAAATCAATTTTCAGCTGTTTAATACAAGACTAATTAGGCCTGTTACACTGATGAAACCCACCAAGAACCTATTTGGATGTTTTTACACAGCTCCGCATGAAAGGATGTGACACATAAAGAGAACCAAGAGATCAAGAGAATGATTTCTATACGAGGAGTTATGAAACTGTCACTGTTTCCATTTCTATTTTAGGACGTACTTAGGCTTGTCTTCATCACTGTGGATTAACAGCCTCAGTGGGATGCTATTCCTCATCACACAGGAGGGGGGCAGGTCACCCAAACATTGCTAGATCCAGAGAGGAGGGGGACATATGTTATGTATCAACATATTCTTCCCATAATTTGAAACCATTACAATGATCAGAGGATAGAGGGTTACAGTCAGTCTGCAAGGAGATTTAAATACATACAATTTGCAATTTCTTATCTATAGATATCCACTGTAGATAAACGTAAGGGGAATTTTCCCATCAGCTTATTGATGCAAAGCCTTTAAATGATCCTTGGTTAGGGTGGCAAATGAGGGCACTGATGTGCTGTCATTACTGGACTAGGATCTGTGGACATGATAGTCAGCTTATTTGTCGTTAGATCTATTTTGGCTCTAAGATGCCTATTCAACATTTTGATAGACACAAACTCAGGTTGTTGTCAGACTTCTCGGTGAACTCCTGGAAATTATGTCTTCTCTGTTTTGAACCAGGCTCTTGCAAAAACAGTTTGTTTGATTTTTATGTAGCTAGAGGGCATTATTTGATATTTCGCTTTCTTAAGACATTGACTTTTTAAGAGACAACAAAATTAAAGAATTCAAACTAGAAATTATTGAAAAGCACCACAACTTCTTAGATATTTAATTTTCTGGGTGAACTGTTAATTATAAACAGTCTCTCAATTGATGTAACATTCAAGCCAACATACTGGGGAGCTTGAAGCGAATGATCCAGTCCAAATGACCCAACATCCAGTGACAGATAGTCCATCACATACTGACACATAACCAAAAATGTAAAATCTGGACTGCTTGGATGAAGCAGTCACATGGTCTGAAAGCAGAATTTAGCTAAAGTCTGTTTTTATTCTGTAAAATATTCCTATAGTTGAGGTAAACAACAATATTTATGGCAGTTGCAGCAACAAACAGGATTTCTGTCCAACTTGGAAAACCTGAAAAACCACTGACTGATTTTCTAGTCAAGAACAACACATGGAAAAAAGCAAAATATCCTGAAAAATCCTGTGCAGTCCTTAAAGATAATTCAAACATTGTCCTAAACATCTATCTAATCTTTGACAATAATTCAGTATAAACATCTGCAGGTGTATTTGCATTATTCTATGACTTCCACAACATAATCGTAAACAAGCATTGTGTCCTGGAAAAGATTTTGCTTTCTTCCGACTTGGTAACTGAAACGCTGGTAACTCAGGTGTGACGTCATTCCCAGCTCGGGTTTCTGACTTCCGAGGTAGCTCGAACACAGCATAAATTGCACTGAGGTAATTTCAACTAGTGAGATCTCTGCATCAATCAAAACCACTTGTTATAGCTGTGTGTGAGTTTTCCCCCCTTTTGTCTCCCCTAGATGCCCAGGTGAAATCACTGATTGACAATCAGACTCACCTGGTGCAGAGAATTTAAAGGCCCAGAGCTGCCTGCTGTCTGCTGCATCTCATTTGTGTTGTGGGTTCTTTGCGTTTAGTTAATTTGTTCTTTTGTTACAATAAATCACTTGTGAAACTTTTAATGGTATTTTGTTACTTTAATGGGTCAAAAAATGTGGATAGTTGTTAGCCCCACAGGGCCGCCTCCAAGTGGGGTGTAACACACTTTTATCTGACTCCTACTGCAGCTGTTTTTCTTGGCGGAATACTTGCTAATGGAAGCACTAAACATCAGCTGGCATCAACTAAAAGACAAAAAAATGCATAGAGGACAGTAGCATAAAAGAAAAATATAATGCTGATCTAAGTTTAAGTTATGACCAAACAAATGAAGAGTTGTCTGAAATGTTCTGTATACAGGCCTAGATTTTAGTTTATGGTCAGCTGCAGCTCTATGCAGATGCCATCCCTCAGAAACACTTACTACAGGGCTTGTTTTTCTTGGTGCATGACAACAGTCAGCATATTTTGCAGTTAATACTGCACACTGAGAATTTTCTCCACCCACACAGACAGGGCAGTTTCTGAGGATCAGGGAGATGGATAAACCAAGGATGCATTTATTAATGTTATTTGTCAAAGAAAACCTCCAAGAACCTCATATTTCTTACAGTGTAGTAGGATTGAGAAATTGTCCCTTTTTTCTCACAAAATACTCTCCTTTTCTCTCTCTAATGCTTTTGAGTATCTGTAAGCATTAACACAGAGAACAGAAAAACAAATTTTAATGCTGCTGAGTAAATGTTTCATTCCTCGGAAGTAACATCAAAGCGGTGTACTACCATTGATGCCCAAGCTGCTGCTGCTGCTGCTGCTGCTGCTGGTGCCACAGGGAAAGACTTAAGTGGAGATGAATTCTTTCAGATACATTTCTCAAACATGCCCGCACCAGAAACTCCCCAAACTGTACAGCAAGAAGACACATAAACATTAGTCACAGGAGAATTTGTTATTTGAGGTTACGTTGCTCATATATTTGCCTCTTTTGTTGTTGAACAGGTTTTAACATCCCAGCTAAATTAACATTGGCAGGTGCTTTCAAAAACAACATGTCTTGCAGCTCTTAGCCCTTTTTTGTCTACAAGCTATGAAGAGCTGCTGTGGCTCAGGGGTAAAGTTGGTTCTCTCTCAGTTAGAAAATTGGGGGGTTGATCTGAGGTCCTTCTGTCCATATGCCAAAGTGCTTTTGGGCAAGACACTCAACTCTAATCTGTTCCTGGTGGCTGAGCCATCAAGTATCAGTATAGGATAGGTTAACATTTGGGATGCCACAATTACTGACTGAATTCTGGACCATTTATTCCGTATGTCATGCTATATATATTCTTTTTTTTATCATAACTTTTTATGTCATCATTTATTCCATGCATTGTATTTCTCTCTGAAGTGGCTGTTTTTGCATGTACCTGCAAGACCATGCCCTGAGATGAGGAAACTTCTCCCTCGAGTAAATATCCAATCACTATGCACCAAATATCTGTGCCATCAGTGTGGGCAGAGTCACTGTGGTCACATCCAACGAATGGCTGACCAAATCCCAGGGCACTGAGTGTCAAAAAAAAAGAAAGTCTCTAATGCCAGATTTTAAAGGAAAAGTGCATGTTTTGGGTTTTTAAAGTCTGAGTTGTCAGTGGTCACTTTTCTTTATGCTCCAGAGACAAAAACATCATATTTTTTTTCCCACCTAAGATGGATGTGACGAGCATGTGTTAATTAGTACAGAAGAAAAGTGATTGTAGGAATGGATCTGCTGTGTTCATACATTTCCTGATTTATCACAGCCTTCCCTGTGTTTGTCTGCCAGACAGCTTTGAGCCTTATGATCCTGTCAGCATCTCCTGTTGTGTGATATTCTTTGGGACAAAACAAATGAGACGACTTGTATTCATTGAACATGGAGCATAAACCTGCTGTTGGCTTGTTGAAAAGCCAGGATAAGGCCAGTGCAAAGGCATGAATCAAGGCTGCCTTACTGGCAGGGGCTCATCCGTTGGGTGTCTGGAATACTAAACTGGGCAGACTGGTGCTACAGAAAGACCCCTAAGCTCAGCAGACATGAGCATAATGTTTGGCCATGAACTGTGTGAGACACTGTCATTTCAGCAGACAGTGAGGAACTGTGTCTTCTGGATGAACACAAGGCTTTGAGAACAAATCTGAAAATAAAAAACATTAAAGTGAACAGATGCAGAATCGAGAGAGGCAGAGGTGAAGGACAGCGGCACCAACCACTCAGGGCGCCAACAGTTACATAACTAAGTGCTGAATGATTATGTTAGCGTTCGGGCGATGCGGTTCGATTTCCAAGCCTTGCAGGGATTACTGATGGGTCTGTCATATTTTTGGCAACATCATTTAATCTAATAAAGGCTGTTTCATTAAATGAGCAGGATGAGACAAGAGGGGCACTGTTGTGTATTTCATGTGCATGTGTACATGAACATTTTCATGTGTTTTGTCTAAAATAGCAGCCTAATAGCACTGAATCAGTGTCGTACAGGATCATGACACTCATCACATTACAATGTGCAGCTCTTATTTATGACAGGATGAGAATTAGTTCACATGTATTCACAAAGGCACAGACAGATGCAGGCGTACAAAACAACTAAACTCATCTGAAGCGGCTTTCATCAACCATCAGACAGACACAAGTAAATACATCAGACTTTTCATTAAGCTGAAAAGTTAGAAATGAAAACTACATCATGTTCCGTTGATGAAAAATGGTTAGAAAGTTAATCTGTTTTGATGGCGATTGCACATTTACCTTTTTTTTCTTTCTTAACACAAATTGTGTATTTCATTTTTCTTCAACACTGTCATCATGCGGCAGGAATTAATCATTTAGCAGCACTTGTGTTAGAAGGAGACCTAGCCATTTATAGCTACAAATGGCTTTATTTTTGTATCTGAGTGGGGTGTGGGATGCCTTACCCAGCATTTAAGGTGCAGAGAATGCACAGAGTACAAGAAGAGAGAAGTCAGCAGATATGTAACACAGAGAGATTGCATATACATAATGCACAAGGCAAGAAATACCCAGAAATGTATGATTTATAAGTGGGGATGTAAAGGTACATGTATTCATACTGAACAATTGTGTACAGCCCGTTCAGTTCGGTGCAGCTATGTGCTGGTTCAAAAGTGCAAAGGTAAAGGTATTTCAAATCCAAGGATCACACATGGACAAAAACTGGAGCTCAACACACACAGAACCAGCCATGCAGGGAATTAGAAGATTTAGTCAACATATCATCTCGAAATATGTTGACTTTGATTTTGATTTAAGCTGTGACTGATGCCTATAGTGTAGTAAACTGCAGCATGTAGTGCTCCTATGTCTGCAAAAGTTTGTGTGTGTTATCCTGTCCCTGCAGAGCACCAACAAGCAGCCAGCAGAGGAGCTGGTGAGAGAGAAGCTGCAGCACCAAAACAGGGTAAAATAAGAGTAGTTACTTCTAGTTGTGTTATGTTTGATGTTATAAGAAATGAGTCTAAGGCTGAACAGTCAATGCTGCACTTAAAGTATAAAAGTTCTTTGTGGTTCTAATAAAGGAAAATAAAAGTATTTGTTGCAATACCGATAATGCACCAAACTGAAACTTCAACACTGAGAACTGCAACAAACCAAAGTCTTGTTCATCATAGCAGGGCAGGTGGTAGCAGAAGCAGCTGTCTGAATCAGTAACTGTACGAACAGCTGCATGCGGACCAGAGAGAGCCCATCCTGGACTGACCTGAAATTGATATCAAAAAAGTATGCAAAGGTAACAGGTGTCATACCCGAATTAGAGCTCAGTATGCACAGAGTGTCACAGCTGATGTTAATTTGTAATTTACAGAACCAATAGGATCTGCTGCAAACACATTGGTGCCAGATATTGTAACGCACTATGGTCAACATTAGGGTAGGGAGAAAAAAATCGATTCACATAAGTATCGCAATTTTTTATTTTACATTTTTTTAAATCAATTCTTTTTTAAATCAAATTTAAGAATAAATTTGAAAAACTGACTTACAAGTGATGTGTATTTTTGGGGAAATATGGTTCCTGGAATAGTCAGTAGACAATCATAATCATTTAACTGTTTCACTGGTGTTAAAAATGCAGACTAAAAATTGAGAAAATCGACAATTTCGTAGAATCGCGATTTAAATCGAATCGGCAACCAAAAATTCATAGAAGAATCAAATTGTGGGAAAAGCATATCGTCCCAGCCCAAGTAAACATGGTATCATTGAGTCTGTGGAAAACAATATCAAATTTGTTCACTGAGTGTGGCTAACACAGCTCTAGTGGGGATGAAACACTAGAATTTTTAGTGCAAATTCAAGCTCAGTCAGTTAAATCTGTTGATAAAACGGTTGATATTAAAACTAATGTTGAATAGTGTTTAAAACATACAGCATTGGGAAAAGTTAGGAGACCACTCTAAATTTTCCTCTAATCAGTGTGTCTAAGAGCAGGGAGCAATTCTGTTCCAGTTATTCAACCTAATGAGGTATTGATTTGGTGATCACCTATCAAGCCATTGAACAAAACAGAGCTGCTTGAATTTTGGCCCAAAAGGGACAAAACTTCATGTGCCAAAGGCATGAAAGCTGTAATTAAAACCAGGATTATTTCAGCACTTATTGGCTTCTGAGCTTGCCTTGAGTTAAAACATTATTATTCAGTTGGTAAAAAATTAATATAAAATCATTTTTCTTCGTTTTACTTCGCCTGAAACTACAAAGGGCTATCTTAATCAGGTGCCATTTTCTCCAGAAGTTGATACTGATATTGATCAGCTATAGGCCTATAAGCTCAAAACCTAACACAGCCATCATTCACTTGAACCCACATTGCAGTAAAACTCCTGAAGTAGCTGCTCGCTCCAACAGAGTGCGATAATAGCTGCCATATGGCTAAATCTGCTCAGTGCAAGTTTTTTTTTGTTTTTACAGAAAAGAAAAATCATATAAACTAAAGAGGTATATTTAGGACTTTCATCTTTTTGGGTTTCTTCGCACCTTCATTTGTTGAGAAGGAAAATCATCTGAAGATCACTTCCACATGGTCAAACTTTCAGCTGCCAGGTTTCTATGCCAATGATAATACCCCCAATGTAATTCAACAGACAAACCCGAGGCCTTCTCCTCCTGCTGCTTCTGCAGGAAAAACTCCAGCTAACTAGCAGACTTCAATCAACTCTCGGGCTGCCGCTGACTCCTTAAATGCTGCTGTCAGACTTTCTAGCCTTGAGAGGTATGCTGAAGTATTTTATAACAGCCAGTAAGCAAAACACAAAATCCTCTTGAAAAAGAGGAAGGTGGCAGTCGCTTATAGAGATGTGGCTGGTATTGAGGAAAAATAAAAGACATTTAATTAACAACCTCCCAGACTAAAAGGAAAATATTTCTTCAAGACATTTCTATTCCCACCGGTCTAGTCATTGTTATGGCATGCTATGTCTTGAGAAGTGGAGTCAAATCAGGTTGCTGAGCAGATGGGCGGTAAAGCCTTTGTATACTATTCTCAGACACACCCCTGAGGAGCCCAGTCCATCATCTACTGATCTATCTCTGCTTGGCCCTCCCTCTCATCAAGAAAATGATACCCTTAATTGGAAATTGTGTTAATTCTCCGACATGTCTGAAATTCTATCTCCCCCTAACTCCCTCTAAATTGGAGACACTCTTGACAAATTTAGGGTGGCAGCTCCAATGATGCATATCCTGGTTAAATACTCTTTATCTTCACCCACTTTCTCTTGTTCATGCCTCTTTATCAACCGAGTGATTAATGTCTACAAAACTCCCGAGCATGCTGGTCCACCCAAAATAATCCATGGTGGGAAATTAGAGTGAGCAGTGCTGAGTTATTCAGTGTCATGCATGAATGAGAGTTATGTTTTGAACTAAAGATAATCTTGAGGATGACAAGCACAGTAGCATCATGGACTACCTTCTGTTCATGAAGGCCACCTCTACAAAATTAATATTAATGTAACTACACTGATGAGCATGGAGCAGCTTCAAACACTCCTCTGTGTCTAAATGTTATTCATACCCTTCACTCGGCAAAGACTCTGTTCCTTTTGACCTGTGATGTCTGATTAAACACAAAAACAGCGTCATTAAGCTTTGAGCTGGGATTCTTTTATCCATGATACAAACAGATAAACAATGTGAACAGACCCTCACTAATAAGTACGAATAAATGAGATCATTGTTTCTGATAGTTGATGCATTTTAAAAGTCAGAGCTGCATGTTTGAATAATGTGGTCTCTGAGGAGAGCAAACACTGTGCATGCATAGAAAGAGTTAAATCATAACACATCCAACTGTTTTTGTGCATTTGGAAGCAGTGAGATACCAGTAGCTGATGGCTGTGGTAGATGCATCTGTTGTGATATTAGACTCTAATTATAGAAAAAAAATAGATTATATGGCGTGGAAGATGCAGGCCTAGTTTCAGAGCTGCTGTTAGGATTATTGTCTCAAATGTTACCTCTAAAAGAAACCTAAAACAGTCCTTGCCAGGTCTGTGCAGCGTTTTTATCAGCACTGAACCAAAGAGAGAGGAGCAGCATGAACGTGAATATTATTGATTTCTACCAAGGTTACCTGTTGAGCTAGAAAAATACTCAATCAAATAAGTGCATTGCAGAAAAGCTGTTATCCGAATATGTACTGAAAATCTTGCTGTGTTGAAATGCAAGAGATTTGGCTGCATGATGTCGAAAAACAACTCAAGTTTAATTTTTTTTTGCAGGCTAAAAATAATAAAGGATATTTCCCCAGGTACATGCAGTGAGTTACTCACATTGAAAAACAATAAACAGTAATTGTATTCATTGTTTGAGTAACCACCATAACCTACTTACACCACAGCCTCTAATACTAGCATAAACAAACAAAGGGGGCACCTTATCTGGGAAAAACAACACGGTTGTCCCTCTCTCATTGAGGCAACATTATTTCTGAGAGGTAGAGTTGATTCTCAAACTAAATACACAACTGTAGAAGGGCTGCGCTCATAACAAAGCAAAGAGCACAGACATTTCTTCCTAAATATATCCACTGAATAGTATCTGAGTCATATCTAAAAACAGACCTAAATCTGTATTTTACTTTATTTACCATTCTTGATTTGATTTGCCAAATGTTTCCTAAAATATAAGTCTATAAAATGTGAGGATAGTTGAAATATTATCATCGCAGGTACTCTTGTTTGATGTTTTTACACCTTAATATGAACAAAATATAGGCTGACATTCATTGATCAAAGCTTCAGCAGTATTCAAAATGCATTTGCCTCAAAGATTAGACAAATTGTTGATGCTTTTGGTCAGGCTGTCCAGACCAAATGCAAATTGGACTGCCCATTTTTGGATATACAGCACATTTGAACAGTCCAGTGCCAGGTTTGGCTTTGATTTTTCCCTGGGCTGAATCGTGTGGACAGTCAGTCCTACTTCGCAGTTTTGGACCAGAGTGAGCCCGGTTTATAGGCCGGTTTAACACATCAATCATGACAAGTCTGGCAGTCAAAAGCATTGATTTTAAGACAATTTCAGCTACTTGGCAATATATGTGCATCACATTTAAAAAGATTCAAGTTGAAAGTAGTCAAAGTGGTCCTTAACAGTTTACTGACAGTACAACTGAATAACATTTGTACTTTGTGAGCCCAACGGTTCAACAAACGCTACATGTGTTCGCCTTACTTGCTGCCATTTTCTAGTTTAGCAGGCTAAAACCTGTGTGGCTGTTTAGCATATGAGTGATGAAATATGATAAAAGGAGTGTAGAGAGCGCTGATGAATATGTGTGGCTTTGAAGCGATTGTTGTGTGTGATCGTGTGCAGATGAGAGCGTGGGAGGTGTCGTGTATGGATGTGTGTCTATGTGTGTCTGAAAGTGTTTGCTGATAAGGGTGACATTTGTGGCACACAGTTAAGAATGTAACCACCTGAATCTGGGACTTCTTTCTCTGAACCCTAAAACATCAACCAGGAGAGGTTTAGTTCGTCCTTCTTCCACCGCAGAGCCTGTGTTCGAGTGTGTGTGCGAGCGCTGAAGTGAGGGCATCGCTCTCCACACACTCGACAGGATTTCAGCATCCTGCACATTCACCGTGGATTCATCACCTTAGCAACCAGTCGATTGAAAGATGATGAATCATGCCAAAGACTGCTAATTTCTTTGCAGTTGTCAAACATGAACAATAGGCGGTAAGATGGAGTCAGAGAAACGTCACCAGAGGATGGTGTGTGTGTGTGTGTGTGTGTGTGTGTGTGTGTGTCCGTGTGAACATTAAACATAACCATAAAGAGACAGGAAGGAGGAGAGGCAAAATCAAGGTTAATCCGAGGATAATGGTGGTCAGACAGAACACAGATGTACTACTTGCTGTTCTTACTGACCAGAACAAATAACTCCTCATTAGCACAGCATGAGTAGTTTAACAGTATACTTATAGGTTGTTATATACTTGTATTTTCTTTGATAAGACCTGTAACATTAACCTTTGAGTTGAACATTTCAGGGGCTGTACCGCGTGTGGTTGCTGTCTGGTTTTGGACCTTTAAATTAAAAAAGAAAACTTATCAAAGACGACTGCTTTGTCCAGTGTCGTGACAGGAAACAGCCAGTTCTCTGGTTTGGAAACTTATCAATCCAATCAACTCTGAAAGAAGAACCGAATGTCAGCTAATAAGAGTGGGCTTAGTGATCCAGAAAATGGAGATGAAGTTGTATTCGGGCTGTGTTAATTAAACTGGTAAATAACCTCTCAGCCTGAGCAACATGTACCTAGCACAGATGTGCGAGTGTTTACCTGCAGGGAGGATTGGAGGCTGGTGGTGCTAGCTCTGCTAACATTAGCCACATTTGACAAAACAAACTGTCATCCAGTATTGATGAAATAACTTGGATTTAAATCCTCTACTAAAAGCAGAAAGGGACTATTTAACAGTAAGGTTATAGATCGAACACTCACCCCTCCCATCTTCCATTAAGTACTTTTTCAGCAACCTCCTACTAAATACAAAAAGGGAAATAGTTTGTCCATTCTGTGCTGCTGTTAAACCAGCATTTTAAGATGGGGGCCTGTAGAAGTGATGCTGATATTCAAGTGGTTATACATAAATTCAAATATGTGTACAAGTAGTCTTCTGTGCTATCTATGGGCATATTTTGCTCAATGCTTCCTATCCTCCCTGTTTTTTGGTTAAGTTTGGCACCAGATATTTGCTGATACTTCAAACTCATTTCAGACAGTACTGTTATTGTTATTCGACCAACTCTTCTCCCTGTCACTATATGAGCCAAAACTATCAAATCCCCATGGCTACACATAAGTGTCACCAAAAAAATTACTTTAAAATCATGTAGATCTGGTAAGACGGAAAATTGAATCCAATTGAATCCAAAAATCAGCAGAGCGGAGGCAATATTGGACAGAAGACAAGAAAAGAGTGTAATGACTTGATAATTCTTTCTGGGATGATTAGCTCCACACAGATAGGTTTCAGAGGCCCAAAAAAACAGCTTGATAAATCCTCTATTCCCTGATAATGTCTGACTGGAGACAAGAGTGGATGGTGCCGATGTGTTATGATTTGATTTCCTGTAGATCTCCAGTGAATGGGACGATGTTTCTAACCTCATCTTCTCTGCGCTTTAGAGTGAGTGGTCTCTTATCACCCCCTGAGTGCTAACAAACCCACCTTCACACTGTAATAGCAGTGATGTTGTAAAACACCAGAGAAGCGTGGAAATGAATCTGGATTCAGAAGAAACGTCACTGTTACAAATAATGTAAATCATGTATAAAGGAGGAGAGGCCTGAAATCCAGCCATCTTGAAACAGTGGGTCTAATTCAGACACAAGGTGCAAATATTGCCTCAGTCGTTTGCTGTCGAAGCAGTAATAATACAAAACATGAACATGTCATGACAAGCGAGTGGAGTGAAGGTTAAGAGCTCCCACTGCTGGTGAAAATCCTGAAAGCATGAGCAGCACCAGAGTTTATTTTTCAGGAGGCTTTGATTTATTTACAGTCCTGATGTGAACTTTAAAGTGTATTGTTTTCGTTATACACACAGGCCTGTTGACTTTTTGCTGTGCGATTATAGATTATATGATATTAATCATTAACTAAAACACTAGATAACAAATGACAAAGTACTGCTTCAATGAGTTCATCAATCTACTCAAATATGAATCGTATAATTATGCAGCCCTACAACAAATCAATCAACAACAATCATAAATCATATGGTGTGCAGTTTGGCAAAAAGACCAAAAAGGTCATTTTCAGGGCCGAGTTTTATTGATTTGAGAGTCAAACTGGGAATGAATCTTAACATCCTGCACACCAGCTGAAGTTATTTTTGCCCTTCCAGCCTGCTGATGTATAACCCTCGGTGTGAAATGTAAGTGGGAGCGGGTGGTGTGTGTGTGATGTGCCATGTCCTGGTCACAGTGTTCCCTCCTCTCTACCGGTCACTCAGCAAGAGAGTTCCTGTGGGCAGAGTGAGAGAGCATCACACTCAGCCCACACATTTGTCCTCTAACTACAGTCATCTTCAAATGCAAAATAAAGATCCACTCAGGAAGTGAAGTTATGGCTTCTTGAAGTTTAAGTCTGACAATAACAGACCTGCACTTGATTGAAGAAAAATTGAAGAATTCAAGACCACAAAAGTAAAAAATCAAATACTTGAGGAAGATAAAGTTCTGTATCCAAACAGTAACTTCTTCTGTAATTTAAGAACTCATGCTGGGAATCTTTGCGGTGGGTATGTCAGACTTTGAACAATATTTCCTTGAGACAATATCTACTGTACACATTGGTGCACCTGCAGGCAGTACATCTCCCGAGTTGTTCACTTTGGAGAGAAAATCATACACTATTCATAAGGATGAGGCTGAATTCATGTGTATTATTCATAAGAGTGGTCTTGTCTAAGGCATGTATAAACTACAGATGGAGACTTTTAGATACATGCCGTCCTTTTTTGTCGAGAAACTCAGGAAGGAAGTTAAAAGTAGAAATGTCTTATTTTCCATAGGACCAAAACTACTTTCTTAACACAGTTAGATAACAGCAGGAGAAAGAGACTTTGTTGATTGGGAATAAAAATGTAACTCCAGTCATAGAAGATATTCAGATCATCATTATTATTACAAGTCCAAAAGCTACTGGTAGTTCAATGTGCTTTTGCCAACCTACTGGCAAGGCCCCTTCAAAGAGGCATGAAAACAAGTCTGCAAAGTGCAAGAAAATCAAAGATCTTCTGTTCAAGTTTGCAATAGTGTTTGTATCAGACATTTTAATATTTAAATTCTGGAAATATAGCTGCACAGGCAAAGTCTCTAAGAAGGTACAATAGCAAGAAAAATGGGCTGAGGAGTTATGCTACAAAGAGACAAAGAGCCTTCGTGCTTATTTTTAACTCTGCTATTTATACTTTGTGTGAAAATCCTGGTAAAGCAACTTATAGCTGCAGCTATTTTTGGGTGATGTTGAACATTTTGTCCCCTGAACTGTGGAGGAGTACAGTCATGAAGTGGCAGAAAATAAAATAGTTAAATGTAGCACAAGCAGGTAAAAGTAAACATGAGAATAACTCTCAAGTATATGTCTGTGTGTCTGTGTGTGTGTACTTTTGTGCTATAAAGGAAACAAAATAAAACAGAATTCTGCTAATCTGCAACCCAAATTATTGCAAGCAGAACCATCTTCACATAAACTGTTCTTCTATTCATATCAGACTTTGGTTGTTTATTTGTTCATGATGGGGATTTATTTTTACTTCCAGCAGAGGGCAGCAGAGCACCTCTGCACTGTCAACAATGTGGCGAGATTTAGCAGCTTAATCACAGGTTTATGCTGATCTTCAGTATGTATGAATCCTTCACAGCATGTGGATGAACATTTGCCACACAGATTGTAACTAACTCTCGAGTCTTTGCTAGAAATGCTCTCCATCTTGTCCACAACTTCTTTTTTGGCATTTGAGACTTTGGGGTTATCATACAGTGACAAGTGTACTGCACAGCAAGAGGTATTTTACAATGGATGGTAACATTCAGATAGCATAAACTAAGTACAAGACCTGGATTATATGTATAAAAAAATAAATGAAAACATGTTGCAGTTCTTATTTAGACTTAATCATTGACGCTGAGGTAACCAAACTTCAGATTTGGGGTATTATGTTCTGTTTCCTTTTTCAGTGTGTGACCATAGACTGTATGTGTATGTATATGTATGTATATAAAGGTAATGGAAACTAACACATGTCTCCTTGTCCTTAGCTAAATATTTGCTTCTTACAATGCTCATTCATTCATTTTGGAAGATTATGAAACAGTTCCTTTGAATAAAGTGACACACAAGATCCATTTTCCTGTGACAATCTGACCTGGCCTTTGTCACAGCAGTAGCCTATGGGCTGAAATATGTGCCACCAGAAACTGAATCATTTAAATTTGAGTTTGAATCGCTAAACTTGAGTAATTGAATTGAAAAGTTGAATTTAAATTACATAATTTTAAATTGTATTGTTTAATTTGAATTTGAATTGCTAAACTTGAATAATTGAATTGACAGGTGTGGCTACCCGAGCCGGAAACCCGATTTGTACTGCGCATGTGCGAAACGTACGTCACTACCTCTACTCGCCTTTACTGCACCTGTCCACATATTAACAGGAGTAAACAAACAATCGCTCTCATCTTGTCCTAATCGCTTTTAATATTTTATTGTGGCTGAAGTTGCCTTTTTAGTCGCTGGAAGAAGAGGGACAGAACGGTCATCTTCCCTGAGCTGAAGCTCTAAGGTAAGAGGACTTTCTTTGTATCACAGCTGTAGTTTCATGTGTCAGTGCTGAGATTTAACAGCTGAGAGTTTAGAGAAAATTAATAGTAGAGAAAATTAGCTGACACTGTTACTCACAGAAACCTCTCTGCAGCCTCAGTAGTATCACAATGAAGGTTGCAACATGATCTAAAGGAGCCAAGACTCTGTGCTTATGTTTATAATGTTAAATAAATTCTCTTTAGCTACACCAGGCTCAAAAAAGGCTTAATGATATTGTTTTGCATTTAATGAAGTAATGCAAACAAAATACCAGAAACAAAATTGCTAAACTTGAATTAACTTTATTTACATAATTCAGACCAGACTAACTTTGGTGCAGTAAAATATTATTACAAGAAACTTTTGGTTTTTTTTCTAATCGATTAAAAAATAATAATAAAAATAAACAATAATAAAAAAATTCAAAAAACACAGCAATTACCTGAAAATACCACCATTTAGCCTGATTATTCAGCTGACCGATTAACAAAAGTCTGGAACAGAAACTTTTTTCAAGAATATGTTTCAAAAGCAGCATTTACAGGAATATCAACATCCAACAGAACTGAAACAAGACTGCACATGATAGGAGACTAAAACATATCTGTAGTGATGAGTATAAATAGATGTCGGGTATGCTTCACCTTAAAAACTACAAATTTCTCTTGTGCTTTTAGGACTCTACACCAGACCATCCCTGGAGTCAGGTGGACCACCATCTTCATGTGGCGGTGTTCCTACCTCAGCGTCCCGCTCAAGTCAAGGCGCTCGGCTGCTCCTGTGATGCTGTTCAGAATCTGATTATCAGTCCATCTTTTCACTGACTGATCTGAGACTGATAGTGAAGCTGTGGAGATGAATGGAGACTCCTCCATTCATCTAATAACTCTAGTAATTAATCTTCAACATTTGACCATTTCTTTATTAATGAATAAAGAGGAGTCTCCATTTATCTCCACAGCTTCACTCTCAGTTAGTGAAAAGACATGGGGAGAGATTTGTCTCAAAATTATGCACAAATACATATACACAATTTCCACGTGTGATTATCAGATCCACAAATATATCTCTATGATTTTCACATTAGTTTTTTAACTGTGTGTGTGCATTTATCATGAATTATCATTTGTAAATCTTCAATTCTGCGTGTGAATTGTGAAAAAATGTGTTTGTGGATGAGCCAGCATGTGCATTTAATTTTGTGACTAACATCACACAGTTTTCAAGATCCGCACACACAAGGTGAAGATATTCACATGCGTGGAGACCACCGCCTCTCTTATCCACTGGGCGGCAGTGTTGCTCCCTGAGCTAACCTAAATAAATGTTTTTACTCACTTTTATTTGAGGGGGGAAAAACAAAACAAACAAAAAAACCTACAAGCTAAAAGTATTGGGCAATAAATATAATGCACTAAAATAGTAACTTACTGCTAAAACCTGTGAATTGAAGAAATATTTTAATTGTTTTATTGATGTAATAGAAAATAGTAACAGCAAACACAACTGAAGGTTTAATTATTCATTTATTCATAGATATTTGAGACTTATATCACTTTCTCTGACAGTCATGCAAAACTGATCTTAAGCACAAATTTAGTAAAACTTTTCACTTGTTTTTGTTTTTACTGTTTCAAAAGACATCACGTTAAAAACAACTCCTTGATCAGTGAAGTAGCCTGAGAGCACCTCTCAGCTCTCACCACAGTCCAGTTTGACATCCTTAGCTAATTGTCTCCTTTTCTTTCAGGATCAACTGTGGGGTTTTTCCTTTTGTGAATAGTTTTTCTTTGTTTATACTCAGCATTTTTTGGGGAGTCTAAGTTTGTGGTTTATTTAGTTGGACTATAGTTTATTTAAGTTAGGTACAGGCAGTGAAGGTAGGAGTTTTATTTGATTTGTTTGATATAAGAGAGATCTTGAGCTCACCTTTTAAGTACTTGCTACACTCTCTGATAGGTGGGTTGGAGAATGAGCTGCCTAGTTTGGAAATAAAAAACGCACAGACACACTGTTACTCTGTGTCTATTTTAATCAGATCCAGGTCAAGGAATTTTAAAAAGTCTAGTGTCTTCAAAGGACAGTCAAATAGGAGAAAACCGGACATCTCCTGTGTGTCCACGTGGCTCAGAGGATATGGTGACTGACTGCCACTCCTGGGGTTGTGGGTTCAAGCCTTACCTTACACAGGTCAAGGTGGATTTTAAAGTCTAGTGTGTAAAATAGGTCAGTTAAATAGGAGAAAACCAGAGAACTCCTGTGTGTCCACATGGCTCAGAGGATAAGGAGACTGACTGGCACTCCTGAGGTTGCGGGTTCGAACCTTATCCCAGACCAATTTTAAAGTCTAGCAGCCAAAGTACCAAGATAAAAGGGCGCAACGCTCATCCCCAAGTGCGGACGGTATCCGGTGGCGCTGGGGGTATGCAACTGACACCCAAATACCAAATGCTGGTCAGGCGGGCAGCCCTAGTTCGATACCCACTCGACACGCAGGAGATCCTGAAGCAAATCCTGGGGAACCAGGCCCGGGGGGTGGGGTTTCCCCCCGGTGTTTCCGGAGAGGTAAAACAGGGGGGTTATGAGGCAGGAAGTCAGAGGTGGCTGAAGTTTTGAAGAAACTAACCAAGAAAGACAGACAATTGAAAGAAAAGATGACGAAAGTCATCTCTATTAGAAGAATAAAGTCTCTATATTATAGTCATCTATAATACTATTATTTAAAGATGACTAAAGTCATCTATAATAGAGATGACTATTATAATAATACTATAATAGTCATCTATATATAGATGACTATATTATAGTCGTTTAGTCTATCTATGACTATTATAATAGTACTGTTATAGTGATGACTATAATATAGTCATCTATATATAGATGACTATTATATTATTATTATAATAGTCATCTACTATTATAATAATACTATATATAGATGACTATAATAAAGTCATCTTTATTCTAATATAGATGACTATAATATAGTACTAGAAGACTATAATATAGTCATCTATATATAGATGACTATATTATAGTCATCACTATAATAGTCTGATAGAGATGACTATAATATAGTCGTCTTTTTTCTACATCTATATTAGTCTCGTGTCTTATAGATGTCATCTTTCTTGTTTGAGTTGGTTGGTTTCTCCAAAATTTCAGCGGCTTCTGACTTCCTGCCTCATAACCCCCCTGTTTTACCTCTCCGGAAACACCGGGGGGAAACCTCCCCCCGGGCCTGGTTCCCCAGGATTTGCTTCAGGATCTCCTGCGTGTCGAGTGGGTATCGAACTAGGGCTGCCCGCCTGACCAGCATTTGGTATTTGGGTGTCAGTTGCATACCCCCAGCGCCACCGGATACCGTCCGCACTTGGGGATGAGCGTTGCGCCCTTTCATCTTGGTACTTTGGCTGCTAGACTTTAAAATTGGTCTGGGATAAGGTTCGAACCCGCAACCTCAGGAGTGCCAGTCAGTCTCCTTATCCTCTGAGCTATGTGGACCTGCAGGAGTTTTCTGGTTTTCTCCTATTTAACTGACCTATTTTACACACTAGACTTTAAAATCCACCTTGACCTGGGTAAGGTAAGGCTTGAACCCACAACCCCAGGAGTGGTAGTCAGTCACCATATCCTCTGAGCCACATGGACACATAGGAGAAATCCGGTTTTCTCCTATTTGACTGTTCTTTGAAGACACTAGACTTTTTAAAATTCACCTTGACCTGGGTAAGGTAAGGCTTGAACACACAGCCCCAGGAGTGGTAGTCAGTCACCATATCCTCTGAGCCACATGGACACACAAGAGAAATCTGGTTTTCTCCTATTTGACTGTTCTTTGAAGACACTAGACTTTAAAATTCACCTTGACCTTGGTAAGGTAAGGCTTGAACACACAACCCCAGGAGTGGTAGTCAGTCACCATATCCTCTGAGCCACGTGGACACACAGGAAGAATCTGGTTTTCTCCTATTTGACTGTCCATTGTAGATGCTAGACCTTAAAACTCACCTAGACCTGGATCTAATTAAAAACAAGAGACACAGAGTCACAGTGTGTCTGTACGTTTTTTATTTATAAACTTGAGGCTTCCCCCCTCTGATGGTTGAGTTGCTGTCATAGAAAATTGGAGGCCAATAACCTTATTAAACAATGATGCTTAAATATTGCATCAATCTTTGTGCAGATGATAAAAATGTCATAGTTTAGTACGGTAAAAATGTCATAGCATAGTACAGTAAAAATGTCATAGCATAGTATGATGAAAGCATATCATAGAATGAAAAAAAATGTAATGGTATAGTTTGATAAAAATATCATAGAATAGTATGATAAAAATATCACAGTATAGTATCAAGGAATTGTGTCTTTCTTGTCTCACCTCAAACCAGCTCAGGCTCTTGGTCACACACTTTAAACCTTTAATTATTTTATTTCATTTGTTTATCAGAGCACAGCTTTGGTTCATAAAGATGCTAAAGATAAATAACATATGTGAGTGGGTTTTTCCCTGGTTTACTGCCTCTGTAAGTAGTTTTATTTCACTTGTCAATCAGTCAGTGCCATTTTTTCTCCACTAGAGAGCACTGTGTACTCAAAAAGCAAAGAATCTCTTGGCTTTCTAGATTTAGAGGCTGTCAAAGTGGTAAGAAAAATAGGAAAAGAATATAATTTAATAGGCATGATGTGAGATTGATTGTATGAGTAGAGAAAATTGGTCTTTTTCAGAAGAAATCTTCTGTTCCTGCAAATGAGGTATTTCTTGACCTTTCCCACGGCTTTATGCGCCAGGTGTCAAACATTATCAACAGATTAACTAATAATAAACAGAAACAGGGTGCCGCCTTGTGTGAGCAACTTAAAAAAAACGCACAAATACCTTGTATTGTTCATTCCCCTGACGTGGCTGCCAGTTCTAACCGCTGCAGAGGAGAGAGTTGGGCAAAACTTGTTTACAATATTTAACTTGTGTTTCTGTCATAAACAAGTTTTTGATGTTTTACTGGAGCAGTAAAGCGCCCAGCAGTCTGTCCTTAGGAGAACAAAGGCCCTGTTTGCCTGTGTCTGTCTGAGCCAATATTTTATTACTTTAGCAACAAACAAAACATTTAAAAGCAACGACTGTTTCACATTACTGTCCACCAAATCTCAACTGTTGTGTCCCATTAAATGACTGTCCAGTTTGAAGAAAGCATTGTAGCTCTTTTATTCACCAACATTGGCTCATTTTGGGAATATAAATAAAAACTACTGACAACAAAACACGCTCAAGATGAGTTCCAGGAGTTAAAACTTATTCATAAATATCAAAGGATACACAGTTTCTTAACTGTCATCTTCCACGCTACCATAAGCACATATTTACTTACATGAAAAAGGGGGTAAAACAGTTCACACTTGAGGAGGGGAAGGCCCTGCTGAGCAAGAGTGACCCTCTGTGACATTAAATCCATTACAGGCCAGTGAGAGTTACACACCCATAAGCCACAAATCTCTTTAATACAACACCCATTAGGAAAGTGCTGAGCTCTTTACTAACAGCTAAGATAGTCCTGAACTCAGGAACAACACAGCTTCCACCCCGTTGTCACTGTACTGAAGAAAACGGACTACTTACTCCACATTAAAAGAGGCCAGGGTTTACTTGAAAAGAGAAGTTAAATCACCGCAAAATATTCTTGTGCTCAAGCATCCCCTAAACTCAAGAGCAGCCTCAAACTATTCTACATGTGATATATTATCTTGACTTTATATTTTTGCGTGCCGAACCTTTGCCACTCTGAATGACTAAATCCGAATAACCAAAAACTGACTTCTGTTTGGTTCAAATAAGCAAATCAAAGAACATGATTTTTTTCACAATCATTAGCAATTTAACTAATGAACTAACCAACTGATTCCAAAACATTATTTGAGGCAAAATTGGAGTTACAAATGTCTGTGTTGGAGCACTGTAATACTGTTGGTCAAAGAAGCATGGACAGTAGGCAAAAAGTGTTTCTTCACGGAGCAGAAATCAAACACAGTCATCTAATCCTTTTGTAACCATAATAGCTCGAGCGGTCTGATCAATACCCACTTATTTCTGTAACTTCACAAAATTCAGATTTTTTTTTTCATAGTACATACCCTGTTACAAAAAACCCCATCCTTTTAAAAAATGACTTTGGGAGAAGACTTTGTGAAGACCAAATCTTCTTTTTTTAAATAAAGAAAACAAATGAATTGGCAATGAGAGTTAAACAAACAAATTGAAAGTCTTTTTGACATTAAATTATCTCAATCATATGAAATAAAATGTGATTAGATTTCAATAAAATGCTGGTAATAAGTAATCTTAGGACATTTTACTTTTTAAATGTGTTTGATGTCTCTGTTGCAGTGATTACGGTTGTCATTTAAAGCTCCAATGAGGAGTTTTTTGATGTTCATGAAACGCAAAAAACAAACACGATCATTAGTGACAAGACTGAGGATTTATCTTTCATAATTTTTCATGCCTGAAACTAGTGTGAGGGGGTGGGTGCAAGCTGAAAGAAACTGCTTTTTATATTTTACATAGAACATTTTCACCATAAACAATATTTGACCGTCAAAAGTTGGCAGGATGTGTTGTTCTATTTTCAGAAGTCTCTGTTTTTTAGTTTACTAATAGGATAGATAAGATAGAAGTTTTGGGACGCAACTTATTCTGTTTAGGGCCAAGGGGTCAGTAGCATTTCCTAGCGCAAGGACAAGAGACACTTAAGAATAGTCCAGGTCACCAGTCCATCACATAGTAATGCAGCTTAACATTAATGCTTGAACATTCACCTGTGAATAAACAAATGAGCCATAATCCTTTATACCTCCAAGAGAGATTGAAGCAGTAGGAAAAGGTCACACAAATTGAGGAAGGTAACAGAGACTTTTTACATCACACTTAACACCAAAACTGTAATCATGCTCCAAATTTAGTAGTTAGTGGTCGGCTGCATGATAAGCATGAACAGGTGTAACCTTAATATCTTGATGAGTAGTCAGTTATGTTTGCATAGGTGGCTGGATTAGTTATTAACTGTGGCCTAAATCACTTTATGCTGACGGATTTGGAAAGTCATAATCCAAGGTGTGCCTGATAAAAGCCAGGCTTGGATTCACTTGTAGCACGGTCCGTCTCCATCACTGTCCTGAGCAGCCAGAAGAAACACCTCCGAAGGGCTGATCGTAACCACAAGCCGCAACCATGAACGGCACGGAGGGACCTTTCTTCTATATCCCTATGGTAAATACCACAGGCATTGTTCGGAGTCCTTATGAATACCCTCAGTACTATCTTGTCAACCCAGCAGCCTATGCTGCCCTGGGCGCCTACATGTTCTTCCTTATTCTTCTCGGCTTCCCCATCAACTTCCTCACTCTGTACGTCACCCTCGAACACAAGAAGCTACGAACACCTCTGAACTACATCCTGCTGAACCTTGCAGTGGCTAACCTCTTTATGGTCTTCGGAGGATTCACCACAACAATGTACACCTCAATGCATGGCTACTTTGTCCTCGGACGCCTTGGCTGCAATCTGGAGGGATTCTTTGCTACCCTCGGTGGTGAAATCGCACTTTGGTCTCTGGTTATTCTTGCTATTGAAAGATGGTTGGTTGTCTGCAAACCCATCAGCAACTTCCGCTTTGGGGAGAATCACGCAATTATGGGTTTGGCAGTCACCTGGATCATGGCTAGTGCTTGTGCTGTGCCTCCTCTGGTTGGCTGGTCCCGTTACATCCCTGAAGGCATGCAGTGCTCATGTGGAGTAGACTACTACACACGTGCAGAGGGTTTCAACAATGAGTCCTTCGTGGTCTACATGTTCACCTGCCACTTCCTCACCCCCATCACCATTGTGTTCTTCTGCTATGGCCGCCTGCTCTGTGCTGTAAAGGAGGCTGCCGCAGCCCAGCAGGAATCTGAGACCACCCAGAGGGCAGAGAGGGAGGTCACCCGCATGGTCGTTATCATGGTCATCGCCTTCCTGGTATGTTGGCTGCCCTACGCGAGTGTGGCCTGGTGGATCTTCACAAATCAAGGTACTCAATTTGGACCGGTCTTCATGACCATCCCAGCCTTCTTTGCCAAGAGCTCCGCCATTTACAACCCAATGATCTACATCTGCATGAACAAGCAATTCCGCCACTGCATGATCACCACCTTGTGCTGCGGGAAGAACCCATTCGAGGAGGAGGAAGGAGCATCTACATCCAAGACCGAGGCCTCCTCTGTCTCCTCAAGCTCTGTGTCTCCTGCATAAAAGAGACATCAACACAGGCCTCAACATCCACTATCGAAGAAGACGACTTCTGCTCCCTGGGAAACGGATGAAGACTAATGTCCACAGAAATAACATGTTTTTCTTTGTGTTTTTACTGATAAGTTGGTTCGACCTAAAGACAGTTGCAGGAAAGGTCAGCCCATTACAGAGTTTTTCCTGTTTGTACAGAAAATCCAACTTAACTATGAATGAGATTATTCTTTCCTGAGAGACAAGGAAAAGACATGTTAACCTTTTACAGTTGGATCCTATATGGTACTAGCTTATTTTTGAATGTAGAAGCATGTAATCAAGGCAATGTAAAATAAAACGCACTTTGCAAATGACTCTACTATTCATGTTTTACTTGCAATTTGGGTGGCGAAGTTCATATGACTGTAGCATTTAATCAAATGAATAAAACTGAATGCCCTGTTCAGAATGCATGCATATCTTGAGTAAATTTCTCCATTAGAAATAGTTTTTTTCATGAATACAGCTTTTTTTTTTTTTTGCTAAAGGCAGACTTATGACATGTCTGAACATCTTATGTAGAAGCATCTGCATCGCTGCAGTTATCTCTTCAAACATAAGTGACCTTGGATTTAGAACCTGGCCTACCTGAGAGATTATGATATTATTAATCAGGGATGTATACACTTATGACACAGCACCAGCTTTATCTGATCACAATCCTATTAATTAAAGGTTAAGACAGAAAAAGACTTACTGTGAATCTAAACGACCAAGAAACACTTTGATAATCTGGTGAATAATGAACACTCGCACAACTACTGCCACTACATTATAATAATAATGCTAATGATAATAATAATAATAATAATAATGCTAATAATAACAATGATAATAATGATAATAATAATGATAATAATAATAATAATAATAATAATAGTAATAAAACGTCACAGATTTTTTAAAAACTTATTTACTTTTAAACTGAGGGTAAAAAGCCTGTTGACAAACCAATTAATGGGAGCCATCTGACAGGGAAGAAATGAGAATAAAACAGCAATTCTGATTAGCCAAATCATAGCAATTTTGTAATTGGCCACATAACAGCAACCTTCTAATTTACCTTCTTATTGGCCGATTAGAAGAAAGTCTCTGTTTGATGGATAAAAGAAGTCTTCTGATTGGTTGATAAAAAGAAAGTTAGGCCTTGGAGATTGCTGGATAAAATGAGCCTTCTGAATGGCCTGATTATAAGAGCCGTCCGATTGGGCCTCTTTACTCCTCTCAGCCCCTCTTACCTATTCATTTTCCTACCTGTTTGTTTGTTTGTCCTCCCCCCTCTTTTTCCTTTAATCTACATTGTTTATTTTACTCTCCCTGCTTCCTCCCTCTCTTGTCCCTGCCTCAACTCTCTTCTGTCCTTGCCTCATCTTCATGTGTCCCTGCCTTAGCTTTGTTCCGCCCCTGCCTTATCCTTGCTCTCATCCTGCACTGGAATCACTTAGATTTGAACTCAGAACCTTTTTGCCATGAGGCGTCAGCACTTAACTGCCACACTAAAGGTGTTTCTTTACACTTATTTATTCAGGTATATCTCTTGTCCATTAAATTGTGTTCATTTAAAAGGACAGTCCAGATCCTTGTGGTAGCAGCCGGATTACGCAAGCTTTAAATGAGTGGGTCAGTGCTGGGGTTTGAACCTGAAACGTGTAAAGTTAGACACCAGTGTTACCCATTGCACTAAGGCACCATTACATGCCATTGATGTCCATAAGCAGGCCTGTAGCTAAATGGATTTTATCTACTAGAGTGATTCTTAAGCTAACATTTGCTTCCTTTAGCTGGTCCTGGGAGCCCAGATGTGAAAGCAACCAAGTGGATGCCAACCATCATAGATAGGAAAAGGTGGAGCAAGATCCTGTCCTGCAACCCAGAGGACGTATATCATAATGAGAGAGCAATAGCCAGTGAGAAGATATCCACATGAATTCTGCACAGGTCCATACCTTAGTGTTTACTCAAGACTCCTCATGTTTTCTGTAATTCTGTAATAGGCAGAGTGATGCAGCTCAACTATGATAAGTGACAGAAACTCGATAGACCACGTGATACCTCCTCATTTATTTTTTTGGCAGTTCGACTCACTGGAGCAAAATCAAACACTTCGAGATCTATCCCACAATGACCTTCATCTGTTGTCATAGCAACCAACCGACCTGTAGAATACAGATTCTCACTGAGCAGTCTAATGTCAGGCTCCAGCTGAGAGCTTCTGGGAAAAAAATCAATCACTTGCTGCTCTAATTTGGCTCGGTTACAGGAAATCTGCACTTACTGGAGTTGAGTAATTTTATTCTAACAACTAAAATGAATGACTCTTCATAGTAAATTTTCCTGTTCTAACAGACCGTTCTTCTCTCTGGGAATTGTCCACTGAGAGGCAGTTGAAAGCAACAAAACTCGAACCATTTTCCACCATGTGCATCAATTTGTTGAAATTTGTTTGTTAGAGTGATAAGGTAAATGCACATGTATGTTGTGACTTTTCAACAAAAGTATATGAAATGTTATCCTGCTGGGAGAGTATAGATGAGGAGTTTTTTATCACTTGCATGATTCTGTTTTGTTAGTGTGCTGTTATTTGTTGTAAAAAGGTGATAAGAATTACGTTTTAAGTTGATAAAGTGAAGCAGTTGACAGCCCATGCTTAAGACATATCTAATTTTATTATTCCCATGTTACCAGTATGGTTTTTCAAGTGGGTAAACCACTTTATAATCACTGTTAAATATAGTAAATTTCTACCAGTGTCAAACTTTAACAAAGCAAAGTCTCTGAAGCTTCAAAGTCTGATCGCGACGACACAGCAGACTGGCTTGATCAAAGGACGTGTGCAAACTCGAGACTGTCTCCAGAGATTCGGCTGTGAAACGGCTGTGCAGAAATATGAAATCCTTTTGAATTTGTATGGAAAACTTTATTTGATAATAAAAATAGCATTCACAGACTTCTTTTGATAGCTACATATACATTGTAATCCATCTCAAGGAAAGAAGCTGGATAAGTCCACATCTACTTGTACTTAGACTAATGTTATGTATAGCTTCATGGGTCAAATAAAGCTATGAACAATGTAGTATTTATATATGCATAGTTTTATAAAAAAGATTGGCCCATATACATGTACTGCTTTTATCAACACAGAGACAGCATTATGTCCGGAGCACATTGCAAGAACTAATGCTTGAAGAACACAGACTGCATACAAGTGCTTTATGATACAAAGGCAGGCTAACCATCGAGAGAGATTCAAACCATCAAATAGTTTCTGATTGACCAAATACAGTCTTTCATTTTTAAAATGTCTTTACATACCTGATCCAGAGTAAATCAACATATTTCCCATAAATCATCAGGTCCATTTCAAAGATATAAACACAATATCACATTCCTCACTGCTGAGGTTTCATAAATTTCTCTTTTGTACAAGAAAAAGGCAACATTTTAATCCTTGACAGGTTCCTAATAGTTACATTGGAAAAAAAAAATCTTTACAGGTGATGGCCAACAGGTTAAGTTCTTAAATGTGTTTCTTTTTTTTTCTACTTTTTTTCTGTTAATACAGTACCATGGCGACAACAGTGATCAAACAATGCATTTGTTGTGGATTATCCAATACATTTTAAGTTCTCTAATGAAACATAAAACAGAGAATACACACAACACACATTATAAAGCAGCCAGTCAGACTCCAGTGGCGTGACAGCATGGCTCAGCATGGCAGATTGGTCGTCTCCTGTAGTGGGACTCTCCATATGTTACCAACACAACAAACCACATCAGTTATCCGTGTCAGGGGCCCGGGAGGTGTTCAGTGCGCAGTTGTGTGTATCATCACCATGAGGACAGGGCCAACGATTACTGTGAGGTTACAGTGCATGTTCCTTATCGAGTATTCTCGCTCAGACTTGAACAGAATAAGTGGTTCAACTACACTTAAACTTACACATGCAACTTGCACAGGGATAATTTACACATTTGTTTCTTTTTACTATTTTTTGGCATATCTGATAAATCCCATTTTATGGCAGCTTGACAAAGACTCATCATCTTAGATACTAAATTAAAGTTTGTCGAGTAACAAATTTAGAGAAGTATCATTTTCTCTCAGCAGAGAATCAACCAGAAGAGTTTTTTTTCCTGTCGTTGAAAGTGAGTCAGGTCCTTCTCTGCTACATTCAAACACTGTGAGAAGAAAAAATCCACAGCAGCCAAGCTTTCTTCATTATTCTACTCTAACAACACTACAGCCAATTTTCCACTTCAGTTTCCTGTTTTCATCAGTGTGTGGGTGTTTTTTTTTTTTATATATATGAAAAGAAGTTGAGCTGCCACACATTTCAATGTTGCAACACAAGTAAGGGCACAGCATGCTTTCTCAGGTACAGTGTGCACTTCTACCTTGGTCCTCAGAGATTTAACAAAGCTTGTTCAAGATATGTGCCAAATTCAAAATAAATAGCGAACAAATGCAACAAAGTCATATATTATTTATATAATTTTCAATATACGTTTACCATCAGAACTTCAATTTAGATTTTTGCCTCAAGTCCAACTCAGCTTTCACAGTTCTCATGAACCATCAGTGTCTTGTGCTATAGTTTGTTCAGTAAAGCAATTGAGGAATGGAAAACACGTCTAAAAAAAAAAAACAAGTCGAAAACAAGCTTAGTAGTAAGAAGTTACCACAACTGGAAGAATGTTTCATACCTCTGAGGGAACAAATATTTAGATTCAGCAATGCCTACGAAAAGCAATATCACTGATTTTATATGCAGGCACATACAATACCTTTACTATAGTACAACAACTTCAGTTATGTTCAAAATAACTAGAACAATGACAAAACAACCAGTGTGAACTGATAGAAGGATCGTATTCCTGCTGTTTTATGAATCTCTGGATGGGATCACAAGTAGTTGAGTCAATCAAATCAATCAATAAACCAGTCGACCAAATAAAGCACATGAGTCCTTGTCCTCAGAAGTCCAATTCCAGTGTATGGTACATAGTTTGCACAGATAGAGGAGAGAGTGGCGAGGGGGATCTCTGCTCTGCTCTAGATGCTGAGGTCTTTGGGGCTTTCTTTGTACAGCCGTCTCTTGGGCTCAGGGAGCTGGTTGGGGCTGCGGCCGACAGCGTTATTATTATGACCTGTGTTGTTGTAGGCAGCATTGTTGTGTGCAGCGTTGTTCTTCATCATGCTGTAGTAGTCCTTCAGTCTGGGTGCTGCTGCATAGTTCAGCTCGTCCCGGCTGTAGTTGCTGTCAGGGGAAGAGTCCCGTTCCACTCTGTATCGCCTCTCTGGCGTCCCGTTCATACGATATCCCTCCTCCCTCCTCTCTGAGGAAGAGTCTCTCAGGAGGTTGCCGTTCTTGGTGGCTCTTTCAAAAGTACGGCCCCTAGATAGAGACATGGAATCCCCGATGTTGTTGGCACGCTCAGGGGTTGAAGCCTCCCTGACTCGCCCAGCCATCTGTGAGTCCTTCATGAGCCTCCGCTCGTAGAGCTTTCGCTCAGGGGTGACTGCGAGGAACCCCCCGTCATCGTACTCCCTTTCAGGTGTACGATCCCGTTGGGCACGCTCTACCCTCCGGTCCATCGACTTTGCCCTCCGGCGATCAGGAGATGAGCCACGCTTGCGGGTTGGTGAGCGATCAAGGGAGCCGCGGCGCTGCGGACGAAACTTATCGTCTAAAGTAGAGCTGCTGCTCGAGGATGCTTTTCCCCTCAGTTTCTCTGCAGCTGCAGCCTTCTTCCCCGAGCTGTCCTTCCTCAGAGTCTTGAGGAGTTTAGAGATGCCGCTCTCCGACTCTGACTTCTTGACTTTGCGGCCTCGGCTCTTCTTGTTGCCACTGCTGTTATCCGGAGACTGCTGTCTGGGGGTACTTTGACTGTGATTGTTATTCCAGGTGTGATGATGGTGGGGGTTAAACTGCCGGCCTTGGTAGTCCATTTGGTCTGGCCCAGCTCTGTCCCTGTTCCTGTCCCTGCCTCGGCCACGCACAGCCTCCTCCTGGCGTGATGGTTTGTGAAGGTCTGGTGGATAACTGGACTCCAATGAGGTGTGAAATCTGCTGTTTGGTGGCAGCGTTCTCACTTCCGGAGTGTTTTGTGCCCCGGGTGTGGGAGGGTTCCCGTCACTGCTGCCGTCTGCAGAAAGAAGGAGAAGTTTGTTGGCTGGACATACCTAACTCAAGAAACAGGAAGCTAAATAATGTGACATAAATTCCTGTATTCAGCAGATGTGACTTTTCTTTTTGGTGACGGGAAATCAAAGCAGAGGTTTATGGAAACCATGCACACATGTGAGCTTTCATAGCCTATGTTGTCCCCTGTAACAATCAAGCTAAATGATGAGGGTGCATTGAAGTGTTTAGTCACTTCAATATGTTTTCACTATGGGGCTTTGGGTTGAGACACAAGGTGATGTCAGCAACAACATTGGCGAGTGTAGGGCGGGGGTTACCGGGACACAGCACAGCAGACCTAAGAAATCAATCAAAACAAAATGGTGAACAGCTCAATGTGCATTATTGGAGGGAACAAACCAAAAAAACGGAACAAAAGAGTGTGTTTGGCTGCAGGTCTGCCAAATTAGAGAACAGGTTGCTATGGCAGCAGCATGTGATGAGCGAAGGCATTAAATAAGTCCCAGTAAGAATATCTGGTGTGAGCTGGCAGCGGCGGGAAGGTTTGAGGGTACAAATCCACTGAAGTTGAATTCAGCAGGGTTTAACTCAGGCATGACAAGACGAAGAGCATGCACACTATGTTCACACACCTGCGCGCAAACACAAACAGAGTGGGATTGAGGTAGGGATGAGCTGAAAGGAAAGGTGGATAAACTCAAAAGGAAAAAGATGAGAGGGAGCGCGGATTGGGACAGACTTTTGGCTACAAACCGTGGTCTGATTTTGGCCCATTAGGTAGAAACAGGGCTCTCCCATCTTGTCATTCCTCATTGTACCAACAGCGAGATGAGGAGCCATCATCGCTGGAGAGAGGAGGAAGAGCCCAGCGACAAGAGACGGTCAGAGAGAAAGGAGGAGGAATAGAGAGAAGAAAACAAATAAACAGACAAGAGGCTGTTTTACACTGCATCTCAATAGAGCGAAGAAGGGTTCTGATTTAAAAAAGAACACATTATTCTTTATATAGCACCAACAAAACATCTGAGAAAGGAAGAGACTGTGTGGAGATTAAACCCCGGAAAACACAAAAAATAATGCTGAGAGATACAACTATAGAACTGAGAGAGGAATCATCCATCAGCGGAGCATACTGCTCTAGAGAGACAATATCACAACAGCTGTAAAACATCTTCACTTCAGATCTACAGAACAAATAAAAAAACATGCTTTTGTCGCAAACAATCATTCTCCGATCATTTTGGATCTACAACAAGTGGCTTTAAAGTCATTTTTACAAGTTTACAATTTGATGTTTATCATTTAAAGTTATAAATTCCCAAAAATCTACTTCAGAAAGATTTATTCTAGCCCACGATGTTTGCGTCCACAGCTATAATAAGAATTTAGAGCTGACATTAGCAGTGGGACATGTTGCGACATGTTCACCTACCATATTCAGGTACAGATCCATCTCCTCGTTTGAGGACCAGCCGTGCCCTCCGACCACCGTTCTTGATCAGTTCGATGGCTCGTGAATGTTTCATGTTCTTTGTGCTCTCTCCATTAATCTCCAGGATCTCATCGCCGACCTAAACAGAGAGGCCATGTTAGGTCACAGCTAGCTAATAACAGTGTTACATCAGAGCTTTGAAGGGGGGGAAATTTAGCCAGGAAAGATGTGCAGCACAGCAAAAAGAGGAGAAAAACCAACGCTTTGTGTTTGTGGAGGCAATTTCAGGTATAAACATTCTCATACCCTCATCTTGCCATTTCTGACTGCAGCCCCATCCTCCGCTAGTCTTAACACATATAGGTCCATGTTGTACTCCCGTCCTCCTCTCAGGCTGAAGCCAAAACCTTTACTGTCCCTCTCGAGGTCCACAGAGTAGAACTCAGCATCCTAAAAAACAAAAAGAGGTTAAAGTGAGGAGAGAATCGCAGATGTGCCAGGGAGCAGGGGTGCCTAATCCAAGGTCCTCAGGGGAGATAAAAGGTGAGCCCAAACGTCAAGGCTAATCAAACAATGTCCGCCAAAAACTCACAAAATGTCAATGGCAGTACAATACCTTTCGATGCATGAATAATTAATGCCACAGGTGCCTGTAAGGGGGGGTTGCAGATCTCTAAGCAAGGGCATCACAAGGGCTGGACCCAAAATTACCCCACTCATCAAAAGCTCGTTCTAAAACAGGTAAAATCTCTCAAAGTGTCTTTTTTTTCTCTGGCAAAGCTTGACTTATAAACTATACACACTCTGATGGATGAAGTTTCAGAGATACTGAAGGACTTTGAGATAAATGTTAGAAGTTGAATCAATCGGTGAATATGGGATCCTGAAAATATGCATTAAAAACTGCCTGAATGATAAAACTCAAAACTTTTTTATGTTGATAAAGCTAACATTCAGGCATCTCTCTACAAATAAACTATCTTTTGTTTCTCTCTGTGCTACATATAATGGTATATGACTAATAACTGAGGTATGATGTATTGATATGAATCCCAGACGATCATTAGCTGTGCTGTAAAAACATCTATTCTTACCTGTGATGTCTGAGTTTGTGTGGGAGGAGGAGGAGGCGCTCCTTTTGACTTTGAGTTATTCCTTTAAAAAAAAAGATAAAAAACGGTATGAATACAAATTGTGCTGCATTAGAGAAATTCCACTAAAAACCGCTGTCACAGGTTTTTAAAAACTGATGCACTATCACCTACCGAGTCTCTGTGGTCTGAGGTGTGTGTGTGGTGGTGATGGTAGCTATCTTCTCAGCATTAGTCAGCAGAGAAGCATTGGAAGATTCTGAAAAGAAAGAGGAAATTAACATGAGAGGAAAAGAACAGCTAAACAAAGTTAACTCACTTGTTTCTGTGAAATAAATGTGATTTTTTTTGGCTTAGGGTGAATTAAAAGACACTATAGAGAGCAAAACTGTCCGGAGTCCACTGCACCGCCCACGGGCTACACTATTCAACCTGATGCTAACTGCCTGTGATGTTGTCATTTGCCATTTGCTCATAGACAACACCGGCCCCCAAACCGCACGGAAGAAAAACAGCATTAAAGACGGAAAGAAACTAGTGCCTTGCATCATTTTGTTTCATGTGCTTTTCCGGGAGGGAAACGAAACAACCGTCTTCTCTTGCCTTTCATCAGTTTCATCTTTTCCCCCCAACAAGAACGCTGCAGCACACATAACACACGCAGGAACATCGGCTTGACTCATTTATCTCAGGCTCCTCATTCGCTCTTTTCCTCTCGTTAACTTCCTCGCAGCCATGTCTCCATCTTTCTAAGGTAAACTCCGTCTTAAATCTTCAGATATGGATCAATAAGTTCCAATCTAGTACAAGGCTGTGCCATGTTTACCAGGAGAAAACCTTGACTTGTGTATGGTCACAAACAAGCCCATGAGATAGCGAATGTGTCAGTTCTCTCTTCTCTCACATCCTGTCCTAATTAAGCATCAGTTTCTGTCTCTGCGGAGGGTATTAGGGTGAAGTTCTGTTCTGTGATTTCATTGGTGGACTAGCAGCTAAGCCGGTAGCAAGCACCCTTGTTACAGCACTTGACATATTTTACCCAGAATGTGGAGCTTTAGGTTGCAAACTGCTTGTACAGCAATAACATGCACTTCCACATCCTTTCCTTAGCTAAGCTGGAGAGATTAAAACCAACAGGAAGTGCTTGATTAAATGTGAGCTGTGTTTTTTTTTAATCCTTTCAAGCTGACAAAATATTGCAAATGGTACAACATCTGGCAAAGAAAACAAACAAGAAGGAGAAGAAAATGAGAGACGGAGAAGGAGAATAGTAAAAGCGCCGGAGTAGTTTCTGGGGGCAACTTCACCTTCTTCCCACTCAGTGACTCACTCTCTGAGACACCAGGGTTCACACCCTGATGGAAAGTGCTCTTGCCTGTGAAGAGCAGCGGTGCCCTTTCCTTCCCACAACATGCATGAATAAGTCACATCATGCACCGTGCTGCATTATGGAACAGCCATGTGAGGCTGGAGGTAAGAACAACACTTCAAAAAATGGCCTCACCATCACCCGGGATGATCCTGAGAGAGACTGTGTTCCCGGCCTCCTTGATCAGGTTGACGATGTCCGAATGCGACTTGTTGGTGATGGAGCAGCAGTTCACAGCCAATATTCGGTCCCCTACTTTCAGCTTCCCGCAGCGGTCCGCCGGGCTGCCTTCGATGATGCGTCCTATTTTGTGGGGCATGGCCACACATGCATTTCCAGCTTATGTGTTAGAATACATGTTATGTGAATATGTGTGGATTTAGTGTGTGGTGATTGATTGTGTTGATTTTTTTATTATTAGAAAGAAAGGATGGGAAGAAAGAAACAGAGAGAGGCAGAAAGAAAAGTTAATTATCCAAACCACCACATCCCGGTTCAATCTCAGAGAGAAATTATAAAGGTTCTCCCACATCCATAGATGAAGAGCAATTGATGCTGTTTGATGTCGGACACAAAATTCATCGGCTCAGTGGGAAAATGCAGAACCTGTCCTCAACCCCCATCCTCCATCACAATAATCAATGGCCTGTGAATCATAAGCTGGTGGTCAGGACCCCGATGGCCGATGCTTGACAGTCTATCAATAAGCTGTTTGCAGCATCATGAGAACACCTCCTTACCAAGGATCATTGAGCACACGATCACTGCAGCAGTGTGTGGGACATTCAGGTAATTGACATGTGGGATCCTGACAGACTCAGACAATGATCAGGGCTTCTAAAGAGCAGCGTGTACACCAAGGTGACATGTGCACACTCAAGGCTATATGTGATGCTACTCATGTGTTCAGTGAGAGGATGGCAAGAAATCCAATCTGCACCTGAGTGACAGAGCTCAATACTGCAGATCTTGTTTACACTGGAGCTCTGAAAAGACCCCGGGGATCTCCTGGTCCTCCTCCAGCTCACTCCATCCATCTCCGCTCCTCCCCTCTCCATCAAGCATTTTTGCAACATCCATATTTATTACCTCATCCTCCCTCTGTCTTGATTGAAAAATGCTCTTGTACGCTGTCACTCTATCTAAATAATGGCATGTGGGACATTATAGGGTGTGGCAAGTACCGTGGATTTAATACTCAATCTGTTAAGCACATTGCCAACCCTGGGTCATGATGGGAGGAGGGGATAAGAGAGGGGGATGGGTCCTGATGGACTGGAGAGAAATGGTTTACGTGTCAATAATGTATGGAAGATTGAATCAGCTGAATCTACTTTGTTCTTGTCCTTGGATTGACAAATATGAAGCGCTTCAGGAAAAAAAAAAAAGAGACAGAGGTTTATCTTGTGCTTTTTTCCTCGTAAAACATTCCCCTGTCATGTCCCACATGGTTGAAATCCATTAGGAGAGTGAGCACAGGATGCGAACGCAAGATCCCAGATCGGCACATCAAAGCAACAGAGTCCATTCATCTCATGGTCTCCAGAGGGAAAAGTGACAGAGCAGAGCTGGAGATCGCAGTAAAGCAGCAGAAACAGGAACCTCAAAAGACTGCGAGATGTTTTGACAAGGTTGTTGACTAGCATTGTCGCTAGTGTCACTATAAATAACACATTAATTCTTGCATCGCATTTTGCAGAGCAACACCATTAGCCCTTGGGATCAATGAAATTTTCCCCGGGCAGTCAGTGTGGCTAACATCTCATCCATTCTGGTGTTTTGCCGGTGACACACCACAGTATATCATCGTAATGGCCAACTATACAAGAGACCTTGGCTTGACATTGCTGTTGGAAATTCATCACTCTGAGGTTAATACCAGATTTGTTCGAGGAGGACGTCTACAATTCCTCATCAGTGCCTGAGCAACTTTAATACGTGCAATTCGGCTGTTTTGCGGCGATACGTAAATGGTACCGACAGCTTTGCCGTGTGCTAAGTAGACTTCAATTATGTCCTGAATGAATTGGTGAGGGCAGCTGTGAGGCATGAATCTGTGATGGTGTTTGTGATAAAGCCGAGCCGGATCCTGAGGGAGAGTGCACACGAGGAGATTTCTTCATCCCTGAACGTATGATGGAAGGTTTGCGACCTCCGCCTGTGGCGTCATAGAAACTCCTGTCAAATCCCTGGATACTCAGGGATGACTGACTTTATAAATATTGTGATTCTACCACAAGATGGCGTCAGTCATTTCATTCACCCTGTGGATATGTCTGGAGTTTCCAGGCCTTTTATTTGCTATTTTGACTTTTGCTGATGCTCCTTGTCAGAGAGTTTATTTAGAACAGTAGAAGAATAATTATCTCCAGGAAACCTCGTCAAGTAGGATGCACCATTACAGATCACAAATGCCCCAACAATCAAACTGTACAGTCAGATTAAAGTCTCAATTGCATCACATTAGAGTCAAAGGGAGTCAGCCCATAGTAAACAGAATTAATTCTCCTGTCAAATTGAATACAAGCTCCTGTCAATCTCAGTTAGCTCCGTCTTGGTCGGCCTCACTTACCGAATGTTGTGCCAGCGTCGGGCCTGGAAACAGACGACACGATGACGAAACCGAAGCCCTCGTTCTCTCCGCGCTGGATCTCGACGTCGTACGGCTGGAGGGACGCAGGAACCACTGCGCTCCCGCTGCCTCCTCCGCCCCCGCTGCCTATGCCACTGGTCGATCCGCTGCCTGAGCTCACTGTGTTTAGAGAGTTCTGGCTCCCCTGAGGGGTCCGCTTGCCCTCTGTCAGGCTGGGTGCCTGGGTGCTGCTGTGGTGGGAGGAGGCTGGTGATGGAGGGACATCACCTTCCCCTTTTGACACTGGAAATTTGATATAATAAAGCAGACGAGTTATACAAGAACTTTGCAGCACAGCACTCTAACTATTCTGTGTGCATTAAATACATTAAACATGTATAAATACACATGCGCATGTTTAAATTCACCTCCATATCCTGGACTCTTGCGTCTGACTGTTAGGTTTACATGGCCCTGTTTGGCGGCCTGCTGCATCAGCTGCACCACAAGCTGGTGTGACTTGCCCACCACCGCTGTGCCGTCCACACAGATGAGCTCATCGCCCGACCGCAGACGCCCGTCCTCATCAGCCGCCCCGTACTTCACTATGTGTCCGATGTATATCTGGGAAAGGAGACACAAACGATTACTTCTCCCTCCCTTATTTCAGTCATATGGATCTATAGTAGGGATGGGAATTAATACGATTTTATTGATATCGATGCCATTATTGATTCTGCTTATCAATTCAACTCTTTAACGATTCCCTTATCAATGCCTTTCTTTGATTTAAAAATAGTAGACTATAGGTTTTCACCATTAACTCAAAACAACAGAAAAGATGTATGCCACCTTCAGCGAGAGTCTAAAAAAATAATCAAACAACAAACTATTTGTCAAAATTAGGGTGACCATATTCTTGATCCCCAAAGAGAGGACACTACTACGCGGGTAGTGCGCAAAATTTTGAGCCACGCTTTAGATCGTTTCCGCCTACTTTTCGTACCGTCCGCCATGTTTTTTCCTCTAAGTCTCTTCTTCTCGTTTGTATAGACTGGCACTTGCAAGGCCGTTTTTCTAGGCATCCAGAAGAAAAGAATCGTTAAGGGAATCATTAAGACAAAATTTAAACGATGCTGATGGATTGAACCATTCAACGAGAACAGGTTCTCGGTTCCTATCCCTAATCCATAGCAGCGAAATCATATAATGTAACTTACAGATAACATACAGAGAGATATAGATGCAGGAGAAGAATTGATGGTGATTTGAATTCATACAGATATTTGTCTAATTTTTTAAAAGCAAAAAATTAATGGACGGATAAAGTCATTCATTCAATATCTAACTTAATCAAATTCAGCTTTTTTTGGCAGCTGAATGGTGAGATAAATTACTGAGGGATTACTGACTTTGGTAAAAAGAAATCATAATTAATGCAAGTCCTCTCTATGGAGTGATGTGAATGCAGGAGCTTTATAATTATGATACAGTAATATGGCTGATTAGACGTCTTTGAACTGAAGTAAATTGAGCCATTAGCCGAGAGAGAGAGCTCAGTGACTCTTTGTGGCTTATCTCATCCTGATTTGAAATGTATCAGTCAAACACAGCAGCATTCAGAGTCTATTGTTGCATTACTTAAAGGTTTTCATGGTTGACATTCAGAGACACCATGAAGGCTAATACAGCCTTTTGGGGCCGCAAAAAAGCTTGTGAGCTTCAGGCGCTGTGTGGGAGTCTACACACATCCCTGACAGAAACAAGTGCACAACAACCACCCAGTTATTTGGCACAAACAACAAGTAGTAACCCCTGTGGGGAAGACCTGAAGCCTACTGCCATTTTATTTTCCTCACTGTCTGCCTCACACCCTTGCTCTTAACCCCCCCTCTTTTCCTCCTGCCCCTTTAAAGACAAATATATGGCGCACAACCAGAGGGATTGTGGGTAAGGCCTTTGCTTCTCTTAACAAGCTGTCTATATGATCCTCTGGAGAGCAACAGCTCCACTCAGAGTGATGTGTAAGGACTTTCTGCTTCTCCGGTTCAAAGACAAACTAAATAGAAAAGCGAGGAGAAGAAAGAACTAATGGAAGAGGAAAAACTCTTCAAGAAGTGGAAAGCTTAATAAGAAAGAGGACAAAACATCCAGGGGTTTCAAATCAGCATTAAGATGGATGGGAAGTTTGAACGTGTATCCACGCCTTTTTCGTTATATTACCCGCTGTTGAAATGAACCGTTGATGCGATACTTACAGGCTCTCCGGGCTCATTTCCTCCGAGGATACGGAAGCCAAAGCCTGTGTCCTTCCTCCATAGGAAAATATCCTGCTCCTGGCAATCTGGCACTGAAATACACGAGAGACACAGTGAGAAGACTCCGTGAAGATCAACTATCAAATCTACTGCAGATATAACGGATGAGCATCTTTGTAAATTGATCATCAAACACATGTTCTAATCAACAAGTGTCCAGTTTAGTGTCATGAAAAATCTGCATCCAGTTGTGTAATCAGGGGTCACTGAGGTGTTTTTTTCCTCTGTTAAAGTCGGCGCAAAAACACACAGAATCAACAGCTGCGTCTTCCTTCATCTCAGTCCAGTTTTTCGGAGCAGATTGGCTTCTTGTTCTCACTTGCAGGCTGCAAAATCTCATGCTGTGACCTCATCAGACCCTCAAATCTGCGGTCCCGTAGAGTAACCCTTTGGGACTACCTATTTTTAGCCCCGTTTTAAAGCGTGGCTTCTTTTACAGCCTCACAATCACCTGCTACTCCCTAAGAAACGCACAGGATTCCTGTCAAAGTGACATTTCACAATGGACGCAGCAGACTGTGGAGGACGACATGGGCCATTTGGCGTTGGTCTGTTCAACCCGCAGGGCCGGTCCATACATGAGGAACAGACCACGCCGTCATGCGCCGCCTGCTGTCTTCACGGCTGCCATGCAAAGACAGTATCGCACCAATTAGCTCCTACTTTTCAGTTTTTTTCCCAGTGTGAATGGAATTGCTTTGACGAGACTGGTAATTAACACTGCTCTGACATATGTCCATATGCAAGCCATTAAAGTAGAGTTAATAAATGGAGAGAGGTTGGCTGTCTGATTTAAATTCAGTATGATACATAAATCTAACCTTTCAATGTCACTTTTCTGCAACTGAAATATCGCTCTTCTGGTGCATGGTGCCTCCTTGAAAATTCAACAGTGTGCATGTGTGTGCGCACAGGAATACATATGAAAATCCCAGACAGAGGAATCCGGGCCTCTTTGTCATTCCTCGTCTCCTTCTCCTTCTTGTATCATTGTGTTCTCTCTCCTCCACTGCTGACTCAAAAAAGGGGCTGCAACCCCTTCAGGGGTTATCAAACAGATATACCAATCAGCTGCAGCTTAAAGCAGCCCTCTCTGGGCTCACTTAATATTTAATCAGCAGCAGTCCTAGATTCTACAAGCAGCCGTCATTGTTAACCGAGGCTGCAGCACGCGTCACATCCATGAGAGCAAGAAGCAAACACAACTGACCCTTAAAAAATCGCGAAACTCTTTAACAGCACACAGAGGTGTATTTCGCTGCACAAACAAGGCTTTTCTTCTTTTAAATACCAGCTCCAGTACAAGAAAAGGAGGTCTGAAAGATGCAACTCAGCCAGAACAAGTGAGCCAAGCTGTTATTTTGGTGGATTCTTCCCCTCCTCTCTCAGGCTCCTCTATTAGAAACAGGAAATAGGCGGCTTGACACCATTACAGTGTTTCCCCATGAATAATGTAAGAATAGGCCATGACTGTAAATAATACTGAAAGGCCTCACAGAGGGGCTGTGTACTTTCTGTTGTTCCACTTTTTGATTTCTGATGCCCTTGTTTTTCTCATAACTAAACAGGTTTTTGAAGGAGGGAAGCTCGACTCTCATCGTTAAAATTTGATTCGTGTTTGAACGCTGATTCGGCCTTGTCCCTTCACTGCAAGTATACATGCTCACACATATATGATGTTTATAACACCTGCGAGTTCTTTGTATTCAAGAGAAAAGGCAAGTAGAACATATGTAGGACAGACACACACACCCCCACCACCACAACACCACTCATCAGCGAGCCCTTTGGTGTTTTCAAGGACACTTCCCTCTTAGAGGCACCTTTTGTCACGATCAGTTGTGACTCATTCAGCACACAGTTGTTTTGCAAACACACAAAAAGGCCTTTTAAGATACAAATGCACAGGATGAAAATCTGCTTATCTGGTCCAATTGATCATTAATCTGTAATTATCTCCAATACTTTTAAAATGTACACCAGTTTAAGAAATACCTCAGATTAAAGGTGCATTACGAGGTATTATAGAGTTAGCAAATCACCTCTTTTGTCTGGTGGTGTTGTTTTTCAGCACTATTACCCCGTCATGTGTATTTCTTACATGTATTTAATTATAATAATGACTGTGAAAAAAGCAATCCTCTTCCTCAAACGGAACTGCCAATCTACAAATGTCTGTGCTTCGGGTTGTTCAAGAATTTGGGTCATCATTCTCAGGCCGTGCTTATCCTTACAGAAGGTTAAAGGGTCCTTGATATAGCCGGGGGATAAACCTCCAAACTCCAGAGTCAGCAAAATGTTTAAATTCCTTTACAAGTAAAGAAATGAATTCTACTCACGTCGGCTCTCGTACATGCTCCTGGACTGCGCCCAGATTTTAAAGGGGTCTGGCTTCTTCTGGAGGGTGAGGGTGCCATCTGCAGTGTCCTGAGGGGGCAGGCCTGGCAGAGGCTGGGTAGGGGCGGCAGGAGTGGGAGCCACTGCTTCGCTGGGCATGACAGAGGGTGGGTGGCTGGGAGAATCGGTGTGAGTGCTGCGATGGCTGCACACACTGTGCTGGGAGCTGCTCTGACTGTCTTTCCTCTCTAACTGGTGCTGGATGGGCAGAAGGAAATAAAAAAAAGAGTTTATAAGTGTAGAAGTATACGTGTTTAAAAGATGGGGGTGGTTAGCGGAAGTAAGAGAGAGAGGTAGAGGACAGAGAGAGGAGGGAAAAGTGAGAGTGATAAGTGAGTCAGTCAGAAGTGCGAGATATAGGGGGAAAGAGATGTGAAAAAAGTGTTGATGGAGGACAAAGCGAGAAAAAGCGCCAAGGTCATCTTTTTCAGACGTTGCGGTAGAACATGTCTCAGTATTAAAAAAAAAGAAGAAAAAAAACATCTGCTGGAGTGTGAGGAGAAATGACTTGGTTTCCATGGTTGCAAGACAAAGACAGATAGAACTGAGTGGGGATTTCACTGAATGAAGTTACTACCTTTTGTGAATTCCACAATTCTTTGTTTACTGCAGAGGGTTGAATGGGAACTCGTGCAAAGATCAAGGTTAGCCTTTCAAATCAGATGGGAATTTGTAAAGTTTGGCACCAACAGGTATTTTGTTGCTACTTAGTTAACCGAAAATCATAAGAATTTTATGCATCACATTGTGCAAAAAAGTTAAAACATATTCAGACTTAATTATCCAGATTAGGCTCCACTCAGGTCCGCTTTGGCGGTGTGTGACAAAAGTTGTTCCCTGAAACATTCAGGCTGTTTAAATACTTGTGGCCAAAAGGTTAAACTTTAACCTGATCTATATTTCCCTGTTTTCAAATCAATCAGTCAAATTTTATTTATATAGCACCAATTCACAACAATCGTCAAGACCCAACCTAAGATGGGATTTGGCCCATCTCATCTAACATGAGTAACAGTGGCAAGGAAAAACTTCCTTTTAACAGGCAGAAACCTTGGGTTGGACCAGACTCTGTTTTGCACACATAGGCGGAATCAGCTGGTGCTGGATCGTACTTCTGTACCAGAAGCATCCTGGTTCCTATCTGCAGTCTGAGTGGTATCGTCCTCTAATATTAGAGTCAAGGTTTGCTGAAGCAGGAAAACAGTCCAAGTGAAGAGCAAAGGGGCCATGATACAACTCAGGGATCACTTGGCATTCATGAATGAGAATTCGACAGAGCTGATAATCCGCCAAAAAGGTGCTGTTTTGACTCCTCTGTCAGACTGTACTGTAAATGCACAGACTAGAAAGACTCCTCTGGAAGTGTTTTCACAGCTATTTCTGGTACGAGCACAATATTTTTGTGATGTTATTGTTTCGCCTGACAGCGTATACTTTTGTGTAAACTCGTATTTTCATTCTGTAACGAGAGAATAAACATATTACTGTGTTATTCTTTGCAAATACACGTAACTAAACACTTCTCAGCCTGATGAAAAATGAGCCTTACTGGGAAAACCCAATTACTAACGCCCAAATGACAACTCCATCCTTTTTTTATTCGATATGAATAATAAACCAACGCACGAGCCAGTGGAGGAGTCACTGAGCGGTCTCACGGCGTCTCATTCATCACACTGTAAGAGATGAACGGTCAAATATTCCAGTAATGCTTCTTAATGAGGACAACAGCCATGCAAAACTGACTTCTCATTTGATCACCAGAGACTTGCTTAATGGGTTGAGACAGCACAGCCTCTTTTGCATATGGGAGTTTACTCTGAGCATTTATTTGGACTCTGAACTGGAGGCGAAATGGTTGTTCTGGGCTGACACGAAGTTGCATGCAGCGTGACATTTCACTGACATCACACAGAGGGGGGAGAAACCGGCTTATTCTAGCTGTAAAGCTAAGCCAAAGTGACACACGGCAGTGCCACTATTGGTACAAATTGACCCCTCTTGTGGTGCCCGCCCCTCCTCCATTTGCCATGCCATGTGACCTGAATAGTAACACACCCAAAGCTTTCACTGATGCTATTTTAAAATAATCCTAATTCTTATTTCTAACCAGATAAGAGGGGGGGGGTTTAATGGCAGGGGACAATGTGTTTTCCTTTAAAAGGGTTGGGTATTGAACCTAGTTGTGACCTTGTTGCGCTCGTCCACAGGAATCGTCCTTCTGCTAAAACTGGATCGCTCTCCAGAGGTGAATTAAGGTGACAGTAATTTTAAGCTGCAGCGCACCTCTCCTGAGCATGCTTGGACTTCTTTAAAAATCAGATTGAGACGGATTGAAAGAATGAGGAGGCGTTTTGCTCTTTCAACTCCTGAATAACTGCACCGTCCCTTTAGAAAACCTCTCGCCGAATCGCTCCTTTTCGCCTCTCTTATCTGTCACAAGCACCAGTCACATTGCAATCTGTTGCAATCTCTCCTCCAGCTTCCCCAACTCTCTCCCTCTGCTTTGTATCCAGCTCACTGTGTCGTCATTGCCCCCTTCGCCCTGTCTGTTAGCCTCAGTGCCTCCTCTGTGTCCGCGGGCGATCAGAGTGATTCACTGTAGTGGGACAAACTATCTCCATGCTAGCTCTTTCCTCCGCCCCTCATACACATCCTTTTTTTTTTTTTCTATCTTTGCTTTAGTGCATCTCTCCCACCTTCCCTCAGCTGAGGCTGTCTGCCCCCTCCTGACAGCTGGTCACTGTTACACTGCTCTGCTTTATCAGTCACAGGATGGCAGCGTGGCAGGATGGAGAGAGAGAAAGAGGGGGCTTTTTAAGACAAGCAGAAATGACAACACAGAGGAGGGAAACAATAGAAGAAAAGAAGCAAAAGTCAAAGTGACAGAAGGAGAAAAGAACTGAAGAGGGAAGGTGACAGCAGCTCCGGATGCAGAACGGTAGAGCGAGAGTTGGATATCACATCTTCATGTCTATTGTTCTTTAAATAGTGCTCCTTCTTAATACCCACTCAATTAAACATGCACACACACCCACACACACCCACACACACACAAAAGAAGCTGAAGATCATAGTACTCACCACCAGCTTTGGACTCCTCTTGGCTGGCACCACGCCTGCAAAACATCGGCAGAGAGACAGAGAGAGCATTAATGACCTGCTGTGCTCTCCTTGTGTCCCCTCTGTTAAAAAAAAACTCTCCAGGATGGACGTGTGGACTCTGGTTCCTGCTGCAGAGCACAGCTCAAACTGGCCCGGCTCTCTCTCTCTTCCTCCTTACTCCCTCTCCTCCTCCTCCTCTCTGTTGCTTTCTCTCTCTGTGAGCAACACACTGCGCTAGGCTGCGCGCTAATCCAACTGATCTCCTCCCCCTCAGCGCTCTCACCCGTGCTATTAGAAGAGGAGCAGCTGATCTATCTGCATTAGACAGGATGCTCCTGCAGAAGCGCTGGACTGCTGGTCAGAGCTACAGGTTCCAATAAGCATCTACACACACACATACATCCTCCCCCCTCCTCTTCTTCCTCCTCCTCCTCCTCCTCCCAGTGGTCTCCTCCAGCTCTCCAGCAGAATCTCAACAATTACCCACTGAGAAGGAGCTCAGCAGCGCGAGCTCCTGTCAAAAGGAAAAGCCTGAGCTTCTGCCTCACTTTGCACGTCTTCTGAGTAACTACAGAGCTGTTTCCACTCCTCTCCGCTCCTCTGCTTTGCTCAGGGCTCACACCGAGAAGCTGATCTTCTCCCTTTGCTTTTTTTTTCCTCTCATTCCCTCCCCCTCCTCTTCTTTTTCTTCTTCTTCTTTTTCTTCTTCTTTCGTGCACCATGACTTGATCTCTCTCTCGCTATCCCTCCCTCCCTCTTTCCCTCTCTCTCTCTCTTATATACCAGTTAACACACTGAAGAGAGTCACAGAGAAGATCAATCTCATTTGTGCTAATGAAATATTAATACTTGGAGCCGGCCGTCAGGGGAGAGGATTCACAGCATACCAGTGTAGGGAATAATCTACAGTCCCACTCTACAGCTTTCTTCTCACACTCGTCACCACCAAACAACTAATTCAGTCATCATGTAGGTTTCTTTATCCTCAGAGGCATTAACACATGCATAATCAAACTCCGCCTGATCGTTTCTCACCAAGACCACTCCCTCCTGAAGCATCTTCGCCTGCTACTTACTACAGCGCAGGGACAGAAATAGATAAATGAATGCAAGAACGACACAAGGCAGGATTGGGACAAAGAGTCGCTGTTGCCACGGCGATCAAGTAGTTCTGTATACAGTGGCAGCAGCAGCAGCAGCGGTGGTGTAGTTTGTTAAATCAGAGGTGTACGCGCGTTTACACGGCGCCGCACCTTTTATTCATCACAGCATCTCCAAAACATCTTCTTTCCTGCAACATCCGATCGAAATCGTGCAGGAAGTAAAGTATAACGGAGAGACATGCAACAACATGCAAGCATCCATCTTAGCCTCTTTCTGCTGCATTGGCAAAAAATCATTAAATGTTAAAACTCTCTGTTGCTGCAAAGCCCCTCTCTCTACATGATTCATAATTTATCCCCCCTATTTTCCCCCCTCTCTCTCTCTCTCTCTCGCTCCCTCTCTCTTCCTCCCTCTCCCTTACAGTATGAGAACCAAGTGGAAGATCCAGGCTGATGAATATTAGTGTGCGGTTTTGAGTGACTGAGAAAGGATATGAGGGCATCAGGTGTCACCGGTATGCTTGCCAGGACATCAGAAGGTTATACGACCCCAGCCCCGAAATTACACATGCACTTAAGGGTCAGTAGAACCCTTCCACTTTAAAAACACCCTCAGAAAATCTCTGAACTTGGAACAAGGTCGTCATAATTAACATCAAGAATATAGAAATTGAATTTAACTGCGGCCATATGGTTGGTAACTTTGAGTCAGGGCTGAAGGGGAATAAAGATTTCGCAAGTAGACATTGTTTGACCTCAGCTCTATTTTAATCCACCCTGTCAGCTGGACCAGCTGATCTACATGCTGCTTTTGCTGTGAATTCATCTCCATGCATGATGTAGTCTTCAAATCTGCTGAACGTACTCCGGCATTGTGACGCTGATGTATACGTGTAATTCAGAGTTGATCGAATCTGCCTAAATGTAACATTTATGAGCAACTGGAGCTGGAAGCAGGGAATATAGGAATAGCATGCTCCCGCACACGCAACTTTGCAGCCTCTATGAATTCATTTATGCTATATATACACACACACACGCACACACATATATATATATATATTTACAGTATATCAGCGTAGGAAGGTATGCAAGAAGCTTTGTGTTTATTTATGCAGACATACACACACATTTGCATTGTGCAGCGCTGCCATAATCCTGATATTTTTCACTCTGCTGAATGACAGTAAAGCTCTGCTTAAGAACGCCGCTCCATTTAAAAGACTCTGAATTGATAACAGAGGCTCAAACATTAGCTTTAAAGAGCTGATTTTATTATTACAGAGGCAACCCTCTCCCAGAATGACTAAGATTGTGTCCATTATCATTCAAATGAGATGGGATGTAAACAAACGGGATGTGAGAGCATGCAGCGGCAGTTGTTTGGTGACCTAAGTGAGCTTTGAGTATCTGAGTGGAGGGGGAGGAAAGTGCTTCTGAGATTTTTTTTTACAGTAGACAGACAGCAAGGCTATAAAAAAAGAGCAGAATTAAACAAAAATACGCAAATATGAGAGAAATATTGAGGCAGGGAGGATAGATACGTGTGTTGCGGCTGGATAATACATTCATATCATCAATTAGCATTGTTGTATCATATCTTAATTGTTAAATATTTTATCAATGAGGGATGTAATTTCAGAACTCACACATGCCAAGAGTGGTTTAGGAGTCAATAGCTCAAACACCAGGTTAAAGTAGAGCCGTTTAAGCAATGTTTTGTGGATACAAACAAGAGTGTGAGTCTAAGTGTTGGGGTCATTTTTCATCCTGGAGCAACAGCAGAGAGAAAAAAAAAAAAACGGAGCTTTTCAAACTGAATCTGCAGCTCGATGAGTGGCCACGTGTTTGCTGCTGAAGCTGTGGCCTTGGTGGGCCTCACTGGAGCCCACACACAGCCAGAGAATGGTCCTTCCTCCAGCTCCTCTATATTCATTGCGCAGGCATACAACATGAGTAATGCTCTCTTTTGTTAAGCCGAATCTGCAAAACATTTGTCCTTGTTCTACTTATAATATCGTCCTATATCTGGCAGTGATCCTCTTTTTTACTTTATCCAGATTATATTGTCTTGATCCATGTTGTTTGTCTGTTTCTGTCATATTTCATTCCTCTACACTTTATACCCCCCCTCTCTCTCTGTCTTCTCATCTTCTCTCTTTTTCCTCCCTGTCTCTCAGGGGACAGGATCGTGTGCACAATTGTCATGGCAACAACGATGGAAAAGACAAGATGGAGGAGTCATAGCTGGCCTGGCCTCCTTTACAGGGGGTAAGATCCAGAGTGTGAAAACACCAGATGTTGTGTTTAAAATTTAAAGGGTAAAAAATAAAATAAAATTCAAAGGCTCCAAAAAGCTTTAGGTAAGAGAGGATATTTTTAACAGGTAAATTTCTCACATGAAACTGCTCAGAGTGTGAGGGTGTTGCAGGATCACAGAATGGAGATGAAAACAGCTCCTGCACATCACACTTGCTTAACACTTCTTTGGGTAACTGCACATTTGTAGGATGACTGCTGAAAAACACTTTGACTGAAAATCCTCGAAAAGTAGTAATTTACAAATTTAAACCCTGCAGAATATTGTGCAGTTTGATCATTACAAAAAAACATTACCTGATAGTTTGGATTTGTTACTACCTGGTCTACTTTTACTTTCGACATGCTGCCTTTGTACACCTTTTTTTCTTCCAACAGAAAACCAGAGAAACCATTAGTTAGGCAATCCAAATCCCTGGAAATGTGTCTTTTTTTCATTTTGGGCACACTCTTCTGCTGTTGTCAGGAGCATGAAGATAATAGCGCATTATGAAAAAGATCTGAGTCCAAAAGAAGAGAAAAAAAAAACATGCAGCTTCTGAACTGGCAAACTAACTTTTACTGTTCAGTCAAAAGCAAGACAGCAGTGTAGTACCAAAGAAGAAGTTATTTTCTATGGTGTGCATATCTAAAATACAAAGAAAACAGTTATAACCTGTGAGAGGACACATATTCTACTATTGCTTTGTAATTGACACTTATTGTTACTAATTTCTTGCACCTTTAGGTTGTTGCAAACCTGCTCCAATCATACTGCACATACTGCAAAAAGGTTGCGCTCTGAGAAACAGAGAAAATCAAGTTAAAGAAAAAGTAATCCCTGCTGTTTGTTTGACCTTGATCTTTGTGCCCCTCTAAAATAAACAGCCTGCTGACTGAGTCAGACCGTGCAGATTGATGAGTCACAGATGAACAGATTAAGGATTCTTCTCCTCCTCTAGCTGAAGCCCACCTTTTTCTTCCTCTTCTTCCTCCTCCTCCTCTTCTCCTACTTTTTGAACCAATCCTCTCATGCACGCTTCCCTGGCTGAACTTTAACTTGCTGCTCAGCAAATATCAAACTCTCGGCTCTAATCCTCCACCTCCACTTTCTCAAAAAAACATGATCCCTGTTCCTCCTGTTTCAAGCCCTCTACTTTCCCTTCTCATCTTCCTCACCACGCTCCTCTTAGCGCCTTTAATTGTTGTTTGTGAATGATTACGTGCTAGAAGCTAGCAATCACTTGAAAGGTCACAGCATCATTCACAGACTGAAAATCGAGCTCACATTGCACGACAACGAGCCACTATCACTGAGCACTGGTGAAGCTAATGACTATTTTCAATGTTTGACTAATCTGTGATGCATATTTTGGAGTCATTGAGTAAAATGTTGAGTAAATAGAGAAAAAGGTCAACTACACTTTCCCAGGAACAAAAGTGATGTCTTCAGATTGTTTGTTTTGTTTGAGTTAGAGTCCAAAATCCTAAGACATTAGCTTTACAATGGTTTAAGACAGCACAACATGATGAATTCTATCACCTGCAGCTGGTAGAGAAAGAACGTTTCTGCCAAATACAACACATGAAAATTACACTGAGGGTCACACTATACAGGATTAGTATATGCTGGAAATTTGTGAGGCTATAATTTCATGATTCTATCTTCAATCATCCTCGAGAGTCAGAGTTTACTCACTTAGAAAGGCGTTTATTCGCTCATTGAGAATCTTATCGGGCTAAATCGAGAAACAGCAGGTGTGACTTTTAACAAATTGGGTGACGTGTTCAAACTCAGTCTTAAAACGGCCCCGTTAATCCTGGATGATCCAGACCTCCCTCTGTTAGAGTCCGGCTCCTGTTTAGCTGAAGATATATTCTACTGAAGCTCCTTTGTCCCAGCTATTAAAAACAACTCATACTGCTTAATGAATGTGTTTTTACTTGTGATGTTGATTTAGTGCCTTTCTTCTGTTCTTCCTGTTATGTTTTTATTCCATTGTTTGTGACAATTATGTGTTGCTCCTGGCTGTTGCATAAAAAAGCTCTTTGAAGATACTTCAGATATCTTAAACCAAGACTCCTTTCCCGTTTTGATTCCTTTATGCCAGAAGTACATCTACAGGGTTCCTGGTGATACTTTCAAAGTTTAATAGTTTAAAAAAAAACTCATTTATTTTCAAACCAAAGGTGATAAAAAGTCTTAATTTTACTCGTGAGAGGCGTTAAATGTTAGATAGCACTTTTAGTTGGACGTGTCTACACAAACTAATCAGCAGATTAAGATTTCGTAATTTTTCTTTTTGTAAATTTGCTTGTTTGACAAGTGATGAAGGTGAGAAGGTAGAAAAAATCTATTTAATTTCGCTTCAAGATAAAAAATAAAAAGTCTGCTTTAAGGATAGACAAAAAGTGATTATGAGGCAACTTTTAAGCAAACTCCTACGCAAAACAGCTTTTAAATTCAGAATATATTGATAAATACTATATATTTGCGTCTCAAAAGGTCTTGAAAAACTGTAAAATTTATATTCAAAAGTGTGCAATAACCATGATGTAAGGGTTAGGTATCACGCTTAAAACACATGCCCCTGGTACAGAAACTAGTCTTCTTCGAGCAGAGGTACAAGCTTCATTCATCAGCCCCCCTTGTCTGTCTGACTGTGTTTAGCTTCTGACCCTCATCACCTGGCTGCTCACCTGAGCTCATAATAATAACAGACTGGTGTCAAAGCTTACAAAGATGATGTACGCTGCTGTCAGCTGCCCTTCCTGCCCCAGCGACTGTCGCCTCCCTCTCATTCCCCCTGTCCTCCTCTGTCTCTCTTTGGATCTCCCTCTCTGTGTTCCGGTGGCAGAAACGCTGCATCCCTATAATTCTCTCTTTCAAGACAGCCTAACAGGCCCGTAATGATGCTGACATTTACACAACACTGCAGCGGTACTCCAGCAGCGGTGCACAAGGTCAGCTCATTAGAGGGCATAATTGATGTGGGGCGCACATCCCAACCTGCCACCGACGGAGACACGGGTCAGACGGCACGGTCGGCAATTTAACAACAATACGCACGCCTGGTGTCAGTCAGTCCCTGTGTGGATACTTCACATTATGGCAAACTATTTGTCTTGTTTTCACATTTTAATGACAGAAACGTTAAGGCTGGCTGTTTTTTCAGTCAAAATGTTTGGACTATCAGAAAATAAATGGCAAAATGTGGCAGAAAATAGGCGGAGAATCAAGAGAAAGCAGCATCCACCATTAAAACAAATCTATATTTATGTTATTTGACCACATTAGAGAGTCAGAGTCCATTTAAATGACTGGATACTTAATTCTCTATCAAATCTATGATATATCCAGCCACTAAAACTCTAATCCTCTCCATTACTTGTTCCAAGCACAGAGCTTTTTGGACAATAGCAAGTCCAGAACAAACAAACAATTCAAAGTGAAACTTATCAAAATTCCCAGTGATCACTTGATGCCAAACAAAAAGACAAAAGTCTCTGCAGTCCAATTCAGCTGCATCCATAATCCTAGCATATATGAGTCCCTGACCTTATGTGCTCCTTCTCCCTTCCTTTCTCATTCATCTATCTCGCCTCCTACTCCTTCCCACACTCATCTGCTCATCGACTGCCATGCTAACTCAGCCTCTCCTCCTTCCATCCCATCCAGCCTGAGCGTTTTCAACCAGCCACCCACTCTCTTTCTCACTTTTCTCTCCTGCTTTCTCATCATGTCACCTTTCTCATGCCAAGTGTTCAAGCTGTTGTCTCCTCAGAAGACAACGGTGTATTCTTTTGCATACATAAAACAATAATAATAATTATAAACTTCACTTTCTGCACGTGTTGACCCATCTCATGTACAAGTGTTTGACTTGAAGATATAAAACATACCTCTTTGCACCAGCATGGTGACCTCGCTGCCTCTGGGACATTTGCTGAGCAGGTCCACCACCTGATTGTGGCTCATACTCTGGACGTTTCTCTTGTTGACCTCCATGAGAATGTCCCCTTCCTTTAATCCACGGCAGCGTGGATAGTCCACTATCTGCTTTACCCTCTGCCCTCCTCCTGTCAGGCTATCAGCGATGGTGAAGCCAAATCCCTTGTCGCCCTTCTCCATGTGTATGGTAATGAGTTCAGGTTGGGTGGCTATGGATGAGGCCAGGGTGACCACGTCGCTGGTGGTGTAGCCGTGAGAGCCGTTGGATGCCACCTCGGCTGAGGGGCTGTGCGGCCGGGGCTCCCTCATGCCGTTGACGGGTCCGGCCTGGTTGGACGGTGAGTCAAACGTTTCCTGTCCGTTGACGATGATAGGCTCTTTGTCCAAGATGGCCACCGAAGTCACCAGACTGGTGTTGGGATCATCAGGGTCAAAGGGCAATGGGTAGCCTCGGCATAACGCCAGGTCCACCATGGAACCAATGGGGATAGATTGGAAGATCTTCACCACCTGAGCATGGGTGTAGCCCAGCACGATGGTGTCATTCACACTCACTATCACATCACCTGCAAGAAAGAAAACAACACAGTTAGTGACACTGACAGACTGTAGAGAACATAGATGTTGTTCGAGTTATCTTGGGAATCAGATGTCAGAGTTGAAAATGACGTCACACCCGAGTTACAAGCATTTCAATTATCAAGTTGGAAAAAATCAAAATCGGAGGTGGAAACAAGAAGACTACATCTACGAAAGTTATTTTAGTGCTTGCCTTGTCCTTGTTAAATCCTGACAACACAAGCGCTAAAATAACTTTTGTAGATGTAGCCAAAAAGCAAAATCGAAGGCGGAAACAAGATAGCTACATCTACAAAAGTACAAAAGTTATTTTAGTGCTCGCCTTGTCCTTGTTAAATCCTGACAACGCAAGCGCTAAAATAACTTTCGTAGATGTAGCCATGTTGTTTCCGCCTCCGACTTTGCTTTTTTCCGACTTGGTAACTGAAACGCAGCTAACTCGGGTGTGACGTCATTTAGAGCTTTAGTGACAGCAAGCTTATAGATGGAGGTCACCATATTGGAAAGTCTGACTCCTCCTCACTACCAGCTTCTCTTAAAAGTGGAGTTCAGCCTAACTTTGCTGCTTTGCAAACAGCTTCAACACAAACACACCACTCAGTCACTGAACTGTGCCTCTATTTATGCTTACTTCTGCAGAACTCTTCGCCTCAACAAAACCAACAAATGTCAGTATTAAAAAGGCTACCTGCTGCACGAACCGTACAAATAAGGCAATGAGCTGTTTAAGACCTGCTTGTTTGTACCAGGCTGTAAAAATTTATGCCGTAGAAACGAGCGTTTTAACACTGGACCTTTGGCAACTGCTCCACAGCTGAGCAGATTTGCACTTCGCCTCAGTCCCACTGCATGCTGAGATTCCACTCAGCTCCCTGCAAACCTAAACTGCACGGCCCATTTGCAGCGTCCTCCCTAAGTCCTAAATGTTGGACCCTCATTGATTTTAAAAGAGTGCTTCACAGCTTTTAGCACCAACATGTTATCAGACTAATGGTGGACGTTTACAAAGGAATCAGGATCAATGACGCAAATAAAAACAAAAATACACAGATGTTGCATTTAATGTCAAAACCCACCACCATAATAACCAACAATTAAGTGACACTTATTATACTGGTAGCTGTTGGTAGACAGAGGGGGGCTGCTGGGGTCTGTTTAACCATCTAGACTGTATTTCTAACTTCAATCCTTCAAGTTTTTTCTTATTTCCAAACTCGTGGACTTCTGTCTTTGTCGTGCCCTGGGATGACACCACTAGAGGCGATTTTTCAAACTTTGTGGAGCTCCCTCCGGAGTCACAAAAGGTTCCATCAAACTTTTTTTTTTAACATATGCAGAGGGTTTCCCCGAGACCTCTGGTGCGTAAAATTCCCTCTAATTTTGCACGGAGGCTGTGAGGGCTTCAAACGCTGAACGAGGATTCCTCCAGAGTTTTGTGAAATCATATTATTTGGAGACAGACACTGCACGGTAAAATGTAAAGATGATACTGTACATGGTGTATAAACTGTGATTCATTGACCAGTAGAACAAAAACAGCATATATGGACTTTTCGCTTGACTTAAACAAGTAAATCTCCTTATGTGACTTCGATAGAGTCTCTCACTTTACTATCTGCTCTTCGTCTGTCACTTTGACATTATAGCACACTGCATAATTGGCTATTTCCCTAAGCAAGGTCAGCACAGTTGCAGACCTATAGAAAGTTCGCATAAAAGGCTTTAAAAATCAACTGTGAGGCCCTTCAGCACTTGCAGAATTCACTGTGTGACAACTCTGAGCCTTCGTGGACTTTGCCAGAGTGCACATCAAACTCTCTAAGTGCACAAGAGGGGTCACTGGGACTGGATTCATGCAAAGTACTGAAAACGGATGGATGTGTTGTAGTGTGTGTGTATTGCTGAAAGAAAACAGTGCCCCCTGTGGACTGTGGTTTTGAACTACACCTGTCTCCATCTTGCCATCCACAGCTGCAGGCCCATCCAGCACCAGACTTTTGATCTGAAGGAACTCGTCCGGCTCATCACCTCCAACCACCGTGAAGCCAAAGCCCCGACGACTCTTCTTCAGCTTAGTGTTGATGAAGGTTCCTTTCAGCTCTGCTGGGTTTCTGGTGAAGAAAGGCTTCCCTCCTGTAGAGGATCAGGGGGGAAAAAAACTCTTACTAAGAATGTTTTTTACTTTAACAAGCTTCAAAAAGTTTTTGCATATTGGAATTTTTCAGATCAGATACTTTAAAATTTAAGTTCTTTCATATTAAAAAAACATGTGAGCAAAAAGCAAAGGATTCTGACTCCCCAAAAACTGAAATGTTGATAGATTTGAGAAGTTCAAGAGGGTTTTTGGACTGCTTGGACTTGCTAAGTCTGTGAGCTATCAGACAGTTGCTTTGCCATTTCCAACCAGAGGAGTCTTTAAACTTATTGGTAGTTCAATAAACCGTCACATCAAAAAATCAAATGATTAAAGAAATTAAATGAAACAATTTGAAAACTTTGCACAACAGCAAAAGACATAACAGGAAAAAAAGCAGTATTTATGCATGAACACTCTAATAAACATGAAGATTTACGTTTGGCTCCTGCAGGGCCGGGAGGTAGAGTTGGGGGGACCTGGGGGTCCCTGTAGGTCTCCAGGTGGTTTGGAGCATAGTTTGCTAACGGGGCCGCTGCTGAGGAGTGTTCCTCTATCCACTCTGCACACACACACAATCACACACACACATTAGTCAGTGTAAAGTCAACACCGAGGTGTATTTACATGCACACAAACACATGCACACGGTACGAACACTGGACAGCAACACATAAAAACAACACACAAAGCTTAAAGCACAAACTTCAGACTCTTGATTTTACTCTTCTGCTGTAATGAGGTACATTACATCTCTTCTACTTGTGTAATTGGCTGAATAAATAATCCAATATAATATCTAATATATCAAATTTTGGAAATGTTGATTTAGTAAACATATAAACAATTATTTAAAACATGAAATAGCTCTTAATTCATTCTCAATAAGTAGATATGTGTATGTCATGGCTGTGTAATGCAAATGGCACCAGGGTACCTTTACGTTCTGCGTCAGCTGCATACCACAGCTTCTCCAGCTAGTGACTGTTTGAACGAGGGGACAAAATCACTGCTGCGCTAAAATATCTAACCTCCAAATGTTTTCAACACCAGCATGCACCTGTCCTCTCCTTTCTGCCACATCTCAGTCTCTAATCCTTCAGCTTAAACATCCTCTTGTAGAGTTTTCATGATAAGGCAAATTAAATGATCAAATACAAATGATATACGACTGTTATGATTTTAAAGTCACGTAAATTAAAAATCTAAAAACACCAAAGACGACACCAAGGTTTGAGCCAGCTCCAGTTTGTTCAAATCAGTACCAATGTGAACAAAACCAAGATTTAGTCTTTTTTGTGCGTCATGTTTTGATGAAGCAGTCTAAGTTTTGTCTGGCTCAAACCCTGGAGAGCACTGGACGAACTAGAAGGACACGACACTCACACACATGAAGAAAGAAAGAAATGGTGCCGTGCCAGGGCAGGAAACGAACCTCGAATATACCGCTCACCTTCTGGAGGCTGCGGCTGCTGCTGCTGCTCCAGGATTTTCCGACGCCGCGCCTCCAACACGGGATTCTCATACTGAGTCTTTCTGTTTATGTGACTGAAAGCAGAGAGAAGAGGAAAACAATCAGTGACTGATTTACAGTTTTTAATGCGCCCATATCAACATGAAGTCGAGGTCTAATTTACTTACTCTACATAATAAACTCCGTACACTGGGTCTTCTATCCTTTCCCATCCTGGAGGCAGCTCTGAAAAACAGAAATCACTTTCACAGTTAAGACAGAAAAACAACACTTGCATCCTGTTTGTTAGCGAAGCTGAATGAATTAGATGGTTGAGTTGTAGATTTGAAAAACATCACTTTGTTATTTTTGGATTTGGCACCAGGCGGAACATTATTTAACTTTACAGTTTTAGTAAGAGATGGTGCCCTTTTCCCTACATTGTTTTCTCAACCACTGTAAATACCTTTGCTGTCTTTATAGCGCTACTTTTGCTGATTTGATTTGCCTTTTTTCAGTTCTAAAAACAATCTTTTGCCAAAAAACACATTTACTTTTCCAAACTACTGTTCTGCAACAGGGCAATGTGTTATGAGCCGCAGTTTTTCGCTGCCAATGACGCAAAACTCCTTAAAACATCCCTTTAACTCTCAATTTTAATACTATCATAAAAGTATAAAGTTTCAACTCCAAACAGGCTCTAATCTAAAAGCGCTAGCTGTGCCAGGAAGGATTATGCTCTGTGAAATTTTACCAATTTGGGCAACAAACTTGATGTACAAACCCATTCCTTTTACCATAAACTAAATCATGACCTGGATCGCTCTCATGTTGCTTATTACTGGATTTATTATCCTCATTATGACTAAAACAACTCACAAAAACAAACGCTACCTTCACAGCCTCAGTGAAATCTTTATTAGAATAAACATTTAACACACAGGGAGAGTTTCAAAGTTCAAAAAACTTCAAGGGTAACATCTGCAAACACCCTCACTCACAGTGGACACACCCAACCACGCCCAACGAGAACAGGCGGATACAATCTCATCTCACCCCTTCACTGTGCATCTAGTTTCTAACAAAGACATTAACCTCCTTGAGTTACTGTGAGCTTCTCCCAGGTCCAGTAAACTCTTTTATAAGAGGCTGGATTTCACAATCAATAATCACAGGCTGTCTGCAGCTGAGCAGCCAGCAATAATAACAGCTTACAGGCAGACATTCAAGGCATTGTTTAAGACGGAGCTCTGGTTACATTACAGAGCTGTTTGTGCTGCCTGTAAATGGGATGAGAAGCAACAGCTGAGCCATTCGACAATTCGATCAACTGGAGATGAGTGTATCATTTTGAATCGGAGGCGAAACCTGCGCATGAGTCGAAAAACAAATCCTGTCATCCCTGCTAGGACCAGTGAAGAGTTAAACGTTGTATTTGTGTGGCCCAGAGCGAACTTATTCAATACCAAGAGACACAACCTTTGATACTGAGGGTAGGATTAAAGGGCAGGAACTCATAGTCGGGATCAGAACAGATAGTTGTATTTACTCTTTCTATTCTGCAGTAATCTGAAGATTGAATATATTCTGCTTTGACAAGGTCTCAGTGACACAGTTCTGGATGTAACACGCAAAGTGGATATGCGTGATACATAAGTAACACATCCAATCCATTGCTGATGTTCTCACTTGAATTTTTTTCACAGCCTGCTGTTATTTTTCTTTTGTATTGCTATGAAGGACATTAACACCACCTACAGATAGAGCGCACATCTGCTCTCAGCTGTCACAGACATCCATCATTTCCTTTCTATTGTATTATAAGCAGCACAAATGTCGCCACTTGTAGCCTCGAATCCTCGGCTTTACTTTCAAATAACGCAAACGGGAGAATTCACATTTCATTTTCTTACCCAAATCGGCCTCTAGGTCTTCTGTATGTATCCCTTCTTCTCCAAGGTGAAAGCAGGATGAAACAAAGAAAATAAAATAAGGAGTAGAAAAGATGGATGGCAGGAGAGAGGAGGGTTGGAAGAGGGGGAGTCAAGAGCAAATAAAGGATGAAGTGAAAGTCCGGAGAAAGGCAAAAAAGGGGACATGGAAACTCCTTAGTTTCAGTACTTAAATTAACAGGAGACAAATTCTCAAAACAAACAGAGCAATGTGGAGGAGTGTGGTGTGCCACTCTGTTTTTCACCACTTGATGGTGCAATTTAGCAACTTAATTCTGCATCATAAACTGGCTTAACTTCATTTGGAAATTCTCAAAACTTTTCGATTTGTTTGTGATCTTTTCGTGTGATAATATTAAAATAAAAATCATGAACGTAAAACCTAGTAAAAGTAGGCCACATGCTTAATCAACATTCAAATATTCCAAATAAAACTTGCCTTGTAAATATGCCACTAAGAAATTAAGAAATTTACAACCTCACCACTAAAGGCAATTTGTGTACGACTACTTCTAAATCCTAAACAACCACAAAGAAGTGTGAATTCACACCACTGTTACATAAATGTATCTAGCATCTTACCATCGTCATCACACTCTTCCAGAGGCCTGGAGGCTTTGTCTCTACACCGAGGATCCAACCATGATGTGGTCTTTGTGTTGTGGCTGTGAGAAAACAAACAAGACAACAGCACAATTGAAAAGAGGCTGTCAAACCGACACATAAAAGCACAGCAGGGGTGCATGAATGCATCAATAAGAATCAGAGAGTAAACCGCGTCAGCAAGTTTACAGAGGACAGCAGGCGTCTGCTGTGAAGAGAAATGAGAATAACAGAGCAGCACAGACTGGAAATCGACAGTAAACAGCCTGACTTTTCCCTCTATTGTTACACAAGAACATGCTGTAATTCAGTGATAGCAGAAATGAACATACAAGCTCTGAAAATACACAGCCATGTCCGGGTGGTGTGCCTTTGCCGTGCTGCAGAGAGGACAGAGAGGTGGAGGTAGTCAGGTGATCAGGATGTGATCTCCTTTAGAGATCGGGACATGCAGGGATTAACAGGGAAGCAGTTGCACCCAGGGGGCTGGGCAGGTTGTGCTGGGGAGAGGCCTAATAACCAAATCATGGGGGAGACAAGCCACTGGACGAACAAAAGGAATAATAGATAATGCAGGTAAAACACACAAAACATGAGCTGCAGTAAGAGCTACGTGCTTATTTAGGCAGTGGAAGGAGCGTGTAGCAGATCCTGACTTGTTGCTTCTTGTTGTTGATACATACTCTATGAAGTAAAGCTCTCCGTTCTCAGTGTACGCCATCTCCCAGTTTTCCGGCAGGGGTCCCAGCGGGTCTTCTGGAGAGACCTGAGGTTCTGCGAGCGTCTGCTGCCCGCTGTCTGAGGTGGAGGTGGCCGCATTGTTCAGACCACAGGATGGAGCATTGTCACGTGCGGGGTACGGCCGGAGGATGCCGCCGCGGCTCTCGTCCTGGTCACTAGGGTTACCTGTGCACAACAAAGGAGAGGGGAAGAGACTACGCACTAAGGATCCTGGGTAACAACAACAACAACAACGAAAAACAACAGGAAACACACGGAATGACAACACCAAAAAAAAGAACAGAAAGACAGTTTATGTCTCACGCATGCAAGAAAGAGAGAGATTAAATCAGCAGACTGGCTCAATCTGGTTACTTTGAACACAAATCATGCAGATTAAACTACACTGACATTCCTGTTATCCCCTCCCCCTCCTTATAAAGTTTGGTCCCTGCCTGTTTCTAGTGTACTGAAAAGGCCCCAGGAATATGCTAATTCTTTCAGCGGCAGTCTTTCCCAAACTCTTTTTGACCCCCTTCCCCCCACCCTGTTTTACCTCTCCACCCATAAGCCTCTCTCTTGTAAAGCGAGCAATCCCCAACCTCCCATCCCCACTCTCTGCCCAGTTCGGGCCCGGTGTTTGCCAGCACTTCCGTAGGCCTTTCAGGGTTGATCAAATGCTAATTCAACACTCTGGCAGGCAGGCGGAGAGACATAGAGAGGGCATAGATACGGAGCGTCGATAGAGGAAAAACAAAACGATTGAAGAGCTTAAAAAAGCAAGAAAGAGCGACAATTTAAGCTAAATTCACATAACTATATGTATTCTTTTATATTTTCAAGGTTTATGGTCATATAAGTTACCAGGTAGATGACAATTCTGCCAAAATATTCATGGATATACCAATAAATGGTAAGAAAATACAGCTAACATGGGGCATAATGAGAACACTATATGAATGAGAACAAATGCAAGAAGGTTTTTAACAAGCAAAGCAAAATATAACAAAATAAAAAACTAAGAAAAGCCTAAAATATGTACAGGAATTATAACAGTTGTTTGTTGCCTGCTATCCACTTCCTGCCCCTCCTCACAGGCAGGTGGCAGTGTTTGGAGGCTCACAGCGAAAAGAAAATAGGCATCCCAAAGACATGATGTAACCGCTAGACACCCAGCTCCGTACAACAGAAGAGGAGAGGATGGTAAACATACACACATTATCTCCCCTCTCCTGTATTCCTAATCTCCTGCACACACATCAAACCCGCAAGCATCCACTCAAGAACAAACACGGCACAGATGGAGAAAGCATCGCACTCACAGAAAAACCCACAAGCCGCATAAACAGCAACTTCAGCCACAGCAGCAACGGGCCTCACCTGTAAAACTGTTGTTCATTTCCGAGGCCTGGTCGTCATCGTCGTCGTCAGCAGGCACTACTCGGGCGTTTTGCATGTCATTGTAGGACTTGGTGCGCTTTGGGGTGGACTGCTGGGAGCCTGCATCACTGAGAATCACTGTCCCAATGATGGGCTGCCTGGGCGGCTTGGGGGTCCCATAATAGTTACCTAGGCAACAAGAAGGACATTAGCATGCTTGAGAGAGAGACACAGAAGGAGGGAGAAGGAGAAATGGAGACAGAGAGGGTGAAAAAAAAAAACAGGCAGAGGATCTATGAAACCTCTTTGAACACCAAGAATAAAAGACATAACGCTGGATCACAATGTGACCACAAATTGTTAAAATAAGCAGCTGGTAGGGAAATGAAACTGCTCTAGTTTGTGTTTTTAAGGCTGCAGAGTAGAACTGTCTGAACTCTGAAAGCATACTGTGCAAAACAATAAAGCAGCTCACAACAGCCCAGCCTGTTTTAGCAGCTCTGTCTGACTGAAACTGTTTTAGTCAGCGGGGCAAACAAATAATTTATCAAGAGTTTCCTGGCACATTATGAATCATGTATCCGTGTGTTCTTTGTAAGAACGCGAGAAGGAGGCTTTCTTGATGTCTGGTGCATACCAAGAGATAGCAACATATAAGAAATAGTCTGACATTTTGCTGGCGCCCTCATTTGCCTTTCCGCAAAAAAACGCAGTAAGCTAGAAAAGCATTCTTCCTATCTGTGGGTTCAGTATGAAGCTGGTATAGCCTAGCATACATATTTCAAATAGCTAACCTAGTTCTGTCTTGCCAGTCACTCTCAACATGCTAGCTAGCTTAGCATGTTGACAAAAGAGACTGAAAGCAGCAGATAATGTGTGTCTGTTCACAAAACAAACAAACAAATGAGGGGAATCTAAGTTATGTTTCATACTTAGATTAAAGCTTGGACAAAATTTAGGACTATGATTTGTTTCTAATTTATTTGACTCGATGTTGGGTACATTTGGTTACCTTTGTGCAGAGCTAGGCTCCTAGTTAGCTCCTGTATCCTGACTTTGAGTCACACGTGAACCACCATCTGGCTGTATTTTCATGTTTACAGTATTGTCATGTCAGTGGAAATAATCTTCTTGTGTAACTCTCAGAAAGATTGTGTGTAACCTAAATTTCCAATATGTTAAATTGTTCATCTTCATATGTTGTTGCATGTCAACTCATCTGATTTCCTGTACACTCTCTACCTAATGCTGGTAAATGAAATAGCCGAAACTGCCTAAAAACACTCAATTTTCTCTACTCTGTGGAAAAATTTAAAGGGTTAATATTAAGCTAAAATATATCTGTTTTAATTTTTAAAAATCTGTTAAAATAATTAGCCGTGAATCAATACTCCTGTCCAGCTCTGGTTGTCTGGATGGCCTTAGACTCCCGTGGACAGGTATTTGACATTGTCTGCGTGAAAGGGAGGAACGTGCCAACACAGAGCAGAACCGGTGCCAAGCAGATTAATGTCGTAACATTCTCTCCCGGCTGCACACACACACACAAATACACACACACATGCACACACAAACTCACAGGAATAAGTCTTAGCTCTGGCAAACAAGCCCAGGATGCACAAACACACACATCCGCCCACGCATGTTTACACACACAGGTTTGTGTCAGAATGAGAGTTAGCGCTGCACAACAGCGTCCTAATCAGAGTGAGAGGGGCAGATGTGGAGTGACCTGCTGTCTCCTGGATCCCCCTCCCTCTTCAACATGCACCATCTAATCTGAATCAACTGAGCACACAGTCTTACAGCCGGCGTGCATGTAGGAGGAAATAAACGATGATTGCCGCTGTGTTCATTGTATCTGTGGAGAATCAGGACACCTGCACCATCATTTCGCCAATTCGGTGTCGGTTCTGATCATCGCCCTCACCGTCATATGTTCCTATTTCCAGTAGTGTGCCACTCTCCTCCAGCTCTAGGAAATCCTCCACTGACAGGAAGTTGTAGTCCACCCCTGGGATTTCTCCGTCTCGAGGGGGGCGGGTCGTACCTGAGGGAAGGACAAAACAAACAAACTTTACTCAATTGCCAATATCTTGTTAATATTCTAGCCATACGCTCACATCTGACTGAAGGTGAACTCATTTTTTCTCTTCTGGCACTGCAACACTTTCAATCTGCGTCTTGCACACAGGGAGTCTTTCATTAGCATTGAAACGCAGCCAACGTCCCAAAGTTCATTTAGATATTTTTAAGATGATGAGTGACCATGAGAAAGAGTTTCCAAAGCTAAAGTAAATAAGAGAGCTCTGAAATCAAGAGGCTGTGGTTTTAATCCACAGCAGTGATTGAAAGCGAAGTGACGAGTGTGTGGCTGTGAATATTATGTCAGGAAATTAAATGGAGGCTTGCATCTCTAAGCCATCGCTGTGCCTCATGGGAAACTGCTGCCTGCTAAGTCAGAAGATGAAATAAAGGTCACCTTAAGCACGGTTACTGATACTGTTATCAATCCATCACTTTCCTCTAAGGTGAGTCTGGAAGTATGAAATGTATGGGGATAGTAGCACTAAAGTCATTTGACTTAAACTGTTATTGATTGTAAAAACTGCTTTGTCCTTGTTACGACTGCAGACAAGCTCTCTGCATTCTTAGGTGTCGTTTAACACTAGTGCAGTAAAAGCTTTTCAGGCTCAGACAGAATAAACTGGGACTCATTATTTTGTGTCCTGAAACAGTCAAAACTTGAGATACTGAAACAAAAGAATCTCACATCAGAAGTTTAAATAGACTCTTACACCCCTTTGGTATCAAATTCTTTTGGCAAGCTAACCTAACATTCAGATTTTCTTTATTGGCCTTCCTGTACCAGGTCAGATCACCTACTGGGATTGATGACTGGTGGTCTGTGGTGCTTTTACTTTGTAGTGATAACACTTTGTAGGAGGAAGCTGACACCAGACAATGGAGACAAGGGCTATTGTGTTTCTCTCTTTACAAAAAGGAGATGAAATGACGGGCCAGATGGTTGACGGACGCTGTAACCCATCTGTCATCAGGGCAGACATGAATACATGCAAATTGTATAACAGAGATACAGACACGTGGGTATATACGAGATACTCTTACATTTGTCTCAAGTACAATACATTGAAGGGAATGACACATGCCTCTAACAGGGTGTCAGCAATGTTGGGACAAAAGTAGAGCAACTTCAGGAAAAGACACAATCAGCTTACAGCGCAGACAGGTCGGATAACCCAGCTGTATCTGCTAACATTGACTTATCAGCATTAGAAATGATATAAAGTATAGCAAAAATAGATGGGGCCTATTGGAGACTGCAGTCTTTTGCGTTTCAGCACGGCACCATGTTTCAACACAGAAGGATGCCACTTGTACTGAACTCAAGTACCCAGTGAGTTTGTAGCAGATATTCCTCTTTCAGAACAAGATTTTGTTGCTGCACATTAAGTAGCTCTTGAGATTTTTGCAGGATAATGATTTTTTTTTTGCCTTTTATTGATGGTTCTGTGGGGAATCATCTTTACGATGGTTAATCTCATGGCACAATATATTCTTACATAGGAATAAAAAGCAGCCCATACAAAAGATGATGACATATTTCAGAGATACTCAAATGTGCTTCAACAGCCACAGGTGTCAACTCTTGAGTTAAAGCCAGTGGACCAACAAAGTTATTCATGATATCATCTGAATGAAATAATGTTTCAAAAAAAAACAAAGAAACAGCCTAATACTGCCCAGTCTCAGGACCCACCTTTAAAATAAACTCATGACGAAGCAGAAAACTGTAAACCCAGCTGATTGCCTTTTTTAAATTGTCGCTGTGCTCCACTAGGCTGGTGAGAAAGCTCATACTAGACACAAGACCACGTCTTGTTCAAGCGTTTATCTGAGCCTCTCCAATATGCAGGCTTACACTCATCCCTCAGGGTTCATCCTACCCACAAACCCCTGATAATAAGCAAACCTTTGCCTCAGTCCTGCACCTGCACTGCACTCAAAAAAACACCACTTGTTCTCCTTTTCTCCCTGCTCTTATGAAAATAATCCTCAAGATGACTTGAAAAGGAAGAATTTAGTTGACATAAAGAAGAATTCGAGCAACAGAACAAATCCCCAGTGTGAAAATACAGATATATAATCTAAATGACCGGCTGCAAAAGCTAGCACAGAGCTGCTTTGTATGCACCTCCGTGGATCAGAGTGAGATGAAAGCAGGGTTGTCTGGGAGTTTGAGTCATAGGGCTGGGTGGTCCCATGGTGGGAGATGTTTCTGAGGCTCTGTGTGCTCTAATGACGCTGTCTGCTGAGCGGAGAATGGGGCTGTTATTCCAGGCTATTCCCCACAGCGGACCACGCTGATAGGATGACTAATTCTGGTAGGCCTATACTACAGAATATTGAAGGCTAAACACTGCCTCATTAAAGCAGATCTTTTCATCTTCTGTTACATCACCATATGTTGAGCATAAAACAATTATTTCTCCCGATGCTTTTTATCTCTAACCATCGTGGTTACTTGAGTGCTGCTGCATCAGTGTTGAAGAGCCAATTCATCAGAGAACTCTGCCGCTGTTTCCGAATGCAACTTCCTTTTAGAAGTTTGACTATCTGGGTTTCAGGGTTATGTAACGTGATCTTGTTTGTGCCCTGCTTCTCTGTGAAATCTTACATAATTGAAATGCAATATTTTCAGAGCAGAAGCATGTCACTGTTGGTGCACAGGACCAATCCATCATCCATCTCTCTGACGAATCTTATCACGTCACGGCCAGGATTGCCCGCTCTTTGTGTTTAAATGCTGAGGTACGGTGTGTCTTCTTGCAAAAGGATTCTCAGTCTGTATGGAGGTAAAGGTTATGACTGCAAAAACTTCAACATGAGCTGACAGCTGTCTCTCAAAGATGGGACAACTAAATGTAAGAAATTCAACTTTCTGATCACAGGTCAAAACCCAAATCAGCTGTGTTGTTTTCGTTGACGATGACGTTGACAAAAATATTTCATCAACGTCATTGTCAACGAAAACAACACTTCAGAATATATGTTTAGCCTTTGACTGACGAAATGCCCATGAATTTTGCAATTCTGTTTGTCATCCACCACTAACGTTTTCGTCTAGTCTTGTCTCGTCAACGTAAACGCACATTCGTCTCATCACATTTTAGTCATCTAAGACTTATCTTTAGCTCGTCAACGTCATGTCTTCATCGTGGAAACAAACAACACTGCAAGTCAGCTTGACGAATTACAAAACAGCTAAACATTAACAATACATTACAAATAGACATAAAAGGACTAGAAGTATGCACAAATATGACCTTAAAAGTCCAAGAGGAATCAAGATATATCCTCTACTTATGTTTGGTACACCAAGAGGTATCAAAGTTTAAGCTATGATGGCTGAAAATGTCAAATCTCTAGCAGCAGAGATATCAATATAATGACTTGGTATAAAATGTGTTATTTTCTACATCTATTCCAGAGAATATCCTCTTTATCAGAGAGATAATGAACATACTGATGGTCAAATAGTTCAAGGGATAACTGTGATTCCATACAGGGTGATTTATCTCCAGTTTCACTCACAGGAGTGGACAGCGAGACTCTTTTCAGGGTTCGACGGCAGCAGTGAGGTCAGACTCATCCCATTACTATCTCTGTGATAGTCTCTGTTGTCTCTGGCCGGTGAAACAATGACCCAGCCATACTCGGTCCTGACCCGGGTTCTGATGAACTAACTTCCACAGACAGCTATCAATAGGCCCCATTCTCTCAGATTGAAGAACCAGCCAGAGCGTGCATAAACGGAGAAATTAAACATTTGGCACCAAATTCAAAAGAGTGTGACTTTTGCTGAGGGAAAGTTGAGTACTTATTTATCCGACAAACATACACTGAATAAAAATATTAACATTTCTTTTGAGCCTCATTGTACAAATAAGAAAATCATTGTTTGCACCTCCTTTAATTTATCTACGATGATTTCCCCTACAGACATCCCAGGTGAAAAACAAAGCTTTACAAAACCAGTGTTTTATATTTCTTAAAATAATTTTAACAGATAAGCGCCAGTGACAGATTTTTCCTGACAGAACATGTGATATTTCTTTGAACTGCAGTGAAGTAAATCCCTCTGTGTTCTGCCTCCTTTTTTATTGTGCGTTTAGAAAATCAAATATGACAGGCCCCGGTCGAGTTCTGCACGCTTCAACTCTGCTCTTGAAAAGCCATTTTTGCACACTGCAGTTCAAGTTTAATGGTGTCAGTGGGTATGATTATTCACTAAAGGAAAGGACACATTGGTTTTACTGATGGCATTTTAACACTGTCTTAAATTTACCTCACTAAAAAGATGCCGCACACGTTCGAAAGCCATTAACTTGAATGGCTCAGCACTTTCATTAAAAATTGCAGGCTCACCTCCGATATTTAGCACCACGAGCGATTCCAAGAGGCTGTAGGACACACAGTAATGCAAGCTAGCCCATGTGCTTGTATCTTTAAATAGTGTTTACAGTTATGATTAAGTGTATTGATTTGAACCTTCTCAGTATCTCAGAGCTGCACTTTCACTTTGTGGGAAAAGACAGGGAAGTGGCTCATGTAGATTACATCTAAATCCGTCTGTATCCTTCATTAATAACACATCCCGCTGAGGGGTAGCGTCATATTACAGCGGTAGTCCCAGTCTGTTTTATGACAGCTTGTTATAGAGGAAAAGATGAGACGTCATGCACATCTTACAGGGAGGCTGAAGTCTTCACAGAAGCTCTTTTCTGAGAAAAGTAAAAATTCTAATCTTCAGCCCAAGCTGCAATCTCCGCAGGGAGTCAGAGCCGAGAGCATCCTCAGTGATGGTTTAAGTATTTGTCTTAAATCCGCCAAATGTGAACACTAGGACTGCATTTGGTTAAACCTGATAAAATGAGCTCCACAGTCTCATACTGTATTCTGCTTCTTGTGTCATTTGCTGACAGTAAGACTCTCACACTGAGGGTTTCAGCTATCTGGCAGTCAGGAATACAAAGATCACGTAACAATAAATCAGAGGAAACAGTAACATTTCACAGCAACAAATACAGACGAGTATAAAATGCATTTCTAGGATATGTTATGCAGCATTTTAAGAAATATTTATATTTGTGCAAAGAGTAAAAAGATCTATACCAGACAAATCAATCTACACCACCCTAATGTAAGAGGCTATGAAGCCAAAGACAGAAACAAACAGCCTGTTTCTACCCAAGGTAACAATAAGAGGTATCCCAAAGGAGCAGCCACTTATTTCCCAGTTTTTAAAACAAGAATTAAAATCTTGAATGTTTAGAAACAGTCAAAACTGAAGACAATTTGTCAACATTTCCCAAAACGTAATCACAGAATCCATGGCTATACTACTATATGTCAAATGTGTTTGCCAAACTGCCAAAGTTTGCAGTCAGGTGTGCCAGTTAATAGTGATGCTCCAGGTGTGGTAGTTTCTGAAGTAAATATTACCTACAGATGAATATGAATATCCTCAGACAAACAATTAATAATCTAATTTTTTCATTTTTTTAACTTATGCCACTGTAAATTGGACAGTGTACGTCCTGAACATATATCTTGGAAAGAGCGCTCTTGATTACTTGTACATTTCTCCTATCCAAGAGAAGAAGAAGGATGAGAAAATACAGGAAAATCCCAGACATCAACGGGCACGATTGAGAAAGAAAAAATACTATCAAAACCAGGAAAAATACAGTTCTATTGTTTGTTGAAAGAGGCCCAGTGAGTCAAAGTGATTGTCAGAGTGTCAAATCAATTGATTTTAAGGTGAGAGCATCTGTTTCATTGCAATCTATTTAATTGTTGGAAAAAAAATCCTACAAATATCAAGCTTATTCTGAATCTGGTGAGACAGTGAAATGATCAACAAAGCCACTATAGGTTGTCCACTGAATATTGTGGAAGTAGTTGCACATTCACGACAATTTATCAGGCTGATGATAGAAATCTGGACTGAAGCAGATGACAAAGATTGCCAACCTGGAGGCTATCTTTTAAGAGCAACTAAAAACCTCATAGAGTTAGATTATCTGTTGTCAACTATTCATGCAGCTTTTCCCTTCAAATAACAGAGTTTAGACTTTCTGTATGTTGATGATGGTGATAGAAATCTGTCCACAGCCAGAGATTGCGCTATACTGTTTATACCAGGGTTGCAATCCTTTTAATCTCTCTGACTGTATTAAGCTGTTGCAGGCGGTGTTACAAGTCAGTCAGCTGGACCGCATCCATAATGTGGCATAATGCTTTCAAAAGGAAAGAATAAATCTGCAGCATTTTACTTACAGCTCCCCTCAGTTACCCTTATTTTTTATTGTGTACGGAATAAATATAATTCTCACTGCCCACTTAGCTTAGCCCATTAGCATCTTCTGTCCCTCCCAACATCTCGCCTCCTTTTCAGTGCCATGCAGGCTCCATACATCATCATTAAATCCCTCTCCTCTTTCCTCTTTCATCTTCATCTCTCAGTAGGAAGTTTAAGTTCTCTATTTCAGTCTTCCTGCTTTTGAAATATTCTGAGGTTTTAGTGGGCGGACACGGCAGTAGTTTGATGTTTGCTTCTTCGGAGAGTTAAGCAACCACACACACAAAACATCCAAATAGCACCAATCACAGAGGGAGAGGTAGGCCGGGAGCTACCTAATGGTTAGATAGCAGGTGAAAGAAGGAGAAAGTGGGAGAGGATGTGGAGCAGGTACAGACACATGACACACACAACAGAGAGGGAAAGCAATCACCTAATGGGAACATGAAATCCCTCACGCTAAAAACAACCTGAACTTCCTCTCTCATTCTCACTCTCACTGTTTGACAAACGGTCAACGCACCCTGCACAAAGCTGGACACGCAAAAACACAAACACTCGTGTTATTGAGTAAGTGGCATCTCACACTTTCTCTCTTACAAGGGTGAAGCTGTGTTTGTGCATTCATGTGTGTTTGTGCCTGTGTGTGTGTGTGGGTAAGTGTGATATATTGATCCTGGACAGCTAAAAGGATAAAGGAGTCTAAGCAAGCCTGTCCTGGCCTTTGTCACGTCATCACTATTGTCTGTAGCGTGCCGTTCACTGAACAGGTTAACCGGACTCCTCATGCAGACTAAACACACCAGAACTGATAAAAGTTTCAGTATCTCATCAATAGCTGTTCGGTCAATAAAGCATCATTAAATGCCAATGCAGGTTACAGTAAGGGCCTGTGTCCACTATCAGTGTTTTAATGCTGGCAGCTCCTATTCTTGAGTTGAAACAATACACTTTGGCGTTTAGTTCAGTGTCCTTAAAGTAAAAATCACCTTTGCATAAGCTGTATTTTGTTGGTGTGTTCACAACATCTCAGTCTAAAAAGGTTCAACTTCCTAACACTGCTGCTTGTCAGTGTCACCTCTGTATCAAAATCAAAAGGGGCGGGACTTCTGATATCAACTTGTCAACAAGTATGGAGGTCTATACAGAGGAAGAATTAATCTCACTTATTTTCTGGAACAATTTCAGAGTATAAAGCTGCTGCCATCAATACGACAGGATTTCTATATAATATGGTTATTTTGTAAAACTTTGTCAAATAATAGCAAATACGATGTTTACAGAGCATCTTAAATTCAGACTTGTTACATCTTACAACTAAAAGTAGCAGAGGTTCTGTGGAGCAACTTACATAACAAAGCAATGGTAGGTGTCTGAGAGGCACTCTGAAATTGACTTCATATGCACAGTCAGCTTAAAGTAGTGGACACAGGCCCTAAAGGTTATTTGTGAAAGAAAGGCAATAAAGATTTATTTATAAAGACCAAACTTTCTACACATGACCTACTAGTGATGGGCACGGCAGTTCTTTTATATGTACTGAATCACTAGAATCAGTTCACTAAAAAGATTCGTTCAAAAGATTTGTTCATTGAATCACCGAACCATTCAGTGCTGGGCAGGAAAAGCCTGTGACTCCGATTTCCTGAACTGATACACAGCTGAACGGTGAGGAGGTGATTGTTCAGTACGTTCACGTAAAAGATTCAGTTCTTTTGAACGAATCGTTCGCAAACGACACAGCACTATGACTGACTAGAATTCAGATTTATCTAGAGCTGGGAAAGTAGTCTGATATGTTTTATATTTCTTGCCTCGTACATCAAAAGGAGGTCCGGATAATATATTGAATCAAATCTTTGGGTACAAATCCAACTATTAGTACTGCATGTCTGCTTACTTATCACCCCGCCCTCTGCTCTAGATTTAGTTCCAGTCTGTAAAAATTTACAGTAAACACATCCCTGAATGCTAGTGTGGGAAAACATGCTGACAGACTCACACAGATACACAATCATACACAAATACAGAGGAGCGTAAGAGTGTGTAAACATATACCGTCTATGCTGTATTCAGAGTAAAAACTATAAATAGGTTGAGGAAGCCAGTTTCTGTCCTCGCTGGCAGTTCATAAAAAGCTCCGGAGCAGGGGACGTGTCCCTGAAGTGGCCTGTTGGACTGCTCTCTATGACCCACATCTTGCCTCTGAATACTGGGCCGCTCTCTCACTTCTGCTCAACACAGATCATAACCTGCAGGAACATCTGAACTGCACCGAGTCATTAAACACAGACCTCAGAGAAATATACAGAGTTGTAGGTCTTTAAGTTTTTGGCTAAAAAAGGGGATGAAAACAGCGAGATACCCTTCATACCTGAGAAACACTATCCCAGTAGAAGAGTTACTCGTGGGAAGGAGTTAGCCTTACAACAAATAATGGAGACAGAAGAGGTTTTTAGTTAATTGAGCTGCAAAAACATCACTATAAATGAAGTCTACCCTCACAGATGTTAAAGCCAGTGAAATAGGATGTTTTTCTGAAGGCGTTTACATTTCCCAATGTTTTCTAATCTTCCTGTAAATGACTGAGTACTGGTGGCACAACATTTCAAGGCTATCTCATGTAGCTTCAGAGAAAAGCAGATTCCGAGGCCATCTGGCTACTGAATCTTTTACAATGCACACAGCTCAACGTTCACTGCTTCAGCAGCCAAAGAAAAATCTGATTTCCCTTCATATGAGGCGACACATCACTTTGAATTTTCCCACAAATGCTGAGCTGATGTAGATTTAATGCGATGCTGCAACACAGGATGTGCAAAAAAAACCTAATGAGGGTTATTTAGTTGAAACTGTCATTGTTCTTTTTAGTGTGCTCTTAAAAAAAGGATCATTTTTGCATAACACAAGGTTGCACTGCAGCTTTTTCCAGTGGGCTGAAACAAGCTGTGTGAGTTTTTATATTAGAATGGAGGCCGTTATCTGTGGAGGCCGACTAAATATTTCATTCATGTGGCTGAGTGAATGTTTGTATCGTCTAAAAGTGGCTCAAGCCTGCCGGGGTATCAGCCTGTAACACTATGTACTTTACAGGAAAAGAAAAGGACGAGAGAGTTTCTTCTGGCACTATCGGAAATGTTTTAGCCTTAACATGAAGGGACGTATGATGACAGTTTAGGAGACATGACAACTGGTACGTATGAGATTGTTTTTAGCCATGCTAGCAACAAGTAGCATGTGGATACTGGTCAGTCGACCACAGTACTCAGAGGATGAGGCCTTACAGGATAAACTAACTCTCTCAGTGTTTAATCTTATTAAATTTAATGTAACTTTCGACTCATTTTATTCCAAAATTCAGAGCTGCAAGATGTCGAACCCTTTTACCTTTGATAATGTTGCATTATCACAATTATTTAGGCAATTAAAGTTGAGAATAGCTGTCTTCACAGCTTTTAGATGAATTTGTCAGAGTAATTCGCACATTTATTCTGAATTACAATGACAAACAGAAAACATAAAGTTTATACTGGCATCATATTCACTTGTAAACAACACACTCCTGTATCTTCTTAATCTGCGTGCAGAGACAGTGATCTAAACCTGGACTTTGTTTCTATCTTTAACACCAGCCTATACAGATTAACCCTGAATTAGACAATGCACGTCTGCAGACTTTGTTTCACCCTATTGTTACACCTGGCGCTCACTTTATATTCTTAACTGACATAATACAGTCACTTGAAAGTACTTCATCGCTACCGTGTGCAATGTGGAGGATGCTTCAGAAGTTAAAAATAAAAACGGATTATATTTCTGTAAAAAGTGAGGTTGTGCAGGAGCTTTCAAGTATAAATGGAGCACCATTTGAGCTGTGTCTGCTACTGTAGGCTTCTTACCTTGGATTCATATATCTCACTTCTGTCTCCTGCAAACAAATAAGTGAGGAGCAGGATGTCAGGATAAGGGTGATACCTCTCTCAGCAGTCTCTGCAGCCTCTCTCTTTTTGTTTCATTTTGACCCAAGGTTCAGTGTTCACCTGAGGCTAAGATAACCTGAGTACCCCTGTGACCACCTGTCATCAAGGAAACAAACGGCTTCAGTATATCCACCAGAAAGAGTTTTAAAGTTACATTTTCGTGCTTTAAATTGAATTCCCAAAAGGAAACATTGCACAGCCCAAAAATCACGTATGAGCAAACAAATCCACACACAGAGAAAATCCTCCAGAGTATGAACAAAAGGCGGCTGGACACTGACAGCCCTCTGGTGACATCTGATACCCTCAATCGCCTTCCTGCTGTTGATGGTCTGGGGAGCTTCCACTCATTGTCTAGCACAGACATACACACACTGGTGGAGACACACACACAAACACATGAGTTCAGCAAAACATCTGCTGTTTTAACCCCTGCTGTTTGTGAGTGCACGCATGGCGTGGGGGAGAACACACACAAGACTGGGCAACTTCCAACTGACCTCGCGTGAGATTAGCCTGATGGTGGGACTCTAAACTGTGCGAGACTATACTTGTTTAGAGCACACTGAAAAAAAAAAAATACTACTCAAGGGTCCAAATCTTTTAATCCTAATCAGTGTTTTTTTTTTAAGTGTGCAGAACACATAATTATAAGCTTCAGTGCAAAATGTGTAATTTGCTGGTTTGTGGTTGGTTTGAACTGCTTTGCTTCTCTTTTGATTGTTGCTTGTTGTGATTGGTTTGTATTTTAACTCATTTCACAGACTAAGTTAAATGTGTGTATCATTCGAGTTCATGTGAGGACAAAAAGTCAGATCAGATCTGATCATCTTGAATCCTATCGTATCGTATCGTGTCATGTCGGCTTGTCTTATACAGTATTATGTCATATTGTTTTGAATCGGATCTTATAATGCCATGTCTGGAATCGTATTGTATCCTATTGTATTGCATCGTATCATATTGTCTTGACTTAATCATATTGTCAAGTCATCTGGACTCTATTGAATTCTGTTCAACAATATAGAATTTGATCACACCATAATTACCCTTACTGTACTGTTTCTATCTCATTATACTGTATCACTATATCAGGTGGTATTATATGTTATTGTATCATAATGCACTGATCATTGTATCATTTTGTATAATTCTACGGAAACTGTCATATCCTGCATGACATTGCATTACCTGCATTGCATGGTATTGTACCATTTTGTATGTATACAGTATCCTGCCATTGTATTGTACATTACTATAATACCTTCTCTTTCTAATATCATTTTCTTTCATAACCTTGTGGTATTGTGTACCATTTACCATACATGATTTTTGTGTTTTATTGATTCTATTGTCTTTTAATATCAACCTTAGAAAAAAGTCTGTATAAACTTCTCGTTCCTTATTATGTTAATTTCATAATACCTTACTCTTCTATCTATCTCTCCTGCAACACAGTAAGCTTTAGCAGCAGCATAAACCGGGGTGTGTTTCCAGGATAAACACACGCTTAGCGTTGGCAGGGATGTGTGTTTTGAAAACAGAAGCTGAAAGGTGATGCGAGAGCAAATTGTGGCATATCTTTGAGCAGACAGAGCAGGGGAGGGGCAGAGAAAGCCAACAGCCACACAGGGAGTTAGAAGGAAACTCTCTTGGGCCTCTAAGCCAATTACTGGAGCAGCATTGATTGAGGCAGCACTTTGAGGCCTCATCTACACAAGTAGTCCCTTAATACACTGGTCGGATGATGGGAGCGTCTCAACCACAAACCATGGATAAAGGCGTGTCCATTTGCATCCATTATGTTGTCAGCTTTACAAGCCTGTTCGAAGATGCTAATATTATAGAATTACACGACATCTAGTCCAAACAAAGATCAGTTATCGCTCCATCTTCAGGTGATGAACCTGTTCCCTCAAACTGCATCAGCTGACCCATAAAACAAGGTGAGTATGACACTTTGGCTTCGTTCAACCAGCGATCTCAGCCTCCTACTAAAGGATTTCTGGTCCATAATGATTAATGGAGGGAAAAGGGAAAGACCCATTGTAGGATGGGCCCTTAGATTAATGATTAAGCAAATTGCAGCTCCACTCCAGATCCTATCAGAGACTAAGGTGCTGCTAAAATCACAGCATGCTGTTGGAAGTTCAATTAACTGTCATGAAGTTGGCTAAGGACTCAGCAGAATAATTCAATGCTGATTTTTAAACTCCCAGAATGAAACCTGTTCAACTCCAAGCTTGTTAAAAAAAAGTCACTATCAGACAAAGTGCCTAGTGGATTTTTGGTCAAGTAAATCTGTAGGGCGAGAAACATGAGCTAGAGAGCTAGAATATGTTGAGTGTTCGACATGTGAAGACATAGTGAAAATTTTACCACAATCATTCAGTTTTGTCAAGGTGTGTGTTCTAATTTGAGCAAGATTTGATGTTTAAACACTTTGGTTTTCGTTCAGTTTTCTGTGGTTTATGCCATGCAAAAATATTGCATTTTGGGGGATTGAATCATTTACACTAAAAGTTTTCAAAAAGTTACGTGCACATTGTCTTAACTTTAGAAAGATAAAATAAATATTAATTTTTTGGCTTAAAAATACCTTACAGGGACATTTTAAAAGTTCTACTCACCATTTAAGGAGTAATTTTTTCAACTACAACTGAAACCCCATACTAATTAGTGAAATTATGCACTGGGTTATTTCTATAACCACTGACTGATTATCAAAGAATTCCAGGTTCCTGGCTGTGATTGTTTGATGCAGTTACCCATTAAAGAGAAGAGGGACAGAGAGAGGCCAGACACACAATACTGCTGCTACACAACACAACAGGCCATTCTTTCAGCTCGCGCCACAACAGTCCTCACAGCTGAGTCCCAGCCGCTATTCTCCTTCTGTCCCCCTGCTCTCCCTTTTCAGTATGGGGGAGAAGAATGAGAAGGAGGAGAAGGGGAGGGGAGGGGGACTGGAGATGAATGGTGAGCAAGCACATGCAATCTGAGGCGTCTGTAAGAAATCTTGTAACATAAAGCAAAAGATTTTACTGTATTTTTTAAGAGAAATAAGGCGAAATAAGGCAAGAGTCTTAATCTAACAACTCATCAATTCCACGCCACAGATCTGCAAAGGTATATATCATCACATTCTCTTCTTCTCTTTCTCTCTCTCTGAATAAAATCCACCTGCCTCTGTATTTCTGCCTCCGTAAGTGTGTGTGTGTGTATCTGATTATTCTCCCCACCCACATCCTTCCCAATCTTATCCTGGAAGCCGGGGCATCATCCCCAAGAGAAATACTAAATGTCACAGAAATACCTCTTCACCGTCACCACTGCTGATGCTGCTGGTCCAGGTGCTGGAGCTGCCTTCCCCTCTTCTTATCTCTGCACATTATTCCACACAAATGTTAGGAAAGATAAATCCAAGCAGGCTGAATTCTGCTCCCCCTCTTTCCCATTAAAGCATCCATGGAGCCGTGAGATCGGGTGCTAGCTTCCAAGCTTGCAAGAAGCCCATTCAGGCAGACCGCTAGCAGGCAGCTGCCGTTTTCCACCAAAGCTCCACAAGCAGAGCAAATTAGAGGTCCAGTCCAGCTTAGAGGCTAAGCCATTGTGAGCTATTCACACTCCCGTTCCTGTCTGAGGCCAATGGCTGCAGCCCCCCTGCATCATACTCCCGCCCACTGCCTTCTTCCCCCTCCCTCTCTCTCCCCTGTCTCTTATTCTCCTTCTCTCCTCTTGCTAGCTCACCCATAAACTCTGACATTACTTAACACATGCTTCTCCTTATAAACGGCAGCTTCATGCAGTTTTCGTGACTCCATCTCCAGAGGTGAATTCTGGGTGAAGGCGGGCAGCAGGACAAGCGAAGATAGAAGGTTTTGAAAGAGTCGTGATTCAAATATGATGAGCAGGAGTTTCCATGGAGTGACATCAGGAAGAAAGGCGTGATTTATTTACAATGCTTTGATTGAACCTATAGGACATATTCAGAGATTAAGAGCATCATTGTGGACCAAATGAGAGCTCACACCTGGCAGTGGGGGATCGTTCTTGCATGGATATGGACGAATAAGCTGACAACCTAACCAGGAAAGCCAGGAGCTACCCTAAGGGGCGAGGACTGCAGCTTTCTGTTTGGATGCACATTGTCCTGAGTGTACCTCTGCCAAAACTTACTGATAATTCTGAGTAAATTCATCAAATTAAACTTTTCTTTATTTACATTTACACTGATATATTTCATCAGTAATCTATTTATCTGTAAGTTTTTTTCTCTTGTTTTAGATTAACATGCTACATGAGTGCAAACATTGAACTTTACCACTAACTGTTGGCTACTTAAGTTAGAACCTCTAGTGATCATGGTTAGTGACTTTTCTCTCCTATGAAGAGCCAAAAGACACGAAGGCTAACATGGAGCAGCTTGGAGCTTCCTAACCGACCAATTTCAGGGACCATTTTACTATGTCTCTGAGGCTAATGAAAGGATCCCTTATCTATTATGCGTGAATTAAAGTCTGGAAATTTGGGCTGGAAACTTAGTGAGCTATTCTGAGTGTGGAATATTCAAACTGGTGTACTGCCCTCTCTTACACTGAGCATATTATGTAGCATTACAAATCTGCAATCATGACTTTGATTAGTAGGTAGGGCTGTACAATTATGGACTAAATGATCGTTTTTAAAAACAATTTAAAGAAATATTGGGAACATGAATGTTTATGAAGATAAAGTATTAATTTGAATAATGTTTTTGCACACTGTGTTTATTTCGAAAACATGTGAAACACAGATCCAGCATTTTCAGTAGGGGTGGGAGAAAACAATCGATACAGCATAGTATTGCGATATTTTGTCTGGTGTGTATATCGTATCGTCTCATTTACCAAGTATCGATTTTTTAAATTAACTGCTAATATGAGGTCAAATCCATGATAATGGAAAAATAAAATCAACTGTTTGTCCAGTGAGGTTGGCAGAGGTGACATCAGAGCGGGAGAATGTTAGTACAACAAATATATACATATAAGGTTTGCAAGATTTACTACATGAAAATAAAACAAACAAAAAAGAGAGACAAATGCTAAATTTCGCAATGTATTTTATCGCAATCCTCACTGTATTGAAAAATGTTAAAAATCTCAATAATATCGTATCGTGGCCAAAGTAGGCAGCAACACAAAGTAAGCCACTAGTGATCCTACCCCTAATTTTCACGATCGATCATTCTCCATGCTCACCTTGTCCCTCTGCTTTACCAACACACACCACCTGATGCTCCTACTCTCTGACTGCTTTGCTGCAGATGTTTCATTCTCTACTCTCCCTTTTGAATCACATATATTATGTCAATATGCGGATCCCCTGCTGTCTTGACAGAAATGCAATCCATGATGTTATTTGAGCGACTTTGTAAAATGAACCAATGATAAATAACGTTGATAGATCGAGTTCATACAGGTGCAAAAGAAAAAAGAGAAAATTGACATTTAAGAAGGTCTTTTGAAAACCTTTATACATCAATTGGTGAAGGAGCCTCTCGGATGGAGCTGGACCGTCTTGTTATAAATAAACACCATACCCCCCTGGGATAACAAGAGTGAGCCAACCCACAGAAGAATAAATATGATCTAAACACAGCGGATACTGTGGGCAGCAACATGGCCACAAAGTTCAGAGAAGAAAGTTAAAGCATATATCTGTATTTAGATTCACTCTGGCGTCATCACTCTTACTGCTCAGCTGCTTTCACACACTCAGGAGCTACAGTAATGTGGGCTAGCTGGCTGCCACAGAGGATCCACATCCAAACCATCACAAGACACTCACACAGAGATGAGTCTGGTTACAGACGATGTGATCACAACAGAGAATCTTTGTCCAGTCTGTGAATTAGCACAGTTCATCCCCTTGACCTCAAAGACAGGGTTATTATCCTCACAGTACTCGACGAAAAGCAATAACTGATGCACAAGTAAGGCTGCAGCTCCTTCATCAGAAACAGATGGGAAGATTTACAAGGTTTTTGAAGTTATGGGACAAGATATTGGCTCGATTATCAGGGAATATTTCCAGATTTTGGCCTGAGAGACTCTGGCGTGATCTTGTCAACAGTCTATACATCTATCTACACAGTAAGGGGGTGCTACCTTCAAAGGCTTGGCAATGGGAACCCGAGTAAGGAATTTTTAAACAATAATATCATCATGAGGATGATGCTTTATACTCTTGATCACAGTGGAGTCTTTCTGGGATTTATTTAAGCAATCTCAGGTACAGCTTGTTTGAAACTCCTGGTGAAAAAACAAAAACAGAGGCTGTGTTGTTGTAATGGTTTCTTCTGGGATAATTCACCATCAGATGCCTTTGGAATGGGCCTTCGAAGAGATTGCCAATAACAAAAACAACGCCAGAGACCACAGCCTCCTGTGCCACTTTCCTCCCACCTGCCAATCACACTAATGGATCCACAAGAACACAGATCTGCAGTCCTTCTGGCCTGAGTGTGATTTATTTTAATGACTATAAACCATGCCTGCATCTGTATAAGAATGAATACACTGACACATGCATTAAACATAACCCTGACACACAAATAGTCCATGTAAACATACACACAGTTTGCACCTGCCTTCACATCATTACTATGCAAAAACACATATTTGCTCAGCTTCCTACAGAAGCTCAGAAGCCGTCGTTCCTCTGCATCCTTGGCTGTTTCCAGAGCGAATCGAGGTTAACTCTGCACATATTTGCTAAAAGGAACAAAAATATGAACCGTGCGTATGTGAAAAAACAGGCAAACAGGAGCTGGGGCCCACTCATCCGTTACCAGAATGAATGGCCGTCATTAGCATGAGGCTCCCCGGCAGCACCCTGCAATGCAGCGACACACACAATGGCGAGTGCCACGCTTCCCCCCAGAGAAGCCCCTTTTGTTTGAGCAGCATCTGGACCTGACCTCCATGCAGTTGAAGCTGATGACCCCCCCCCTCATTTTACTCCTCATCTCTTCTTCTCTTCCTCTCTTAACCTCCACTTAAAAAAAACTGCTCTGCTTCTACAGCAAACCCCCCCTTCTTCTTCCTCCTCCTCCTTCTTCTTCATCTCCTCCTCTCCTTTCCTCTCCTCTACCCTGTCCGTTCTTCACACACAGATACCCCCTCTATCTCTCCCTCCCTCTTCTAGCTGAGGAGAGCAGCCATCTCTTGCCTCTTGAAAAGAAGGTCTGTGTACTAGCGGGCCTTGCACAAAGCCTGCAGGGTGAATTAGAAAACCAAAGAGGAAAAAGCACCAAGGCTACCGGCCATCTGTCCCTCTGGGTTGGACGTGCCTGCTCCGAGTGTGCCTGCCCCTCTCTCTTTCCCCTCACATAATTCCCACCCCTACCCCCACCTTCCCTGATTCCCTTAGCCTATATACACAGCATCAACCACACACACACACACACACACACACACACACACACACACACACACACACACATCTCTGCCATGCATACATCACAGGCTTGGGATGGCGGATGATGATGGTAGAAAAAAAGAAGGAAAGAATAAGGAGCTGCCACTTGCCTGGATGCAGAGCGAGCCCGGCGCAGTCAAATCAAGTCGTAATCCCTTTTCTTTGTGTGAGCGGCAAACAGAGAAATTTGTCTCCAACAATGATTTCCCCGAGATCAGCAGCGGAGTGGAAAACAAGGAAGCGAGGGAGTGAAGGACAGCAAGGAAGGGGAGGGAGAAAGAGAGAGCGAGAGAGTGAGTGAGAGAGAGACAGAGAGAGTGAGTGAGTGAGAGAAAGAGAGAGAGAGAGAGAGAGATGGAGGGAGACAGCGGGAGCAGCTCGAGTGTGACACAGAGAGACAGAGGAAGGCAGCAGCCAACGCCGAGCCACAGGGACGCTGACACTCACAGGAGGATTTGAAGTGAAGAGAGGGGAGGACGACAGAGAAGAGAGCAGAGAGAGAGGGAGAGAGAGAGAGAGAGGGAGGGAGGGTGAGATCAGGTGGGGGGAGGGAAGGATTGGTTCGCTGTGTGGCTCAAACCTCGGGATAACGCTGAGATAACCCTCATCCCTGAGCAGCAGCTGTAGACGTGAGAGGGAAATGAATCCCACGAGAGAACGACTTCTCTATCAATTGTGACATTTGCTGCACATGATAACAATGGCCATCTGTAGCAGCGGGGCTATGAGGGAGAAAAGAGGAGGAGGAGGAGGAGGAGGAAGAGGAGGGGAGGGGAGGGGGGTGTTCCTCCTATAAACACACTCACCAAAAGAGAAGAAGAAGAAAAAAAAAAAAACACCTCGGCCAGTGGTGGCACCTGTTCGAGTCAAACACAGGCAGCAACACATGTGCTCGGGAGAGGGGGAGGAGACATGGGGGACACACAGACAAAGGAGACAGAGGGTTCAGAAGTGTGGCTTTTATTTGACTGCTTTTGTCATTCTGCTTTGTCATGCCAAGGAAATATTTGCATGTGTGAGTGTGAGAGAAAGAGAGAGACAATAAACAGGAGGCGGTGGCGATAGTAGGTCACCAAGAAAAGGAGAGCGGAAGGGACAGGAAGAGAGGAGGACAGAAAGAAACAGAAAGAGAAAGAGAGAGAAAGAGAGAGAAGAGGAGGAGACACTGTAAACATTTAGTATTCAACTGACCAGCTTTGTGTTTTCAGCCAATTTAGCCAATCATAGTAATTGACACAGTAAATCTTTGTTATACTATTTTCATATTCTTAATATCACCCAAAAATGGTCAAACTCTTTATTTCTCTGTTCTTTAAACCATTCTTGTTTTCTACTTTGAAACACATCAGTGATCTGCAACGTTTCCCTGGATGACATTTTTCTGTATCAACGTGAACGTGGGCACTCTAGTTTATTTTAAGTCAATCCCACGTACACCTTTCTGCTGCATTATACTTGCATGCACACGGGTCTGAAAATAGTCCCAAACAAACACTGCCAACTCCTGTTGTGCTAACATTTGCTGTTTTGCCCTTACAACCACAAACTAAAGGGCTTATGTTCTCAACAAGTTAAAGTCATATACATTAAATTTGACTTAAAACTGACTGAAAAGTGGTCATTTTTTGTGTTTCTCACTGCTTTTAGCGCAAACCACAGGCCAGTATGAGATCCTGTTGGGATGCTGACCTTAAGATAAAACATCACGGTTTCACAGAATTGCAGTGTAACGATTACAGCATTGAGTTACCTGACAAGCGTTTATTTTCCTGGTGACCATGGTAACCAGCTCCATCCCATGTCGTTTATGATTGATTGGCTGGAGCAGCAACATTAGCACCTTGTCAAACAGGATGGGGGCACTGAAAAACACTCTGAGTGCTCTGAGAAAGACACTGGGTGCAGGGGTCTTTCTCGGTGTACTCACATGCTGCTGATTACGCTCACTCCTCCTTGGGGACAGCTCTACAGAAAGCTAAATGGACTCACATAGCATGCAAGCTAACGGCGGCTAGGAAGCCAACAGGAATACCCCTTTGTCCCAAATACATGTTCACGAAGCTAATACAAATGACTAACTCACTGTGACAGAAAATATTTGTGGTGTTAAAACTGAAACCTTCTCAAACTGCACTATACACTATACTGTTTTGCTAGGGTGACTGTATTCTGAATCCCCAAAAAGACAACATGACTACACAGGGGCTGAGTCACAGAGTCGGGCGTGTTATTTTGAGTTTTTCAGGTCGGAATAAGTGTTTTTTATTCGTTCCGAAGTCAGTAAGTCCACACGACACAAACTCGAAACTTCCATACAAAACCCCAGACATTTGAAGGATTTTATAAACTCCCCCGGACAAAGTCGGACAGCCCTCAAAAAGAGGACAAGTCCAGGTAAAAGAGGACATATGGTCACCCTACAGGGCTCGACAGTGCGACTGTTTCACTCGCATTTGCGACTAAAAATAGACATGTGCGATTTGTAAAATGTATTTAGGGGTACATGTGCGCATAAAAAAATTAGCCATGGCAACAAATGTTTTCATTCATGTAAATACCGCGGTTAAGTTAGTTTTAGGTTGGATATTCAACACACATTCACTGCGGATCTACCGATGTCTTCTCACTCTCCACAACCAGGAATAGCAACAGCAGCGTGGTTAAATCTACTCGGCACCTTCGCTTGTCAACGTCGGTAGTTGAATAAGGGACCGTCAATAAATTACCAGTTGATGTTCTCAAAAAAGTCTGTTTTCTTTCAATAGCTTCCATGTCATGTGACCAAAAGACCTAAAATTGATTTCAAATAAAAGTACTTATGTCGACCAATAAGACAACATTATCTAATCAATTTTCCTTGTGCCCCCAAAGTTCTTTGTGCTCCTTACTTTTTCAACTTAGGAGCACATGTGCCCCTTGTGGACAAAGTTAGTGTCCAGCCCTGCTCTAGTTTTGCTTATTTCACTAAAGTTGGCACGCTAACAGCTAACTTTTCTCATTTCATTTCTGGAACAAGACTCAACTATCACAACCCATTCAGTGTCCCATCTTCAATGCAGATACCAGAGAGCTATCACGATGAAACGTCAGAGCCAGCAGGGCAGATCGGCACTGTGTGTGCATGTCTTTGTGTATGTGAAGTCCCTGAGGTTCATTGGGCTGTTGCCAATTCCAAGTACAAAGTTAAAGAGATGAGGGAGATTTGTTACCAAGGTATAGACTTGCATATTGAGAGGTCTTAAGATAGCAAACAGTGCTGCATTTTAATAAATATAATGAAGAAGTTGTGCATTGTTGCTGTGAGCAGGTCAGCTTGTAAAATTTTGTATTTCACATATAAAATAGATAAGATCATGTTTAGACTTCCAGATCATTTTTCACTTTGACCCAAACTGGAGTTCAACATATTTTTAGCATTACTGGTAATGTGGTTCACATCACAGATGCCAGATCTGGAGTGATGACAGTGCAGAACAAAGTGCAGGCAGCTCACTGAATTTTTCTGCAGACAGACATCAGTGACTGGGACTATACAGTACGAATGTTCTGATGGGCTTCATTTCTCTTATTTCCACGATGGAAAACCACATTAAAAACACATGTAGCCCCTGGCCCCTACGTTGATGTCAGTGCAACACATCAAGTTGGACTGAGTTTGTCTAAGAATGCAAATGAGACAAAACAGAAGGAAGAGTCCAACTCAAAAATCTTATTTGAGAAACAAATCTGATCTGAGTGCAGTGTTACAGAGATGATGGAGACACAGCCTTAAAACTGAGACAATAACTTAACTAACAGAATCCCGAATGTGGTTCACAACACTTCATATTCAAGCAATTTCTTCTTTTGACCTCTCAGTAAAGGTTCTGGGTTGAGTGTAGTTTTGAACCGTAAGTAAGGAACCTTTCTAGGAGATTTGCCTTGAATAAAAGCCACATGTGCAAGATTTTTCACTTATTTTACAGATGTTTTAACTCAGGGAGCTGAAAACACCCAATATAATACAGATTTTATAAGTCTATATTGAGAAATGCTCTCTATTAAACTGCAAGAGTTCAGAGTTCAGGGGCTTCTGTGGTTAAGTTATCCTGTATTTGAGTCAGGAGGAGAAAGAATTAGTGAAAAGTAAGAAAAGCGCCTTTACTCATCCAGTGAACCCTTGAACTGCATTGCTGTAAATCTATCATTTTAATGTATCATTGTTATTTTAAGCAATGTTAAGGCCAATTCATGTCCCCTGTGTGCCAAGGCCTTCCCATAGCCCTGCATTCATTGTAAGAGCCATACATGTTCATCACATAATCAGGCAGGAATCTATTTTCAATATATCAGAACATCATAATCCCAGTCAGGGCACCAGGGGAGGCTCAGAGAGCCGGATTTACCGGTCACATGGCTGAGCGCAAGAGAAGGACAGACAGCTAGAGATAGAGAGAAAAAAGAGAGATAGAAGGTAGAGAAAAAAATACATGAGTCTAGTTTAGAAGTGGTATTTTACTGGGAAGCTCTGCAATGCAAATGCATGCTAACGAAAACATACACAGTCAAATCAGAGGAAGTGTAGTTTACAGGAAACGATGATCCCTTTCTTGGTTGATTTAATCATGTTGAGGCATACGTGTGATAATAGAGAGCTATTCCACAGGGTGGGAAACACACAAACACACACACACACACACTTTTTGTCTAATAGTATCCATGATAGATCCACAGTGCCAGTTACGCCTCTAGCTTTTTAGTCATCACAACTGAAGCTAAATGTTTTTAAGAACCACATTGTGACATGAGTACAGTAGCAAAATGAGCTGGACTGTGTCCCCCAATCGCACATCAAACTGTTTGTGACGTAACAGAGCCCAGCTGTGGACTCTGGCACAGTGTGCAGTGTTTGGCTCAAGCTGCACTTTTGTATAGTTGTCTGCAAAAATGGAGCTCTGGCTCTGTCACAACATGCATGCCTGCAATGGACAGTAATATGTAACGAAAACTACGGTCAAAGACTCAAGGAAACATATTTTTTTTATTCATTTCGTTTACTAGAAGCAAAGCTGAGGAGGATTTTTTTTGAATGATGTGGGGAAATAAAGAGTAGAATATTTAATGGGTGGCTGAGAGGGGAGAATGAGATTAATGAGAGATGAAACAAATGAGGAAGATGCCAAAAGAAAGTGGGTCATTAGGGTAAAGATGAAGTGCTGATACAATAGACTGGTTAAAGACCACGTCTCCTGTCTGATTTCAGTATCCACCATCACATCATTTACTTCCAATTGTCTTTACTCACAAGGCACAGCGTGGCGATACAGGTTGGCTCGGATAATCTTCTGCAGCTCATGGTCAGGAGAAGACTTTTGAAACCTCAGGCTCAGGTAGTGCTTCAGGTCCTTGTTGAGCTTGTGACCTGGAAACAGAAGACACACAAAAACAACTCAAATAAACAAGAGAGGACGTAAATAACCCGCTTTTCTCTTTGCTGTTTACATGCTGTCATTTCACCAAAGGTAAGGTCATGAAAGGCAGTGACATTTCCAGAGTTGAAACACTCCTGGATACTAAAAAGGGCACAAGACAAGCCTTGTTTATCTTCTTCAGACAACACAAAAAACTGTGGTCCTCAGGGAGGTTTAACCATGTTAAACTATGTTACAATAAAAACTATTTAAAGCTGAGTAATTTTCATTTTATGTTGATTTCTGTGTCATTGACCAACCAAAGCAGCAATACATCTATTAGTTAATATTGAAGAAAGCTTATAAAGCTTATTTAGCTTATTCGAAATGACAAATTACAATTAAATCAGTGATGTTATGAATTGGTCAAGTCTTGTGTCCAGTCTTGAACAAGCTGCTCAGGGCAGCCTGCAGCCACATCCTAGGGTCACACCAACACACACTTAACTTACAATCTGAAACTTTGCCAAAGTGCAGTACTGGCACCCGGCATTTTAGCTTAAAATTTGCTTTTAAGACATGAAACAGCATAATTCCTCCTCTTTCTGGTGAGAAAAGCTGGCTTTGGTTAAGAATACTAACAAAGCTTATAAAACAACACAAAACAGGTGAGAAGATTTGGTGGCTGATATTAGCTGTGGTTAACAAAATACAGTAAAGTAGATTCCAACATTATTGGAAAAGGAAGATAAGTCTGTACATTGCCGAAATCATGAGGGTGCATCATCTGGACACTATGACAGTCAGTCAAAATTAAATTATCCATCATCCATTGAGACTTTTTAGAATATAATCTCCAGATTCTAGAGGCAGAGTCTGGAGATTAAATAAGTTTTTGTTATCTTCTTGGGATAATGAATGTCTATACAATATTGCATGGCAGAGAGCAACAGGGCATTAAAGTAAGAGAAAAACACTGATATGGAAGCAGGCTTAGGTAAATGATTTAAAGAATCTCTGATTGGCTTGAGATGCCCACGCTTGCTCATCATCCACCCAATCAGAGGTGCTGATGCTGCTGGCTGGGTTTGAACGGAGCCCCGGCACTCACAATGGGGCCAGATGGTCAGAGCTCGCTCTCACACCAGGGTCTCATTTAGGAGCATTTAATGATCTCCAAATATATCATCCATGTCTGGGAGAGCTGGCAAGCAGCTCTTGGGGGAGGTGCCATGGCCTCCTGTTGGCCCCTGACTACAGCTGAGGAGATTCTCCTGGCTCAGTGCTCTGAGGTGGCAGGGTCAGTGCGCTGACTGGGCCTGCTATGATGCTAATGGGAATTTTACAATGGTTAAACTGCAATGAAATCGCAGTTAAAGTACTTTTAGCCTCTGTATGATGACAGTGAGTTCACCAATTCTTCCCAGCCAAACAGACATCAGCTACAACCGTGCACTTTTGTGAAGACCAACTTATAAGCTAATGAACGAGTAGAGAAAAAAGGGATGTGTAGAACAAATAACTTCCTTGTTGTTAGAACAGGGATGTAGATTCTGAGTACTTGACTCGTCTTAAAGCTCTTGTGAGAAGTTTTTTTAAAGGTTATGAATCAGACTAAAACAAACATTGATGTGTCACTATAATATAACAGCAAACCAGACCCTCAAAGACAAGACTGACCATATCTCACAAACTATTGTGAGGGTAGGTACGCAGAAGAAACTGCTTTTGTTCATTTTCCAACAACAACAAAAAAAGGGAGTGATATAAGACAACAGGAGTAGATTTCTTCCCCACTTTCACAAGGACAAGATGAAGCCAGCATCCATGCAATGGTTACAACTTTGTCCACAGGGGGCGCCAAAATCAACACAGACAGAAAGTTCCTCACAGGAGCTTAAGGGTATGGAAAAACTATAACAGAAAGTGGTTCATTTCTAAGATTTATTCTTAAAGTGACAGCAGCTAAAACTAAGCGTTTCAGATGGAAGCTAAAATAATTGTACACCAGTATGAGAAACTAAAGGCTTTTTTTAAATCTGACAATCATGTAAAGCTATTAAAAGGGTACAAAAAGAGTCAGGTAAAATTGCATAATACCTCCTCTGCAAACAATGTCAAAATGGTTTGCAGAGTGTAGCTAACATAATAATAATACAAAATTTTAGTAATAACGTGCTTTTACAGGCGCTCAAAGACGCTTTACAAAAAAAAAAAAACAATCTATAATACAGAAAATTTTGAGTAATAAGACCAACAGTGTAGAATAGTTAAAAAGACTCAATATGAAAAGACAACAAAAGAACAGTTCACAGGGTGGAGTGATTTGAAAGTATGGGGGTCTGTGCAGTCTCCAATTGGTTTGGGGAGTGAATTCCAGAGGGTGGGGGCGGCAGCAGAGAAGGCTAACATTTGAGTTATTGGTCCTACATGCAGGTTAATGTCCATATGCCTGTGGGTGTGTGTTTATGTCCATTTTATCTACATTAAATACCATCAATCCACTCTGCTCCTCAAGATTGAATCTGTCATTTGCGCTTGTTTACACCTTGCATTGAAGCATTATAGCATTCGACCTCATGTAACGTCTGTGCTTTGCTAAGCTTAGAGGTTGCAAGCTTTAGCTTTATATCTCTTAACCAATCTCATCCTTCTGCACAAAAAAAGGGAGTCAGCTTTTTCTCCCACATGTCCAGCTGTGCCTGAAAGGTGAAAGCCAAGGCTGTGCTGAAGGTTTTTTGGAGTAAAAGTCCCACCAACAAGACAGGATGTAGGAAGGAAGGAAGCGCTGATGAGAAATGCTGCTGAGACTCTCAGGGACAAGGACAGACAAGAAGTATCAGCGCAGCAGCTGAGAAAGTAAAAACGGTCTTAAAGCAGCAGCAGCGTATCAGTCATCTGCCCTGAGGTGTGGCCCTGTGGTGACATCATCATCTGTCAGCCTCTGCTTCACATCCACCTCCTCCCCCCAGGGACAATACTATAAATACTGAAGCATGTAGCACTGATAACATGAAGCACTGAATCCCAGGAGACAACAACACGCAGGCACGCCGTTTTATGAAGATGATAATAAAATATTAATAAGTCTAAAATAAAGCAGAGGAGCAATAAAACACCAAACCCTTCTTATGAAACATTTGTCACACAGTAATTACAACAATCGAGGATCTTATTATCATAATTCTCACACTCTGAGGCTTAAATCTTGACACGCAGATAAGCAGATAGAAAAAAAAAAGCATTGGTTCTGATTACAGTACAGGCCATTCTCCACACAGAATGAAGACACTGGTTTGTAGTCTACTTTGCTGTATTTTTCCGTTCCTCTACACACACATATACACACACACATGCACACAGCCCACTGTGTAATTCAGTGCAAGCAAAGCACAGTCAGGTAATTGTTACCTAGCAACCATCCAGTGCTGACGACCATCATTACAGTCCCTGCTAGGCGAGCAGCAGTCAGATTGTAAAAGGAAAAACAGATACCACAGCACACACACACACACACACACACACACACACACACAAACATACATACGTAATAAGCATTCTCACAGTTGTTGCATCCTCTGCTCTGTGCGTCTTTGTTTATTTGATTTATTTCAACGTCATCTTATCAGAATAAAATATGCTCACATACATCAGTGTTTGCATTGAGAACCATGTCAGTTTTGCTGGCTCAGATAGGAACCGCCGTCAGGAAACAACCCCCTCCCATGGGTACGTACAGCTCGCAGAGGGCGGGCCGCCCAGGTGTCATGCTCCATCAATGAGAAAGTCATCAAATATTCAATATTTATGAGGATTAACGCTGCATGCATCAGAGATTACAATCACAACACTGTGGCCTGTGTGTTCAGTTCATTCGCTGTTTACTCAGATTCTGCTGACATTTTTTTAAATCCTTAATGCTAGCATTCGTCAAACAAATAAGCAGATGTTATAACGCTGTAGGTGAAGCATTCTGCTAACTGAAAAGTGGAAGCCATATGGAGATTTATTTGCTTGGTAAAACCATTTCCTCTGTAGACCAGACCAGGAGCAAATTCGTGGTTTTACACATTCTGGTTTTGTCACAGTTTGATACTTCTCATTTCAGGGAAAAGAGAAACTGTGAACCCCCTATCTATTTTCAATCCACTGTAACGTTAAGGTCTTTTAAAACACTGAGTTGTTGTTGAGATTTTTGAATTGAACAATGGAGGTCTTTCCTTGACCCAATTACAGTGTTTTCCCAGCAGCATGCAAAAAGAAGAAAAATGCTTCAAAATCCAACAAAAACAACCAGATGTGGTGGGAGAATAGGAGATATCATCTCAGCTCCACAGCTTCAGCGCTCCACAGATTTTGGACAATACCCATGGTGAATTGTTCAATTCACTGTGTGTACTGAATGGAGATCCTTGTATTGTATACAATAAGACACGGCATATTGTGACTGAGAATGTGCTTGCATTCTTATACACTGTGCTATTTTACAGCTGCCTCTGTCTCGTGAGTAGTACGGCCTTTCTCTGTGCTAACATCGTCACAATAGATGCGCAAATTAATTCAACATTTGTAGTAAGTGGAGGGAGTTAAAAACATCAGAAACTGTCTGAATCAGAGTGTGACGATGTGACAGCTCGCTCACATGAGTATCATGAATGTCAGTGTGGTGGCCCTTTAGTTACCAGTGGTTACAATTAAAACAATGTGTAGAGAAATGACCATAAGTATAAGAAATAATTCACAGTCGTTTTGATGTAACAGAAAGAAAGTGCCAATCCCAGCATCAAAGCACTAGCATACTAAAGGTCATAAAGGTAAAGTTGAGTCAGTTTTAACAGTCTAATATTGTCACTCAGACTTGCCAACAGCAGCCTTGCTAGTGCGTTTGAGGAATTACTAATATCATTATAATAGTAGGCGTAAAATCACAGTTATATGGTGTGTTACCTGGTCAGTTGCTGCTGCCATAACTCTGCAATGCTGTCGAACTTTTTGTCATCAGTCTAATATCACTTTTAGAGGACCGAAACTATGGAATTCTCTGGACACATCTCTAAAATCAATATTATCCTTCAAATCCTTTAAAATATCATTGAAATCTCATCTAATCATGTCTTAAACACGTCATTATCTTTTTATGTATACTTATATCTTCTCTATCTCTGGTTGATGATTAGTCTATGTTCTATTTATGACAGTTTATATCTATTTTGATCTTTCCCTACTCATTGTATATTTATAACCTGTCTATGTCCTAGTTACTTTGTTGTTTGCACCCTATGCCTTCACTGCCCTGATGGGAGTGGAACTCTATAACCCTATTGGCTTCGTTCCCTCCTTGCACAGTTTTTAATCTGTGCTAAACAAATTAACAGAATAGAATAGAAACTACCTGGATGTAAATAAGCACAGATCACAGATAGGATCTCATGACACTGCACTGTTACACATTTCAATCTGTGGTCTCATGTTTAGCCATCTAAATAGATGGTCAATAATAAGACTGTTTTCTGAGTGCTCTCTACACTTGATGGTTGTCAGAGTTAAACTTCTGAAGAAGGTCATGGTTCTCGGTCATCCAGTAGTGCAACAATGGATGAACAAATGTTTCATAACATTACTTGATAAGTGCCCTCAGGATTATAAATATCATAAGTCATCGAGGAAATGGAGTATTTTGTGGCAGCCAAAATGGTGGACCATCCATCAAAAACATTAATAGTGCTATCCACAGAGTGAAAATAGTGTTTGGATGCTTAAGATTTGAGTAAAGCAATCATTCAATGAGGCAATCAATAAGAAATCAGTCCACAGCAAGAGTTATATGACATTTATTAGTGTTTTCTTTGCAAATCACAGGGAATATTTTTGGTTATCTCATATTTCCAGAACAGTAGAACCTTGGACAGATTTAATATTTATGTGAATAATTTACCTTGGGCTGTGGAGGACTATATAATGAGTGGCTGTTTTTTCTGAAATTTTAGAGACTAAGAGATGAATAAATCAAGAAAGCAGGCATTAACTGCAGCCCTAAAACTGCTATTTTATTCTATCTGCCTGTGAAAATAACTGACAATGAGTCTGTTTCTCCATGATAAGACGGATCATTTGCGTACGGCTTGAAGAGGATATTCTTCATACTCATAACAATGAAATCATCCCATCAGGGGAGAATCTCAGACACCAGAGACCCTGGCACGCTGAGAGACATTTCCTTGGAGAGGAGATGTTTGTGGATCCGGCTTGTAAAATACTGTGTGTGACAGAGATCAGCCCTGTGCTACCCAACCATGGATGGAGGCCGAGGCAAGATGTGTGAGGATGTGAGGCTCTTGTCCTCATACAGAGAGACATGGAGTGAAAGAGTGAGACAGAGAGACGGGTTTAACCCAAATAAGAGTGGATTACACACATCCTCCATGCCTCCAGTCAGCATTACATAACCTTAAATCTAGTTATGCATCCCTGTCTGATTTTGGGGATTGGGGTAGGGGTGGGTATGTGTGCTGATGAAAATTTAAGGAGATAGTGATTCACACGTCCCTCATGTTTATTTCTGTGAGCATGAAAACATGAATTAACACATGCAAATCAAATTTTCTTTATTATTTTAATTGGACAAGCTGACTCAAGGAGCTGGGGATGTGCATTTTGCATGATGTACATGAAGTAAGGTTCGAATGCTGTAATACAAGACAATGTACAGTATGCATTGAAACATGCAGGCCAGATAGCAAAGGATCTAGGACATATGGCAGTAGCTGCTTAAAACATCAGCAGAGGACTACCAAGCAGCTGCAACCTATAGTAGCACATAACAGCTGTCATCACAACGAGCCACTGTTACTACCTGTCAATTATGCCCTGTGGTTTCGAAGCAGAGTATCAGACACCCAAACAGCAGCCGTGGTGGTTTGCATGTATTTGATTATTTATGTACATTAATTTAAGGAAATGTGTTGATGTGTTTGTTGGAGATCTGCTCAGCTGCTGATTAGGATTCATATCCCGTCTTCCAGCTCAATACTGCCCTCTGTGTCTCTGAGCACCACCACTGACAGTCTGCTTCACACAGACCCCGTTACCACAGCAACCATGAGACGGCCAGTGAATGAGATGAACCATGTGTGGTCATTATGGGCTGCTGCCCCCCAGTGGTAGATCTTAATCCTGTGAGACTGAAGTTAAAAAAAAGACCTAATGTGACTTCAAAGATGTGGTTTTTAATCTCCTGTGGCTGCAGTTTGAATTAATTTAAGGATTTAAAAGAGCCTGAAATATCAGCTCCTTACTGGAAAACTACATAAGGAACAAACGGTGGTAGAAAGGAGGTTAATATCTAATATTTAACTCCAATGCAGTTTTATTTTGATGAGTTTTTATCACATAACTTTGCTCTATCCTCTTGCTTCAATACACTGTCAGAAGGATCTATTCAACCACCTCAAATAATACAACACTTTTCAGCTAGAATTACTTTTCAGATTCTGATTTTTCAAGCAAAATGCATGATAAATGTGAATAACATAGCAAATCATAAGACATCTAGCTATCTCATAGTGAGTGCAATCATCTCAGTTTTCTCCAAATCTACTTTCTGTACCATTTTCATGTCATTTTGATGATTATTAATGGCTAATTATGTCAAAATAACCTAACATAATTTACTTAAAGGCTTCAAGCACGGTAGATTTTTTTCTTCAACACTGCTTTGTATAAATGAGTGTGACTCATCACACACTACCACATATTAAAAACCTTAAATCAAAGCCTCACTCTTGAAAAACGCCATTAAGACAATACTCATCAATTGGGTTGTAATTGAGTACTGCTTGTGAAACACAAATTCAATATAGCAAGACTAAAGCAAAGTTATAAGAATGTTATTACTCCTCCAATTCCCAGACATAAGCTGTCAGTGAGGAGGAGGAAAAAGTCACAAAGATGTCATAAAAGAGTCACGAGTGAGTGCAGCAGGAGTCGACTCAGAGTTAGAAAGCTCTGTAAGCTTGTAGTGAACTGACAACCCTGCAGTAATTGGAACACGCACACACAGAGACACACATACATTGGTCTCTATCTTATTAAAACACCACCTGTAGTGATGATAGAGAGGATCATGGTGAAAGACAAGCCACCCTCCAGGGCTCGATCCCCTGCAGTGATCATTGTCCTTAAGTGACACCATCCGAGTGTTGGATATGAAGCTAGGAAGGTGCATTGTTGATTGATCTTATTGTACAAAATGAAATTTTATGTGGGTAAAATATGTTGCAGTTATAAATTTGCATTACCAGTTTTCTACATTTGTTTGATATGAGGACTTAATGCTTCAGACATTTGGACCAATTAAACAAATACAAAAAGATTCAAGATTTAACATGTAGAGGTTGGCTGTGCTATAAGTGATGAGTCACATTAACACTGCTATGGTCCTTTAACAAATCAGGATGCATGTGTCTCTGTACTATGTGTAAAAATGTTCAGTACAAAACAAGAGCTACAGTAAAACCTTTAGTCTTCACAGCTCCAAGCCGCATATGAGCGAGGCATCTTTCCTGAATACCAACCCATGTGGCAGCGATGTCAACTTATAGTCCAGCAAGTGATGCTGTGTCTTTGTATTAAATGTCAAAGAGTAAAAGGGCGAGACAAGCTGTCTCCTCCTGTTCCCACTCATTCTGACAAGCTAGCTAACCTGCAGCTCAAGAGCAGTACCACTATTCTCTTTTTTTTTTTTTCATCCACAAGAGTACGAAAAACAATTTGTTCATTCACTACTCATATGGAATCTCAACTAGCTGCAAAGTTTAGCCTGTTATTTAATGGACTTGAAAGATTTTGTTGCCTTGTGACTTAGTGGTGTTAGTTAGATTTAAAGCAGCAGCCTGTATTTTATTTGATTAATTTATACAAAAAATAAACACAACACTTGTGGATTCTCTGTGTCCAGCATTACTTTCAGATGTTTATACTTTTAAGAGGTTTATCTACAGGATGAATCAGGCTAGCTGTGTGTTTCTCAAGCTTGTCTGTTATCACGTTTTGATTAAGGTGGCCCCAGTCTGTCTACAGCTTTTACAGTAGACTTGGTCTGCTGCTACAAGACTAGCAACAAACTGAACAAAATCAACTAGGCTGTCACAGTTTCTTTTTCTGATTATTCACATTTTTTATCTTTACATTTTCCTCTTTGTTATCATCTCACACAACCTCTGGAGCCATCTAAGGCCTTTAACCCCAAACTCAAACTGAGCACAAAGAGCTGGCATTTCCTCCAGAGGACAAATAATGTTGTATTTCCTCAGTCTGATTCCAAATAATGGCCACAGAGAAGGAACTGGAAATGCTCGTTCTTAAACAGTAAATTCCATTGTTTCAGCAGCTTCCTGTGGGTCTCGGAGTCAGGACATCCCGTCAGTCAACAGAGGACTCTCCAGTTACAGATGAGAGCATTTAACTCTGCATTATCCATTGCTATGAGGAGGGGGGCTGTCAGAGAGAGAGGTGAGCACAAGAAGGGATACAGCAGACAAAACTAATCCAATCCTCCTCTCAGTGATGGCTTATACTCTTCTCTCTGTGGAGTCATAACTTAGCTGCAATCTTCAGCTATTACACCGCCATTATCCTGTCTGAGAGGTCATGACGGCTGATACAGAAGACAGAATATTAATGGTACTCACTGGCGGGACACACTTGTGTTCTTCAAATGTCAATTAGACTCACTTTCTCGCCTCTTTTTACACACAAACACAAACGGCAAATATAGAAGCAGTGTTTAAGATTCTTTTACCTTCTTACAGCCGCCGTCTTATTTCATATAAGCCCTACAATCAGTCCAGTGAGGGTTGAGAGGAAAAAACAACAATCATAGAGGGAACGCCATAAAACTCAAGACTAGTCATCTGCCTCCCACTTCTATAAATACTTCAATAACCAGCTCCACCCAGCGCTGCTTTCATGTCATTCCTGGTGTAAAGCCATGTTCAGTGGGCCTGTTTTGAGGCCCGACAGGAGCCATGTGTTTCACCAAAGTATCACCAAAAAGGCAGATAAATCCTTGAGCCTTATCTCGGAGTGTACAACAGAATTTTGAAGGAGTAAGTATGTTTTTTCTGGTTTTGAGATAACCCCGATGTAGTTTATCTTGCTTTGAAGCTTTTTCTTTTAACAGTTGCCGGTTTGACTCCAAGCCTTGACCCGTTGCAACACATCTACTGCCACTCTCCAGTTGAGGTGTGCACATTTACACTCATCCTCACCCTTGCTAATCAGCACCATGGATTAATTGCCTGATAAACAAATAATGAAGATTTTATTATTGGAGGAGAAATGCAGGTCATATGTTGTGACCATAGACTGTATATAGAATGAACAGAGTCTGCCTCTTTGCTGGGTGAAGCCACTCCGACAACAGCACCCTCTGGTGGCTGGCTGCAGTATAGGTCATAAATCCTGCCTTCGCCAGCAAAGTTTATGGGGCTGTGGACAAATTTTAGAAATTTACTACACAGAACACATTTTTTTTCCTCCCTGCTTGTGATGTTGACATGTAGTTATTGTAAGACTGATTTGTGCTCAAGTCCTCTTTTTTCTGTACAGCTCCGTTTTTAAAAGTTATTCGGGGGTTCATGTTTTCTATGATTGACACCTGATACAGCCTATGTGTGTACAAGGATTGCGTACCTCATCCAGGGAATACGCCGTTTGAGCCAAGCGTCATCATAGCAACTCTCTGCGACTCTTCTGCCGAATGCGTACAAAGCTACTGCGCAATGTTGGTTTCAGGAAATGGAGAAAAAACACGGAATTACCGAGAGCTTTTCGGCTTCAAATCCATATACTGGAGGAACCAAGTTGTCCATAGTATATACAGTCTATGGTTGTGACTGAGCTGTGGTGTAGCCTCCTGACACCATCAGCCTGGGTGACCACTGCTGTAAAGCTACAATATTCTTCTATCTGGATGTAAACAAACATAGATGACAGATGTTGTCTTATGATAGGTGGAGGGTGTCAAGTTAAACTGGCATACAATCATTCGACTGGAGCAATGTGTAACCAGCACAGGCAGGTGGACTGAAGACTGGTGGTGCTTTCAGTCGTAAGCCACACTTGGAAAACCAGTTTTGCAAAAGTGTTGTGTCAACTGCTCAATTTTGGCTATTTCTGAGGGTACCTTTCTTACATTTACACCGCTCAGTCCCACACATTTATAGTCAGTCTTCCTCTTTCCTACCTAATAACACCCAAAAAATAAACCGCAGAGCCGCACTCCCCCACTCATTCAGTGAAGTCACCAGTATAATTTTGGTTCTGGTTCTTATAAAAGTTTAAGGTTTGGTTAGTCTAATAATTTCCTGTTGGTTTATATTTAATCACAGTCAGCTAGAAAGGTCATGTTCCTTTTAAAGAGTGGTGCATTCAAGGGCTTGTATGTAGCTCTCGTTTTAGATTTTATCTCTCGCAGAGTTCATATTGTGGGACACAGTTCATCAGTATGGGCACAGTACACTGGAATTATCACAAAATTTTAAGTTATTATTCAGAGAAGATTTGGACTTAATTAATTATTTCAAATGAAGATAAAAACAGGCTCAGACACTTGGATAAACAGCTCTCTAGTTTTAACTCCCAGACATGCAGTGATGTTTGGATGGTTTATGTCAGGAGGCAGGAGGGCCAGTTCTGACCCAGTTCTCTGGGGCTGTGCTGCTGAGTCAGAGCCAGCAGTGCATGATGGGAAAAGTGATATGAAGAAAGAGTCACAGACAAAGACACACACACGCATTCACACACATATACGCGCACACACACAAGGCGAGCAGAGGCGGTGTGTTCCGCTCCAGCGCGCTGCATCTGTTCACTGCTAAATATAACCAGAGGAACCCAGGCCTACCGCTCCCTCTGCTCTGTGCTAACAGCTGAGTGGGACTAAGTATGGAGGGAGAAAAAAAAGGAGATATGGAGGAAAAAAAGGTTGATTATAAAAGCTAAAGGGAAAAGTGAAAGCTCAAGGGATGGATATTGATTGATGTGGGCACCCTTCCAAAAAAACAGATACCTCTTATAAATTCTGCCTAAAAATGAACACAGACTAAACACACACACACACACAGCTATTCCTGTCAAACACTGGAACACCAAACTCAACACACTTCTGATGGCAGGATCTCTATTCTTATCCCCCTGGGTTCATTTATAAAGAAAAGGAAAAACTTCTTTGTGCCATGTTTTTTAAAAAAATGCACACAAAGCAGCTATTTTAATGTGTCTATTGTATCTGTTTTCCTCCCATGGGTGACATGTGTAAAAACACTGGAGCTCCAAGCGGGCTGAATCCTCCCTGCTTCAGTCGCTACGTGAGCATGCCATCAGTTCTAACTGGCTGCTTCTGTTAAATGTCAATGCTTGCCTGGCCGTCACACACAAAGGGCCCCGCTGTGATTAAAGCCCCCGCTTTCACAGAAGCTGATGACCAGGGGCAATGAGACGGAGATGAGATACACGTCCCCATCCTGCCTCCTTTCTTACTTGGGTCCCTCGGCTACAGCGGCAGACTGGAACACATCAAAACTGCGGAGGATAGAGTGTCATCACCAGCTGGCTGACATGATGAAACTCAAAATACAACACGAGAGGAGCAGCTAGCACATTAGGCTTGAGTTTGCTGTGTTTGGATGAAGGAGTGGAAAAGGGGAGGTCTTCCCAGCGAGTGTAATAACCACTAATTTGTACCTTGAGGGTTGTAATTGAAGGAGTTGATCTGGCGCACAAACCGACTAGAAGACGGGACATCCAATGACCTATAAATAAACCTGACTTATCTGGCTGTGTGAAACATGTACTAATAATCATATCTGGTACACCCACTTCTGCAAGAATAGCTGCTTTTACAGTGACGCCATGAGATATACAAGGCAGTTCAGGACAAGAGACTCCAAGAAGGCGTTCATTAAATTAATCTGTCATGTGAATTTCTTCAGTCAGTTACTCAGTGGATCTAGAATTTGTGCTGAGAGGTGGAACTTTCTCAAAAAAAGCAAGCCGAGCATGTTTGTCAGAGGATTTAGCTAATATTTGAAAAAAAAAAAAAAATCCTGGAAGTGAAGCTACGCTGCAAAGAATTACAGTGTTCAAAAGAAAGTGGAGTTTCAGACAGACATGAAATGAGTCACTTAAAGCAGAGCTCACGTCTCAGGCTTTATCAAAAAGTGTCTGAGAGCGGAGATAACGCACGGCGGAGTGACAGCTGGGGCTCAACAGCTGAGATAAGATTAGAAAAAAAGAGGCCTTGGATGTTGTGTTTGGGATGCTGCAAACCTTTAAAGGTGCACATCAGTCGACACTTTCTAAAAACCTCATCACCCTCTGCAGCACATAGCAGCAAACACACAAGACCTGTTCTTAAAGGAGACCGAATATGCTCATGCGTATGCATATAAAAAGGGATAAAATGCCAGCAGAGTCTCAGCATACAATAACAGTGCCCTAACAAGACCATAATACTTTCTCTATGGCATTTTTTAAACACAAAAACAAATGAAGGCTTGGATAAAAATGACATTTATGTAGATTAGTGTCTTTCTACTTTAAAAATTTATCAGATAATAATGTTTGTGTGTGCAGCAGTGATTCCCACTGAGCAATAGACGGCTATTAGACTTCTAGTTTTTATTGGACCTAATTTCAACCATTTAAATTCTTTATATTTTTAGACAGAATTTAGACGTAGCACTTGAATCTATTATTCGATAACTATTTGTTTCAAAAAGCAACTGTGAGTTGCAAAACTGATCTCCAAATACTTAACCAAAATGATTATGATAGCCGTTGAGCAAAATATAGTGTAGTATAGATATAGCCCAGATTTAGACTTGGTCTAAACTTGGTCTAGATTTAGACGTCTAAAAAACTTCCATTTTTAGACCAGTCGTCTAGCCTACATCTAGACGTCTATTAGACCTCTTTTAAGACCAAAAAATGCTCATTGGGTTTGGTTAAACATTTCATGGGAGGTTTGTCATGAGACCAATACAACTATCTTAAACATTTTTAAACATTTCTTGACATTCTCATTCCATGAAACAGTCTGGTACGAGATATTTTTTTTCTGTAGGATGGTAAAGGAAAGTCCCGCCCCCTTCGCCTCTGATTGGCTAGAAAAGCTGGAAACGTCATCACACGCTCAAGTCAAACACGGGCTGTCGGCTCTGTACATCGAACAGAACATTACAGAACATTATCGCACTTCTGAATCTCCGAACCCTAACCCTCATCATAATCCTAACCCGACAGACGATGACGTTTCACAGCCGTTAGGAAAAACCAATCGGAGGCCAGCACTTCTAGCCAATCAGAGGCAAAGGAGAGTGGGACCCTCCCCTACCATCCCACAAAAAAAAATTGTGTCCGGTACAAACTAGTATCTAATGCATCTAATTGGTTCCTGAAATCTGGGGGTGGTCCATCTATAAAGACCATCTATGACTATGAGAACTACAATTGTATGTAACATCATAACAGCAACTAATGCAATAATACCTAAAGTATGCTCATGTGAGTGATAACAGCTAGCCTCAGGTGTTTTCTGTAAAGGCATAACTTTCATGTTGTTTTGTGACAACACAGCTGTGTGAAAGTAACACCCCCAAGCTGGAGTAAAAGAAGCTTTAGGGCTGCAAATCATGCTAGGCCTCTCTGTAGGCGTCTTAGATTGTCATAATAAAAGGTTTAGTATAGAAGGGCTCTTTTAAAGAAAACAGACAGGATGAGATGAAGAAACAAAAGAGAAGCAGTTACGACCTCAAAGTGAATGCAGACTCATGGAACAGGGTCAATTACTTAGATTTTCACAGCATGTGAATTTCTCCTCTGAGACGCTACTTTCCAAACTCAGGGTGTCATTCACTGCTTCTGGCTTTCAGTGTTGCAACAACATTGATTCAGTGGGAAAATCCACTAAGTATCCCCACTGGTGAAAAAGAAACAGATGGTCTGAGGAACAGAGGAGTTTGTGTCTTTTTGTCAGTGCTTTGTTTGTACAAAAACATGCAAAAATGGACAGGCTTCAAAATAAACGAACAATATTAGATCTGCATCCAACCAGAAGCACAATGGAAGGGGTAATATCTGGTTATATTACCATACTTCCTCAAAACTGTCCACTGTGTCTTTTAAAAGGACATTTTGAGGGACACAAACTGCTCCAGCTTTTTCAGATCATAGTGCCCGATAATGACACTAAACTTAACCATTCATTAAACCACAGCGATGACTCATCTCTGCCTCAAAATGCTGCAGAATACAGGTGAATATGTGTGTGATGTGTTCAACTACTTTCTATCAGACAATCAGATATTTGACCTTAGCAACAGGGGAAAAAAAATCACACGCCCTCTCACAGCAGGGCAGAACTGAATGGAGAGGTGGCTGGGTGACTTTTAAGATGGAAGTATGAAAGGAGGAAACCAACAGGTGAGGGAGAAAGTACAGATATGAGGCCTTTCAAATAAAGTGAGGGATGGAGCTGCAGTCGGCTGGTTCATGGAGGTTGGTGGTGTCAAGCAGCGGTTGTAAAAGGAATGCCTTCAAAAAGATTTCAAGGTGCTTTCACCAAAGCTTTTAGTTTAGTGTCACCATATGAACCATTCAAAGTAAAGCTGAGATGTTTGCTCAGAGTTTCCATTAAAAAAATACTATTTGGGTTCGTTCCTCCCCTCTGCAATAAGACTTTACAACGAACTGTAATAATAACTGGACACACACCACCACTTTTTTATGTATGTGTAAATTGTGTATATTGTAGATAGTTTTTTTTTTCTCCCTTTTTCCTTTTTCTACATTTTTTCTTAATTATTAAATTTATTTAAGTTCTTAATATTAGGATCTTTATTATTATAACTGCCCTTTTGCACTCTTTGTCTGTGATGCTGCTGTGACAAAAAAATTTCCCCCCATGGGAGATCAATAAAGGAATATTCTAGTCTATTCTATTCTATTTAGTACTTATAATGCACTTCAAATCTAATCAAAATCCAATGCATAACCTGCATATACAAGGTGAACAGTTCAACTTATTAAAACAAAATATTGATAAAGTCCAACAAATATACAATCAGTAATATCATGAGTTCAAAGTTGTGGTCCCCATACTTTCTGACCATTCTTTTAACTGTTTCTATCAAGTTAGGTAACTTAAGATTTACCAGAAGTAGCTTATACTTCAAAATAAAAGCATAGTTTTAAAATATAGGAAAAACTATCAAAAGGAAAGCATGCCAAAAGATCATTTAATGAGGCAATGTTTTCTCTAATTCAAACATAATTGGAAATGGATGATGGCGTGTAGAATAACTTTGTTTATTAGTCAAATTTATGGATTTATAATATTCATAGTGTATTGTTTGTCCCTTCCATGCCTTTTCTCAATAATACTTAGAATTTCAAGTTTTTCATTAAGGCGCACTTATACTGTTTTCCGGATATTTTATGGCCTTGATTACTGTGAGGTAAAATCTGACAACGGGACAGCCCTAATCTGAGGAGGTGACAAAACAATTGATTTTGTGTGCATGTTATATTGATGCCTTTGTTCTCCTTAGATTAAATGAGAGTTAAATACAGATAAATTTTGGAAACTAGCAATAGCTTTAATCTCTCTGAGTGAAACATGAGTTACTTCAGCTTCTTTGTACAGGCAGGGATTGTACTATGTAATCTGCATCGTCCCTGTTAAATAAACTATAAAAAATATTTATAAAATGCATCTGCTGTTTACTGTCGGTTTCTGGGAAGACAAAAAATAAATAAATAAATGTTATTTTTCTGGGTCAGCGATGATAGCCTTATCACACTTGACATTAACATGTTGGGATCATTAAAGTGAGACTGAGCTGCCTCCATCTGCTATTATTCTGCCTCTGCAGTCTTACACAGTGGCTGCTTTAATGAGGAGCTGATTTATTAGGCCTGATGTGACATGTGTCAAGTGCTCCGAGCTCTTTCTTAACAAGAGTCACCCAAATTTTCTAACCATATATCCGGATACAGAACATCACACAAAAGTCAAACAGCTTCATTAGTGGATCTGAGTGCACCACATAAACACTGACAGGTCTCATCTGAGGTTCTATAATGGAGCCAGAATCTCCCTCTCTGTGGACCAGATGGATCACGGCTATGTTCAAGGCTATTTTCATATTAATGGTAGGACCTGATAACTAATTCCTTCCTTCCTAAGTCATTCATATGAATGACAAGAAATCCACCAGAGCTGGAGAGGTGAGGACAATAGGACTGGCACATTTCCAATGCTTACAAAGGACTATTCCAGCCGGTGATGGGTTCAAGGTCTTCCAGAATGATTTTTTTAATCATGGGCCAAACATAGAAAAGACAAATATATCTAAGTTTCCATAAAAACATTAAAGATATTAAAACAATCAGACTGATAATATTTCCATCCATGAAAAAACTGAAAATCAATAATATCAAAACTATGAATTTAGCTACTTTTTGCGTGTTTTTAAGAACCATTTTCAAGAAATACAATTTACTTAGAAACAGATCTTACAAGAAATCTAAAATTGTCTTAACACTGATTTTAAGTAACAGGAAACAGTTTGTGATGTTGGTAGATTGTTGCAAATTGCATTTCATGTTTGCATATTGGTTGTGGTGTTCCTCAGGGGTCAGTGTTGGGTCCTTAGTTATTAATTCTATGTATCAGTGACATCTACAATGCTTTAAAACATTGCTCTTTATTAGGTAGAATAAACTTTTTAAAAGTTTGTAAATCCAGTTCTTGGAAACTGACTTTAAAAATGGAAACTTGTGTCGAGGCTCGAGGACACTGTGTGCCTCTGACAATAAATATTTTAAAGTTTTTTCACCGAGGAGCATCACCATCATGAAGTATGGCATCACAAATCAAAGACAGTTACCAAACAGCTTCCTTGAAATTGTTGTAGAGTTTTTCAGAACAGTCCCTGGCTGCTGCTCATACATCAATAAGTGCTGAAAACTTTAGAGCGAGAGGACTGAGTGTTCGATGTATAAGCAAGTGTCAAGTCTCTGCTGAAAATCAATGTTTCCAAAAAGTTGGCTGGATGTGCCAACAGGCCAAAAAGCACTAACTGTAAAAGGCATCTCCTAGACATTAGCTCAAAGTTTTCCTGGTGTGAAATACTCTGACATCCACTAGACCCTTACAAATTTTCTGCGATATTTATGACCTTTTATGAGCTTGTCCTCTTGCTAACTTGGCCTGACCTGTTGACAAAGTTTTTCCCCCGTCAGTGAACCGAGTCCCCGAAGCCACACCTCAGTCCTCAGCACAGCCAGATGCTGCCAATTTTAAACCAACAGCTGCAGCACAAGGTCACTCCCTCCCTCCCTCTGCCCCATGGAAAGTCAGAAACCTGCAAACAGTCCCAGATCATGACAGAACAAATCTGCACTGTGTTGAACTTACAGATATCATGCATATGTTTCTTTTGGCTCTTTAGGAGCAGCAAAAAACAAACATTGCCCAGCGAGCTCTTTCAGGAATAGTCTGACATTTCTGTTCCATTTTACAAACAGTAATCTGAAGACAGATTAAAATATTTTGAAGAGACAGTTTTCAGATTAAACAGCCTCGAATACCATAACCTCACACCGAGACTATATCAAGAACAAACACTGACATGAAAGGATAAAGGATTTCCTTCCAAGAACTGAGTGAGAATTTTGTGAGTTTCAGGTTAAGTTTCCAAAGACAGCAAAACTCAAGATAAAACGGCAAATTTGTAAAACATTCAAAGTGATTTTAGCTGACAGAAACACCTCAAGGCAAATGCTTTGCTTGATGTATCATTTTGTCTAAAGAGCCAAAATTTACAGTGAAAATTCAATGAATCAGAGCCACGGTTGAAAGAGAATCAGCAAATGACTTGATAGGTGGAGGCATGTGTCAGGCTGTGCTAGATTTATATGTGAAGCAGGCCAAGAACAGAGAGAAAGAGTTTTTTCTTCAGAAGACTCTTATGACGTGTTACCCAACTCACCAATCTCACTTGACTGATGTTATTTACCTTATCTTTATTAATATTTTCATGCAAAAGTCCTGCTCTAGACTGAGAATTTCCTTCCTGTCCACATGCACACGTGGAATTCAAAAAGCCAGACTTGTGCACATGGCTCAGGTAACATCAAACAGCAACATGTCAAATGGTGATCAATCATGAGGTACCCACCCCATATGTTTTTACAGATTCCCTACATTAATGAACCACAACCTAAAACTGAGTTTGGCATCAGAGGACAGTGCCCCCTATGTTAACACGGTAAACTGCACGTCTTTGAGAGCAGACTTTTGTTGATTTCTCATTGTTCTATGGCACGATAGCGAGAGATCAGTAAATGAAGATAAAGCCAATATCCCACCAACCACACAATCACTGTATACATCAATACTGTACTCATATAAATAAAAACTTAGTTGGTGGGTCCACAGCTGTGTTCCAGACTGAAATATCTCAACAAGAGTCGGATGGACTGCCATGAAATTTGGTTCAGCCCACAGCAGATGAAGCTCAATATGGCTGACTTCATCCCTTGACCTTTCCTCCATACATGCATGAGGTTCACATTTGTGGCTTCAGAGGAAAAACCTCAACAGCTACCGGATGGATTGCCATGAAATGTTTTACATAATGCTTGACTTGAGGTGGAATGAGTTATGGATGAGGCTGGTATGGCCTGAATATAACTCTTGTCTGCTTTTGTTTCATATGTGTCTATTTTGTATTCATTGCACATTTTCTCATGGGCTTTTCTTTATGTGAAACATGTTGTTGAGGGCGGCTTGTGAAGCTTTGCACAATTTTGATGAAATTCAAGACAGCAAGTGTTGAAGGACAATTTTTCAAAAGTAATATCACTGAGCCAAACTGAGGCGATTAAGTGAACAGTGCATTACTCATGCATTTACAATTTTAACTGCTTTTTAGGGGGGTTGGAAATAATATGAAGTAGGTAAACCGATGCCACACTCTACCAATTTATCACCTAAGCTGATATTAGGTACTGGATAAGCCTCTCTAACAGGCACATCTAGAGCTTTCATTATAAGAAAGTAGTGCAGCCACGGTGTAGCAATGGTTAGAAGAGAGTTTTACAGAAAAGGCGAGTAGTCACAGCTGCAGGTTTGGGGACTGATCCACCAACAAAGACATGTCCTATGGGTATCAAGCAAATGAGTCCCTGCTGCACATATGGTTGTTTACATCCAGCATGTCAATCAGACTGTGAAACTTCTGCAGAAATGGGCTTGTGCTGTTTTTTTTTCCATAACAAACATGTGTCCATAGAACAACTACAGTAATTCCCATTAGTTTTGCTGTCTTTTCTTTGATTTGCGCTTGTTTAAGATGCTTCAATATTCCACTACAACAGAGATTTACCACCTTAGGAAACTAATGACCCCCCTCGTTGCAGTCTGTCCTTCTGCTGCTGTGACTAAATCAAACCACCACAAACCCGAACATTTTTACCAACTTCTTGACAGTAATGAGAATATCAGATTGAGGGAACCAGCTCCTGCAGCACAGCTTTGATTTAGATAAGACAACCTTCTGTCTGCCACTACATGCAGATATATGGGTGGGAATGGAGGGCGATACAGCCCCAGGCAAACACACTTCAAACAGGGCTTCTCCACCTGTTTGTAGCCGTCAGTCCTCTAGTTTGTTGTCACCTTTTCACCTTTTCCAGGGTCAAGACTCTGGGAATCATGTGAAACTGGTTTGTATCCTGAAATATCCATGACTGTTGCTCTGTGTGCTGCTGACTAACCCGAGTGTATGGTAGAGTTTATGTGTAACAGCAGCAGGACTAGAGCTGATGTTGATTAAACATAATGACTTAAACCTTTGTGTGTTTTACCCACAAGTCTGATACAGTTTTCCATGATATAAAGTTTTACCCTAGACACATCATTATATTTCATTTATCTAAACCTGGAGAGAAAAAACACTGGGTGAGCTGCAAAATAAAAGCACCGGTAAAACTTAACTTGACGCCTATCTGTATAATGCATTATTAATATATGTATTATGTGTTACAATCACGTTATAGCACTGTATAACTTGAGTTATTAACACTCATAAATGATCATAGTGCTTTAAAGCAATAATCATAACACATTATAAAGCATTTTATCATGACTTACAAGGTCAGGTATGATAATGTGTTATAACTGTTAACAACTCACTGACAATGCCCACATAGATAATGCATTACACATATATTTATGATGTGTTATAATTTGCTTTAAACTTGTATAATTATCATTTTAAACACTCATTAACTATTAAAGGGCTTTATAACAATAAGCATAACACATTATAAGACCTGACCTTGTAAGTCATGATAAAATGCTTTATAATGTGTTGTGATTATTGCTACAAAGCATTGTGATCATTTATGAGTGTTTATAATGATAGTTATACAAGTTTATAAGCTATAATGTGATTATAACATGATTATAACGTGATTATAATGCATTATACATATATTTATAAAATGTTATAAAAATAGGCTTCAAGTAAAGTGTTACCAAAGCACCAAAGTTAGATGTTTTGGAACGTTACTCTCCTTTTAATGTTGCACTAGTAGAGCTTTATCATCATGAGCAAATTTTTACAACTTTTTAGACAAATCCAGTTAGACTAGGGTATGTTCTTACATTTGTTTCAAAAGAATTTTAACTGTATAGTTATATGAACTGCATTACATCCAATCAAAAGAAATACAGTGAGATTCAGGCCTTCCCCTGTCCTTTAGATTCATCACCATCACTATACATGATTCTACCACTAGAGGGCTGAAAATGAAATCTGTGCTTACACTAGCCTCACATGACACTTACTGCATCTCTTCTCATGCAAACTGCTCCAACATACCAGCTAAATACATGATTTTACATTTATCGTGGTGTACATCAACACTACAAGTGCATCCAACACTTCTAATGTGCAACAGAAGTCTAGGTCAGACCAAAAAGGACTCTGAGAAGTCACTCTGAGTACCAAAGTCTTTGCTATTGTTTAAAATATTGAATAAACATCAGATAAAAAGACTCATTTGTGTCAGAGCATCTTCACTGTGGACCTACAAGTATTTGCAGCCTGCAAACTTTCTAAACCAAACAGAAGTCTGGACTGTGTTTATTCAACTAGATACACCAGGCAGGCTTTTTGAGGATTTTCCAGGAAAAACATGCCACAAGAAAATGCTCCTTCATCCTCACCACAATGTTGTTTTTGTAAAATACAAGAAAACAACAAAAAATAGCGGTTAAGAAAAGAGAGAGAGAGAGAGAGAGAGAGAGAAAGTGCTGGTGTGTGAGAAAGTGTAACTCTTACAACACTCTGTTCACAACCCTGTGATTCATTAATTATAAACAAGCAGTGTCCTGCCAGTGGAGAACTATCACTACACAATGGTGGACTAATTCCTGGAGATGAAGTAAGACAGCCGAGCTAAAGCTGCAGTTACTCATAAATGACATCTGACTCCCTTATTTCAGTCATTCAGCTCTGACAATGGTGAAAGCTATGTGCATTTCGGCAAAAGGGAAACGTCTTGGCATGTTTCTCTGTTACACACAGGCACAAGCTTTCAGCAGCGTGAGCATCGGTGTCCAGATATCTGACAGTAGTGCATAAAGCGTTTCATACACTGGTAAGCCCAGCAGGGTCGGGTCAGCCTCTCAAGAGCTTACAAGCAACCTGGATCTGTGCAGATTGAACGCCCTGGAGGAGGGGGGAGATAGAGAGATCAGCAGCATGAGAAATCCTCTGAGGATCATGTGCAACTCTCACCCCTACTAAACAACAACAGTAAGGTTTATAAAATGAGAGTAATGTTAGTTTAATAAGTGAGGCACAATCTGAGGTTGAATAGCAGTGGGAGCACAGATGACTTGTTTTGCAGCTCAAAAGGCCAGCTTCATTTCCTGAGATCCAGTTTGATGAAAGAGGACCTTTGGAAAGATTACTAAGTTTATCACACTACATGCAATTTAGGTCTTAGGGACGGTGTAATTAAAGTGCCCTAAAACCACAACAAACCTAAAGAAAAAACTAAATGTGGTACTATGATTCATGTGTATAAATCGGAGCCTTTAATGGTGCGTAAGCCTTTCCAGATGTGTGAATCTGGGAGGAGCTGAGCTTAAATGTCAGCTCATCTCCACTATGGGAGACTCTTGCAGTGAGCCTGTGTGTGTGTGTGTGTGTGTGTGTGTGTGTGTGTGTGTGTGTGTGTGTGTGTGTGTGTGTGTGTGTGTGTGTGTCTACTGATTTAGCAGTAGAAGCATGAGTGAGTGTGAAGGTCAATGCCTGAGCATCTTAGTGCAGCAGAGAACTAGGATGAGACAGACGGAGTGACTGAATCTAATGGCGGCCGTTAAATCTGGGACCAAGTGTATGGCATTTTATTTACATCGCCTAGATTTTCTTAAAGCCCCTGTGAGGAACTTTCGGTTTCTGTTTACTCTGGCGCCTCCTCTGGACAAAGCAGTCTTTCTTTATATTCTTGTCTTTATTTAAAAGTCTTATCCTACAGACTTTTGGCAGTCAAATGTATCATTTATAGTGAATATTTGATGTAAAACAGGACTGTCTCTTTAGCTACTTGGCTGACACCTACACCCTTACACCAATTTCAGGCATTAAACTACATTAACATCATCAATGTTGTCACTGAGGGTGTTGTTTGTCATAAAAGACACCATCAATGTTTCAATGTCAATAAAAAAACTCCACACAAGAGCTTTAATATGACAGAGACTCTGTGGTTTGTCAATGATTTTCAGCAAATTTGACAGTAAACTCACTATTAACTGCCAAATATCACTATGTTTGATTTTGATCCTGAGTAAAGGCAGACCATCTAGAGCTCCCCCTAGAGGCCGCCTGCAGTACAGGTCTTAAAGTCAGTCATCCAGAATATATTACCTCTGCCCCCGCCCTGGCTCGACCAGCATAATACTTAAGCGTCCATTAAGTATTTTGATTTTAAAACAAGAAGAGATGGAGTCACGTCGTCTTTCTTACTTTGGCTCTATAGTCTAGACTCGCAAAGCTGCTTTCTCTACTTATTTGTGACACTGTTTCATTTTCAATTAGCTGGTTACGCAACAAGACAGCTCCAATTTATGTATGTCATGACTGCACTGAAAATCATTCAGCATTCAGCTTCTACAACATTTAGTTTTCACATACGAAAAAAACTGCTGAATTATCAGGGAATAAAATAGCCGCCTGTAAACAAGGGTGTACAACACAACATATTTTCTCCCAGGCGTATTGCTGTCACATGATCCCCCTGAAGGTAAATTGTTTGTCTCAGATACTGAAATGTTAACGACAGAGTTAACTACTTAACAGAGTTAATTACTGTCTAAAAACAAGTGGGACTGAAATGAAAGTAGATTTGTACAGAAGCAACGAGTCTTTTCATCAAATGTTTTGCAAAAAATACATGTAGTATGACGTCATTTAGACAAAAAAATACTATTGGAAAATGAAGAAGAGAGATACTTTGATAATAAAAAAACAGACTTGATAGCTTTGGCTGCTTTAAATAGTCATAGCCCATTATTTTGCGTTACCAACTAACCATGCATCCGTCTGAAACACACTGCAAGTGTTCAAAAACAACAGCAAGTGTTGAAGCATATTTAGGACCTGTGTACACAAACATTTTTCCCCTCTGGCAGCACCTGTTTGCTTTACAAAACCATCGAGCTGGGGAGGCTTTCAGAGCTCAGTGTGCAAAAATGTCCGTATGATGTCTCTCATATCACAGACCAATCAAAATCAAGAAGGGGTGGGACTTCTGGTATCAACTCTCATCAACAAAGGTGAAGGTCCTACAGAGGAGAAGTTAATCCCACTCGCTGCTAGTACAACACGACATGATTTCTTTTGATTATTTTTACACACTCTTAGTAAAATTCCATTATAAAAATATTAATGTGATGCTTAATGAGAATTTTAAAACACATTAATGGTTCCCAGACACAAAGGAGTTAAACTTAAGTAATCTAGCAACAGTAGGCCCTGAAATTAGGGGCATGGGCACTGCTGGCACAAGTAAATGGCATAAAGCTATTGGTGGACACAGGCCCTAATTTACGGTTTTATCCTAAAGTTTAGTGTTTCACCGCAGAATTATAGGTTTCAAATTTACTTGGATGCACATGTGAGAAGGCAAATTCAAACGGTCTTTGTCCAAGTCCAGTGGTTCTCAATCCAGTCCTCGAGCCCCCCCTGTCCTGCATGTTTTGGATGTTTCCCTGTTCCACCACACCTGATTCAAATGATCCGCTCGTTATCAAGTTCTGTAATGGCTTGATAACGAGCTGATCATTTGAACATGCTAGACAGCGGGGGCTCGAGGTCTGGATTGAGAACCACTAAGTCTGACATTTTCCCTCTGTTTTAGACTAAATTCAGTAACATCAGGCAACAGTAAACACTTCTCTATCGTTTGTTTTCTAAGGCTGCCAACAGGATCACTTGTTTTATTCCTGGTTGCCTGGCTTCTATCATTCTCACTTCACAGTGTCGTTATCAGCTGCCTGATTATACAACTCAGCTTGAACTGAAACACAGTTCAGTAAACAGCTGTACTCATGTGTGCAGACATCACTGTTGTGAATGCAGATGAATTTCACTCGTATTTCAACATGAAACAAGCCTTTTTGTTTCACTTTCGGTTGCGGCACAGAAAGAAAGTGATGACATGATTCTCCTTTCAAGACTGGAGCTGAATTTTTAAAAAAAGACAAGACGTGTTTTTGTCATTTTGAATTAGAGTCAATGAAGAGCGTATCCACACTAACATGCGGTCTGCTGGCTCCTTTCCCTAAGCCTCATGTGTCTTTTTTGGACTCTGTTAGAGGTGAAACATGATGCATGTGAACTCCACGAGACAAACATGCTCTACTTTACAAACCCTGAGGGCTCTCTATGCTTGTTACTGATAATGTAACTGGCATGTTTTGAAGAAGCTCTGTATCTTTTCATGAACTTACTGTAACAGGCATGGATTTAAACTCTGTTATCTGCAGCAGCATTCCTTTTGAAGATAAGTTTGTTTCTAAAATTGAAGCTCTTCCTAACACGCTGGAGGACTGCTGACGAGAATTGCACAGCGAAGGTCAACAAGGTTTCAACTCTTGAAAGGTTTTTGACAGTTTCTGGCATTTCAGGTCTGATGCTTGTAGAAAAACTGTGTTGCAAGGCTAAAAAGTCTAGTTTTATATTCAATTCTAGTCAAACTTGATTTTGGACTCAAGGTCCAGATAAAAGACAGAACATTACACAGAAATAGAGCACCAGATACAGAGCTCTTGAAAGGCTCATATTCACAGTCTTGATGGCTGTTTCTTGTCTCTCTCAGTCTAACCTCATTGTTACTACACCTGAGGCAAACACATCCATTTATTCAGGCTTAAATGACACAAAATGCCTCTCTCTTACTCTGCCGTTATTGCCAACATGTCTGAGTCACTCCATCAAAGAAAAAATCTTTCTAAACCTTGAAATAAAGACTTCATATTGTCAACTGTCAGCACAGTTAAAACAGCTTACTTTCTGAGGTTTTCACGCTCAGACTGTGTCATCATGTGTGCAAAATAAGGTCGAAAATATGCAAAGAAAAAAAGCAACATACAAAATATCTAAGACCCTTTGACTAAAACTCAGAGCTTGTGGATGAGGAGGAGGAGGAAAAAGGAAGAAGCAGAGGGTACAGGGATAGAGGGAGGAGAGATAGCTGCAGGATTCATGTCAAGAGCTGTTGACAAGCCTTTCGGGGATAAACTCCTGCAGTTGGCTGCACTTAATCAAGACTGACAAATCTTCATACTTAAGAAAATATAAGGGGCGCACCCATTACAGAGGAGATCGGTGTCTTCAAAGCCTTCGCATCATCTGCATGTATGTATAAGCCTCCTTAACTGAGTATGAAGACCAGACACCGTTTCAGTGACACAACTCAGAGCAATTTTTACATCACTGAGATGAACAAAAATATGAGAAACGAAAGCAAAGAGAAGATAATATAAAGGTGCTGAATTGATTAAACTGAGGAGGATTTCTAGCTCTGACGGAAAATGTTGCTATTAAAAATTTGATTAATGCAAATGATGGTATAAAGATGATGCATTTTAATCGGTAGTTATACAACCTCACTCCAGCAGCTGTGGCCTGATGTTGTAAGCTGTTGCTTTGCCCCATCTGGGATCTCTTTCAGTCCTCCATATGGCTCTATGTGACTCAGTGCATTACCCTGTGTTAGGATTCACATCACAGGCCAACATGTAGAGCATTAAGGTCACTAATCGTGTCTCTGAGTCTTCATCGTCTTGTTCTCTGCATCCAGTAACAAAAGTAAGCTGCTACGAGAGAGTGAAACAAACAAAATTTCTGCTAACTTCTTTTTTTTTTTTTTTTTACTTAATATCTGCTTCAAAAATCAGAGAGTAAAGTCTAGGAATGAAAAAGCATATCTGGCTGTGTTGGAAATGTTGGGGTATTGATTAAAGCAAAATCCAGAGGGCCCGAGAAACAGATTTGATGAATAAATCATGATGTACATGAATCATGTGTTTTCAAGTCAAACTACTGAAGAGATGAAAACAGATCAGATCTGTGCTGAGTTACGAGGACACTGTGATGTTGCTAAAACCGATACATGCAACAAACCATCCATCATGTTTTAAACATTGTTTTCCTCTTTAAAGTCTGACTGTCTTTCAGTGGCATGCTTTCCGTCTCAGCCTCTTGTTCTGCAGGGGTTCAGAGACTATCTGAAAAATACCAAAATTATATAATTCTGTGACATTTTGGATGTCCATATTTTATTTTTACGCAAAAAGCCAAAAAAGTAAGGCCTCTTTCAGTTTTCCTACGGGGTATGCTTGTTAATTTTAAAGGCATGGTTGACGATTGGAGAGATTGGTAATTATAATGAACCTTGTTTATATGGCGATCATGGTCCTATAGTCCGATCTCCACAAAGTGAAGAGAAAAAAAAATGGAAAAAATCTGTTCACCCAAGCAGCTGCAGGGCAGCAAAAACATTGACCAATGGGAGCCAACCGTCCCGGACAGCTCCTATTGGTCAATCTCCTGCTCCGCCTCTTCATCCAATCAGCTCGTTGTATCCGACACACCCCTCTCCTATAGATCCATCTCGTCCCCTCTCACTGTCCCGGCCTTCCTCTGAGCTCTGAGCAACTGAAAGTAGCGTAGCAGCTTAGCTACAGGAGCTTTTATGGAGAAGGACGCAAAAAAACACTTCTGCTTGCCCCACCGCCAAAAGTGGGAAGAAAATGCAAGCCGACAGAAGAAAGGGCAGAGGCACATGTTTATCGTGGCACACGTTACATAATTAACTCTTACTAGTCTCTGCAATGTCAACACGGTAGCTGTCCAGGCAGCTGCAGACGGTGCTCGCTAGCAGAGCTGGCGTTTACTGCTGCTAGTCACAAGCAATCCGACATGGTGAATCCTATTTGAAGCTAGCGTAGGATCTTCTGCCTGCCGGCTTCTTGCTTTGCCAGAGGGGGTGTGTCGTGGGGAGGGCGATACAGGTTCGGGTGGGAGTTATCGTAGAGCACAGAGGGGAGAGGTTTGTGTGTGGGGGGTGGGACGCTTTTTCAAATCTGCCTCAACGGCTCAGTTTTTTTCAACTGCTTCTCAGATCGTCAACCATGCCTTTCATGGGCACTAATTCAATCAGGTTTCTGTCTGTGAGAAGACAGAACTTACTAGAAGGTTGCATCTCTCACACTAACATGAGTTTAGATTGATCTTGGAGTAAGTTGACACCATTCCTCACTGTCTAAGCGGTAAAAGTGGTCAATATTGTGGATCCTCCCCTGAAGCTCAAGTGTAAAATGAGAGGGCTTTTGGGGCTGTCTAAGGACGAACATCGACTTCAGGTTTATTCACTAAAATGGTCAATCAAACAAATTATTCATAGTTCTAGTTATTGTAGGCTTAAACTGCTGGTTATATGTTGTGTCTTTGCTGTAGCACACCCACCCAACAATAGCTGGGGGCTGCATCTCCAATAAAGGTCACTGCTACAATGCAATAGTGCCCTACTACTGGTATGAAAACCAGCACAAAGGACAGACAGATAGTGTCCATTTTTGTGAGTATTTGACATCATTTACTCACAGACTTCCTGATCCTGTGTTTAGCCACATTGGGTAGATTGTACTCAGTGTTTTCTTATTTTTAGATCTTGTTAGTTTGTTGAAATTCCATTTAAACAACTGGGAAATAAATAACTCCAAACATCCTCAAAATGAACCATTTATAGTTTAACTAAAGAGATAAATTATAAATATTTTTGTGATGCTTTTATTTTGCTCTTTTTTTGCCTTTAGCGGTTGTTGAATTTCCTGTTGATGGGGGATTTTATTTTGAAATAACTCAGCAGAGCAAAGACTTTCCTCCCCTGAAGTAACATGAGCAAGGAAAAATGATAAAAAAATAAGGGTCGAGGAGTGAAATGTTTCATGTCTGAAGAGATACAGTCAGTCTCTGTTGAATAGTTGAATTTTTAATTTGATTTACTGAACAATTTCCAAAATAACATGTAGTTTAAGCTGATTCCACTTCAATTAAGATACATTTTTTATTTTTACGTCTGTAACCTGTTTTTACAATAGTTTTGAGGTTTTTAACATCATAACGTCTCAGACGATGATCAGGTGGGATATGCTACAAGTGACCTAAGAGGTTATATGACACAGGGGGGAAAAAAGAGAATTTTATGTTGTAAAGTCTCGATTCTTCTTCAAGGTGTACCATGAATTCCTTCCCTTACCTCTGAGGAATGCCCGTCATCCTGCAGCTCTGATTCCCTCTGGCTGGGTTCAAAAGAAGGCCGAGCTCAGGTAACAGAGGACCATTTGTCCCAGAGATCAGACAGACACCCAGCCAAACCCACCCGTGATCTGTGCACCTTAAATCCTCAGAACCTTTCAGCGCTAGAGGGGTTTGTGATTCACTCCAAGACAAAAATAAAACCTTTAATGTCTATCCAGAAGACTGTCCAAGTTTGTCTAAGATAGTCAGGCCAACTCACGTGTATGATCGCAATCTTACAAGTACTTTCTGGAGATGTTGTGTAACCTCATGCACCTTTGCACCTTTACAGACTCAACACTGTTATCAAAGCGAATCCCATTAAATTACTGTCAGGACATAAAACTTAAGGAAGATGACCTTTGACCTCTGAGCTGGATTCACCCGATGGTATCAGATAAAAGCTTCACTCGAAAGTCAAAGTCTGAAGATGTCTAAAATGTACGGCCTCTGTGTACTTTAACCTCAAAATTATGGCCTTTGTAAACAAAGCCGGATCACAGTCAGTACATTTCAAGTAACCACAGCCCACTAGAAGACAGAAAGGAAAATATGCAGCAGTCATTGAGTTTGTTTGCATTGTGAGTAGGCCTGAATATCAAAATTCAAAAATCAGAACGGCCCTAAAAGACGGCCTAAAAGAAAACACCTCTAACTTATTACACCTCAGCTTGCACTAAAAGACAAGCACATACACAAAAGAGTCCATCATCCCAAATAAACAAAACCCAAACTGAATTACAAGCGTCTTTTAAAAATAACAACAGCAACAAAACGCTATACAACTGCGTTCACTGCAACAGCCACGCGCTGCATCCCAGCCTAAAATATCTCCTACTATCTACTAATTGATTTGGTGGATTGATCTTAATCAAAAAAGCATCCTGCACTCACTAATGTATTCAGTCTCATTCTGTCACTTTGCCAGCTCATGGAAGAAACACTTTTACAGGATACAGTCTCTACAATCCCAGGAGAATAACATTCAAAGCAGCAACAACAATCTGAAAAAAGCTGCAAAAATATCCAGAAACTGAGCGAACTAATGTTATCACATGCCTCACGTTGAAGTAACACTACATTTAGTTTGAGTCAGTCTCTCTTTGTATGACACGAATGAATGATATGCTCTGTCATGTTTCTTTCACTCAAGTTATTTACACACCTTGATTAAAAAGACATAAAAAACGAGTGTGATATTTCACTTTCACATACACAGACTTCATTCAAGTGGTTTTCTTTTTGCATTCCTCAGTGGGAGTTACGCACCTGTGGGGGAACAGCCTTCAAACCTACAACAGTGAGGTGTACAACACAGAGAAATCCAACCCACAGCTCTTTAGAGAGAGACGAAATCTGTCCCCACAGCCTGTCATTTAGTCTGGCACGGCTCGGATTGCCGTCCCAACCAGGTTCAGACAGGCTGTGTGATACAAAGGAGGTCTTGTGAGCTACTCGAGAATATCCTTCTCTTTTAATTACAGGCCGAGAAAGTCTGCTGACTTACGCAAGAAACTAATGACATAGCTACAAAGATGGCTCAGGATATCCTTCATGGCTACAGTCAGGGCTGTGTTTACAAGTATCCAGAGTTCCTATTCGAGCTCAGAATAATTAGAAAACTGTTGATGGATATTAAAACGCTCCCATGGTGAAAGTCCAGTCTGATCATGTGCCGAACAAACACACACACAGAGCAGCATTTGTGCTGAGTTCTGGTCCCCAGGTCGGGACCTCAGCTTCAGGGGTCAAGTGTGCACAGTACAGCTCCTAATGGACAAACAGTGCAATAGTGAGGCAATAATGATGCTGCACCGAAACTAAACCGCCATTATATAACACAGTTAATGATTTCCCCCGAGAGAAGGCCATGCAAGGCTTGTCAAATGTTGTGTGATTGTGTGAACCGGGGAGGGAATGAGCGGAAAGAGACAGTTGAGATAAGATTAGAGAAAATTCAAGGTTTAGAAAATCCTTTCAAAAATTCACTCAGGCTTGATGGAGTATCCAGATCTTGCCAGCGCAAATAATAACAAAACGGGACAATACACTGGAGACAGCGAGGGGGGGAATAAGCTGCATCGCTTGCTGCCTCTCAGACAGATGCAAACACATCAGACTGTGGGCAATGGGTCAAGCTCATCTGACACGCAGCAAACACGTCCAGAAATAACCCCATCTGCCCATGAGTGATGTCCCACTCCAACAAATAGTACATCCCTTAAATGAAGAGAAACAGCAGTACTTGACATGACCAAGCTCAGCTGGAAGCAGCGCTCTATTAATGAATTAGCACAAGCACCAAAAAGCAGCTGTTTCGAAGGCAGAATAATGGTTTTGGACATGTTTTCATAGAGTTCACTAAGTCAGTACAGCCTCCACGCTGCTTAATATGCCCCGGTTTGACACTTTCATTTAACAGCCCCTGAAAATATGAACCATTTCTCTGTCAGCCATCATGTGACGCCATGGAATAACAACAGCGTGGTGCTAGCAAGAGCTGTAAGGTTAGTAAAAGCCAAGAAAATGACAGCAATTAAAGTTTTCCACCGCTTTCGCATTAATTCAGGTATTTTTGTAGTCGCATTTATAGGGTTTCGACAACCGAAGGAGGAAAAACAGAATACTTAAAAACATTTGAACAAAAGTTGAGAAATACTTTTATGGTAGACTGGCATTTGTTGGACTGTTGTTGAAAAACTCATCTAAAGTAGTGGCACAGGGCCTTAAAAAGTTGTTGCTTTCGTTTTGATACATTTAGATATGAGATAAACTTAATAATCTTTGTTAATATGAAAGTGGAAGAACTGATGATGAAAATAATTCATACCAATGAATAGTGCAGTTAATATTCACTGTTGAAAGTCATGCCAAAATGGAAATACTACAACCAGCAGAGCCAACAAGAAGCCACACAGGGTGACAGCAGCCTTTGGCAGAGCCATCTAAAGTTTAGAAATCTGCTCCTTTCCCATGTCAGAGAAGTAAACAGGCAGCAGCTGACAGTGAATGCTCTAAGTGTTGGAGTGTGGATGAAGATTTGGAGTTGCACTAAGTGGCCTAATCTGTGACCCTGCAGGTCTTACCCTCAGTGTCTGTGGAGGGAAGGAGGGCTGTCAGGCCAGCTTCTTGTCAAGTAAAAACTCGAGGCTGCTCGAGAGGAGATGAGCAGCAGCACAGAAACTGCCTCATGCATGACCATTTTGTTGTGAGCCTATAATGTAGTGCCATATGGTGGTTATAAAACAACTTCCAGTGGGATATCACAACTCTTCAAGTACAAATTGTCCTGCTCAGTGTCTATATCTTGTGTTTCTCTTACCTTGACGCACAGTTTTCAACCTGACAGGTCCTTGGCAGCACTTTATCACGGTGTAAATGTCATACAGGGGTAATCCAGAGACAGCCACCCCCTCCACCTCGAGCACCAGCTCCCCCTCATTGAGTTTCCCGTCCTGGTACACCGCAGCATCCTCCCTAACTTTACCGATGTAGGCGAACTCTCCATTCTCAGCCCCACCGAGCAGCTCCACGTTCAGCTCTCCGTGCGCGTCCAGGATCACCGCGCAGTCATTCACTTTATTGATCCAGTGGTTCTTCTTCTGCAGGACTTTTGACATGGTGACTCAGATCCGAGAGAGAGAGAGAAACCCTGCTTATATCCGCGGAAGGTTGTAGAAATCACCGGATCAGCCCAAACAGACGGAAAACTTCAGGTTCTTGAGGTGACACTCCAAGTTGGAACATTTTCCCTCTTCTCCTGGGCCGAGCCATGCTGCTTCCAGTGCGCGTCGAAATCCAAACAGTTTAAAATCCGGATTGTTGTCGCTTCTGTTGTTGTTTCCGCATCTCTGATTCCTCGCTGTAGGATCTAATCCGCTCTGTGTTCACCCGGTTTACATCCAAACACACTTCTCCTCGTTAATCTTCTACTTCTGCCCCCTGTTCACTCGATACTCCCTCCTTTTGGTAAACTTTCCAGCAGAGTCAAACAGTTACCTTTTCCTGCTCTCCACACACCCGGCGGCGCCTTTAAGCAGGTAGCACGACAAGTTCATCCCATTCGCTCCTGCGCTCTGGATGGATGGAGGAGTAGTGGAAAGTGGAGCGCATGCGTCCAGCTGCTACTCAACGCAATATTCTGAGGGAAAATCCCACCCGATCCCATACCTACCGGGTACTCAAACTCCGCCCAGCCCGTCGGCCGGTACGAGTTTTCAAACGGATTACAGCGATCCATGCACTTAATCCCGCTATAGGAGCTCCAGCAGCCTTTAGTCCTGATTCATAAATAATGGAAGTGCACCATAAGGAAGCAGCTATCTTTTAAAATAACCTCAAAACCCTCAGGGGTGAAGTTTATTTAGTCACAACTGTGGATTTTTATTGCTTAAGAGGCGTGATCAGAAATCCAAGAAATCAAGAAATCAATCAATGTCTTTATTAATATAGTATTTTTAATACACAACCATGTAGCACAAAGCACTTTACACAGAAAAAGGAATAAAAGAAACAAAGAATACCCAAATCTACCCCAGCCCAACCCCTCATTCCCACCCCACTATCTAAATGCATCAGAAACTATTAAAATGCATAAACTTAAAAAGGGATTGATTTTGTGGAAACAGGAATGTGCGCACTCAGGAAATGTCATTTTAAAACTAAAGATAAGGAAACAAATGCCAGTGTTTGTAGCCGTCTGATCAATAAATTTATGATCACCCTAAAAGACTTAAGGTAATTGAATCAAGTTGTGAAAGTGTCCAATTTTAAATTTAGAAGGTTTTCAAAAGAGTGTGTCAGCAGCCCAGGAGCAGAGCCGGCCAAAGGCATAAGCAAACTAAGCACCTGCTTAGGGCCCTGCGGCCAGTAGGGCCCCCCAAGAGCAATGAAAAATATTTATATATATATAGATATACATTTTTTTTGCATATATGAGTGATGCTTTCTGTATGACCAAACATATATTATTGTAGAAATAAAATAAAGTAAAAACATTTTAGTGCTGCTGCTGATGTAGGCCTATGATTCTTACTGTCGATATGGCAAGCAAAAGAAAGAGGAAGAAAGAGGAAGAAGAGAAAAAACGCCAAGATTACAGTATGTTTGCATGTCATGGAACGTTAATCAAAGAGATTTGTGAAGGGATGTGGGTGATCAATAATCGATATTATTGGTAGAAATAGAGGGCCCCAAAATCCAATGTTTGCTTAGGGCCCCATTGAGGCTTGGACCGGCTCTGCCCAGGACTAATAGTCAAAGTAGACATCTGTGCAGAGACCTACACAGCAAACTCAGAAGTGTTAATTCAACTCCTAGGGAGTTAAATTCAGCACTTTAAAAGTGTCTATATTGGTCCACACTAAATTGAGTTAAAATAACACCTTTGAAAGTGTTAAACAATAAACACGTTGACAGAGCTGGAACAACACTCAATAGTTGAAATCTAACACTCACTGGTGTTGAATTGTTTTAACACTAGTGTGTAGTGTCAAAAATTAACACTCATTGTGTTTTTTTTCAACACTGAATAAGGTTTAAATTATAGTAACATTATGGGAGTGTTAAATATATTACTACTACTACTTCTATTAATTATACTAAAAATGATAAAGAAAGAAAACCACACAAGTTGCAGTTTGAATCAACATTATTTCAAACAAGCACACCACATAAAGAACAGCACTGGCTTTGCACTGCAGGTCACAGGTCACACAATATGGCAATGTGGCACAATGTATGTTTTGTCACATATCTCATTAGAAAACTATTTGTCATAGGGTCTGTAATATGCACTGATTTTTCCACTCTTTTTGTGGCATTTGGAGGAAAGGGGAAGCAGGTGAAGCAACAGTAGAATGCTTGACAGGTCGCTGCAGTTTGGGACCCTAAGGGTAACCCATGCATGCCCCTTCATAAATAAATAAGTGTGGTACAAACAGCTGATAAAATATGACACAATTATACATGTGGCCAAGTGATATTAAGAGGTATCACATGCCTGATATTAATGCTATCAGAGGATAAGGATGTGCTTGTACTTTCATTACACCTCTTACTATGAAACAACATAATGGACAGAAAGATAGTTGATGATCAGCTTTCCCTCAATGATTTAAAAATTGCAAGTATTCTGTTGTTTTTAGGAATTTCAGGAACAACCTGTCCAATATTTCTGACCCTTGACACCAATCTGACTGCCATCGTATCCAGCACATCTTCTTTTGCCATATATGATCTTTTTTACTTGAGGAAAGTGTGGAGACCAGACAAGTTGTATCTTTTGACATATTGAGCTGCAAAGTTTGGGTTTGTTGTTGTCTTTTTGCCTCGGTTATTTCTCTATTAAAAAGGAGATTTTCATGACTAAAGGGAACCTTTTTTTATTGTCTAACAATCCACAACAAGTCTGCGTGCTGTCTGCAGTTTGCAGTGAGTGAGGAGGGATCAGGTGAGAAACACATGCTAGAGCAGAGAGAAAACAGGCCCTCTGTGTTTTCTGCCTGTTCAGATAAAGCACAGAGGTTGGCACTCTCCCACAGGCTGTGAGGGCAGTGGCCTGGATAGCAGAGCATGAAAGGTAGCTTTCCATCCCATTTCATCTCAATGTTGAGAGCTGAGAGTGTTTGCTGTAACCCAATTGTGTCACTCTAACCTCCTCTGCTTGTCATATAGAAAGACTTGGTTTCAAAGTTAAATGGCTAATAACTCCCTTTCCTATCTTGTTGTCATTTCATGTATTTTGTGTGTATGGCAAACACAACATATAACATATAGGACACCATGTGCTGCCAGTCAGATGTCACATGATAAACTCATTGGGGTTTGATTAGATTACAGGCATGTTCAATGTATCCTGGCTGTGAAAATCTGAGATTATTTCAAAACATGAGCCTCAATAAAACTTTTATTTTCTTATTTGTCCTCTGGGTTTCAGATAAAACAAACAGAAACTTGAGGCTCCACTCCCTCCTCTTTTTATTGACTTCAAACAATGTTTAACAATTTGAACAAACTGTTTCTTCAACTTGAGAGAGTAAACAGTCACACATTCCCTGTCACTTTAGGACAAATAAGAAAGGCCTGACTCGGAGTGGTACACAAAGGTGAGCCTGCAGCAACAACAACGTAGAGAAATAATGAATGCCAATCCACTTATATCATGAGAGACTGTGTTTAGTTTTATGTATGACAGTAATTGTCCGTCCACACATGAGTTTGGAATGAGTCCATTAACCATTAACCAGAAAGTCAAACACATTATCTATGTGTCATGGCAGCCTGAGAAAAAGAGAAACAGGAGATAGAGGTGTCAACAGATAAGCTGTGCTGGGAGAGATCCATGTGTTTTCAAATATTGTCTTACTGGGTTTCATGCTGCATTCCTTTTGTTTTATTTGTCAATCAAATAAAGCATAAACAGAAACTATAAAACTTTATTTTGCTAAATACAGAAAAGAAAAAATTCCTTTGGCAAATTCGTGGTAGTGGGTTCAAGCCAAAAGGTTTTCTGGTAAAACATCAGGGTCGTAACTAAGAGTTCCGACCCCAGGACAAGATATCACATTGGGCCTCATCATTACAGCTTCAAAACTTTATATTCATTGTACAACATGATGTTTCTCTGCATCATTTGAAGTATTACACAACTTGATTGTTTTTCACACACCGAACATTACACATCAACATATATAGAGCGAAATATGGAAACATATTCTCTTTTTTAGTGACAACATAATGAAGAGTGGTAGGTGCAGCTTGCAGGGACGTAACAGCATGTTTCTACCTTTTACCCTCTAAGGAAGGAAAAAGTTTTTATTTACTTTTCTTCCTCCTTTTTGTGTTTGTGTTTAACTCACATGCATCGCCTCAAGCCAGGATTTAAACCCAGAACCATTTAGCTCAAAGGCAGCAGTTCAACCCACTCTACCACACCACGGGTCTGACTGGCAGCACTTTTTTGCAGGTCATTTGATTTTATTTCATAATGGTTGTTCAAAACCAAAGCCAAGAATCTAGTCTGGGGAAAGCATTTCATGTCTATCTTACACAATAAGTCCTCTGATAGGCAGACAGCAAAATCGGTGCTAATTATTGGTTCAATAATAAACATGCGCAGCTTCTTTCACATTCTCACTCTTGTCCTGGTGTCACTTCTTTCAAATTCAAGATGAGAAGAACCATTTTAGGTAATCACATTGAAGTCAGCTGGCAGTGTGTAGCCTCTGGACAGATTGATGCCTTCAGTTAAAGTCTTGTGCATGTGAGAGAGATTAGTGTAACACAACTGCACAGCTGCAAAAAGTAGAGTTCAAAAAGAGGTGTTTCTGTTCCGCATGAAAGACATTGCAACACACTCTGATTTTAAATTGTACACACGTTGTTCTTTATATGCATGTATTTTGAAGCTTTAGTAGTATAGTTGACATGCACATTTATCAAGCTAGTGTTTTGATCTCATGAAAAGGATTGGATCATTTCTTCACAACCTGCGAGGGCTTAGAAACAACACTGCATTGTGGAATACAAAGCGTATTGACACAGATGAAATCAGCAGCTATTTGTTTTTCTGAGAAACATCTGAGGGACACAGTGTTTGTGTTGTGAGACATCATGAGAAACAGACTTATTTACACCTGTGAAGGATCAGATGGCTGCAGGGTTTGTTAAATAATGCAGGAGTTACCAGATGAAGCCTCATAATCCACATGTCTCACAGGAAACCTGGATCAGAATCTTTATTTCACAGAAACCTGTAATAGATGCAGGGAGCGGCTGGAGCTAAATGAGCTCAATCCTCTTTTTGGATATGTGTTTAAGGCACAAACAAACATAACTAGATGAAACACAGCATGGTAGAAAGAACGGTGTTTGCTAAGAACAAATGTGCTTCAAGGTCCCCCGAGTCCATTAAGAGAAAAAAGTGAATTTGCAGAAATAATGCAAATACAAAAATCATAGAATAGTTCAAGAGGAATTTCACCTTGATTGGCTGATATGTGACTATTTTCTTTAGCATATGTAGCTAGATCCATTAGCTTTTTGACTTAGTATCGAACACGCACATCTATGTTTCACTTTGGTTTAGAGTATTTGTTGGTGCTGTGGCAAGTTTCCATCGTTGCTTTTGTTTTGGATTTACATATCCTAGATTTTTCCCTGATTTTGAAACTCATTACTTTAAATAAAAATAGAGATGAGAGGTAAAGAGATAAGAGTTGAATTTAGATATATGAACATAAACAGACTCAAAGACAGCCTCAGAACAACAACAGAGTGAAAGAAGTCGAAAAATTAACCGTTTATGACAACGACTTTCACCACTTCTTAAAAACTAGGGCATTAGCGAGGCTGCGGCTCGTAGAAAGTGAAAGCAAGGATGAGGAAGACACATGATGACAGAGCGACATGAGTTGTCATGCAGTGGATGTTGTACTCTGGCTATCTAAACCCCCCGCCCCCCACCCCTTACATAAGACACACGCTTGGCTGCGGGCATAGAAAACAAGGCCTGTCCCCATGCATTGAGCCTTCCCCTTCATTGAGTCTTAACCATGCAGCACACAACGGGAGCAGACAGTGAGCAATATTGAATTATTCAGGCGCAGAGAACATTGCAGCTTTGAAGGGAAGAGAGCCACGCTGACTTTAGTCTGAAAATAAGAGCAAAACAATTCAAAAAAGGCAAAGGTAGTCATTTGTGCACAGCCACGGTGTTTCTTTGCATGTTACTTGTTGTGCAAATGTTCATTACACGCTCAATAGTGTTAGTCCTCATCTAACAACAGTTTATTGTAACACAGGGATACAACTGCAAACAACTGTGCACTTCACATCTTACTGGAAGAGACCTCTAAAGAGCACATTAGAGAGCTCAGACCATATGCAGCTACTGGAAAGTACTGCAGATGTAACTAATATGTTAATTCTGGGTCAAAGTGGCCTGATGACCAGCAGACGTAGGATTGTCCACCCTCTAAAATGTTCCTCCTGACTTGTTTTCACATTTTCAGATTTACCCACTGACCTCTATAACTAAAATTCTCTCTCCGGCTATTTGGACAAGCATGTCTGTGGCGACGATACATTCAACGCAAGTAGACAGCTTCACACTTGGCCTATCAGCCTGTTTTTAAAACTTTTGGACATTTTTCCTCCTGCTGCTGTGTTTAGTGTCACATCCCCTCTGCCTGTACACCGCCCCTACTGTTCATGTGCATACTGCTGCTTGTGTTTAGTTTTTAAAGATGTACAAAGCTGGTAAGATGCAGAAAACGACTGACAGCCGTCATGCTCACAGACATTATAAGCATAACTGTATATTATGTGCTTTGTATAATCCAACAACGAGTGAAACAAATTAAACCAGGTTTGAGTTTTGAAAAGTCCCTTTGACAGTCCAAATTAGTCACGTTTGATGCTTTAGATTATTTATTGCAGCAGTAGATCATCGATTGTGTTTGGCGTCTGGGCTGCATGATCATCATCCCTCGCTGATTAATTGTTTTGCATGGGGTTGAAACAATGCATGCAGTATCTGTTACGAGTACTTGCAGCACTGGCAGAGAAGAAAGCATGGCTGGTCATTTTGCATCTTAAATAGACCGCCAGATTGGGAGGAATGTCATGTGATGCAGGAGAGTGAAATAAAATCTGAATTGATTAACCCTCCTCCTGTGTTAGGGTCTGTACTGACCCATTTTGATTTTAAATGCTTAAAAGAACCACTTAAATTAGCTTTTTGACTTTGCCAGGAACCTCTATTTCAACAAAATAAAAATGAAAAAATTAAATCGATCAAGTTGTAAAATGCTCTTATTAAAATTATGGCACTTGTCATGTTAGGGTCGCTGTTGACCTGGTTAAATCAATATCTAAAAATTAGAGCAAAAACTGAAATCATAAGTGCACTGTCAGGCACCAAACTGACAGTCAGATCCTCTTCCAATCATGTGAGATTTAGGAAATTCTCATTTTGCCATGTTTTTCCCTGCACAAAAAACAACCTCGGGCATGTCCAGACATGTAAGATCAATTCAGTATGGATGTCTGTATGAGGGATATACTGACAAAGAAAGGCCCAGAGGCTCACTACAAATATATTACAAACAATATTTTCATAAATAATGAAGCCTAACAAGGTAACCTCTAGATGAGAACCAAACTGAATGATAGAGAATTGTTTTTAGTGTAATTTACAGCTGATTTAAGACACGGGTCAAAACCGACCCTCAACATAATGGGTGCGCAGTGAAAGCTAACACAGCAGGAAGGTTAAACAGAGGGGCTTGATTTGTCAACCACAACTAGTTTGAAGGCCTCGCACCATTTATGGTGGAACTTGGAGCTTTGTTACATTAGTCTACAAAGCTTTCTTTATCATGTCTACTTACAATGAAGCGAGATAAAAAGAGTAGTGTGGGATGAATCACAGCAACATCATTCTGAAGTCTCTGTTCATCAGTCTTTCAGTCTTGTATCCACTATCATATGTCACAGTCACATTTTTGGGCCTCCTGTGGCCAAGGGTCAGCAATAAAGAACTTCCTGCAAAGACTTCTGTTTTCATGCGCTGACGCAAAGTAATGAGGTGAAAGAATAGAGCTGAGATTGAGAAATGATTTCCAAAAGACTACAAACACCAAAATTAGTGCCATCTGCTCTCAGATTTGTATTCTTTCACAGAATAAGAGACTAGAAATCTTTAAACACTGTCCTCTCCCATAATATGCTCTGTTTAGTATTATGTGCCATCTATAGTTTTGTCAATCCCTCTGTGCAGCTCTTAAATCTTTCAGCTCTCTGTCCTTTTCTCCCTGTACATCTTCATCTTTTCTTTTCCTACTTATTGGACAAATGTGAGTGGACTTCTCCCTGCAGATTGATATGATTACAGTCAGTCCCCCAGGGTCAGTGATCAGAGCTGTCAGTTCTCTATAGCAGCACTCTGCTGTGTGGAAATGGCAGACTTCAGAATCTGTGATTAACCAAACTGAATCAAGCCTTTTGGAAAGCTGTGTAATAATGAATAAAGTAAGATATTAATACGGAGAATATAGAGCTGCATACATTTCATACATTTACATTAACAATAGATGGTTTTTACATGGAGAGTTATAAACTATTCCCTTTAAGGCCACACTTCTCTCATCAACATAATTCTGCAAATCTGCAGGCTGACATAATGAGACCGTCATTATCAGACTTTTTTATTATATATGAACAGAATTTATCTCTTGTTTGGGACAGTGGCACCCTCTGTTTTAGAGACAGTCCTGGATGGTTAAAGCTCGGGGAAGCAGCTGTGCGCTGCTCCTTTCTGTTGTAATGGTTACTCAGACGTACATTTGCCAAACCAACCAGCTGTGTTCATGTTTACTGTTAGTAGCAAAGTTTCTGACCTCCCTCAAGAAAAAAAGTTCCTCACTGATCCAAACAGGATACAGATTCATTTATTTAATCTGTCTTGGTTTGTGTGTTCAGGCTGCTTTTACAGACAAATACAGGGCTACTTTTTAACCAAACCTAGACTGGAGGCTTAAATGAATGTTAATGAGCGGTGTGTCCACTGAAATAAACCCTACTTTCACGTTTGCTATTTTAATCTCTTTCTATGAAATCTCATGGGGCGTGAATGACAAATACGGGACATTTTTGCCTTTGAGCCATCCTCAATCCACCTGATGAGGACTGACAGTTAAACCACAGACAGTAGAGCTGTAATGTATCTGGGACAGGTATAGATATGTTGCTGGTTATATTTAGAAAACACTGAAAAGAAGTGAATCAACTAATTGTTGGTGAACTATCAGTTAAAGGTACAGCTGACTCGCAGGTTTGTATTTAGGCTCCCGGCGTACACCTGACCTCATTAAACTTCTTTAAAACTCAAACTGTGGATGTCTACGCAGGGTTTGTTTGTAGTTTTTCTACTATGAAAGAGATGACATGAGGTGTTTGTTTGGCTTTATTTAGCTCTTGTGCTTTCATTTGCTTCCAAAGAGAGCAGCTGTCTGCTCCACCTTCACAGTCACGCTTTTTCAGCTGTTATCTTCTGATATCAACTCATCTCAGTGCATTTTATGGCCTAATTTCTTGAGTTTCATCGCAAAGACACATTTTTATTTGCTGTTTTAAACTTTGTAGTTACCACTAACAAAGTACTTCCTCTGTATTTGGGTGTACTTTCAGGAGGAGATTTTATTTAGGTCTTATAGTCTGTAAAAGATACTGTGGCAAATTTTGAAAACACCTACTTAATCCAAACTGCGTGAGAAGGAGTCCAAATATAGAAACACTTGATAAATCTCAGCAAACCTTTAAAGCAAAGTTGTCATCTTGGAGCTAAAAATAGGATGAACAGCAGGGCTTGTTTTTTAAGAGCACTCAAAGGTGTGTGGACTAGACTGGTGTGATCTCAGTTTTCCTCTTAGTTGAAGTGAGTGTATTAAATCTTTAACTGAGAGTGGATCATTGCTTGACTTTGTATCATGATACCAATCATCATTTGTTACCCATACGTCTAAAAGGAGAATTATCTTCCCTGTAATGATCATTTTTGCACCTGTGCAGAGAATTAAACTACATCACCACATTACATTTAGCTACGCTACAGGCAAAGTGACCCATGTTGGATTTTCTTCTCTTACGTTTGTCTCATATTTGATTTTTAGTCACGATCAGATACAGGCCACATCGTTTAAAATGTGACCTCAGCTCTCCTCTCTCCTGAAGTTGGTCAGAGAGACAACAGCAACAGCACTAATACAATGAGACGTTTCCATGATCTGCTCCGAGAGATAAGTCAGCCCATTATTTCAAGAAGAGGATGTTTGAGGGGTGTGAGGATGTGGAAGCTTGTCATCCAGGAAGTCACGGCACTGAGCAATTACAGGAGGATGCCTTTTTTTCCATCAAGGATATTCTGTTTTTACAGCCCTGTCATGCAATCTAGACAAAAACAACAAAAACAACACGAAGATCTGATTTTAGCAGGTTTATCAATTGGACCCAACAGTCTGTTTTTACATTTTCTATGCAAAGATAGATTGTGGGTGGATATATTTGACTGATAGAAGAAAGCAGGGCTAGATTTTTGATCTGAAATGACAGACATAGTAGGTGTATGTTACAGGCCTTTCAAGAGTCACCTGTAACTAGCTTATTGGGTCCTATTAAGTTACAGTAAAAGTTGTGACAGGAGATGTTTGCTGTGTTCCTTCTATAAACTGAGAAGAAGTGGATTTACCACACTTACCACTCACTAAAGTGGACACCTCAGAAGTAGTAACTGCAATTCAACACCTATTATACAAAACTCATTAGAAAAAAATACATCTACATTTGGTCTTATTCAAAAATAAATCATTCACACAACTGTGACTAGGCTGCATATGAGAGGATGCCTCCACAAAAGAGAGGACTGAAGAATATCAGCCCCAAATATTTACTGTCAGCTTCAACAATATTTCTGTCCAAGAACAAGTATCTGGCATGGGATCGTAAAACTACGTCCTTATCTATGTGTGTGTGACAGGAACCTCATGAACAACAGTCCTCACTAAAGTTTATGAAAAGGAGACCTTATTTCCCCAGGTCTGATAAAACTGGTGCTATAAGCTACATCCATATAATCTCTCTAAGGACAGCCTACAGCTATCTTGCAATGAAAAATGCCCATCACTACCCACTCTTTCACCTCAGATGACACCGATTGGCAACAAGCAAATCAGCTTTAGGCTTTGCAAGGTGCATTCACCAATGATGGACATCCATTTGCTCACACAGTCTACAAGATGAAGAGTTTTTGTGTAAGTCACTAATGCTCAAGTGGGTGTTAAACATATAAAGGATGAACAACAATGTCTTGTGTTGAAAACAAGACAAATTCAGAATCTCCAATGAATATTGCTTAGGAATGGAAATAAATTTGTCACAGTAAAGTCTGTTTTCATTTTTAAATTTGGAAAATGAAAAATCAACAAAATGTTTTATTAAGTTGTCCCCATGTTTCTTCTGTTATTAAGCAGATGAAGGAGGCACAGACAAAAACAGCAAAACTATGAATATTTATTTAAAATTTGAACCATACTGTATACAAATATGATAAAGGATGATGCATGAGATTAGATATTTATTTTGAAAGGTCACATTTTTATTTTATGAAATTAAAACAAGCTGCACATTATGGCCAATTGTGGCTCGGCGCACATTTTTCCAGTAGAAGTGAATATTGCATATATTTAAAGGGAAGCATAATTTCAAAAATGCAACAAGCTTTTAATTATTGGCTGTTCCTATGAGCCAGGGAATCTGTTCTGACTGCGGGCAGCCTGAACCGCCTTGTTTTTGATATTAGCCAGACTTTGAAGTACAAAACAATTGGCTTCGCAGAGCTTTGTGCTCTGGCTCTGCTCGCTCATTTATTGAATCACTTTGGCTCCACTGCTGCCACTGCTGGGTTTCTTTTTATATCAGCTGGCTGCAGCTCCTATCTTCCTCTTGTGATGCTGTGCAGTGCAGAGAGCCATAAAGACAAACACACACACATGCACACACATATTATGAAGAGTTTAAGACAATGATTTCTTAATTTGACTTAAATATTAATTTTTCAAATAGCGTCTGTTACTTGGTTGTACATTCAATCAAAATGTTGCATGTTAACATGGCTATATGTTTATATTTTAAACATTTTATTTCTTACATTTCTATTTCTGAGCGTATATTTTTCACACAGGCCTTTGAGCTTTGCCTGAGAGCATAGATAATGTTTGTATGTGTGTGTATGTGAGAGAGAGAGTGAGAGAGAAAGAGAGAGTGAGAGAGAGAAATAAATCTCTAAATCCTTGAATCCTTGCAGTATTTGAAGAGTAAGACCCACAGCCAAGTGTGTAGTTACAGAAGTGTGCCTCGCAGTAACAAACTGCATAAATGAATAGGAAATGATGTATGTTGTCAACAAGATGTACGAGGCAAACACGCACCAATCAGTGCTACTTAGAAGTGATAAGGTGAAACACACTTAGGTTACTGTATGACTGCGGGCCTGCTGTATTAAATATTCATGGGTCCCGGTGAAGGATTGGCACTCTTGTGTAGTTGTACTCCAAATACTGAATGGTAAAAACAGGCACAGTTGCCATGGTTGCTTCATGTTCACCAGATGTTTTCTGTTATGATAGCATGCACCTGGTTTCTAATAGAGCTCCCTGGGAAAGGAAGTGCATCTTCACAGGACATTAGTCATGTATTTATACAGGCTATCTCTCTTAGATCAGACATAGATATCACACAGATACCCACAGTTAAAGGTAGCTGTTGTAACCCGAAAGCTGTAACTTGGCTTATGCAGTTGAAGTCCATCGAGAAAAAAAATCACCTGACAATAAAAAAATGTAAACTTGAGCTTGAATTATTCTATTTTTGATTATTTTTTTACATTCCTTATGGCTTCCATTTGGCTGTTTCAAGTTTAGAGTCTTGTTATTGCAAACACTGCCTCACTCTTTGGCTCATTTCAACACTTTAATGATCCTCAGCCATCATTAGTCTGATTGATAACACCTGTTGTTTTTTCTCCTGTTACGACCAATTGAAATGTCTGCTTTCAGAGAAGCCACTCAATGAATACCCACAATATTTGTTGTACTTTATCAATCAATTTTTGATTTTTCTCTCACTTATTCAAAATTAAGTGCAATCTGGCTCTTACCTGGTGACATCCATGCTGCACTCAGAGCTGTCAGATGATGGTTCTTTCTGTCCAATGCTGCTCTCTGCTGGTTAGAAATGATACGGCATGTTTACACCTATAACACACACGCACACACATATTGAGAAATATTAGTTTTGAATGTTAAGGCAATGGCCGAAGACCTCTGCCAGACAGTGGTAGATTAATTGCCAGATTTAATGCCAACATTGAATTAAATCTTTATTTTTGTCAGTATCACTCTCAATCTGGACTCATTTGTCTTTTACTTGAGTTTTTTCTACACACTAACATATAATTCAATTAATTTAAAAAAATGTACTGAAAACTCTAAATGCCTCTGATGTTTGTTTCCTAATTTATTTATTTTTCCATAAAATTTGTTTTCTTGACAACTTTTAGTATCATTTGCAAATGCTTGACCTCCTGTTGTGAAGACAGTCCCACATATTTGCGCGCATATTGTCACCAGATGGAATCACAGTCTTGTCTTCTTTAATTGGGAGTCCACTGGCGTCGAATTTAGAAACATAACTGAGCATAAAAAGAGACGGCTAAGTTATTGCTCTTCGCTGTTTTGACACAATACAGTACAAAGCCACTCTTTTGAAGTTAACAAAAAAAGGCATTTTTCATTTTGTGGCTCTAACCAGCTGGTTTTAGGTTATTCTTTTGTGGGAGTCTGGATTTTTTAGTTGAGTGATAACTTCCCTCAAGCCTTATTTCCTGCAAACAAGCAGGGTTCTGCTTCATATCTTTCTTATCATGATGGATAGCTCACAGGCCGAGAAGATCCTCTTACGTAAATTCTGCCTCAGATGTGCGTCTATCAGCAGAAAGTAATTGGAGGTTCAGTCAGCTGTAACTCTGTCTGAAGCACCAAGTTGTATAACTATCAATGTTTTTTTTTAATTTGTTGACAAAACAGGAACATTAACTCAGAAAATAACAGCTAGGGCTTGACCTGTGGGCCTCCAAGGAGCTGTGAATAAATATGAATGGCACATAAACATGCAGAGTTTGAATAAATCATGCTCTCTGAGATGGTCTTAGGTTTCCCATGCCCACCAGTGGAGGGGACTCACAGCAGAGGTGGGAGGCCGGGCAGGAGTGACGCATGGGTTTCTCCAGGCGCTGTGGGAAAGAGACAAGGGGGTAGCCTAGATTACTAACCAAGTCAAGAGTTGGAGATTAGCCCCAAAATGTCAGAACCATGAGTAAAGTCTAATAGGGCAGATAAGACAGGCTAGTCAATCAGAAAAAAACAAACAGTTCTTTTCATGTTAAAAAGGCATATGCATTAATTATCAGTGAATCAACTCTCAGTATGATAAATAGAAGGTCAAGACAAACACACTGTATGCTAGCTAGCTAACACCAAGATTAGCTGAAAACTGCAATAGCTAATTCAGGTAGGCTACCTGCTAACTGTGCCAGTCTGCTGTTTGGAGCCTATCACTAAAAATGGCTGCTTTTGAGGCTGAAATACATTTTTACTGCCTGTACTCTCACAATGTATTTCAGCCTCAATAGCAGCCATTTTAAGTGATAGGCTCCAAACGGCAGACTGGCACAGTTAGCATACTACCTGAATTAGCTACTGCAATTTTCAGCTAATCTTGGTCAGGACAAACACACTGTAAGCTAGCTAGCTAACAGCAGAGCATGAGCCCTTACCAAGATTAGCTTAAAAATGCAATAGATAGTTCAGGTACTGTGCCAGTCTGCTGTTTGGAGCCTATCACTAAAAAAAAAAAATAGCTACTTTTAAGGCTGAAATACATTGTGAGAGTACAGACAGTAAAAAAGCAGGTCAGGCAGCTAAACAACAGAGTGATACTTGCTATTTTAGCTCTGTACAGTCAAGGCAAGCTGCAGATACAGGTGATAGTTCATCACTATGTGTGCCAGATCTCACACAGTCATTGTCACTGGATACTGTGGGAACCAGATAAGACTGAAAGTTAATGTTTTATTTGCAGTGGCAGATGCACCTGGTTCTCCTCTGGTCCAAATACAGTTCTTTTCAACCTCATTCAGGTCAGGCCAATCACAACTTCATAACTATTAGAGGATCAGTTCTTCTGCTACTGGGGCATTTTTGTAAACAGAAGAGATGGATGACAACTGACTGCTATTATGTTAGCAAACAGGAGTGTGGCGATTTGGAGTTAAACAAGAAGGGAAGGACCCAAAATACAAAACAAAAATTGACTTATTTAAAAGGAACTAAAAGAAAAGCAACAAAAACTTACTTTCAAAATAGTCCAACCAAAAGAAATCCCAAAGGCAAACACACAAGGAGCAAAATCCAAGGAAGAAAAAATCACAAGGAGACACTGGCATTCACAAAGCTTGACAAATACACACATTCACAATGAACCAACAAAAAAACAAAGGAAGACAAGGGCTTTATAAACACAGGGAAATGAGCAACGAGGGGCAGGTGAGACACTGAGACACAGGTGCAGACAATTACTAAGGAGGGAAAACTGAGGAAGTAAAACAAGACAAGAAACACAGGGAATACGCTACTACAAAATAAAACAGGAAACACTGAGAACATGAAGGAACAGGGGTCAGAAACAAACTGAAAACTCACAAGACAAGACTACAGGGGAACTGGAACAATAGGGAACAGAAACACTGGGAAAATCACAAAGAAAATACACTCCAGGTGAAAACTAAGTCAAACAGAACATATCATGACACTGCTATTATGTTAGTAAACAGCAGCCTACCTCTACAGCATGTCCATGTTTTAGTGTGAGCTAGAAGCTGTATGATTCAGATGTTTGGAATAGCTACCAAGCTCAGTCTACTGCTCAACAAAGTCTTATTTCTTTTCCCACAATGATTTCCTGACAATATGTGAAATATTTGACCACTTTAAAGAAGGTAGGTGGATTTTTGTTGTTACTGTTGTTTTTGTCGTCGTTAAAATACCACTTACAGTAGTACAGTCTACATCAGCTAAGAGATAAGAGTATTGCTGTGTGCACATGGGGTGCTAAAATCGACATAAGTTTCTCACAAGAGCTTTATGGACCGGTATTTAAAATCAGTTCTTTCATCTGCTTTTAAAAGAACTTAAAAATAAAAGACAGTTTATATATCAAGCAAAAAAATTAACCTCTGCATTAATTAAAGATGAACACATTTATGTTTTGTTGCAATTCTGCTTTTCAGTTGTTGTTTTATGACTAAATGTACAAGTGTTTTTTCAACAACTCTATCATTTACTTGCTCTGCTCACAGGGAGTATCTCAAAGTTTGACCCCCGACCTCTGCTGGCTGTCCCAGCTTGCGCCTGACGTAGACCGTCACATATCTCCTGGCTTGACTGGGTGGTCAGCGCAGCACCTACACAAGAGAAAAGATACTGTGGGAACCCATCCTATGGTAAAGCCCAGCGAGTATTAACACTTAATGATTAGGTGTGAAGTATTGTTGAGTCTTGAGTGCTGCTGTAAAATAGACGGTATAAAAACACAGCACACAGCCAATCTCCAGCTCTGAATAATACTCTCAACAGGGGCTCTGTCTCCTGCCAGTTATCCTCATTCGAGACCTCAAGCTGAACTTACAGCTGTCTATTATTTTCCTTCCCCTTATTGGTCAGTTGTATGAAATTAATACAAAGTGTGTAAAATGTGGGTGAACTTTGCATGAGGTAAGATATCCCGCAAGGAGGAGACAGGAGGAGGTGTAAAACTTGTCTGCTTTACAGATAAGGAGGCCTCATGGCAGTGGGAACTAGATACAAGACAAGCCTAAAGTTTTCGACGGCAGAAAGAAAAATCACGTGAATTTTGAAGTAACATTAATCTTTTTTTAATTCAAACATTCAAGCCAGATCAATCAAACCTTTTACTCTTACAGTGCTAGATCAGGACAAAAGTTATCTCAGGACACTTACTCTCGAATGTTCATACAAATGAATCTACACTTGAGCAAGCACTTGGCAAAAGTCGCAAGGATAAACTCCCTTTTTCAGGTAGCCAGACACCCGACAGCCATCTGCTGCAATTGGATAAACTGAGAAAGTGGGATAAAGGGTGAAACATAAAGAAATAAATCAGGTAATATATGAAAACAAAAACATCAGCAGTCAAGCATCTCTCAGTCCTCCTAAAGCTTCTCACAGCCTCGCCAACAAGGTGTCCATCCTACCAACGTCAACAATCTCGGGAGCTCTGCTGCACCCCTGCTTTCTGTCTTGAGTGTATTTTAAGAGGTCAGAGTTCAGACCTCTCACTGGGACTTGTTTATCACTCCAGGGGTTATGTGACCAAGGCAGGAGGGTACAGAAGGGGGAGGGAAAGAGGAGTTTGTTCTCAAGTGGTCACCTCTAGGAAAGCTCCCAGCCAGAAGCAGTGGCCTGCGATTGAGAGGAAGACATGGTATAAAAGAGCCAAAGGGACTGGAAATAGAGACGGATAGAGTCACGGTTGACACACAGTGGGATTTTTTTTTGAGTGGAATATTTACTAAAAGAGAAAAAGCAGCTTTGAGTAAACAGCCTTCACCACTGGCCTGTATTTTCCGATAAGAGAAGTCAGCATGGCGCTGGTGATAAATTATTGGATGTGTTTGGTCGCTCTATCATTGACAGTGACCTCAAGCCGAGCTTTAGTACGGTAAGAAACTTTTCCGTCACATACCTGTTACGCTTTTATCCATAAGGAAACATTAATGCAGTGAAGCAGATTCGATTTGTTGTGTAATTGCTTTCACATATGGGAAAAACTACGGCAGACAAGTTACATCTACAACAAAACAAACTAGGACAGCAAAAGAAAAGCATTTTATGAGTTCATTACTAAAGCTGATGTTTTCAGTACTGCTTCAACACATGTTTTTGTTCCTTTCGCTGGCTGAGAGCTGAGAACAAAGCAGTCTGTGCTTTATTAAACTCTCATTCTTGTTTCTGGGATGATGACCAGGCATATGTATCAGATTGTACCAGATATATAGCTTGAGAAATACACAACAGAAATTTCTCCTCTATTTGTATGGTGGATTCGTGCTCTGTGATGTTTAGGAAGATAGATGAACTCACTCTCGCTCGTCTGGTTTGTTTCCAGAATTGGCCTGAGGAAGATGCCGTCTATCAGGGAGACGCTGAGGGAGATGGGTGTTTCTACAGAGCAGGTGTTGACTGAGCTGGCCCAGATGAGCGCAGATGACACCAACAACGGCACGGTTCCCACACCTCTGACCAACTATTTAGATGTGAGAAACTTTTGGGGACTTCTTGTTCAGAGGAAAAATTCTTAAACCTCTTTTGATGTATCTTAATCATGCAGGTTGAAGGTAATTTACATAAAAATGATTAAATATGCTCTTTGGGACTGTAAGAAGAAAAAAATCAAACATCTGACCACGAGTTAAATCAACAAACTCAAGAGGCTTCATCAGTCTTCTTGACTGAGTGTAACAGCAGATCCAATTGCCTTCAGTGAGCAGTGTATCCTTCCTGTTGTGGCACAATAAAGTACTGAAAAAAGGAACATTGAATAAACATAAAAAGGATCTAGACTTGACTTGCGTTTGATGAAGGGAAACATACTTTTTTTCACTGTTTCCTGACAGACCCAGTACTTTGGGGAAATCAGCATCGGCTCTCCGGCTCAGCAGTTCAATGTCGTGTTCGACACCGGATCAGCCAACTTGTGGGTGCCTTCACAGAGCTGCTCACCTTTCTCCACCGCCTGCTGTAAGTATCCAATACCACACATCCATGCCAGGAAGTTATATTTACTTAACACAGCTATGAATCACAACTATATAATTATGATGTCTCAAACAACTGTGTGGAAAAAGAGGTTTTCTAAAGAGAAAAGACCCCCCAGGGGAGGATTTGTACCATATTGGCAGCCCTCCTTGGCGTCATAAGGCTTTGGAGCTCAGAGTTCAGATTTGGGTCAAACACTCAGATGTTTAGGTTTACTCTTACAGCTGTAGTTCAGCACAGTGAGGTATTTAGCAGCTAAAAAGACAGATATTTTCCAAAGCATTGGTAGAGACGAAAATTACCGGGAAAATCAGAGCTCAAAGGGAGTCAATATTGGACAAGGATTCATCAGGTGACCAAATAAAATTATATATCTTAACTTCCGGACGTGTAACCAACTCTTTTAGGCTGATGTTGTGATCAGCCTAAAAGGAGATATGTCCAACAAATTATGTAAATGTTGTTTTGTCTAAATAAGATCTGCTTTATTTGCTCATAAACTTCCCTGATACAAAGTTGTTTTGTTACTCAAATACACTTTGAACTCTTAGTTACTCACAACAGGTATGATGCCTCCAAATCCAACACCCATGTTGAAAATGGTACCGGGTTTTCCATCCAGTACGCTTCAGGGAACGTCAGGGGGTTTCTGAGCGAGGATGTGGTGGTGGTGAGTTTAAAGTTAATGATCTATGACTCACAAAAAGAAGAATCGGTTTTATCTATCTATATAAAACCTTTTATTTCTTCACAAAGCTGTAATTTTGTATTAAACCTCATCTTGTTTGTCTCCTCAAGGTCGGAGGTATTCCTGTGGTGCAGGTGTTCGCCGAAGCCACCTCTCTGTCTGCCATGCCCTTCATCTTTGCGAAGTTTGACGGCGTCCTGGGGATGGGTTACCCGAACGTGGCCATTGACGGCATCACACCGGTGTTCGACCGCATCATGTCTCAGCATGTCCTCAAGGAAGAGGTGTTCTCAGTCTATTACAGCAGGTGGGTTCAAGCTGAACCATCTGACCTCATCTCTCTGGATTTTATTTTGTATGAAAAAAACTTCTGAAGTAGCCAAAAGAAAAACAAAACAAGGAGAGGAATTTGACAAATGGGGAAAGGAGGGATCTGACACTGTCTTATTTAAACAATTTTTTGGTTCAATTTTTTATCTATAAGGTGGAGCTGGAAGAAAAAAAACATCTGATGATAAAGAAAACCAAACATTAAGATCATCTTGAAGATGACAAAAATGCTTTTTTGTTTTTCTTTGACGTCTTTACATATTTCTTTCTCATTTATCATACTCTGGTGTTGAAGAAAACAGTTTTAATAGGCCTCATAGGAATGAGTAATTCAACTTTAGAACGGGATATGAAAACAAGCACAGCAAAAATGTTATTTCTCATGACTCTCTAGGGATCCAAAACACTCCCCAGGTGGAGAGCTGGTCCTTGGCGGCACTGATCCAAACTACTACACTGGTAGCTTTAACTATATGGAGACAAGAGAGATGGGCAAGTGGGAAGTGACCATGAAAGGGTAAGACCTTTGCTGCGTTACTTACACAGTGCGTGTTTGCGCAAGCATGCCGAATCAACATCTGTTTTATTTTCCACCTCTCCTTTCATTCTTTCAGTGTTTCTGTTGGGGTGGAGATGATGTTTTGTACTGAAGGCTGCACAGCTGTGATTGACACAGGCTCCTCCTACATCACAGGCCCGGCCTCTTCTGTGTCTGTGCTGATGAAAACCATCGGCGCACAGCTGGACGAAAGCGGAGTAAGGTTTTTACACACACAACATGGTTTTCCTACTATAAACATTTATTATAAAAAAAGAGCATAATTACAGTCAACACCTTTTGTTTTGTGTTGCTTTTATTAGTACAAAGTCAACTGTGACACTGTCAAGACGCTGCCCACTGTCACGTTTCACCTGGGTGGTCAGGAGTACTTGCTGACTCAAGAAGATTATATCTTATGGGTAAGCAGGATGGTGACAGCTGGGTCACTGTAATGTCAACAAACACGAGTGAAACCACCCCAAAAGCTGTTTTTTTTTTTTATTATTTCCATTTAAAGATTTTGTCCGCGCTCTGCAACAATAAACATGCAACAGCAGTGATTAGTCCCTTCCCTTTGTGGGCCATGTGATCAATCTATAAAATATGATACCTTATTGTGGCTTGAGGGCCCGGCACATGAACATGCACACACTCAGGTGTTTTCACTTATGTGGCTCATTAAAGCTGCTCAGGATGAGCGAAAGCACATGCCTGGATTTTCATAGGCTCATTTTGTACTGATTTGAAAAAGGAACAAGTTAATTCTTATCATGCATGAGGTCAAGTCCACAGAAATTTTTAAATCGTTGTTATACATCAAACACATCTGCACAAGTTGAACAAAGTGTATTTTCATCCAATCAGTGATTTTTTAGGGTTTATCATATTATGCCTTTTCTTTATGGCTCCAGCAAACACAGATCGAGGGGGATGTTTGCACTGTCACCTTCAGGGGTTTGGATGTGCCGCCCCCAGCAGGTCCCATTTGGATTTTGGGAGCCAACTTCATCGCCCGCTACTACACAGAGTTCGACCGTCGCAACAACCGGATAGGGTTTGCGACAGCAGTGTGACAGGAGCTGATAAATCTGCCTTGTTGTTCTGTTTTCATTATTTCTCTGTCTCTGCTGCTATCTTTTTCATTTATCACACAGGAGCGTGTCCAGGCAGTAGCCAGGGGTGGCATGGCCCTCGTATAATCCTATGACTGGCTGTTCAGAAGTGATATTTTTATTGAAATCAACCATTTGGGTTTTGTGGCAACAAGCTGCTGGAAGCTTTCTATAAAGTATGACTTTGGGCTACAACATAAAAATTAATAGGAACAGAAAGGGTACATAAATGCTTTTCAGTCTTGTGTGTGCACACATACTACATTTCACCTCGTTAAAGCCCCAGCATGCCACCCCAGTCGAGAGCGTCTGGACACAACCCTGGTCTGACTTCCCCTTTTACTGCTTTTTATGATCCTGATCAATCCTGATCAAACTGCATCTGTTCTTTATGAAACGAATCACGAGTGCACAATGAGAAAATATTATCTCCTATTTTTTTTGGCAAGTTTTTCTTTCCTAATACTTCGTACCAGTTGCACTGAATACCTTCTGAACTGTTTTATTTATAAACATTATTAAGCAAATTCAATGTGTCTTTGTGTTACTGCTGTTTTTATTCAACAGCAACAGTGGAAACCTGCATTGTATGGATGTAATGAGAATAAAGTTGTTTTCCTGCAGGGGTTCACATTTGCGTCTAACCTCATTATTAACTGTACTTTCTTTTGTGAAGTTGTCATAATTGGTAGCTATGTGTAAACATGTCTACAACAGATATATGTCTCATGTACAGCAGTCACGTGTGCTGCAGGACTTTATATTTAGCAAGAATTACAGTAGGACATTTTATTTCCTTAATCAAATCATCCTTTTCCAGGAGTCTACACAGCTCGTGATCCCCAACATTGAAAAACTGTCCTTTTCCGTTGCAAAATAGATTATGCAAAAGAGGCAATAATGACTCTTTTGTAACCCAAGAAACTGAGATTTAAAGTTGAAATCCGGTTTAAATTTTTGAATTCGAGGTATTAATCAATAAAATAAAGAAGCGCACGTGTCTCTTCAGGGTCCATTAGAGACTGACTCCTCTGCACAAAATTGTTTCTACTTGCTTTGCTGGCAGAAGATGCACAAAGATAACACAACTTTGAAACTACAAATTCATCAGATAACGCTATCAGATATTCTTGTCTTGTCCTCTGAGTTATTTGGGGAAAGTCCTCTCTTGTGACAATGATCTGACAGTGGAGCTGTCATGCTTCCTTACTCTCACATCCATGAATTGTCTTGGGTTGGGTTTTATCTACTGGCACTATGCAGTGAGGTGAAGGTGGGTGTCTGTGTACAGGAATTTAATCAGTACATCCATACTTTTACACAAACGTCTTTCTCAGCATGCTAGGCTGTGTCAACAAAAATACTCGGTCTGGAAACCAGCCCAAACAACGGCTCAGACACATTCCAAAACTAACAGATGTAGACATTTCGCGAGATACTATCTGTATTGTTCCTGGCAAATATTTCTATATAAACCGTATAGCTATTTTGAAACTGAATTCCTTCAGAAGTCATGCATTTCCTCTAGAGCAGTTGTCTGTTATTGCTTAATAAAGCTGTAATCTATTGGCTGTACATGTTGTTATCGTTATAGCCCATAATTGTAAGAAACATTATAGATTATTAATCATCATTTAAAGCAAGCTAACGCTGCCAAATCTCTGAAATTAGTGACCTTCAATCAGCTTTGTCCTAAACTAATTCTAGTGGCTGTATTTCTTTTCATAGAAAGCCAAAGTACAACACGAAACAGAACTATCATACAGTCAAAATTACATTAAAGAGGGATGATTTATCCTTTGTATACTCAGACATTATTCAATCATTCACTTCCTTGCCAAGACGTAGATGAGAAAATTAGTACTGCTCACGTATTTGTCTGTACAATTAAAGCTGTAGCTGGCAGACAGTGGGAGCATATTGTACCAAAGCTCCAAGCCCAGATCTATTTTCCCCAGCTCGGTTATCATCCTAATATGAAAAATGTTTTAATGTTTGATCTTTAACTTCCTGTCTCAGTGTGTTAAAACTATCCACGGGGAGCTGGAAGCCTTCATGTTAGATGTAATGAAAACCAGCGTTGAAACATCCAAATGGCTTGCACTTCTGTAATTTTAAATGTAGATTGTCCTAACCAGCTTCTTACAATCTGAGTGTCAGACTGTGGAAAAAGTTTGGACGGCGTGTATGAAGCTAACAGAATAAGAAACACACTCCCAGTTGTCATTTATTTAGATAATTACCCTCTCCATTAAATAACACAAACAATATGGGTGAAAACTAAATGTTTGGATTTTGTTTGTGCTTATTTGCAGAATTTATTTTCTGTGCAGCCGGTGATAAGTCCAGTCGGCTGGAGACAACTTTAATTTTCTGAAACTCACTCACTACACCTCCCATGCTGAAAGTGGTATTAATCTTATTGAAATCCAACCAATAAAGCAGAGATTTATTCAAAACTATTAAGCAAAGTTAAATGAACTAATGGTCAGCATTACAACTCAGCCAGGAAAACTGACTGTAACTCTATGATGCTTATTTCAACTTCATTTAAACTGAGGGACATTTGGCTGTGACTGTGGTCCAAAAACTCCAGAGATTTGAGTTGACTTTTGGATTCAGGCCTAGTATTCAATGGGAGTGTATATGTTCCCATGGCCCTCTTTTCTCTAGGGTTTATGTCTCATCTGAATGTCCTCTTAAAATGGCACCTGCAGGAAGCATTTTTCAGCCATATGTTTTAGCTTAAATCAAATGTCACATTGTGTTAATGTATTGTCATGAAAACTCACATTAAATTGTTTTCACAGACACTACGCTCTTCAGGTGCTTAACTTAACTTAATAATTAATATTGCTGTCACCTCAAACCTGATGATATTTTATACCTTTACTTTTTACCTTTGTTCTTCTTAAGTGTTAGCTGAGAGACATCTCTTACAAGTCTCATAAGAATTTTACTAGTTTGGATTTCAGCGTGAATTCATGTGTCTGCTTGGCTTCTCTTTTTCCTTTTGCAGCCATCTCGTGCTTTGGAGGAGACAACATGGTAGGAAATACATGAAAACAAAAGTAGCACTAGTAAAAGTACTAAAGCTGCTCATATGAAACAGATGGGCATTAAATGTTAAATATGAGCCGCGATATTCTGCTCCCATGATTTAGTTTGACTTTCGTGAGGAGTTGAAGTCACACAAGCATTTGACGGACCTTGTGAAAAATGAGGCACATAAAAAGCGTGGCAGCTCCATTCCCATGACTCCTCTTGCTGTCTTGATCAAGCACTGAATTTAAATCTGATCACACATGTTTCTGAACCCTCCGCAGAACACAGCTTTTGGCTCGTGTCATCTCATAATTTTTAGTGTCAGTGAATCCAGCGGAAAGACCAAAACCAAAATGTGTGTTTGTCTCTCAACACTCGCTGCTCTCCCTGAGTTATCTGCGGCATGCTATCGTCAGCCCATTCATTCCAACTCAAGATGGATATTTTATGGGGTGAAGAGGGAAAGATACATTCTTTTCAAAGTTAAACCTGCAACGTGGGACCCTCTGTCTCTCCCCACTGGTAATGAAAGGAATTACACAGTCAGTTAAGAGTGTGTTTCCACATATACTCCTTCCCACTAGCAAACGATTACCTTGTTGGTATAAATCTCTGTCTATCAGGTCAATCATTCATCCTTTCATAGTGTCTATTTGTCTGGGGTATCAAACACTCTTTTTAAAGCAACTCAAGCTGTTACTATTGCAAAAGCTGCTGTCTTCTTTAGTTTTGGCAAACCAGCTGTTAGTTGTTAGTACAAAATTTATCATTACTTGCACACAAGTGTGGCACTGTTTCCTCAGATGGTACTTTGAAAAAACTCTGGTTTGCTGCCTAAAAAAGAATTTCAAGAATTATGAAAATTCAATTGACCAAAAAAAAAAAAAAAAAAAAAAAAAAAAGAGAGAGAGAGAGAGAGAGAGAGAGAGAGAGAGAAAAGAAAAAGAAAAAAAAGTTACACTTATTTAAAAAAAAAAAAATGTCCCTTAAAAATCCTGGGTAAAAGGATGTGGTAGCAATAGTGTGGCTAACTGGTTAATTGAGACAGGAAATAACAGTTGTTTTTTTTTTTACAGAAGACAAATGACGAAAATCAGGCAATAACTGGTGGCAAGATTAAACTGATATTTGTTGGTCTTCTAAAATTGGTGAACAGATGGAAAAATTAGGAACATCACCAAATTTGTTGAGCCAAACTCTATGATTTCATTACTGTAAGTGCTTTTGTGAATCCAGCCTTCAGTGTGACAAATAGTATTCAGTAGAAAATATCATTAATCTCCATCTCAGCATTGCTTTAATTTGACTTTGTGTACACAAATATGACTGAATTAGATTATGACTCAGAGCTGATACAGTTACACTCGGTCTAATATTAATCATCTATCTGTGCATGTACATCAACATGAACCCTTTCCAGAGTTGATTTCAAAATTGGATTGGGAGATTGGATTCATATCTGGATTAACATTAATATGGTGCACAAACCTTAAAACTGTATAATGTCTTTGCTGACATAGAGGCTTATGTTTAGTATTCTACACCCTGTTGCACATCAACAAGAACTGTCATATTTTGTTGTTTTGTTGATCACATGTTTTGTATGTAGAGGGTTGGTTTGCAAAGCAACTACAGCTGTCAGATAAATGCACTGTGTCTGACAGTCGAACACAATGGAAGCGCTAATTGGAAACATTCAAGCAAAACACAGCTTCCTCAATACCAAACTAATCATGGTACTTGACTAATGTAAAAAAATTTATCTCATTGCTGCATAACAATAAAAGCTGCACATTTCACAGTATAACAGCAATAAATGACTGATTCACTACTTTACGATGTTAGGTGCAGGAATGTGGTTGTAGTGCAACGTGTAAGAATTCACTTCCTGTCTTAATAGATTCCAGGCCATATGTGGGTTTTTTTAGAGTTTGTCAATCTGCTATGAAAAGAATTCCCCATCAAAAGTCGCCCATAAGGGCGTTTATATGTCTCTCACCAGGGTTAGGTCAGGTCTTACAAATAGTAGCAAGCGACACACCCACTGTCCCAAAAAAAACCCTGACTTTCTTTAGTTGCAACGTGACGTTGAAATAAGAAGAAAAAAAAAGTTTAGGATTCCTCGAGCAGCATGGAACATCTGCTGTCTCGGACTACCTCTGGGGACCCCCACAGTGATGTGCAGATCTTCTCTCTGAGTGATGACTACATCTTATTTTTCTTGCCCGGTGGGTCCACTTGATCGCAGGATTTATTCTCCTGCGGAAAACAAGGGTGCATTGCCCCTGCTTAAATTGTTATTCTTAGAGTTCATGTATGGACCAGTGTTTAAATGAAAGCTGTTTTCCAGAGATATAGAGTTTCAAGAGCAAGAACAGATGTTATCGGAACCAACCTCAACTTCCCACAAACTTTTTGGGAAATTTTTCAAGTTATTCCTGAAGAGGTCTCTTGCCCCATATACTGGAATAAAACACATTTGTAAGACAAACTACAACTTTAAAAAACTGTTTGTCACAAGACATCTGCAGCAACACAGGACGCCGAGTTGTCATACAGAAGAGAGGTGGGAGGTCTTTAAAAAGGGCCGTCTGTCAGCTGAAACAGTTAGTCTGCTTTTGAACTCACTCTGTGCAGAAGGAGCACGTCAGGCGATGCACTGAAGAACAGCGCCACATGACGAAGTGGCATATTTCCTTCACGACAAATTCCTTTCTGTGGAGTGGAACTAAATATATGAAAAGGATCTGTTTGCTTCAATGTATGTGACAGAGGAGTCTGGTGTTTTCCATTGCCAAACACATACCAGATGACCATCCTTGTGTCAACCCTGATTCAGAGCAAAGTTAAGGTAGGTGAGAACTCTTTTACTGTTGCTGAGGGGAAATGAAAACCATCAGCAGTGCGATGCAGGAGAGGACTGGTGCATGTTCGTGTTAGTCTGTGGATGAAGTTGGTCTTCTTTTTAGCTTGATTGTTAAGATTGCTGACCTACATACAGATATCATAGACAGCATGGAGAAAAACAATCATGTGACAGGTGACATTTGCATCATGTGCTCTTGCATTTGCCACATACCAGTCACATCAATAGTTTTATTAGATTACATTAATTGGATTATGTTTCATCATCAATCATCAAGTGGGTAACCAATAGTAGTCTAGCATTGATAGTCTCTGAGCTTACACAAGGCATCTTGTTTTACTTTGAGAGTTGCTTTTATTTCCATCTTCACTGTTTCGAATAATACTTTCAACAGACTGTAACTCTTTCTTTGCTTTCAAAGTAAAAATTCATTGTGTCGCAAGATTTTTTCCCTTTTCCTTCAGGTCCCAGCAATAAATCTGCATGCACATTTTGTTCAGCCAAGATTCACGGGGAATCATGAGAGTGATCTTAAGGAGAAAGTGCGTGAAGTTGGTGTAATCCAAAGAGTTAAATTTTACAGCTCAGTGTAATATGAGGAACAGGCGACAAATAATGAAAGGGATACACGCTGTCTCTTGTGGTTTTTAAAGAATTGCCCTTTGTGTCTTAATGTATCTCAGAAGTCAAGAAGGGAACAGATAAATCATGTTTTGATGTTCCAGTCCAGTCTTTCTCTGGCATCTGCCTTGACTGTTGCAAAAGAAAGGGTCACGTAAGTCAAGGGGATGATTAGTAAGAAATACCTCTTGAGGGGCAGACATTTGCCCGCAGTGTGAAAGACATATGCTCGTCCCACATCTTTTAATCCACTGTTGAAATCCATCTGGAGCCCATTTCACTCTAACAATTGCCAAAAGGTGCTTAGTAGCAGACGTTCAAGTCAGTGCATGATGCTCAGGCCATGCTTTTTATGGTGGAGGGCACTATTTGACCAGATCTGGAACTAATCTCTCACCAGTACAGGTTCTTTTGAGGTCAAGCGCTGTCAAACATCAGCGAGGAGATATGTCGCAGTAAAAGCCCGATACTTGAGACGAGACACAGAGCTGCAATGCATAACAAAAATCATGTGCAGAGGTCCAAAGGGAGTGTTGTTGTTGATGTAACAGAGCGGCTTCTCTTGTTTGCATGAACTTTCTGTAAAAATAGAAAGGAGAACTTTGGATGGACATGCTGGAATTGCCTTGACGCATACACTGTAAAACTGCTTTTGGCACAATGTAGAGGAAATTCCATGTGAGCTTGCTTTATATCTTGTTTTCCTTGTAAAGTTATTTATAAGAGAACTCCAATGATGACAGGTTTGAAGGGAAAGCTGACTGCTATTTGGAGTGCATTCATATAAAAATAGTTAAGGTTTGGGATGCTATATTTGTCCTTATTTACCCTGTGGTTGAGTTTGACAGAGTTCCAAATTTGGCGTACTTGTCTGCACGAGCTTTCCGGCTGAGTAAATGTCTGATTGCGTTTGTGTTTGAGCCCTCCTTGCAGATCTACAAGGGTGTTAAGATAATGTGTGGTTGTATCAGTTGCAGGTAAAGTGTCTGTGTGTGCTTATGTTCCTGAGCTTCCCTTTGACTATGACTGAGATCCCTGGTCCATGCAGACACTCCATCACTAGGGAGCACCTGCTGATAGTCAGGCATCTGGTAGGTGTTGAAACATCACGTCAATCAAGCGCTGTTGGATCGGAGACAATTCGTTGATCGTAGGGTGAAGTCTTCTTTTGTTGCCTCTGCAGATGGATAACCAGTTAAGAAGCGGGTGCTCCATCACCTACACATTCACAGAGCGGAGGAGTTTGGTAAGGTAACATTTGTTTTACGGGGCTGTTTCCATCTGACGCCTTTGATGAAAACTTTCCACTGACTAAATCCTGTGTGGAGTTTATGACCTCGCACTTTGATTTCCCACAGAGTAAATGTTGCTTTGTTAAAGCCGCTTTACCGTGGATTCTGGAGCTCCTCACCACCCACTTCAAATATAATCGGGGTTCAGTCAATGATGGCTACGTTCAGTCCCTGAGGGCGCTCATCCTCAACATCTACTCTCAGAAATGTGTCCCTCAGATTAATGAGGAGATAGAGGTGAGTGTGGGATCCTCAGCACTGATTCTGCGATGTGTTTCTTCAGGACAAAGTTTTAAAACGTCTATAATATAAACCATAGAGGAGAAATATGTGATGAGAGGTACTGCCAAGGATGAGGAGATAAATCTGCAAAACATTTAAGGTATTTTCTGGGAATCTGCCGCAGGATAAGCCGGAGAGTTTTGAGATGCTGTACAGAGGGTCACCGTCTGAGGCGTTGCAGAAGGCTTCAGAGGTATTGTCCGCATACTGGGAGCTGGTGACGACCAGCGACACGCCAGTGGATTGGCGCTGCCAGCATGAATACACAGAAAGTTTTGGCTCCACGACAGAGCTGTTTACAGAGTCACCCACAGAACATTTAACCGGTGGGAATTTTATCTTCCGGAAAGTTCTCTGATGAATTATACAGATGTCTGGGGCCGCTGAGATTACATATCACGTGTCCTTTTCTACAGAAAGTTATGGTAGCAACTCAGAAAAGGCCTTGCACAGAAGAAAAGACAGAGACCTATACAAGCTTGGCTTCATCATCGCCTCCACCTGTGGAGGACTGCTGTTCCTGCTCACTCTCTACTGTCTCATCTCACAAAAGGTAACAACCCTCCTCTTTTTGTTAATTTTTAGATCACTATGCCTTTATGAAGTCGAGCAATGCATTCCTGTCATATTGCAATACAGAAGGCCTTGGCTGCTTGGCTGTGTCCTCTGGGGAACTCCCTATTGCCAAAAAAACAAGCCCTACCCTTGCTGGTAAATTCTGAGCATAACAAAACATGGTAGAGGCTGATGAGAGCGAGAGTATTGTTTTGCAACAGAAAATTCTGGGTGCGTTTGTGTTCGTTCTTCTGTCCAGATGGTACATTTTATACAGCAAAGAAATACTCACCTGGCTGAGGCTCATATGTATTGTTTGTTACCTCGGAGTCAAGACCTTAACAGAGACTCAATCATCACATTCCTACACCAGGCGAACTCTGCAGATTTGTTTGTGGTCTGTCTAATCAAGGGCCTGAAAGAGATTGAAGTCTCGCCAAAAGCCTGAGAAAAAGAGACAATCCTCGGAACGCTGCCAAGCGCAGTTAATTCTCGGTAAAGATGTGTTTCCTAGAAAGCAGATATTTGTTAATAGCCTAGCTAAAACTAACAAGCAAATTACATTTTGGCGTGGGCGTCATTTGTTTCAGTTTTTATTAAAAGAAGGACGCTAAATAGACATTCGATCATGGAGAATCGAAAACAGATTTACATAGGACTCAGCTCCTCACAGGCTAATGAAATGTGGAGAAACTCTTGGAAGAGTTTTCTTCTTTTCTGGAAGGGTCTATAAGTCTCAAATGAAAAGGCTGCTCCGTATTTGTGTTTAGATTCGCCTGTCAAATTGAATAAGCAGATTTTAGTTTGCATTATACTTTCTCCTGTAAACATAAGTTTGCATTGTATTGTATGTGTAGGGCATTTGGCAGCAGCAGCAAAATACTCTCCTTATGGTGCCAAGCAATTGCAAGGGTATTGCTGTTGCCATATGTGCTGCGAGTGTAATGCATCAGTGCGAGAACATAAAAAATCATAAAAACTGCAAAGGCGACAGTGCTGAACAATCCAGTGCCACATCGTGTTTAGTGCTTTAACAAGTGTGCTGAATGAAAAGATGATTTGGATCACAAGGGAGGCACTGGGATGGGTTGAGGTTTGCACACCACTCCAGAAGTGAAGGAAACTTGCGTCAGTGACTTTCTGCATTAAATCAAATTAGAGCTTGATACAAGTGGTGAACTAATGGTAAACAAATGGATCTATTACAAGCAGTTGCACGGGGGTGTGAGGCCTGTGGTTTACTGGAGTTCTGTTGTTTAAAAGCAGTTCGCCTCAAACACTGCAGACTTCACATGTGCTGGCAGAAACTGAGAAACAGCAACCAGAAATCACACCCGAGCTCGAGAAAACCAGGGAGCTTACATCCCCTCATAAATTGATCCCTTGCAGGCTGATTTAGGTGGTTTGTGATTCTTGGGTAAAAAAAAAAGAAAACTAAAAGTGGAACAAGAGCACAATCAAGATTAAATTTGAACTCATTGTCACTGCAAGTATATTTGGCTCCGAGCATCTCTATTAAACAAAGCAAATGCACTCTAGAAGTTGGAAGTTACGACCATATCATCATTCCTCAGTTTCTCGACATCAAAACAACCTCATGAATTATGCTATGACAATTTTTAGAAGCAAGAAGTGACCATACAGGGAGGAGAACTAGAGAGTGGAACCAAACTAGAACAAGAAGTTTGTGATGGCTCAATTAGCAAAGCTGGACAGTCAACCCTGTGACTGATTTAATAGTCGTGGATAAGTTCAAGCCTCAAGTGGACATTGGATGAACTGCACAATTTTGCATTAGCTTTATTTTATGACATCACAGATTGCTACTTTAAAAACTGACTGTGGCATCTGTCCGAGTTAAACTCAGTGAAGCCTATTTAACTTATGTTGTTTATGGAATGAGCACCATACAGGTCCTGCTAGGCAGCAGCTGTCTGCCTGCTGTAGCTAATGTTATCCTGAGGCAAACAAAGCGTAAAGTTTCCAACTCCCAGTGGATTAGTTTACAGCAGCTTGGCCAAACAGTTTCCTTTCGCATTTTCTTGCTGTTATATGCACTCAGTCTTTCATGTGTGTTGACATCTTGTTAGCAGGCCGTGGTTGTTGCCGCCTAGGTCTTTTTCTATGAATAATCGACATATTTCCCATCAGCTGATATGCAAACACATATTGTTTCTTATAGGCAAAATCAGTTGCTTGTGGTTATCCCTCGACTAGAACCTGTGGTAGAAGCTATGCATGTCAGAAACTGGGGTGTACTCATCAACTGTGTGGCCCTTGAGAGGGAAGGATCTGTTTTTCCATACAGTGAAGCCTAACTATCAAGCATTCTTCAGTAAACTACTGTTTTTGCCATAGTGTTTACCTATGACTTAGATGGAAACTATACGTCTGCACCTGGGGCGTCAACAAGCAGTAGTAAAAATGTGCTGGACCAACTTTACACAGATTGATTGATGTGACGTGCCTGATCTGCTCGTCTCTTGCATTGCAGAGAGAATGGGCTCTGCTTCCTTAACTTAAGGCTGGTCCTTTATTCTCTGTTTTACATTATTGGACAAACTGATTAAATCAGGTATGACTGATCATTGAGACTGCTCAGACACTCCTGGATTAATCAGTTTGTCCAATAATGTAAGACAGGAAATAAAGGAGCTACCTTAATTCAGGAAGTAGTGGAGCTGTGCATAGAGCCCATATCCGTTGCCAAGGGGCTGTTTAGGGTATAGACCAATCAGATGCAGATATCTGACACAACCAGGTGATTAGCAAGTGGGACAGGTAAAAACTTACAAGAGCAGATATCAGTCACCACATGTATATTTTTTTTAATGCAATAATAAGACAAAACAGTTTCTTTATGTGTGTATGTTCTCTGCTCAACAAAAACACTGGATAGGAGGGAAGCAGTCTGCTTTAGAGGATTAATAAGACCCCACTAAAACTACCTCTGCTTCTGGCAAGCTGCTCTCTTGGCTGTGAGCGCACAGACATTAATGAAGGGCTCTTACATACAGTGCATCATTCTCCACTAGTGGAATTCTACTCGTACAATAGCCTTTGGCAGAGGATTTTTCCCGTGGCTTTTGTGCGTATCACTTGATTTCCTGTCTCGCCTGCTTTTCGCCAGTGTTTGAGCGAATATATCCCTGCTTACTAACTCCCTGTAAGGCTGATGCATTAAGCGTCTTTCTGACTTTAATTAACATCATCTGTGTTCTTCTCAGTGTGCATGTGTGGCAACAGGAGGATGAAAGGAGCCATAATGCTTTGTGAGGAAGTGACCAATGTTCGAGAAATGATGCTCCACTTGGGGCATCTGCGTTTCTGTGAATATTAAACTTGGCAGATTCAGTATGTGGGCCAGAGGATGTGCTTTTTTATTTTTATTTTTTACCTAACTAGACTGGGTAAGCAGACATAATATAATGTCACGCCATATCATTTGGTCTTGATGCATTTACTAAATTTTCTATGGCTGTGAGCTGAGTAATTACAGTCTGCAGGGGGTACGATGCTCCCATCTAAAAAGTGGTTGGATTTAGTGTACTGTGCAGACAGATGGGTTAGACTTTCTTATACTTTGATCTAACGTATATGTTGCTACAACCACAGGCCTGTGAGTGAATAACTCTGCTATAAATTGTGAGCTTTATCTGACACATGCGAGCTCTGTCCACCTGCACTTCTTTTGGTGGGGCAGTATATCCAAACTCCCCACAGGGTTAAATCCATAACCGTATGAAGGTTTAAACTTGAGCCAAACATGTGGCTCCTTTTAGCACCATTCAAACGGCCATAAACTCCCACCTTTGCTGCGCTGTTTTCCTTTCAGTGGTTAATTTTGGCCAGGGTCCTTCTTTAAGTGACCTGTGACCCACCTCTATCGCCACCCTCTGACCGAGAGCAAGAAACTGGCTTTGCTTTGTCTACAGATAAATTACAAAATTATGTAAACATCACATCGCTGAGGACTTTTCCTTAATGTGAAAATCTCTGAACAACTCAGCTGCTGTAAATTTGAAAAGTCTGTGAAAAGCGTTTAAGTTAGAATAGATTTCATCACGGACACGTTTCTGCTTCCTCCAGCATTACCTACTTCCTCATAACTGTGCATTCAAACTCTACTAAAATATACCTTAACACATACTTAATTTTATGCTTTGTTTCTTAACCCATAACTGTTGACCGCCTGCCTCGTACTCCGTCATCACTCAGAAACCATGTATGAATGTTTGCAAATGATTTAGTTGCTTCGACATTAAAGAAACGAGGTGTGTTTGTCACTTTGCCAACACCCCTGTAGTTCTCACAATGTGTGGTCTGTGGGTTTTATTTCATCAACTCTTTTCTCTCCAAAACAGAGGACTCACAGCTCACACAGATCAATATCATACACAAACTCAAGGTAAGAAAACACCCACTATGACAATTCAAGATCATCAGTGTCTTCATGTTGATTAAACTTATGCAAACCTTTGTCGCCTGAATTTTTTAAGCAGAGACCTCCAGGAGTTGGAGATGGAGCTACAATAATGTGAGTATCCTTCCCCTATACATAAAAGTGTTGCAGACGGTTAAACAGCCAAAGCTGGAACCTATTAAACAAACACATGTGCAGGCCCAAATGTAAAGTATGATCACCTACGTCTTTACACTTTATGTGTTACTCTCTCTTTGTACAGGCAGTAAGGAGCACATCCCTGCAGCAGCAGATGGAGCACATGTGAAGCTGTACATTTTACCCATCGTGAACGAGTTTCCATATCAGTACCATGTGTGCAAGTTATCATGCTCACCTATTTAATCAGAAGCTTGGCTATGACTGAGAGCAGAGATGGACCATATTTTGAGAACCATGCTATGTATATACTGTAATGTTTATGCGTTATCTACTGCAGATATCTTCCACTAAAAACAAAGTTTTATTTTTACACTAGTTATGTATGTTGGATAATGTGTTTCCACTTGCTACCACTTAACCAAATGTTCATAATGTTCGCAGGACACTACAAAGTTATTTATTAGTTTGATGTTATTCAATCACTGTACTGATAATAAAAGTTCTATTAATACTGATATCATAAAACAAGATACAGTCCAGCTAGCAGTGCATTGTTATGTGAACATCATGCGATATCATCTAAAGAGCAGGTAATGGTTTCATTAAAGGATTCATGTCACTTTACAGCCTTATTTAACTCTTTTACAAGGAGTCTTTTTCTCACTAGAAGTGTTTCCCATTGCTGCTGGAAGCTACCATCTGTCATAATGCCTACATTAATCAATGTATATTTTCGAAGCAAACATTTTTAAGAAGCAATGACCAATGGTTTAAATTCAGTTCTCTTGCAGAACAGTATGAATATTTCCATATGTACCCTGGAGTATACTTTGTTGTCGGTCACACACACTGAGCTGCTGTTATTGGCTGAGGTAGATCATTATCCACAAAGATTAACAGCAGTCATTGCTGCTGCTGCTTCACAAGAAATGTCTTCACTGTGCAGGGCGTGACAGGGTTTGATCAGATAAGATAAGATGAGATAGTTGTTAATGCTCTTAAGAAAATTTGTCTTGGATCCATCCAGTATCCGCTGTTCAGAGAATAGAAATCACATGGTGGGAAGAACTGGGTGGTTTTGGCAAGTCGGATAATGCTGAGGAGGGGGGGCTCTGATGACTTTCACTCATGTTTGCTCAGTGATGGCCTAGCCTTATGTTTTATAATAATAAATTGCATAATGTCTGACTTTGAGAACAATTCCCCGCACTTTGTTGTGTGTCTTGCTGAAGAGCGCGTCGGTAAATCTTGTCAAAAGTTTCCCACATGTGATCATGTGCATATGTGCTGCGTGCTATTTTGTTTTTGACACGGCTATGTAAGAAGCAGGGGAGGGAAGAAAGAAAACAGCCCTACCTCACAGCCTCTGCGGAACCATGTGCGGCCTGCGATTTAACATGATCTTTAACAAGTTTAATTTTACAGGCTACTGCTTATCAGTGTGCAAACCACTGTGGCGCTGGCTGTGATCCATTCTTCATCCGAAAACATCACTCCATTACAAAATAAGGAAAGTATTCCTGTAATTCAATTTAGTGCCTTTCTGCGCAGGATTAAGGGCAGCTGTGGAAGATGAAAAGGCGAGTTGTCTTCAACAATAAATATGTGGGAACTGCCTGAGACCAGTTAGAACTGTCGAGAAAGCTGCCGCCCTTTTTGACTCTTCCGACTTCTCTGCCTCGTTCACCTTCAAATTAAAGGAAACAGAAGATATTGTTGTTGCAGTAAATACATCACAGTTAGCCTTCAAGTAGACAAATAGCTGTGGAAACATGTTTTATTTAATCATTGATAAAAAATGATGAATTCCCTTAAAAGGATTGACTTACTAGTCGATCATTGTTAGCTACCTGAATGAGTGTAAACAAAATAAATCTGGATAAATTGCATTTAGAATTTCCAAAAGTAGCATGCGGAATTTAACAAGCATGAACAGATCTGAGGTAATTCAAACAACACACATGGGCTCCAAAACTCAAACCAAAAAGTTAAAAAGTTAAACAAGTAACTGGTGTAAAAAATCTAAAATATTAGGTAATAGTCATAAAACACAATTATATAGCTGAAATATCACTGTCGTTGAGTAATTTGCCAGCTGAAATATGGACTTTTTTTTTCTTTTTTTAAATAAAATATTAGAGATTTAAATGTATTAGTATTCTATACATGTTAACTATAAATTCATGTTTAAAAGTACATCATTAATAAGGAGTTAAAGTAAGATTCTGCCGCTTTATCTCTGCTGCTTTATCAGCTTGTGCCACACGGTGGAGGCAAAGATCCAAACTGGATCTCACACCGTTGGTTTGTGGTCTTAAACGAGTTTAAGTAAAGCTGAGGTGGCACAGGCATTAATTTCCCATCACTTATGTATTTACAGGCAACAGCAGGTATTCAGCCCAAAGATTGAAAGTGATGAGCTAATTAGTTTGTAGAGGCAGAGCCAGTCTTGTGACCTCCTCTCATCGCTCTTTGTGATCCATACGCCATCTGGATACGTGATTATACAACTGTGGTATTTCCCGTTGACTAACACTGGAACTGTTTAATCATTTGGAAAATAAAAAAAAATAAAAAAAATCATTCTCCTAGCAGTTACACATTAGTTTTTACAAAAATGTTTAGACAGATTGTTCTGTTCAGATAAACAGGGTCACAGATGTCAAAGAAGTCCAACGGTGGCTCGAAGCACTGCGGACGACTTGACAAATCACACATGCAAGAAAACAGGAAATGCTACACATCAATAAAAGCAACACGCCGCAAACAGTAGGCGGCTTCGGCAGGAATGTCTCTGGCACTGATCTTGTTGGCATCCAAGCGAAGCATTCTCAGCCTCGAGAAGTTTCTCATGTCGGCAGTGCTGCAGAAACTGTTGAGCGAGAACTCTGAAAGAAAGCAGACGCACGGGGAAATGTGAGAGGCAGTCAGTGCTACTGTAAACTCCTCCTGGGACATTGAATAATCTTAAAAAGGCTTCAGTCCAGTCTCTTATTTCTTTCTACAGCTACTCAAGAAGCCACTGAGAGACAATGTAAATCAAAAATGCATTTCACTGTTGCCTGATGTTTTTTTCCTTCTTATTTAACTTTGTTTTTTACTGGATTCTGTTGGTCATATTACTAATGTATTGCGCACTAGCTTCCAAGTTAAAAGTGTTGATGGAAAACCCCTTCTTCTCCAACAAACATTGCTTTCAGAGCCATCTAGTGGGTGACAAATCGCACGTCTCCACGCCCACAGTGATGTATAGCACACATGGGCGTGGCAAAAAAAAGCAGCACATCTAACTTCGAGAAATGGAGAGGATGAAAAAGCAAAACAAAAGTTAAACTGGGCAGAAGCTGGAGGTGGTTGATCTTAAATCTAGTTTAACACTGTTACGAGAACTGCTACTAAAAATATCGCTGAGCTTTTTATTTTACTTTAGTGTAAAAAAAAAGAGCAACTGGAGGAGATTTATGTAGAGAGACGAAAAACTATTTACTGAGGTGACTCTGTGATAAATTTCATTTCTTCTTTCTGCCAATTTGTTCCGCAACCTTATTTACAAAACTAACTGATCAAACTTTCCACCCTCAGTTGGTTGTTTTGCTGGGCCTACTGACCCAATTTTAACTGTCAAACATGAGTGAAGTAGTTTTCTATTACACAGACAAAGGATCAGAGACTTTTGTGGCACAGTAAACTCTGGCTGCAGACTCTAACATGTGACAGAAATCATTTGATACTGTTGTTGAGTGGCATTGGCATTACTTTTATAATCAAAGTAAAAAAAAAAAAAAAGTATTCATACCTTTGATCTTATTGGCATGTAAATAAAGGTTCTCCAGATTCCTATTGACAACAGGGATTCTCTCCAGCCTATTGAAAGAAAGATCAAGCTCAACTAGCGTGCTGACGTTAAAGACATTGGAGGGAAGTCCTTTATCCGTCAGCTTGTTGTGAGCCAACCGGACAAAGTGCAGCTTGGGATACAAGGAGAGAAATCCTGCCGGCACACTCTCTATGTTGTTGAACTCCAAGTAGAGCTGCTGCAGCTTCTCAGGGAGGTTTTCAGGGATTTTCTTGAGCTTGTTTTTCCTCATATCCAGCAAGGTTAGAGATTTCAGCCCCTTGAACACACCTCCAACATCTTCTATTGCATTAGCCTGCAGCTGCAGTGTGGTGAGGTCGGCCATCCCCTCCAAAGAGTTTGAGCCTATTTTTGAGATCTTGTTGTGTCCGAGTCGTAGGGTGGTGATAGACTTTGGCAGGTTAGGGGGCACACGTGTGAGCTCATTGTGGTCCAAGTAGAGCTGGTCCAGATCCTTGAGCTTGCTGAATACATTCTTGCCAATCTTGTCTGAGCTGAGCTGGTTGTGAAACAGTACGATCCAGACCAAACTTGTAGCATTATCAAACACACCGTCCTGGATCGTTGTGATCTGGTTACGTTGCAGGTAGGCGTACTTAATATGTGAGGGCACGTAGGGGACATGCTGAAGGTTGCGGCCATGACAGTACATAGCTGTGGGGTAGGCAGACGGGCAGTCACATTCCAGGGGGCAGTCCACATCCTCAGCCTGCCAGCCTGCATGGCGCCGCCGCCCTCTGAGCTGAGACAGCCATTGGAACTGGCTGTATTGCTGGCTAACACCCAGCTCCAGCTGTCCCATTATGAGGAAGAGAACCACTGTCCGCATGACCACTGATGGAAACCAAGGAGAAAAAGAAAAAAGGTTAAAATGAAGATCAAATTTGAGAAAAGACCTCAATCTGAAAATCACTCCGTTTCACCAACTCTGAATTGGTTTAAATTAAAACTAACTCTCTTTGCTGCACTTTTTAAATGTACAGTAGGTAAGGTGTTGCACCTACCGGTTGGAAGATCAGAGACGAAGCCTCCTTTCTTGCTCACCTCGCCTGTGTCTCCCTCAGACTGCAGGAATATCTCGTCGGTATAGAGTAAATAACCCCCCTCCTGACGCAGTCGCAGCCCCCGCCACCCAGACTCATTAGAGCACATACATCTTTCCACTTGCTTGTAGAACCTACAATATAGCACATCACCTCCAGCCATGTCAATATCAATCCCATCTGTGGACCGGTGCGACCATCTGCTTTTTAACAGTCTTGTTTTCCCTTGCTGTGTCATGCCTTATCATTAGTGCAGCCACTTCAAGCCTAGCTAGCTTTATAATGGCGCTGTAGAGGTTGTGAAGAGGGTGGGGGGTCATGGTATAGAAAGTTTAATGAAACTTTAGGAGACGCTGTAATTGGTGGTGGGTTCCTTAAATAAAAAAAAACGCAGCTCTGTTAAACTTTAAGTTCTCGTTAAGTTTCAGCATGTTCTCGCCTATTATACACTGTGTTTCAACATGTAGAAGTTCTGACAAACCCTGTCATTTGTTCCCAGTCATTCTCCTTAAGCATTTTTTTCTCTTTTTCTAGTCCCACCTGCTCAGGGTACCTACGTTTGTAAATTACAGTTTTCAAACCGTGGAGAAAGTTAACATATGTTTGAGCTGGCGCCTGCATACAGAAGAGCACCATCATCCTACCCCTAGAAAGGCCTCCTTACTCATGCGCTCCATCAGAGGAGGAAAATTGTAGGCACATTTTGGGGATTAGGTTATAGCTCCTCAGTCTGCTTCCTGGCCAGAGGAAGTGGAGGACAACGTGCTGATTTGAAAATGGAAGTTGTTCAGAAGGTAATAGACCCTAATCAGCTGACAATTACATTAAATCCGAGAGGAGAGGGGACCCGAGGATAAACACATGGGACTCGTTTGCACAAAGGATCTGGCAGATTATCAGTCGCAAGTAAAAAAAAAAAAATGTATGCAAAAAATTAGATCAAATATGTTAGTGAAAACTTTTCCCCCTTAAAGTAATGTGACATTGTCATAACTCTACCATCAGGACTAATTGTGCACCACTTCCAAAAAAAACTATGTCAAATGATCATCTATTTTTGATCTAACCAGAGCAGATGAAACCAGATGTCTCCATTTCATACATACAGCTGCAAGACCGCTTTTTTTCTGTGTGAATTGTTAAGCCTGGATGCATTAGCCGAAAGTATCATCTTGTGATAAAAGCACCATGTTAAACAAAAATGATCTGTGTGCCAAAAAGGTGACACGACGATTATCTTAATCCGTCATACATGGATGGGACCTCATTACACACAGGCCGGATAATAAGACGGTAAAACAACATCGTAATTCAAAACATGTTTGACTTTTATTTTCTGCCTGGGAATTCTTTGACTATGAAAAGAACAGAGTGTTTATTCTCGGGTGTGTGGAGGTATCACATTGAAAGAATGATATAGATGCTCGGATAATTTTCATCATTTGGTGAGGATGGCAAAAACACGCCAGAATGCTTTTGTTTTCTTTTCTTTTTTTAGATGTAAAAAATTTGAGTCTGAGAACTTTTTGTTTCTCTTTGTTCTTTTTCTTTAACTGTGACCCATAGAGGAATTTATTCTGTTTGGCAGGACTTTTGAGCTTTTTTTTCTCAACATAAGTCAAAAACCGGTTATCCTAACGCTCTAATGAGTCACCTTCTTTTAATTTTGTTCTGATCCCCTCTGTGCATGTGCCCTAACCGAGCTGGATAAGCGAAGAGAACTGATAGAAACTGTAGTGCTGGTCGCATAATCAGGCTTTAATGTCATTAAGAATTGTGACATTGTGTTCCGATCATTTTTAAGTCACTTTCCATGGCAACACGGCGCCAAAACAATCCTTAATGTGCTGGGAACAATTAAACTGAAGTGCAGTTATGCAACTTTACGCAAGTGGAGAAAAGCAAACTGACCAATAGAAACATTGAGATATTGAACCCGAAACACAGAGCACAGAGACTAATGATAATGTGCAATGATCCCCATAAGATAAAATATGATATCCTTTATTGAACCCCCATTGGGGGAAATCATACAACAGCTCACAACAAAAGGCCAGAGAATATAACATATTTACAGAGTTAAAAACATTTGATTTAAAGTAAACTGATCTGAAAGTTTCCACTCTTAAAATAACAGTACAATAACAAGCACTTCACTCTAAAGAGATTTAAAGCCACAGAAGCAGAAAGAGTCTCGGACACAGCACAGTTTCCACAATCATATGCAATTATCACGTCTCGCAGGCATTGCAAGCATGACTATTGCTCAACATGCTAAGTTAGACTATTTGATGCACTACCACAATGTGTCAGGAGAACACCATTTAGCGGTAAGGAAAACCCCCTGTGACATCACATTAGCATAGAAAAAATATTGTGGTTTCTGGCAATGATCTAATAGTTAACCAACATGAAGGATGCTGGCGACCGTCCTCGACAATATCCTCCGGGCAAAAAGTCTTTTTAAATGGTTTTCAGACTGAAAAACAGACCAGGAAACAGATCAGGCAGAACAGAGTAAACTGGAACCATCAGGCGGGAGACGCCAGCAAATCTCACTTTCATGTCTCTCAGAGTATTTACATTATGATGATAAATCCTACCCTTGCATAAAACATAAACAGTAAATCCAGGAATATAGGATGAGCACATACAGGATGTTGTCCGGGCAGAGGAGCGATTCATAGCTCAAAAATGTTTATTCTGTAATACCGAAAGCATTTTGTGTTTTAAACAAAAACATGTGACGTGGTTGGAAAAAGTTAAAACGGCTAAAAAGATACTATAAAAGTTTTATTTTGGAACCACATGTGTGTGTGTGTGTGTATGTGCACAAGCGTGGGTTTGTGTGTAACTGCTGATTACCTCCTCGCTTTACTAGCCTGGAGGTTGTGTAGCTGCGTTTTTGGCTTTCTTTCTTCTCTTCAGGAGTAGAGGATTAGTCGACTCCTCAATAGTTTTGATTTTGATTTGATCGTAGTCCACTCTCATTGTTTGCAGAGCGCTTGTCATTTCAGCCTGAGTAAAGGAAACAGTGACCCTTTGAAACAAATACACCCAAGATACAAGCAGTTTGACATGTTTCACAGTTAATACAAGACTGAATGAACTCCACTGTGCGGTAAAGCATGAAACATATATAAAAAAGACCCTTATCACTTACCTTCACCTGCTCCCAGACATCTTGTTCCTCATGGAGCATGCGGCTGGTGTGAAGAGGTGTCCGTGGGATTTCCACTGACTGTGATGACAGTGAGAAAACAGTGATCAGTGTTTACTAAATCTCATCTTTTAAAATTATTAATCAGATTAAATCCAAAAGCAGATTCTTACATTAATCCAGGGGTGATTTTTGAACTCAGTGACGCTCATTCTCTGTGTGGGCTTAGTTTCTAATAATTGGCAGATCAGCTGTTTTGCTAGAAAAAAAGGAATAATTATTACCATCTTTGTAATCTAGATCAAAAACAAAAATGGCAAAAGAATTGAAGTGTGTCTTTTAATAAGTCATCCGCCGCCTGTTTCAATGTCTGTCTCACCTTCCTCAGAAACATCAGCCCACTCTGGATCTGGGAACTTAAACTGACCATTTCGGATCCGTCTTTTCATTCCTGGAGATATGGCCAGACCATGGTTTGAAAAAAAGGGAGGATATCCACAAAGTCTACGTTTAAGACACAAGAAATGCGCGATGATAAAACAGATCACGTGTTTAGAGACAACAGTAAGAGAGACTCAAAGCACATTGTTTGACTTACAGGATGTACATAATGACACCCATAGACCACATGTCACAGGATTTGTCGTACTTCTCTGGACCAAGAACTTCAGGAGCTACCACAGTGTCAAGAGAAATGATTGAAGTTTAAACTGTAGCAATGGCTACTGTTACAAAACTCATGTCTGTGGTCATTCTTCATACAGACAGAAGACTGCCGAAAAAAGCAAGGTCACTGAAGGAGCTGGTTAGTGTTTTTTTTAAGTGGTTCACATGATGTTAATTCCAACTTTGCAAAAACTGTCTGCCAATTTTCACTTTTTAATCACCTCTGGGAGAGAACTCAAAGAAAAGTCTGGGTCGGGTCAAGTTTTCAGAAGTTTGTGAAAAAATGTTAAGATTGACAAATTGGTATGTGTGAAGTAATACACTGAACATCAAAACCTCTTTTTTTTTTTTGTCTAGCAGGCATAAATTGTGTTTAACAGAGATGTTCAGTCACTGACGTCAAGTGAATGAATCTTACAAACATTCCCCAGAGTCAAAGTGAGATTTAGCGAAAGCACAAGTAGATGATTCAAACGTGTTCACCAAGCAAACACAAAAGGCTAAAGGTGTTGTGTCATACAACATAAATTTTAAAATGATTTGCAGCCTTTTTCTTTTATGCCTCAGCCAACCAGTCGGAGAGCAGTTCAAAAACAGGAGTATTTCAAACAGAATTACACCGTGTCTTTGGCCAGAATGGAGAAGATGGCTGTGATGATTAGAGATAAACTTGTTGTGAAAATCTGAGCCAGTGCAGATGGTTCAAATATCAATGTAGAAAGTTGCTTTTTAATCAATTCATTATTATTCTTTGTGGCTGCTTTTTCAAATTAGCTTTGCGATTTCATGTTTTTCAGATGTTGCAAGTAGTTCCCTCCTAACAATTCAGTTGCACTCGTCTTATAAATACAAGTTGCTGTTCTTTCTCATCTAAGCAGTAATTCTCCCTCACTTGTTGACATAAAACCCTCCTTTCCGAATCAGCTAATACATTCAGTATATTAGATGCACCATTGAATAAATGCAACACAACAGATTAACATCTGCCACTGACATTGCTACAAAAAACATAACTTGGAGATGGACTGACGTCTGCTACCAGAGAATACGTTTCTCTCTATTCTTTGTGTTTCTCTGCAGAATATGATTGTCAGTAGACAAAAGCAGAGCAAGCATGAAATTGGAGATAATTCACAAACAGATTGGCAGTGATATTGTTTCCTCTGGTGGGTAAGGTAATGAAAACAAACAAAATATAAAATACTTTGCTCAGGAGTTGAGGTCACCTTGCAAATCTAACTAATCAATCACTGAATTGGCTCCTCTCTGAAGAGTGATCACAGTAACCTTGAACTTCTACCATCAAATTGCAGTATAATCAGCAAAGCTTTGAAATAGAAATTCAGTGTTTTCACAAATATAGGATGCAGATGTGTGATACTGTAATCAGACTGCTGGTTAACCAGTAAACGTTAAATCTATTATGGCTGCAGATTGATAAAATATTGCAGATAATCTCTTTAGTTAATCTCCAACTAGGCGTAGACATAGATATACAGCATCACAAGCTGTGAGGTCTTACCAACATAGTACGGGGTGAAACATGGTGTTTCCAGTGAGTTTAAAGTGGTGATTTCTTTAGCAAACCCGAAATCAGTTAGCTTGAGTAGAGCATCTGGTCTTTTGGACGTGTACAGCAGGTTCTCTGGCTGAAAGATACACACAGCGTCTGTCATCAGATGTTTAAATATCTGGTCAATAACCCAAGAAAAGCAATCACCTGTAAAGTAGAATCAAATGCTTCAGTCTTCCCCCTTGTGTTTTGACAGGAAGAAACAAAACCTTTCCTAAATCTAAGTAACAATTATGAATGTTCACAATAGAGAGACCACTGGTGAGTAGTTAGAAATTGAAAATACTAATCAAAAACCTTGCATAGAGTCGATTCAGAAATGTATAAAGATTAGATTAAAGTACAGAGGCTGCCGTTTTTTTTTGCCCTCATCTCTCATATTGCAGTTTAATCTGTGCAGGGACCTCTGCCGCATGTTCTTCTCTAATCTTTCCCTCATGGCTTTTTGCACAACTCTGGGCAAGTACAGTATGTCATTCTAATAATCTTTAATATCTCATCTGGTAACTTCACTCATCTGGGATTACGCATGTTAGAGTTAGACCGTCAGTGTGATTTATATCCACTCAAACAGCTGCAAACTTTCTCATGATAATTGATACCGTTGGGTGGCACTTTGAGAAAAAAGACACAGATAATCTTCTATTATGCAGCTTTCGACATTTTGCATTTTTGTTTGTTTTGTTCTTTATAAGCGCTGTCAGAACAGATGAAAAATAGGACTGTGGCTCAGTGACAAAGTAAGTTTTAACAACAAAAACACTTCCAGTGTTGTTTCAGCGATTGAACTGACTGTTGCCATTGAGGGCTTTCCAACTGGTCTAACTCGATCCACAGCCTTTGCTCTCTCACTGTCATTTGTGATCAAAATTGTTTTCCACTCATCTAGCTACTTTATCTCAGGTATTAGCTTTTACACATTGACCCACTTGTTATCCTTCTATCTTACCTTGATGTCTCTGTGAGCAATGTTGATGGAATGACAGAAATCGACTGCCTCTCCAATACTTTTCATGATGTCAGAGGCCTCTGATGGAAAATGAGGTAAAGAGAGGCGAGATGGACACAAACGATAAAACAGAGCAGATGATAGACAGTATTTGGCAGTGCATTTAATTGGATATGGTTACAATCCTTTTTCCAAGATTTGATACTAACACTGATACATACTGACATACTTTTTTTTTTTTTACTTAGAAATGGGGTCGGCAGGATCTGAGGAAGCGCCAGTTTTTGGAAGAAATCTTAAATGTAAAAACTGCCCCTCCCAACCAGTTTTCCCCTCAGCTCCTCCTCTCCCCTCCCTCTCTGCTCTAGCAAGCCCCGCCCACAAACAGACGCTTGTCCTCGCTCGCATCATTCCAAATAAATTCAGGTAGAATGTAGATAAATACTTCAGATAATTACAAATGGGGCCCAATCAACGTGAACGTACAAAGCATTGGTGCTACTGTAGATGACAACAGACTAGCAGCAAACACAATGTTTGCAGGACTTCTACAACTAGGATAAAGTGACAAACTCCAGGACCCGAGGTAAACAGCCTCTGTTACAGACACTTGGCTGACTTTGTTAAAGCGGTTTACCTGTCCAGCAGAAAGCTTACAGGGTCAGTAAGATCCCGAAGCATCCCCCATCGTGTAATCATTGACGTTGACCCGGCTTTCTAGCTCTTGTCCGGTCTACCTCCATTTTAAGCGCCCGTTATTCCGCCAGAGTCTCCGGTATTTACTTAATTTTCTTGCTTGTGTTGGCAGTCGTGGCCAAAGGAGGATTCTGACAATTTTCTGTACTTTCTGGTTGGTTTCTACTGTCCGATACTGTAGCACGCTAACTTTGTTTAGGCTCGTGAACAACATGGGGAGCAGCGTCTGCCTCACAACCAATCAGGTTGGGGGAGGCGGGGAATGGCTTTGTTTACAGTCAGAAAGAGTGGGCCGCTCAAAAAATTTAAGATGTTGACTACACAGACATAACAGAACACAGCGATATCATTATATTCCCAAATGTCATCAATGACTTAAAGCTATTGACTGATATTAAGCTTTTTTGTATATACACCACAAAAAAAGATGCTTCTTTAATGGAATCCTGCCTACCCCACCTTTAAGCCATTTTTCTTCACTTAAAACAGTTGCACTGTCTTCTGATCACTCTCCCCATTAAGATTAAGAAACTTTTCATTTATAGCTTATGCGTAAAATCTAATGTGATAGGCAAAAGCCCAAGAATTGTCTGACTTTCTTATCATTACAATATACTGTATGTTTACTGACTGTAAGTATAAATAAATGAATAAAACAAAAGAGAGCCAAATCAACCCGAGCTTAAATGTTACTGATTGTAACTTAAACTTACTTCTGAATCAGGGTAACTTTACCTCTCTCTGTAAATGCATTATACCCTCTGTCTTGGATATGGCTGAATAATTCACCTCCATCCATACTAGAAACCAAAACAGAAAAATGGACAGAAGTACAGTGATACATCATCATGACAAAATACATCATAAGCAATCTTCTTACGAAACCTGGAAGAACTTGCTTTAATCTTTTTTGCCACCTTCTATTCCAAAAAGAAGAAAAAAAATATGTTACACCAAAAACTGCTGATAGGCTGTCAAGATAAAAAAGCCTTTTATCAAATTTACAATAGCTTGGAGCGTGACACACTGGGAACACTCTCGACTTGGCCGTCATAGTTTACTTTTATAGTTCATGGTTGGGATTATTCAGTATTGGCATCATGTTAATCCTATCATGTCCAGATGGGAAACATTTTCTCCCATTAGGTAACGTGTGATGTTGCTGTGCAGACATGGAGTACTTGTGCTTCCTCTAGAGTCTCTGCATTGCATTATAAACCTTCCTCTTCCAATGTTAAGTTTTGCTGAGATAGTTTCCAAAACTCTTCCTAAGATAACGTCCCCATAACATCAACTTTTAACTTTTGCGACAAGCTCCTTCTACAAATCTTGTGATACTTCAAACTCATTTCATAATGAGTGATCGCTTTTAGCTATTTGAGCTACATATCCTTAAGACTACAGACCTAAGAAAAAGATCTGAGCGAGCCAAACTCTACATAGACTCCTTGAGTTTCGGTTTCAAGGATCAAATGCTAACCATCTGCTGATCTTACCTGTTCAAAGAAAGAGCAGCACATGCTTGCTTCATTATGCTTTATTATGTTTAGACAAAACAGACTGCCTGATTTTATTACTTTTGGCCCTGAAGTGTTCTGGAAACTTCTCTCGTCAGTTGGTATGCATTAAAATAAGGCAGGCTCCACCAACCCACAGAGCAGCTAACATGAGACAAAACTCCCAGGAGCAATTTTAAGATGAATCGAAAGGAGGAAGGAACTTTAGTCAACACATGCAATCAATTTTTAAGACCACACATTCAAGATGAGCTCTGACTGTACGTGTTTCTGGGTGTACGCAGTAAAACCCACCACTCCATAATGATAAGGAGGCACTTCTTTCCCTGGTAGAGGTTCTCATAAACATCTATGATGGGTACAATGTGGGGGCAAAGTGACACCCGCCAGTGGAGCTCCACCTCCCGCCTGGACTCTGGACAATCCTGGAGCATCTGGGACACAAAGAGAAGGGGATTAGGAAAGGTCATTAAACAAGACACAGCAAAACCAGATCTGTTTATTGGGTTAGTTTTAGTTTTAGTTCAGCTGTCACCATAATTGAACAATAAAAAGGGTGTAAGTTCCTGACTAAAAACCATGTCTTGGCAGTGGTTTACTTTGGTGTTTATTTTAAAAGCTAGTATAAAGCTCACGGAATATAAACAGAGAAAGTCCATTTAACTGCAGCAACACTTCGTCAGTCAGACATGTACTTGGTTCAATAAAAAATAAAGAGCAACTCCAGGAAAATGTTGGGTTGAATTTAAAAGTATTCGACCCTAAAAAGACTTTCAGGCAAAACCACCTCACTGAACACACAAACATCAAGGACTCGAGGTGTGAACTGTGGTCTCAAAGCGCACACTGGTTAGTAGGTGATTAGTGGGATAACTACACCACCTAATCATTTCATGGTGGCATCAGGAAATAATGGCTAACACAGGTTCACAACAGTCAAATATGTACTTTTTTCTCCTTTTTAGGTCAGATTGTTATCATTTATTTGTTGCAAAAATTTTTTAACAAATGCTACAAAAATGCGTCTGAAACTCGTCTAACCTCGGCGTTGGTAAAACAAAATCCACAACAATTGCTTTCTCAAGCTTCTTGGATAAAGTAATTTATTCATGTTGTCTTTATAAATGATGGATAAACTGTTAACTTTGGGTTTATGAACTGTGGGTTGAAGAAAATGACAAGGGTATACAGCCTTTGCTGCAACTCATCTCCTTGTCTCTGTAACAACCTGGTGCCAGTTAGAGAAGGCACGCAAATGCTAAGAATTTAATTGCTTGTGCTACATGGGAAAGGAGCTGATTTTTTCATTTTTAACAGGCATATTCAAATTTTAAACACTAATGCAATAAAGCGAGCACTTTTGGTTTTGTTCGTTATTTAATGCTGAAATGGGTGAAACAGTTCCAATCCCACACTTACTGTTCCACCAGAGATAATTCAATGAATATGGGCAGATCTGGGTTTCAGAGCTAGAACAAGCTGAATACTGTTTACAGTGCCAACAGTTTAATGATCCTGCATCATAGGATCTAATCATTGTGTGAAATTTCATTTGCATGAAATTTTGACCATATGTATTTGCAGCACCTTCAAAGATGGTACTTTTACTTTCTTTGGACTCTTTGTGAGGACCATGATTTACAGAGGAATGCTGCAATTGTCTATTCCCTCGACTCACACACTATACATCTTAATGAAATGTTCTCTCATTTCCTGAGGGAATGTGACAGACCTCAAAAATATCTGAAAATAAGACATTGGGACTTATTTAAGCTTGACTGTGAGGAATGAAGGATTTACTGGTGTTCAAAGGGTCAGAATAGAAACTGGATGTGTTCATGTTTTGTTCTGCTTGTCCTGACTGCAGTTCAATTTCAGGCAGTCAATGGAAAGTAGTATTTACCATTCTTAAAACACCTTCCCTGACATACAAAAGCAGAAGCACCATCTGAATGACACCTTGCCCCGCTGTACTCAACCCCTTGCTGTAATCTCTCAGTCATTTCAGGCCTCTTCATGAAGCTACTTTTAGACACAGGCATGTTACCCTCTCTGTTTCAAGTCAACAGGGTCCACCAGAGACCAAAGCTACAGGGGAAATATATAATTTACAGACAGGAACAGAAATTAGACCCTGACAAAGTCACCCGTTGTGTATCATCGCAAAAATGCTGCAAAATTACAGGACTCAAAGAGAGAAAAATCTCAAACTCACATTTGATGCCCACTGTGAGTTCACCTTTTGAACTCTTCAAATGCAGGTATATTCTCAAGTTCACGCTAGGCTTCGAGTAACAAACTAGTACCAGAGGAATGCACAAAGGTAATGTAGTTATTTATCTCACTATACAGGCTGAAACTGAGCCTTGTTAAAAAAAGAAAAAAAAGGGGTAGAGAGGGGGTGACTGTGAGACGCAGATCTTCAAAAATATCAAAGATATGAGAAAAGCATCTGTTAACTTTCAACATCAAGAGCTAAGCCTGAAACATCTTGGGCTTAGCCTCTTCTGCTCTCTCCTCTCATTTTAAGAATGTAACACAAGACAGACAATCTCTGCATGAAGGTTGTTTTTCATCAACACCCAAGCTTTGATCCTGTTGACTGAGAGAGAACAAGAAAAATCACTCCCAGAGCAAGGAAATGTAGATAACAAGTAAATGGACCAAAGAAGGCCCCATAGTCTAAATGCACATGCCATCTTAAATGCAGGATATACTGAGCCCAGACATAATTTATTCCTTAAATCCAGATTTTTCTTTATTATCACTCAAAGACATACAGGAAGACTATCAAAGCTGTGGAACTGGATGTAAGCCATTTATAGGAGAAATAATAAGATGATAGAAAGGAGAAGAAGAAGAAAAGATATTACTGGTAGGCCTTTAAAATCCATGCAGATAACACAAAAATAACCATGCTCAAAAATCCAGCACAGACATTCAGTATGTGATCTTGGTGATTTTTTTAATTGGGTCAAAATCAAGGCAAGTTGGGACAAAATCACAAACAGTCTCTGATCATAAACATCTCCCTTCATAAACATATCAAATATCATACCATGACCAAGGGTAGGCTACTTTCAATGGTAGTTTAGAATTCATGTTGTTGTATCTTAACCAACAAATTCAGCGTTTTAGAAGTGCAGTTCCCATATTCTGACACATTAAAACGTATTAGTCTACTTTGTCATGACACACAACAAAACACACAAACTTTTTACCGTGCCATTATGTCAACGTTGTGAAAAATAAGGTTATAGTACACAGAAATCACCAATGTTAGTATCTGTATGACAAATCAATTTTAAAGATAATATATTTACCTTAAGTGCATACTTTTCCCCACTCTCTTTGTTGAATATTTCCAAAACTCTGCCATTTATCCCCATCCCGAGCACCTGCCTCGTCAGAGTGTAATCGTCTGTTATCACAGTCCGTTTAATCTGAAGAGGAACATTAACAGGTTTCACACAATTTTGAAGGAAAGGACCAGCGTTAACACTAGACTGCTGTTGGGTCGGGAAAGCCGGCTGTTGCTTATTCGACATGATAACTACCACCAACACATGATCAACAACTGTCCCAACAGGTGCGTCTTGTCCTCGGTGGTGGTGCTGTTAGCCCACCGCTAGTCAGCCAGCTACTCAAATACCCCACATTAAGCTGGAGCACCCGGGTAACTGTCCGTAAAGTCCGCGTTTAACTTCGGTGACACATTCAGCAACTTGGGCCGTGAACGTACACTTTTAAACATCTCAAAAAAAGTTAAATTAGGTTAAAATGAAACAACTTCTTGGCTAAAATTGTGGACGCTGAAAGGCTGGGATTTGTACCGGTTGAACAGGAACGAATACGCAGGGTGGGTGAGGGGGGTGGCTGCCCAAATGCCACCCTAAAATTATGTTTTATGAATAAAAAAAAAAATGTTTTGGACACAATATACACTTTAATTATCACTTTAAAGTTATTCTTTTTTTATGAAATTACTATTTACCATTTTTGGAATGTATGAGTGATGCTGTATGGTCACATATATATTATTGTACAAATATAATAAAGTAAAAACATTTTAGTGCTTCTGCTGCTGAGGCCTATGACTCTCCCTGCCGATGACACTTTTGCAGTAAACACAATGGTTTATCGACCGGGCGGCACAGTGGTGTAGTGGTTAACACTGTCACTTCACAGCAAGAACGTCCTGGGTTTGAATTCGGGTCAGGGAATTTCTGTGTGGAGTTTGCATGTTCTCCCTGTGTCTGCGTGGGTTTACTCCGGTCACTCTGGTTTCCTCCCACATCCCAAAAGCATGCAGAAGTGGGGTTAGGTTAATTGGCCACTTTCAAATTGCTCGTAGGTGTGAATATGAGTGTGGATGGTTGTTTGTCTCTATATATTAGTCCTGCAATGAACTGGCGACTTGTCCAGGGTGTCCCCTGCCTTCGCCCAAGGATGCTAGGATAGTCTCCAGCCCTCCCGCGACACCGGCAACAGGAATAAGCGGTAGAAAATTGGTGGATGGACAATGCTTTATTACTTCTGAATAGCTGAATGTGTGGCATAAATGAACATCATTCATCAGTCTTTCATTGGTATTATTTGTATCATTGTATTGGTATTATTTACATTATTACCTAGGCCACCCCCTTAAATGTGTAAAGACATATGAATGATCAACATTCAATATTATTGGCAGAAACAGAGGGCCCCAAAATCAAATTTTGCTTAGGGCCCCATTGAGGCTTGGACCGGCTCTGTACTGGCCTATAAAAAAGAGATGTATTGTCCTGGAGAGGATGCAGAAGAAGATGAGATGCAAAAGATAAGTTTGCAGCATCTGTTTTTAACTGAAAACTCAGCTTGAAGTACTGTCCTACTCAGTCGATCATCTTTGAGTGATTATGAGAACGTGACAAAAGACAATACACTTGATCTTGTTTACTCTTTCTCTGTTGTTTTTATTATGCCGAGTGGTACAAGAGTGGCCCCATGATCAGATGGAAATGCCAGATATTTGCAGTTTATTGGCCGCTAACCATAAGAATGCATGTAGATTCAATTGCCTTTTTTTTTTATTTGTTTATTTGCCAGGGACAATACATCAGGCATTGTTGCATCTAATTAAAGAGCAACCAATGCTGTGTCTGCAGGACTTCTAGCCGTGGCTAATTTGCAGTCCTTGTCTCTGGTTAGATCGCGGAAAATAGAGCTAATAATACATAAACCACTAAATAAAAACTAACATTATAGCAGGTGCAGACAGGCAATTATATATTTGCATAAAAACAGCAAGAATGCAGACAAAACAAGTAGTTTCTTCTATGCACAGAAATCCAGAGACTTAAATATACATATTCATATTCATATACATATACATACATACATACTTGCACACATGGATACATATAAACATACATACACATACCTGCCATAATATACACATATGTAAGTTAGTGTTCACAGATTTGTCTGTGTTTCAGCCATAGTTTTGTTTTGATATTGAAGGCTTTGGGGTCCTTGAATGTTTTTATTTCTGTGAAATATGAAAAATGGCTCATCTTACCCCACTCTCCCCTACTGGTGCCTCATATGCCAGCGGAACTGATGTTACATTGTGTGGCCGCGGCAGAGTTTCAAATCGGAAATAAATAAGTGAGGGACCAGTGGACCCAGCGAGGAACAGCTGAGTACTGTACAGCCATAATAACACATATGTTTGGCTTTTCCTACTTTCTACGGGGAAATTTAAGAATTCTACGCTGATGTAATGAAAATGACAAAGTGACATTACCTCGGAGACACACGAGCTTATTTGTTTGAAGATGTTTGCTCGACCATTTCGTGTCAAGTCCAATACCGCAATAAAAGGATCAGACAGGTGAGTCACAGCTGCTGCCTGCTTCTGTTTCAGTCCAGACTTGTGCTTTTCGCCATCTAAACACGGTCGCTGTTACGTTACATGTAAATATGCCGCAGCCAATAAAGAAAAACAAACATATTAAACGGTGGTCTGTTAGAAAGAAATGTAAGACTTTACTCTTTAGACTTTACATTCAAGTCAAAAATCAATAATGCCTCTTTAAGGCCTCATAGATTTAAATAGCAACTCTAAAAAGGGCCAAATTAACTCTAGAAATGTATATACAGTATGTATAAATAAATACATGTACCCTATAAGAGCATATATTTTAAATATCACTAATCTGACACTATCAAATGACTGATGATTTTTGGTTTTATTCTGTTTTTCTTGAATTCAGGAGAAAGCTCAAAGCGGACATATCTGCAGCCTTTCCGTCACTGTCTGCTGATGAGTTATCCGAGCTGGTCCCCAACAAGGAGGAACTGAATGTAGTGAAGATTTACGCCCATAAGGGAGATGCTGTGACACTTTATGTTCTTCAAAAAAACCCGCTGTTCTTTGAACTGGAGAAACGACTTTACCCGACTGGTAATTATCTGAGTAAGATCACTTACCGCAAGCACATTTGTGTGACTTACTGACTGTATTTTGATGTTATATTTTCAGTGTACGTGCTTTGGCGTTATCCTAATCTCCTGCCAGCATTCAGGACATGGCCCCCTGTGCTTCAGAAATTGATTGGAGGAGCAGGTATGCTTATTTAAAAAGAAAAATGAAGCTCAATACTGTACATTTGAACTGATATTAGTTGACATGTACCTAAATTGCTCAAAAGATCTCATGCTTCCGGGTGTGGTGGTGCCATCAAGTGGTCTCCCAGATGTGAAACGGGGTGACTGCTGTGCTGTTACAGTTGTAAACAATAGGTAAGTAATTGTAAGAGATTTGTTAAGATTTCAGACATGATCCTCGCAGATTTAAGACTGTTTCTCTGGTGGATTGCAGAGCTCCCGTTGCAGTTGGCACTGCGGCTCTGTCTCGTGGAGATATGCAGAGTGCTGGTATGAAAGGGAGAGGAGTGTGTGTTCTCCACACATATATGGATAATCTCTGGTGAGTAGCTCTCATCTCTCTGCAGAATAACTTCCTTCTTTTTCTCTTTTTCCAACTTTTTTTGCAGAGTATAGAAGGCAAAAATACCTTTCTTGTGTTTGTCCCTAAAGAGTCTGACCCAAAAGACATTCGTTACAGTGGGCTATGAAGGTGAAACAACTATACTAAAGCTTACTGACTTGCCTCGTGTATTTCCCCTTTTTGGTATCTCATAAATACTTTAAAGTAATAGCATCTACTGATGATTTTCTTGATCCGAAGTTAACTGCCAAGCAACCTCAAACTGACAGGACACGAGGAAGTCAATTTGCCTGCCTTAGAAAGACAACCAAGATAATTTAGTGCACATGAGAGTTGTTTCTTGCATTTTGTTTGTGCTTTGTTATGCTAAAAAGCTGCTTGCTTTGGTGGTTCAAAGTCAAGTAAGATAAAACAGTAATGTCTTCAAGTCAGTGGCCAAAATAATCCACTCCTTTATATATTTGTTTTCAGTTTGCTCTTTCTTAAACCTTATCAACATTATGTCAAATGCAGAGCTGATTCTGACTGTTTACATACCTCAAAGCTTTATCTATGATTCAATGTTCTGACCTTTCAAGTGCGTTCTCTTCATGCACTTTTTAGGGCGCACGGGGACAGGTCAAACCCTCCCTCTTTACCAGACACAGAGAGCGATGGATTAGTCTTAAGTGAAGAGGGAGGTGAGGTTGATGAAGAAGAGGAGGAAGAAGTCGAGAGGTGCGTGGAGGGGGAGCGGAGTCCTGTTAAAACAGTTACTGATCAGGCCTGTTCTGGCATTGAGGAGCTGAGTCTGGCTGAGGAGCAAGAGGAGGAGGAGGAGGAGGAAGAGGAGAAGGGTGAAAGGGACAACGAGGAAGATGAGAGAAACAAGAATGATCAGAAAATGCCACAAGGTATTAAAACTAGCCACATCATTGAAGTCAAAATATTGGATTTAACCAAAAACTTAAACTGTTAAAGATGTAGATTTTCCATTTAAGTATATCTTCTTTTGTCACAGTTTAACACAGGCTCAGCTTTTAATAAAATTCAGCTTTAATGAGTTCGGTTATCTCGGAGTCAAATCAAATAAAGACATCCTCTACTAAGTCATTGCAGAGCTGGATCAGTGGTTACTTGGTTGTTCTTTCCTGTGACCTTCTAGTTGTGCTTGGATTAATTTTTGATGTGGCAAGTTTGGGATTTCTAAGTGAAAAGGAGATGTGACCTGGGTCATACTTTGATTTCACAGAGATAATGGACGCTCTGCTGTTGCAGTGTTTCCTCCACGCTCTCAAGAGCAAGGTGAAGAAGTCAGAGCTCCCTCTGCTGACCAGTACATTTCTTCGCAACCACATGTTCTCCTGCTGGTAAAGAAATCTTTATCCTTTAAGAAATGCTAAAGCAGCACATGTTACGTATCGAAAGCATCTTATGACATCTTGTCTTGCAGCCCAAATGGAAAACAACTTGATATTAAGAAGTCCAGCTATAAAAAGGTATATCAGATGTTCAGAATGTGACATTTCACACACATAAATAGCGAAATTTACAATGGGATAAGTAGCTTTAACCAAGTGTTTTTTTTTTTTTTTTCTCAAACAGCTCTCCAAGTTTCTGCAGGCAATGCAGCAGAAGCATAATCTTGTTCGAGTAAAAGAACTGACCAAGGGAGTGGAGAGCATAGTGGAAGTGGACTGGAAAAATCCAGAGTGAGCCAAGCCCTTCCTCAACTTAAAGAAATTCTTGGTTTGGATTCAAAAAATTCACAGCCCGCCCAGATTTAGCTCTTTTTATTGCATTAACTCTTCACAGACTGCGCTCCTTCAGTGTCCCAGAGGAGTCGGATGTGGAATCATCTACAGTCCAGGATGGAGGGGAAGGGGAAACTCCATACCATCCTCCTGAGATCACGACTCTGTACTCTGTGCCAGCTCAACTGGAGCCTCTCTTCCTGGATGCAAACAAGAGGTGTGCGTGTGTGCATGCGCGCATGTGTGCGTGTGTGTGTTTTCCTAACCCTGGCTCTTGATGAATCCACATGTTTGCTCGGATCAGACAGCAGGGGAACATAGCAGGGAGAGTTGAAACTTCCAAGCATCCACGAGTTGCTAGAAGACACTAAATCCCCAGCAGCTCCAGGAGCTCTGTTATGTATCTGAACTCGACTTCTGACCTCATTGGGAAGAAATTAGACGATATTCTCACGGCACAAGTCACTCAAGTCTTAACCTCAGGATGTCTTTCATCAACCCACTCATTTTACCATTTTTATTGTCGGGTCTCTTCTGTTTTATGAATAAAAATTTATGTTTTGGACACATCATACGCTTTAATTATCACTTTAAAGCTCGAGTCTTTGATGAAACTTTGTGATGTTACGCTCTGTGGGATTAGTCACAGGAAGTAGTGTGTAGTTCATTGACTCATTTGGATTTACAGGTCTCTTTTAGAGCCCATCCTGATGAGTCATGGTTAAAACAAAAGCACAAGTTTATGTTTTTTATTACCTTTGCATGTGAAATGGTATTTCTTTTTCACACATTTACCACGGTAACTTTTCCAGTCAGTATATCTGTCGCTCCATACTTTAAATCACCTTGGGATCACACTGTAGTATAAGCTTATTTTCCCACCCAGAACATCTCGGCGAAGAATTCAAAGTGCTCACCACCCCCATCTTCGGTTCTACCAAGGCTTAATTCGATCCATGACACTGTTGTTCTTCCCTTGTTTGTCTCCATGCTGTCTGGCTAAAGCAGGAACAATTTGTGCTCTATCACACACTCTGCTTCCATCATAAGTAGTCTACCAACCCCCAAACTCTCAGATCTCAGTAACCCAGACTGCTTCTATGGGAAATTAGATTAAAATACTTGACCACCAGTTTTGTTCCCACTACTATAGAAGCTTGAAAATCCCATCTCCACACTGTCTTCTGTCTAATTTACTTCTGTAGCATGGCCTCAAAGACGAGCGTACTTAACACAAAACGTCTGCTCTTATGAAACACAGCTGAAGTTCATTGTCTAGACAATCCTGAGACACCATGTTAGCAGTTAAACTTGAATTGAGTGTACCTGCAGAACCATGTGTTTTCTATCAAGTTAGGTAGCTCTTTTGAGGACTTGTTATCTTTCTTTGATGGTGGAGAAAGCACAAACACTTTCATGAATTATCATTGTTTCAGGTGTTTTCAGTGCCACTTTGATAGAACCATCCACTTTAAGCCTCTGCACATGGGTTGCAAGTTTTAACCTCTTAGCAAAACCAGTGCTTCTCAAATACATGTTATACTTATTACTTTTGATAATAATAATTGTGGACTTTTAGTGAAGTATCTGTCTGGTTTTGTTTGCTGCAAATTTCCAGTTAGAGGCACTGAGAATTTGTTTTTGCCAGTAGCGCACGGAAGAAAGATCATTTGGTTTTGTTGTTGATTTAAAGATTGCCCACGTACACTGCATGTCTTTGTTTTTCAGATTCGCAACATTTAATTCATTAAGATTTTAAAACCATTGAGAATGCAAAGCTTATCATGCCTCAATATGTTTTTTTTATTAATTGAATCTAATACTTGTTGTGTGTCTCCACAGGAAAGGAACAATGCTGCATCCTGCTGAAGTGAGAAACATTGTCACTGAATATGTGAAGAAGAATGAACTGGTTGATGAAAATAACAAGAAGTAAGTAACTGCGACTCGTGTCCAAGAAGAAATCTGGGATCTGTAGATTGTCCCATTTGACCCCAAACAAAACACAACTGATAGTCATTGTTCCTGGCACCAGAGTAAATGGATGAATTTCCATTTCACAGTCGAAGCCTTCTTGCTAGTCAGCTGACATGAGACGAGGGAGTCACCAAACAACACAGAGGGCACAAAGTTCAATTTGGCTTTGAAGGTGACCAGCGGTTCTTTTTTAAGTGGGTGCAGTTATAAAAAGGCCGCCTTAAAGCCCACTGAGCAAATACAGCGCTGACCCCAGACCATGTGATGTGATATAATTGGTTAAAATGCTAAAATGTGACTCTCATGTTTCTTTTTAGGTCATGACAATCGTGCATGTTCTTATGTGAAACTAATTGATATTGACTGATTGGAGAGATTGAATCAAATCTGCCCTCCAACATGAAGGCGGGTTTGATTAAATTCTCTATGTTCCACTGCGGCATGTTCCCTGTTGTGTGACGTAAAATCTTCTGTTGTGTTTTTTTTTTTTTTAACTCTCTTTTTTTAATCACAAGTAGCTTCAATGTATTTTCTCATCTCGACAGTTTTGTAACCATAAATCCAACTCTGTGCGACTGCTTGCTGGAGAAATCTGAGTACCAGGAGATCGAGTCTCTCAAGTGGGATGACCTCTTCAGCAGGTAAAGCCTTTTTTTAAACTTGTTTTCCAAGCACCAATAAAAAATATTAACTTAAAATGCTGCATTTTAATTTATTAAACCCACATGTTTTTCTTTGCTTTTCTTTTGCATGCTACAATATTAGAATATATCTCAATAATCATAATAAGCAACTCTTATCCTGTGTCAGTGTGTGCAGTTTAGGCCTTCTTATTGCTACGCATGCATGCAAGTATACTGATTTAGCATCTGAATAACAATCAGTTTTCAAAGTAAATAAATCTTAATGGAAAAATATTAAAGCTGCTCTTACCCTGATGCTCTGAACAGCTGGTTTGTGACTGCTTTAAAAAAGAAAAGGATACAGTATTAAAGAAAGGCAGCCCATGGGTGTTTTCAGTTACTTTAACTTTGATCGTACTTGGTCTGTTCAGTGTCGAGGCAAAGTGACTGATACCTCAGAGACCCACTTATATTTTTAAGGGTAATTTGATCAATATGTGTGCTTCTTCTGAGATTAATGCTTTTTGATTGTAACTGGTTCACTTCATTGTGCACAGTTGTGTCAGAAGTACCAGAAGTACTCAAATTTAAGTGGAGATCATTTTCATCAGAAAAAAGGAAGAATCACAGTAATAAACAACAGTTATGGGGAATATTCTAGTGTCTTACTCTTTGGATGGATGGATGGATGGATGGATGGATGGATGGATGGATGGATGGATGGATGGATGGATGGATGGATGGATGGATGGTCGGGTACTGAATGGATGGATGGATGTATGGTCGGGTACTGAATGGATGGATGGATGGATGATCGGGTACTGGATGGAAGGATAAATGGATGGTCAGGTACTGGATGGATAGATGGTTGGGTACTGGATGGATGGATGGTTGGATGTTAGGGTGCTGGATGGATGGATGGTTGATTCTGGATGGATAGATGGATGGTGGGGTACTAGATGGAAGGATGGTCGGGTACTGGATGGATGGATGGATGGTCGGGTTGGATGTTAGGGTGGTGGATGGATGGACGGTTGATTCTGGATGGATAGATGGATGGTTGGGTACTGGATGGACGGATAGATCGATGGGTGATTCTGGATGGTTAGGTACTGGATGGTCGGGTACTAGATGGATGGATGGTTGGTCGGGTTCTGGATGGATGGAAGGATGGTCGGGTACTGGATGGATGGATGGTTGGATGGATGGTTGATTCTGGATGGATGGTCAGGTACTGGATGGATGGATGGTTGATTCTGGATGGGTAGATGGATGGTCAGGTACTGGATGGTCGGTTACTAGATGGATGGAAGGATGCTCGGGTACTGGATGGAAGGAAGGATGGATGGATGGATGGTCAGGTACTGGATGAATGGATGGATGGATGGTTGGGTACTAGATAGATTGAAGGATGGTCGGTTACTGGATGGATGGATGGATGGATGGATGGTCGGGTACTGGATGGATGGATGGTCGGGTACTGGATGGATGGATGGATGGATGGTTGGGTATTAGATGGATGGACAGATAGAATCTGATTAACAGTTTGATTACTGTACGCAGAGTAGATGTAGAATAACTCAGTAGGTGTTTTAGCTGATCTAGAACAAATATTTTACACATTTCCTCTCAATCTTTTCACTTTTCTGCTGATTTATGCATGACTTCTCCATCTTTACAGAGCTTTGGGAAGAATGCACCAGTGCTACGAAGTCGTATTCCCCGGACAGGCACCCATTAGAAAGAAAGGCCATGTTGAGCCCATAGACATATCGGTGGCCTCTCGAGGCTCCAATAAAAAGGTATAAATCTTCTGCTGCAACCCTTCAAATTCCAAGCTGTTGGTCCGCCTACTCTACGCCAAATTTATTTATGAGTTTCACAAGATAAAGAGTGAAAGTGCAAGTCTGTAGAGCTGCTCACAGTTGATATACACTAACAGTATGCTCACTTCATAATGAGATGATCATGAAAGAACTTTAAAACTGCCCTACTTCTGATGAGGCAAAAAATCTAAAAAATGGTGAGTTGACTGATATAGACAGAGAGCTGATGTTCATCTTTTAGCAATAAACCTGTCAGCGCTCTCTGTTAAGTAACAGACACACTGTTTCTACATGGCATCAACTCCAGACCTCTGCCATGTCTGTACTACATGTTATCTGACATGCATAGAGCACAGGTCAGCACTAAGCTCATATCAGTTCATTTGTCAGCCAAGCTACTTAGTGCTCTGGCTCCAATAGTTTCCATATGCTTCCTGTAGGTCACCGTGATAAAGAACCTAGAAGTGTATGGTTTGGATCCTGCAGTTGTGGCCACTGCTTTGCAGCACAGAGTCCAGGCCAGCTCTGTCTTACAGCCAGTCCCTGGGTCCAAGGACAAAGTCCTGGTCCAAATACAAGGCAACCAGATTCATCAAGTTGGAAATTTACTTTTAGGTTTGTACCTTTTACTATGACATTCAGTATCTTTCAAATTGTTTACATCAGTGTCTTAACTTGTACATATTTTGTTTTTGATTTCAGATCATTATCGAATTCCTCGAAAGTACATTCAAGGATTAGATAAAGCTCCAAAAGGTGGCAAGAAGAAATAACATTTCAACCTGGTAAAATTGACTGTCCTTAAAGCTGTTTCACTGTAACACAAAAACAAAAACAAGCTGTTTGTGTAATAAAGTTGATTTACTGTCACCTTCTGATGGTAGAAGGCGTCTTTGTTGGTGATTTATAATCCGAGAGGTTTTCAAAGTTAAGGTCCTGATTCATTAAAGGTTATGTTTTTGTCTCTGTGTGGAGAACTTACTTTCTGCCTTCATAATGTAAAGGACTTTAAACCTGAAGGAGAAACAATCCTAAAATTTTGCATTTTCAGCAGTAAACACGGTGAGACAGGGGCAGGGTTATGGTTTGGCATGTTGGTAACTCGGTTGGCAATTAGGGGAAAATTCAGGTCTTGTTGAGTCCAGATACATTGGGTTGTTTCAACACGTATTTTTTTTTTTTTTTTTTTAAGTGAAAAAATTCAGTTCAAACAAACCTGCAGTTTATGGGATAGTAGAAAAAAATTAAGAAAAAACACAGGAATTTACCACACCAAAAGAAAAAACCTTTCTCCTGCTGTCTTTCTTGTGCCTACCCATATTTCTTCATTTTAATTAGCTCTTTAAGAGATTGGCATAAATGTAACTAAGGCTGTGTGCAATTATGCAGCCTCAGCTATGTTGGGGTTGAGTCTCTGCCATGAACGGTTTAATGTCTCATCTGCAAACCTGCATTCATGCCTATTTACCTCGTTTTTTTAGGATTATAATGAAAGATGGAGTTTCCACTGTGCTCTCTCTTTAGGGTTTTCACTGTTCAGCTGCGATAGTTCACATCAGAAATATACTCAAGAGGATAAAGACATCAGTATGTCTGAGTTCCCTCAGTTCCACGTGCATTCAAGCCTTACAGTCAGGAGATAAGATAAGAGCTGTTCCTTTTTTAGTTTGTTTACTCCATGATTTATGGTTGATAGTCCTCCGAAATACACTGGGATGAAACTCACAATCAAGATAAGGGGATAGAGTACAGTTCGTAATCAAATTATGCTGTTAGTTTGTCTGATTTGGAAACAATCCAGTTCTGTTATGCACACCATCTAAAAAGATGCGGCTGACTTCTACAGAGCTGTAGCCATGCTTCACTACAGGTTTTGAACTGGCATCAGCAGGTGTGAATACTAACTCTTGTTCCCAAAAATGAACCAGCACTTAAAATTGGAAGTTTACTCCATCCAGCTGTTTTTTAACCTTTCACCAGCTGGTGGTAATTTCAGAGCAACTGTTTATTTTTATGAGGAAATCCTAACCCTGTTGATCCTGTTTTATTCTCCTCAAGTTATGTTGTTTGATTTTAACGATTTGAACATATAAAATATGATGTTGGAGTACAGCTGTGGACAGAAAACAATAGGCTGGAAAACAATGAAATCTAATCTACATTACCTAATTGTCACGCCACTAGTTTGGCTGAAATAATATGATTGAGGCGAGCAGTAAGCTCCCCAGTAATGTATTCAAACACAAATCAGTAGGCTAGTTATGTATTCATTTATTTATATTTTAAGAGTGGCTTCAGTGCCTTTTGCTTCAGTGAATCAACGGTTAGCCTCCAAGTCAGCCTCTTTAAACAGTGGCTATGCTGACCAGCATCCAATACAAGTTATACTTGTCAAGCACCTCATACAACCCCATTTAAACAAATCCACATAATCCCTTTAATCTGAAATCTGATATAAGTAGCTTTCACAGAAAACTTTGAGTGTTAATGTTACTGGCAGCGCACTGTAAAAAATGACTGTTTTGTCTTTACCTTGGCGAACCTTGTTACATATGACAGATTGTTTACTTGTCAGCTTAAGAAATTGAACCAAACGGGCTAAATCCTCAAGCAAAATAGATGTGTTCAAATTTCCTAGAAGGGTCCCTAAAACTTCTCAAAATATCACATGCGTGCTCTGTTGGGTGTTAAGAGTTTTTGTTGGCTCTCGGTGTCCAGGGTTTTGACTCCTCTGACCTATTGACCAGACTGTGGGTCTCGTTCGCTCTTTTTATACCTCATATCACATGATGTTTCTAATGAGTGGGGGCAACAGCGGATTAAGATCTGAACCATAATTTGAGATGCTGGAGTTTCTGCCTGGTTTACATTTGAGTGACAATGTAGGAGGTTCTTCTCACTATCTCTCACTCAGTTCCACTAAAAATGCAGATTCGAACATTAAATCAATAAATTAGAAAGATGTTAATATCATTTATATCTGAAGGTCAGGCAATAGTCGGCATGATTTGAATAACACCAGCTTTGCAGAGTTGATATTTGGGAATAACCTGCACTTTGCCGCCATTGCAGTGCTGTATTTTTTATCCTCCTGTCTTAGCACAACATACTCTCTTAATTACATTTGCTCCTGGAACACTCTCCAGTGACCCGACTCCGCTAGCTTTTAAGAGAGACTTGACAAGCGAAGCACTGTTTGACATCCAGTTTTACCAGGATGTTGCGGGTCAGTCCGTTATGACCCAATAGATGTCCAATTTGACAGTCTTTCCTGGAGGGGGAAATCTCTCTTCAGCCACACAATCAAGCCACTCTCCCTCCCGATGCTCTGTTTGTGAAAGAGGAGACTTTCTGGCTCCTCCGTTTGTGGCAAAGAAGTTGTCTGATCAAATTTATGCAAGCAATTAATTTCCACGATGTCTGAGGCAAAATTGTTTTTATTTGTTTTTCAGTTTGTCAAACTTCATCGGTGACAGATAGTAGAATTACAGATGTTCAGTTTCCCAAGTTAGGGAGTAGATCTTCCAACTTTGGTAAGTTTATGAGCTCGTGTCAAGATGTGAAAACAAAATGGATGCTTCAAATAAGTTAATTATAGTCAATCGCTTCGATCTTTCAAAATCACTTCCGACAGATGTTTTTTGTATTTGCCTGGCGAAGAAGAGCAACAGAAACTCAAAACAAGTTCAGTTCTCCTTTAACAAGGAATCACAACTAATCCTCAAGATAAATGCTCAACTCTTTTAACTTGTCTCGCAAAAAAACCACAGCGCTCTTCCTCGACACCAAATAAAAGTAGAATTTAATTTGGTTTACTTGGCCTCACATAAAGTTTGGCTAACTTAACCAAAATATTCTTCACTTTTACAACCATTAGAGGGTAAACAAATCAGTGGCTTTTGGATCTTCTCAATTAAACGTCTCTGAAACCCCCTCCTGATTTTTAAGGGAATGAGAAAAGATTCACTAACAGGTTTTGGTTATTGAGCATTATTGGTTAAAAATGACCCCATATTTAAGCTGTTTTAACAGATTAAAACAACATGTCTATTCAAACAAGATCAAACAGTCAGATCATTGAGCTTTTGAGGTGTTCCTACATACTTTTGACATGTTGTTTCACACAGTGGAATGAGCTTTCCCCCTGTTTTACACCAAGTCTAGCTGTCTCCTCACTCTTGTATCATCCTGTCTGAACAGTCATGAGTATCAGTTGAAACAGCAACAGACTGATTACAAATATTTTCATTGTTGTGCGGGAAGTTTGGGATTTCACAGCAGAGGTTTGCGCTCGATCAAAAAAGAAAAAACATCGGGGACCGAGGGATCCGAGAGAAAGAAAACACCTACAGATACACGCTGTTTGCCACAGTAGATCTGGTGCCGTATGTCTGTGGAAACCAGGGCTCTGTTTTCTACTCTCTACGGAGGAAGAGGACTCATCTAGGGAGGATTTCATGTCTCTGGCCGCAAAAAGGGTCGTCTTATAATTCACATGAACTGTCTTCTGCTCATTCTACCCACAGTGTCTTGGCTCGACAGAACTAAGCATGCAGCAGGGGTCCCTTCTCCTCCCTGCTGCCGCCCACTGAGGAGATATGAGTTTACTGATGCTGTGCCAACAACACTGCAAAAAAATATGACTGTGATTACTGCGCGATGGAGAGGTTACATAAGGCTGTAAGCCAGTCATTAGAAGGGATGTTTTAAACATTTCTAAAATCTGTATTTGGCACTCAGCAGCCTGTTAGAAGATGACGTTTCTCGCTGTGGTGGCATTTTGCTGCAGAGGATTATCTCAGTTTCACCTTTTCCTTTTACAGGAAAGCCATCCTATTGTTGACCTGTAGACTTGTTTTTTTTAATATTTCTGATTGCAGAAATTGTAATGATAAATATCTGCTTTAATTCAACAAGTGCCACCAATCATTTGCATTACAACCTCTAATGAGAGAGCTATTTATGAAAACATAGGTTTGTTTTTGGTCTGTGCTGCATTCAGATCCAGTCTAGTTGTTTCTAAGCAGTGTTCGTTCTAATGCACCTCACTTGCATAGGTTTCTGTTTCGATAACAGACTTGCAGATTGCATAACTGATATGTGGCGATGCTTCTTTTGCGCTTACGTCACGACCGCTGAGGTTGTTGTGCACCACTGCTGCTCCAATTTACAGATGAGTGGATGAGAAAATGATTTGGATGTCGTTATAGAAAAAAATACTAATCTGTTTTATCCGTATTTGGTCTGTCTTCACCAGCAGCATGTTTCTTTTCTTTTTTTCCAGAGTACATGATAATCCACCGAATGTATGATCATGTTTATGAAATTGGTGGAAATGAATTTAACTAGGAAACAAGTGTTTTTTTTATGATATCTATCTTAATCAGTCTCTTTCACGGATGAAATTATAACGTTTCAGCATCACTGCCTGGTTACAACGCAGTGATGGGAGATCCCTCAGGAATCTCTCTCACTGTATCGCCATGCACTGGGTTATGATAGCTGTGAATCCCAATAATCCTCCCAGATGTGTGTAGTCAAACCAGGGCTCTGTCATATCAAGTGGATCATTGACAATCTAAAGACAGAAACAGGAGGCGAATATCAGATCAAAGATTAAAAAAAAGGCTAAATCGTCAAAGTGAAGAGCTGCACTGGTATCACACACGGTGCTAGTGAAATAAGAAATCTAATAACCACAAGATGAGTGCACTCAACAGGGATTGGCCAGGGATCTTGCACTCACTCAGTCTGTGTCTCCATCTGTTGGTCGGCAGCCAGCACAGCAGGAACGTCTCACAACTCAAACCAGCGATTCATTGGCACATGAAGGGTTACACTTCACCAGACGTGGACAGTAATCGAGTCTGGCATGCAGTAAAATGCTCTTTGAAGACATCTCGTCTTTGATCTGTCAGAGAGGTTACTGTGGAAACATTTGAGGCTACAATTTGAAGATTTGAGGTGTAGTCTTCGAGGCTTAGTGATGGTGTTTGTTTTAACAGCCTATTTGCTTGCAGAGTTGTTTGTCTTTTACTGGCATCTAAACCCCAAATCCTCCTGGATACACTTTACTGGGCTGTTGTTCTTTCAGAGTGTTCAGTAGTGTCACTAATGCAGTTTATATAGAAAATTTCAGAACAAAATTTGGCACAATTCTGTTCACTGATTAGAGGCGTTGCCTGTTGAAACAATCCAAGGATTACATTTGACCTTTGGCAGAACGTTTGTCTACTTTCACAAAAGTATGTTAGAATAATGCAATTGGCTTCAGTTTTATGCAGAGGTTGCGTGCTGTAAGAAATATTTAGACAGCCATTCGGGGACTTTACAATGACTTTTATTTGATGAGGGAGGTGCCCTGTCTTTAGATTATACGTATACTATGCATGTTATGGCCTTGAAACCTTCCCTATAAAACTTAGACTTTAAAGATAACCCCCTGGACCCTTGGATTTCAGGGATAACCCCATATAATGCTACACCCAGTAACAGTTTATGTATTCCAATAA